GACTCTCTCACATTCACAGTGCCCAGCATTTGCTGACCACGACATTGTGACAGTGTGGTGCTACATGCTTCATACATAGCCACAGAAATGGACCCCTGTCCTGACTGTGCTGAAGTTGCAGGTGCAGTCAAAGTCGGACTCTTCTCTCCACCTTCGCTACAGTCTTTTACTGAGCAGGAATCTGATGTTTCCGCAGTTGGGAATGTGGACTGACAGCATGTGTTCTTTGACAGACACCTGGCAGCCTCAACAGTCAATGAGCTACGATGTGAAAGTGGCATGTGGGCGTTGTCCTGAATGGCCTGCTCATAGGACGGAGGCTTACTTGGAATCCTGCTGTCCACCTGATGAAACACTTCCTCGCTCGACAAACAGCAGGGCTTTTGTGGTGTGAGAAAAGTCCTGTCAAGAAGAAGCACCTCAGGCAGAGTCTGGCTCTGGCGTAAAGCTTTCTCAACTCGTTTGCTGGCACCTTGGGAAAAGCTTGTCTTGTTCCGAGAGCTTGAGGCCTTCATTGATTGGGAGCGTTTTTTGGTGGCCTCACTTCCATGCGCCGCTAGACGTGTGGGGAAGGACTGTTTGCGCAGGAGGGCACGTCGCTGGGTGGATGAGGAGATGATAGGAGAGCTGGTCTGGATGGAGTTCTCTGAGGCACTGGAGAAGGTGCTCTCCAAGGAAGAGCAAGAGTCTTTAGATTCTTTATTCTGGAGATGATGTTCACCAGAAGGCAAAACACAGGTGTTCCTCTGCTCATTCGACACCCTGCTGCCCGTCCTAAACAAAACACACTCATCCGATATTTGTTTTGTCAAATGATGGTCGTAAAAGTCCATCTCTGTTTGACTCCTTGTTAAGGCGCTCTGGTTTCGAGCACTCTTGTTGAAGCCAAACGTTGGCTCAGAGCACCTGCGAATGAAAGGTTTAGGAGTGTTTCTCCCTACAGGGCAGGAGGAGGCTTCAAAGTGATTCAGAGTTTTCTCTTCAGCATCAGAATGGATGGCATGCATGTCTGTGAAGCTCCCATCAGGGTCATTGCTGTCATAGGCAGAATCATGATGGAGCGAGGACATTGAATCTAAAAGAGGAAACAAAGCACATGGTCAACAAATACAGCATTTTTCTTTGAATCACCATACTGTACTACTGATTAATTCAAATGAGTAAGAAGAAAAGTATTCTACCTTGGTTATCACTGAGCTCTTCCTCATCCGAGTCCCCAAGAAGTGTCAGTATATCCTCACTGAATATTTCACCGCAGTTGTCAATGAGGAACTGAGTCAGGTTCGACACCTATGAAATAAAAAGCTGTGGTTAGGGAAATACCAAGCTGAATAACAGAATAGAGATATTGACCTAATATTAAAGCCCACTGCAGAGACATAGAGATTACAGAGCTTTTAAAATGTATCATTATTAATATGTAATGCTATTTATCTCAGACTGTCTTTGTTCCTGTACCTTATATATATGCTCACAATTTGTGCTCTGATTGGCTGCCCTGTATTGTGCCCCATTCAAAAAGCAGTCCAGGTTGAAACATTCATTTAACTTCAGTGTTAATGGGTGGGGCTGAACTGCTGTAGACTGAACAGCTGGATATTTGTTAACTACATCTGGATATTGTGACATTAAAAGTGCAGTTAATTCAAAAGGGCTGTTTTTAAACTGTATGAACTGGTGAGCAAATTAACTATTTTGAAAATTTAACAGTGTTTGCATACTACACCAAACTCTTTTATCTCAAAATCATTACAAAAATGTGGTTCTACATGATGTGGGCCCTTGACAGCACTGACAGCAGTCTACTCACGTTTTTCACCACTTCCACCCTGTCAGCTTGGAGCAAGTTGGGTGAAACACAGACAGCTAAATTGCTGGAATCCATCTTGTTTATTTCAGCCTTGAGACTTATGCGGTACAGCACAGCAATCAAGTGTTTCAGGAGTTGAATATTGGGCTCTGGAAGCTTATTAATCACCCTAGGAGCAAAACAAGCAGAGAGAGTAGGATTAAACTACTACACTTGTACCAAAACTCAAATATATCTTTGAGTAAAAGACAATAATGCAGTTGAAAATCTGAAATCCAGACTTACATTCGGAGCTCAGTACATCTGTCATGTACATCTTGTCTTTCCATTGCTGCCATCCAGGCCTTGTACTGCTCCACTATCAGTAAACTGTCAGGCAGGTGCCTCAGGAAGTCCTACAATTCAGATGGAGGCAAGATATTAACACACTTGGAAACTCAGATGCATTTGTACTCAAAAGGAGATTGGATATAACACATTTGAGACAATTAGAAACAACTCTTGAAATATTACCTTGAGGAGATCAGCGAGTAAAATCACAGGCTCATCTTTCAGATCCACTTCTGCTCCGCTGTTGAGCTGCTCCTTGATCTCTTTCAGACGCTTGGCATTGCCAGCTTTCCTGAACAGTCCAATGGTGTGTGGTCCCTTTCTCCACAACACTGAGAGAATGTCCTGCAGAACAGTCCAGAGTGAGGAAAAGTCAGTAAATGAAAATATAAAAAATGAACTCACTGCATGTTGTTGCTGTCAAAACACAACCTTCTATCTCCATTTTTTGACACAATTTATAATTTACACTACATGAAAATTCACGATGAATAGAAATGATCCAAAATGTAACTCGGAATAAATCATTTTTACATTAACCTCCATTAAGAATTAAGAATGTTTTTTTCCTTCTCCTGCAAAGTTACAATTTTGGAGATAAAAGGTTTTTGCTTACGAGATAAGAGTTGCAGAATGTAGTAAGAAAGTATGGTTGGTGAACTGGAGACGTACCATGATGGGTCTGGGAGGACTGTCATCTTTTTCACAAATGTCTGACAGAGCTCGTCCAAAGAGCATCTTTTTTTGTGGTGGAGGAGCACAATCAGAATCCATGTTTTTCCTCTGCACTCGCCGGAAAAGCCTCCTCCAACGCCTTCTGTTGATATTTTCTGTTAGCAAAAAATAATGAATAAATAAATAAATAAATACTTCCAAGTTCAAGTTTGGCTGTTGCAATGTCAAATTGAGAATATGACTAATAGTATGTTTCCAAATTCCGAATAATGAATGATTAATAAAGTAATCTTTGTTTAATTAATCATCCCTTACACCAAATATGTGTGGCATACACAGTTTTGAAACAAAAAACACAGTTGAGACTGTTTTATAACTCACCAGCGTGGGAGGAGTTGATCAAGTTGCTCTCAGATGCCTGCTGAAACGGGGAGGGTCCCGAATTCACATGAACCTGAAAGGAGCAAAAAGGACATATAAAGCGATGTGCCAGCGGTTTCATACCCGCCCTGACCTGCTCTAAAATGGTCTCTCTGATGTCAACAAAAATGCATGGTCAGGAATAGATTTCCCAAAGAAAGAATTTTCCCAAGCATTCCGCTCTGTTTTCCCAAGAACGATTATTAAAAGCACGGCCAGTGTTACAGAGTGACCCCCTGAGGTTCTGCAGGTTGACGATTCTATGGCGCAAGCTTTATTCTAGTAAAGAGGACCTAATCTTTAAGGTTGTTAAACAGATCAACAGAACTATTATTTACATTAAGCTGCCTCTGTATGAGTTGCTGTATGCGTAATATGTGAGAATCAAAAATACTTACAGCTGGGGCTGCGATGATGAATAGGTCCATGCTGTCCTCAGCCTGTGATTTTGTCTGAAACAAAAGAACAGCACTTTTGCTTATCTTGTCCATGAACTAACAGAGAGGAAGACAATGCTAAACATGTACTAATCAAATCTCCTAATGTCATTAGGAGACAATAGGCATACTGGAAGAGGTGGCTAAAGGTGAGAACTTACCACAACGTGGCCACTCAACACCTTCATAAGTGCGCTGTGGTGGGATGTCTACAAAATACTTGTTTCTTTGCCAGTTTACCTGCAAAATGAACATGAAAAATAGGTTTGGGTTAGTTATTTAGGGTAAACTGAAAACAGCTGTTTTACTGGATGACTGTTTGTACAATATGACTTTGCTTATTTGCATATACAGTCATATGTAAACGTTTGGACATCCCCCAGTTACATGTTTTGTTGCTTTTCTACTGAAAATAAGTTAACACACATTTTAATGCACAGCTACTGTTTATTTGCTGAATTTAACATATTGGAAAAATAAATAAAATGATAAGCCTGTGCAAAAGTTATAGCACATAAAAAATAATAAACACAAAATTGTGTGCAAAAGTTATGGCACATTTTATATTGTAAGCTTTAATTTTCCCCAGTAATTTAAATTTTATTTTCTGTAGAGGATGTATATTTTTAGTTAGAAAATCAACAAAACGTCATTTGACCTTTTATTCTAAATTTGCATTTAGGATAAAAGTATGCATTACATACAACAATAGCACATTGAAATGATAACATATGTAAATCGACTAACAATGTGACATCATGTTTATTCATAATGTATCATAATGGAGAAATGTGCTAGTATTGAAAAAGTGGCATTTCCATATAAAGAAGTGTATGTACAAAGTACCAATCATTCAAATGCAGCTGAAAACCAAATTATTGTAGCAAATAAACCGTTGAAACTATTCCACCGCCCACAAACACAGAGCATAAGCATCAATAAAAACTGTACACAACGAAAATAAATGTAATTTCTCACCTCTTGACCATCCAGTTCTCACTTCAGTTCAGGAGAACTAGTGAAAGCAGCTGCATCGACACGCGAGCTCACAACACTAGCACACGACTGAAGCACACTGAACTAGAACAACCCATCATACACTACAAAATGAAAGTGGGTGGGCAGAAGGGAAATTCTGATGTGCAATGGAGACAGGAAGCAGCATCACGGACTCCCACCGCTAACACCCCCCGTTAGCTATGTAGGGCAACAAAATAGCTGTGGGTGGAAAGTGATACATGCATCACTTGAACGTGAGATTGAACTGAGAAAGTAACACATAGGTGAGGCGTAACGTCATCCAGAGGCGGCATATATCAAGTTCACTTCAGACATAATAATATGTAGGCTCACTTCAAATGTCAATGTTTGGCAAGAAAGCACATCAGTCTTGCTTTAAGGCCAACAAACCTCAACAAACGCCAACATTCAAATGATCTAAAGACACCAGACGAGTGCCTTCTCAATCTTTAGTGACCCTAAATTAATCATAAGGATCTTGCTCTTTTGTTGCTTATTACCATGACTTACTTTCAAACCTCAAACTGTAATTAATCAGTACTGCATTCTAAAAACAAGAACTTTCAGTTTCTAAACATGGCATGTTTCTGGTAAAAGAAACCTTACCATCTAATTTACAATAAAGATGCCCGTTTGGGATAATAATTTGCTTGACAAGCATTTACAGTAATAAGCCCTTTACAATGATTCATCACACCAGGTCCATCTGCTATGGTGGGAATTTTTTTGAAAACAAGAGAAACATCATTGTGAGATTCAACATTTGACAGTGCTATATGTTCACTGACTCACTGTCATTTCATGAAAACAATCAACCCCCATAGATTTGGCCATTCTCAATGTATAGATGAGTGTATCTGAGTCGTTTGATTACTAAAGAAGAAGTGGCTAACTGTCTGTAAGTATGTCCTCCTACTGTCTACGGTTTGCATGTAAATGAGTTTCTGATCAGCGCTCCTTTGATGTTTTTAGGAGTACACTATGCGGGGGAGTTCTATAGGAGAAAGTTCAGTGAAGTTCAAAAAAAATACACAAAGCACGTAAATTATGAAGTGGAGTGTTATTTATTATTGTATAAATGCTTTGTGATAACAGAATCGAAAAAAAAACAATCAACACAGACCATTATGAACTATGGTGCTTTAAATAAAACAGAACAAAAACACAGCCTGGACTGCACACTGTAAAGCTGGACATTTCAGCAGGGCATGAATATAAATACCAAAAAGAGAGACCTCAGGCTTGTTTGTATGTTCGGTTTGTGATATCACAGCAGTGATTTCAGCAGTGAATCACCTAACTTTCCCAGTCATGCACCGCTAGTTTATGAGAAAGCAAGTTATTTAAAGGCTGAACAAAAAAATATCACGAGTAAAGTTATGCACTATTTCAAAGACTGAAACAAACATGTACCAAAATTCATATAATCATTTCATCGCTGTCATGATCAAAACCTTGTATTTTTCCATTTTCATTTGCCATTTAAGTAGTATTTTAAAACAGCAGCTGCCCTTTACATTGTGCGAACATTTCATGACGAATCGACCAATAGAAACGTCTCAAAATTACTTGGAATACGATCCTTTAATTACATTAACATACATTAAATAGAGAACGAAGTATGCCCCCCCCCATATGTAGTTGTAATTTTGGAGATTTTGTTATGACTAATAATTTGCTGTTTGTTGCTTTTGACTTTTTTAATATCACACAGGTGGGTGAACAGCTTAGAATGACCTTCAAGGCAGCCCACCAGGGAAAAACCCACAGAGGAGACCCACATAGCGTGCATCATTCCTTTACTAGAGTGTGGGTAGCCAGACCACCCAGAGCGCATCAGGTTAAAACCACTAGACGGCTGCGTACAGTACGCAGTGGCAAAAGTATGACGCGTCTAGATAAAGTACAACAATATGGTGCTGTATACTGAAATATTGCTACATTTGAAAATAAAAAAAGATAAATATTCAGAATTGTAAAGAATTTACATTCATTTCCCATCTTTTAAAGAAATGAGAGAGGTGCAATGTATAAAGTAGTACACAACAATACCAAACTTCCCCATAGTACCTTAAGAATAAATGGAAACACAGAACATTTTTACTTTCCCAGACAGGGTGAAACTGTTTAACATCATATAATAATCTCCTATAAAAATATTTCCTATTATCATGTTACAACAATAATGAACTGCTGTAAAAACTACTTTAGATGTACATGTAGCTGTACTTTTCATTACCATTACTTCAGAATTACAACCTATTACTGTGTTAATTGGATTACATGAAGTTACAACAGGTACCTTTTTATTCTGACATTAGAACACGCCGTCAGAAAAGGTCAGATGTTCTTAGAGATGGTGTTAACAAATGCTAAAAACCCAGTGTTGAGAAACATCATGAAAAATGTATCTGTCTGCGGTCACACTGTTAGATAGGAATCTTACCTCACACAAAGACAGTAAGGATTAATCAGTCTGGGACATCTAACCATTAGAACTGCTGAGGGCTAAATGTTCCTGTTTATCTAAAGTATCAAAGCTCAGCTCTGACACTGAAATTTGGCTGGTCCTCTGGTTTGAAGTCCTCGTTGGGACTGCCATCCTCATTGAGAATTCGTCTGCTGGTGTAGCCCACTATAGGGTACTTTGATTTGTACGTTCCAGTAAATACGCTCTCCAGGGACTCAAGCTCTTTCTCAGTAAGGCCAGTCTGACACGGCGAAAAAAGGAAGACAGTTAGTGCACGTGAATTTCTCAGAGTGGTAGTGAACTTCTGCTTTAGAAAAAAGTAAAAACCAACATCAACTCACTACATCATGTGTCAGATCTTTAGGATCAAGTGACATTTTGGCCACAGCTCTGGTTGAGTCCTTCCCTACAAGAGCATTATAAGGTGCACCTTTCCCATAAAACTCTGTTAATAAAGAAGAAAGTAGTGATTAATAAACCAGTTAATATAATTTTGATTAAGGGTGTTACGATTCAATTAATTTCATGATACTGTATTCTCACAATATTTCAAACAAAATTTGAATGAAGAAAAAAAGATAACTATATTCATCTTGTTGTCCAATTTTACTACAGTTGGGAGGCAGGAGGAGTGCTGGAGTGACAGTTATTAATATATTTAATAGAATGTGATTGTGAGAATTATGATGACTCAAAATAGCATAATAATATAATATAATACTTTATAATAATAATAATATAAAACTGTTGCTATTATTATTATTATTATTATTATTATTTTACTTCATATAAGCTAAAGAATACCAAATAAACAGAAGACACAGAAACAAACACAGTTACATAACAGTTACAAATGTGAACAGGAAAATCAGGTTTAATCACACAACTGTGATCTTACAAAGAGAAACAAGGAAACTGAGAAACAAAATCCTAACCACTGACACAGAACATGGGTGATGGGTGAGAGAGGGAACATTAGGAGAGGGGGTATAACATTTGGGGGGTATAACACTAAAGGATCTGTCTTTCAAGGTGGGAAGTTTAATGCAACTGTCACCAACCTGGAGATCTACTTTCCTGCAGAGTCTAGTTCCAAACACAATCTGCCACACCTGCTCCAGCTGTTTAACTTTTTAAGAGATCCCCGATTGGCTGGATCAGATGCTTTAGTTCTGGGTTTGGTGGGAAGCAGCATGATAAATGCAGCAAGTAGATCTCCAGGAGGAGGGCTGGTTACCAATGGTTTAAAGGGAAGGGCCACCAAAGAGATGTATAGCTTTTAAGTTATATTTTTAGTTTTGTTTTTTTTTTTCCTGAAATGCCCCCCAATAAAGAAAGAGTTACTATAATCAAGACAGGACAGTGCAGGACAACAACCACCGGTACTGGAAACGTATTACAGGAGAGGAAATGTTGCCTGATCTGTAACCGACAGCCTCAGTAAATGTATTCGTAGAGCTCATGAGCATGTAAATCCATATGACTACCAGATCAGGCAAAATGGAGGCGAGCAGACAGGAAAAGAAGTTTCATTCAGTTGTTTTCTCCGTAATATTTGATCGAAGTATAGTCATTTTTTTCTTCTTTTTATTGGGAAATATCAACAACAATACTGAAAAGCACAATGACAGAGGTGTAAGAGCGAAAAAGACAGACACAATTTGCCGTTTCATTCGACGCAGCCGAAGAAGTTCAAACCTAACTTTTTCCAGACGTGACGTCAAACACCACACCTTTTATGGCCATGTAAATAGGCTGCCCCTCCTGAAGAACACAAAGGACAAACAAATAAATTTCCAGTATTGGAAATATCTCAGTGTTCAGCTATATTAGACACAGACATCTCCAGTTTCAGAGTGGATTACCTCAGTTCCATCGTATTTTCTCAGCTCTTCGTCGGTGAACAACCTCACGGGTTTCGAAGCGGCTTTTTCTTTTAATTTCGTCTCATCTGCTAAACAAATTAGCATTAACGAAAAACAGGTTATAAGCTGCAAAAACAACATGTTTGGCTCGCTGAGGAGAGCGGTCAGTCAAACGTGCTGTAACGTGATTCCGTGTAAAATAGCCTGAACTAAAGTGGCTATCCCTTAATAATGTAAGTTCCAGAGACACCCTTGGATACTACAGAATAAAAACTCTTAGACTCTAAAAACACACTTTGTGTAGTAATGTTTCTAATTCTGAACACCCAGAACTTCCTCCTTCCAGCCGGAGCTTTATTTTGAAGTTCGGACTCGTGACCGGATGTTATTCCTGCAGACCTAAATGCGGCGAAATTCCCTTGTTTTAAACCTGTATTTAAAACCAGGGATGATACATGAAGCCGAGAGCCGCCACGGCTAAATGTTTCCCGTAACGCGGTCACGTGGTTAAGGCGACTGGGGGGGGGGCTCATTCCCCCCTTAAGCAGACAACAGAGTCTCGAGACCCCATTTTCACACCAGTGACTTTTCGCTCCCCTCCTCCTTTAAGATTACAGCAAACCTGTAGCCATTTTTTTGTGATTTTCAAGGTCTTTTTGTGAACATAAACTCGCATTTTCCGATACGATTATTTTAAGAAAAAACAGTCTTGTTTTGGGTTTGTTCAGCCCGCTCTCCAGTCTTTTAGCACAGGCTGCTGCCGTTGCCCCGGGAGACGGGGGGCGGGGCAAAGCGGCTGACGCCAGACTTAAGCAGACAGGAACTGAACCCCTTTTTGCCCCTTGAATAGACATGCACCATCTGAGTTTACTTCACATATGATCTTTGGTAAAATCACTAACATGCTTTTTATAAAGTTGCTAAGATTCTTCGCATATTTTCGGTTGAAAGTTAATTTCGTAGATTATTTATTGTTGTCGTTTTTTTGTCCGAATGTACTTTTGTGCAAGATAAAAAACAATGAAGCTGAAGTCAGCTTTCAATTAGCAGCCTTCTTGTTCGAATTTTCCAGTTCCACCTTAAATGGTGCAGCAGTTACAAGGCGCCAGATTGTAACTGCTGTACTATTTAAGGTGGAACGGTACACGTCGAACAAGAAGCTGGTTAATAGAAAGCCGATTTCAGACTTTTGTATAGACAGACAAGGGAAACTGCACTTTTAAGGTACACACAAATCACCACAGCAGGACTATCCCTACAGAAACCACCGTGCTTAAGTTTTATTCTCTGCTTCTGTTTTTTCCGGCGTTATGTGAAAGGGTAGAAGTTCTCGCAGTAGCTAAATTATCTCAGAGTCCATCCCAAACTCGCTGTGATGTCACTCCTACACCCTGCCAAGGCTACTGCAGTGTCTGCCGCTCCTGAACGCGAACTGTTCCTCACTCGCTTCTCATAAAGTCCCATCGATCTGTTACACAGATCCTATGGATCCTCGTGGGAGCGTGACGGTGGTGCTGATAGGCATTTCACAGAGTTAAGCAAGGTGACAGAAACGGGGTGAAAAACGCGACCTGTTTGGGGCAGAATGCTGCGGAAGGAGGCACCTCGGTGCTACCAGGAGGTATGAAATAGAGCTGCGCTGTGAATGGGGCAAGAAAGTTTTGATTAGTTAGCAAAAACGCAAAAGAAATGCATGTAGAGGAAGCTGATACGACATGCTCATAGAATTCACTGACGCATCATTAGAGAGGCTAATTCTGTTCATTTTAATAGTTACGTTTGCGGACAGCATGTGCTGTCCTGTAGTCATGTGATAGCAGCTGACTCAGGGACATTGTTCTGATGGTGACCTAGTCAAAAATGGCATCGCAGTTCAAAACACTTGTGGAGTGAAACGGTCATCCAACGTTCATCTCTGCTGCACAGATCATTGGTGCATTATAATGATAGACGTGTTATGAACAGTTCTTGGACAAACAGTACCTTTTGCCGGAAATTGCTATTTCATTCATCATCATAGGAAAACTGTAACAATATGTTGTGATGTTGTATTGTAGTTCAGTGATGAGGACTGTGGACGAGCATCTGTATCTTACCAGCACAGTACAGATGCTGCCCAGGATCAAGATGAAGCCAGCTGTGATGCCACAGCAGGTGTGGATGTTTTTATTTTGTTTGTATTACCTTGTATTTAACTGAAATGAAAGCACACATAATTATAATTTCTTCCCACATAGACGGATGACTCATAAGACATACACTACTGTGCAAAAGTGAGAGACCATTCTTTCGTTTGTATAATTTCCAGTCAATATAGCCATTTAGTACAAGTTAATGGCCGTTCCAGTTAGAAAGAAACAGGAAACCTATATTTAACAGACGTTATACGAAAGCATCCACCACTAAATATAATATAAAATCTGACAGAATTTAATTTGTCTACTCTTTACATTTGTGCACTTTAACTCCTCCATCCTTACACTCTTAAAACCAATGACTTTCAGCTGTGTCCTCCCAACAACAGCTGTTCCCAAAGCTGTCATGGACAGAATTTTCACCTTCAAGGTGACACTAACATTCACACAAGTAACTACCCAAGGAGATATTTCTGAGGAGATTAGATACAAGTCCACTTGAATAAGGGTGAAGTTAAAGAAATCAGGAGTTTTAAAAACTTGGACTTCAACTCCTTGAGACCACTGGTGGTTCCAAAACACACTTTGTCATATTCTTCGTAACTTTCATATTTCATAAGCTACATTCAAAAAGTGGGTGTCGTATGAGAGCTGTAACTGTCCTCTTTCCAGTCAAATAGACGGGTAATGTAATTTTAAACCCTTATAATAAAAGAAGCTGAACTCGCAATTTTTTTTTGTCTACTGAAAGTTGACCCATTTTTCCACAAATCTGGGCTATAATCTATAAACAGATGGCGTCTCTTCAGTGATCTGCTCTGTAAAAATTATTTTTATAAAATAATACAAAGAGCATCTAGGATTTTTGGCTTTCAGCAGTAAATTGTAAGCATATAGCAATATGTGTATGATCATAAAACACATGTTCTGTTCATTTGAGGGGAGCTTTTACAAAAAAGAAAATAAATAAATAAAATAAAACTTACATTTATTTCATGCAGTTACTGAATAATTTGCCTTATGATTTGGTCATGTAAATTCAGATGGAAAAACCAAAATATACCCTGGAGAATAAGAGGTTAAAGATACAGAGGAAATGGAACTCCGAGGCCTGGTAGACCACCAAAACTGTCACCACCAGAAAAACAGCACTTAAAGCTTTCATCTTTGAGAAAGAGGAGAAAATTAAGCTCTACTGTTGCTTCAGATGTGAAAAAATCCACAGGTGTTTCTGTCCATCCATCAACATTGAGAAAAGGAAACAGACAAAAAGAAGAAATTTGGGCTAGAAACACCAAAACTGAACGGCTGAAATCAAAGAAGCAAGTCAACCATCACAAAGCTGTAAAAAAGTTAATTAAAACACTGACTAACAGGTTGGCCCTGTTCCACACCTCAAAGAATAAATTTTATAGACCTCAATGATACAAATAGCTCTAGTGACTAAGCTTTAACATATTCGCAAGTCTGAAACTGGTGCCCTGTGAAGTAGTTGTCGTAGGTGGAGCTGTATTTCGTCTTTACATTGTGGAATCTTCCCTAACGTCAGGTTTGATCTTATTACAGATGAAGATGTCTTGGACAATAATCAAATATCAACTGCCTTCAACAAAGCTTGTGTGAAGAACGTCTTCACAGTGATCCTTGTCCTCATCTACCTTCTGCTAAGTGCAGTGGCTGTATTTTTGGCCTACCAAACTATTTCTGACTTCCTGGAGAAGCTCAGTCATCCTGTGATGTCAGTGTCCTACAAAGAGGTCGAGGAGTTTGCACCCCCGGGTGGGTTCACTGTGACAGACAGTGGCTTTGTGGTTCAGTGCCTTGTTTGGGTAATGTGTTCATATTGTATGGGTGAATTTTCTTTCGTCTTCTGCAGGAATTGCACTGTACCCAGGGAAGGCTCAGTTATTAAGTTGTCAGCACCACTATCATGACTACATTCCACCTGGTTTAACAGGCCAGAGTAAGGAGAATGACTGTGTAATAGAGCAAGTCATTTATAGTGACCCATACGCCAACCATACCAGAGTAAGTCCTCCTCAATGTTTGTTTAATTTGCCAGTAAATGTCCATTAATGTCCTTATCTATCAGTGTTTTCTAATCCCAGTTGTGGGTCTTTACATTGTACAGTTTTATTCACCACACCTATATAACCGCTTGTTTTTTTGACAATGTTCTTTTGTTTTAAATGACGCATTGGCTAACAGCCTCTCAAACATGTCTGGTCCTGTTTGATGTCACAACCAACAAGTTTCAGCCAGAGCTGAACATTCAAAAGCATTTAAATTATATTGTGGCACTGTTTGAAATATCCATGTGCTTTACATATGAAAGGATATCAGTTTACTTTGGAATTCATAATAGAACTAAGTAAAGCTGTGCAGTGATTGGCTTACCATGACTGAAATTAACAAGTGCTGCTCTAAATTATGTGTAATATCATTGATGTGCTGTTATAGCATGCCTTGGTGGTTGAGGGTCCGACAGATGTCCGAAACCGGGAGCTCATATTCCTCCAGTTCAGTCAAAATGAAACCGAGGAGGACTTCAGTGCCATCAGTTACATGCTGTTTGCTCAATTCAGTGATATGACTGAAAGGTATAAAACAATAACATATGAATTTGCCTCCTTCATGAAAAGCCACTGTTACCTGTTCTTACACGTGTCCTCTCCTTACCAGTTCAGACAAGGCTGCATTTATGAGGGACTGTGAAAGGAATTATTCAATGTGGACTTTCTCTGGTGGGTTTCGTACATGGGTCAAAATGTCTTTGGTCAGGACATCTGGGAGAGGAAATGAATCTGTGGAATTCAGGCAAGAGGTAGGCAGATTCATTTCTTTTTTTTACCGGCATTCAGTGTTTCCCATTCTGCATAGTGATCTAATCAGTAACTTTATTTTACAGTCCAATGTTGTGAAGTATAACGACAGAAGGCCTCCACAAGAGCAAACGAATGAGCTTTTCTTTGTCGTATTCCAGTGGCGAGATCCATTCATACAGCAAGTCAAAGATGTAAGTGAAGGCTGTTATTCTTCCATGCTCTAAATGCTCCCTCATGATATAAGATGTTAATTTTTAATACAGATGCATCTCTTCAATGTTGTAGAAAAAAGGCTATTAATTTCATGCCAGCTAAACTAACTAAAGACGTGTCCTAATCTAGTTGATTTTATTTTTGCCAACAGATAGTCACAGCAAACCCCTGGAACACAATAGCCATTCTGTGTGGTGTCTTCATGGCTCTTTTTAAAGCAGCAGACTTTGCTAAACTCAGTATTAAGTGGATGATCAAAATTCGCAAAAGATCCAGGAGGGCGAAAATTAGGGAAATGAACCAAATCAGCTGAAAAGAATGTCAGCCCCGACTGAGAACTGTAGTCATCCGTTGTCAAACACTTTCAATATTAAGTGAATGAATTTTAACTTTGAAGGACTGAACTATTTTATACTTTTATAATGAACTTCAACACAATTTTGATTCTGCTTCACATTTTGTTGGATCAGTCTATTTTACTTGACAGTGTGAAATCACTACTGAAATTGTAGAATACGCTTAATTGCATGTAAAAAATAAAGGGACAAGGTGTGCAATCATAAAGACAGATGACTGGAAAATTAAATGTAACACTGATCTTAATATGGCAGCTGTCTTTTTTTCCTACTTGACCTTCCCTTTGTACAGCTACATCCGAGCCAATTTTTTTTTAGGGCACAAGCTGATATTAAAATGACAAATAAAACGGTGTTTGTTGTGTGCTCATTTATCATCATTATTTTATGTGCTAATTTGTGTAGCCAGTGGAGATAACGAAGGCTCTTTCTACCACATAGGAGAAATAAGCCTCTTTTTTCCAGCAGTATGACATCATTTTGAATTTTGATTTATGTATCTCAAAATATTGACTAATGTGTCAAATTTTGGCATGTCATAATAATTACTTATTTTCTCAAAATTTAGATTTTTCTCAAAATAATGACTCACCATTTTGACATTTTGAAATAATTATTTTCTTAAATGTTGTCTTCATATTTTACACTTATATGGAAACAACAGCTAATTTGCTCACACTGGAGCTATTATCTTGCAATTTTGTTATTAGACATTAGTTCTGAATTCTTACATACTATGCCGAAAACATGATTTATAGAATCTAAGAAAGTAAGTAATTATTTCGAGATAAGTTAAAGTGCAACATAATAAATCAGAAATGTGATAAAGAAGTCAATATTTCGACGTAAGAAAGTCATAATTTTGACATACTGCTGCCAGAAACCAGGTAGGAGGAACGCGGTATGTTTTTTCTCTAACTGGCGGAAATGGGCTTTCAGGTGCGCCGTCGTCGTCCCGTAAATAAACGCATTTAGTGACTTTTATTTTGAAATGCGTTCGCTTGGTGGCCATTTTCGACAAAGATTGCAATTTTTAATTTCACACCGCGGCGCATGTTTTATCGTTGACCAAAAGTAAGAACGTTAAAAATAAAGTGCAACACCAATGAGGAATCAGACGAAGTATAATCCACTTAAATGAACAGGTACTTTTAAAACGTGAGCAGCTCTAACGTATGTCTGTTGTATTTGCAGCTCTGTGTCGGTTGCAGAGTTAGTATAGCGACTGAGCTCGCTGTGTTGTTAGCTTCTTAGCTTAAGCTGCTGTTAGCCGCACAGTGTCGCGCGTTTCGAAACGTGTCCCACCCTGTTATAACATACTTATTGCATTAACAAACCACGTGTAGTGTCCCATTGGTCTGCCAGTGCTGTTTTAGAAACGCCCGTTTAAATAAATTATCCAAGCATGTTTTGTTTAACATATTTCGTGTTCCCTTAGCTTCAGTGCTGGCCAGCAGTTAGCGGTTAGTAAGCTGAAGGTGAAGTCAGCCACTTATTCTCCAGCTTCTTGTTCGAATTTTCCACCTTAAATGGCGCAGCAGTTACATTCGCCTCATGGCCCGTAATGTAACTTGTGCATCATTAAGGTGGATCGGGAAAATTGGAAGAGAAAGCCAACTTCAGCGCCTCGTAGTAGTCGGACTGTTCTAGCATTTGAGTCCGTGGGTATGTGAGAAACTTGACTTGTTTAACTAGTTTACATAACGTAAAATGTCCAGATCATCTTCAGTGGAACTTCGACGATCAACTAACGTTATGTAGCTAACATCATGTTCGGCTCAAGAGACCGCAGCATGCTAAGCGATTCCACTGGCTAAGTTAGCTCCATATGGGCAGTGCGTGGACCTGCACGCTCCATGTGTCTTTAGTCAGTTCACCAAGAAGATGCAGTTATTTATACTGTGTTTGTCGCTAACGTTACATATTTGACCATATCTTAACATATCTTTTATTCTTTTCTGCTCTGATCACTCCGAGCAAAATTGTCATTATAAGGGGTATGAGTACGTTTGCCCACAGCCCAGAGACACAAATACTGAGTTAAAGGGGAATTCCACGGATTTTTCAAAATTTCTGAATAGGTTCTTGAGATGTAAACTCTGTTGACGTGAAATGGTAGAGAAACCTATTGACTCCGATTTCTTTTACAGTGGTGGCGATATGAACCAGGGGCCACGATGTTTAAAACACTAATATAGCCATTTTATGTACTGTCCAAAACCATCAGTGAACCTTCATGTGTCTTCTGAGCTTTATATGTAATGTTGATTATGGTAAAGTAGTCATAAATCTGAAAAAGTAACTTTTCTTTGGGATCTGTTTTGCCTTACAGTGTCCTGCGTGTAACGTTACCCATCCACCATGAATAAATATAAATATATGGATTAAAATACATTTTAACGTTTACAACAGCATCTCAGATGTTGGGCAGCATGTTTCCAACCCATTCATGTAATGCCTTTCTGTGAGAGAGCTTTTAGAGGTGGACGTCTGGTTCTTATTACCACCTCTATGAACAATTCTGGTCAGTTTGTAAGGTAATTTGGAGTGTAGTCTGTCAGGCATGAAGGTGCTGTTTCATTACGAGCTTTAAAAAAGTAAATATTTTGAGATCAATTCTGAATGAAGCAAATGTGTGCACCCTGTTTGTAGTGTGTGCCAGCACCTTTTTCCCCAAAAGCTGGAGCCTTTCTTTTACATATTTATATTTTAGATAAAATTACAGCCTAAGTCAGAAACAATGACTGAGTCAACTTTTTTAGCAGCTCTCGTTATGAAGAGGTGCCTACCTTATGCTGTTTCTTGTCAAAAAGTGATAGGATATGTTACAAAGCACTTTGCCATGCGGTCAGTCAGCCTCAATTAGATGTTTTCATAGATTTGTGAAGGCTATCCAAACCAGTGATTGCACACCCCTCTGCCCATCTCAGCATATCAATATAGGCCTACTAACATGACATTGACACATTTGTAATGCGCCGTTTCTGTTTTTCTGGTTTTTGGGATAGCCAAAAAGTGAGATGTATAAGGGTGGTTCTAAATATCTGTTGTAATTTTGGAACATTATATTCTATGTTTTTGATTTATGAAGACCTTTAACCCTCTTCTTGCACTCATGGGAGAGCTGAAGATGCAGGCTAAGGCAAATAGTTATATCAAAGGCTGTGTGGTATATCAAGGTCTGCGTATTTTTATTTGAGCTGTAACAGGCACCGTGTGACCTGGGGTGTGAGAAACTTTCCAGAACAGTTCTCTGGGGCATTGAACTTGCTTAGGTGCTGTAGTGTTGTGGCTGAGGCTGAGGCCGAGGCCGAGGCCAGCACCCTCAGCAGGCCGCATTTAGCCAAATGACCACCGTGCTCTCTCTGCCATGGCATTTAGACCTTCACTGGAGTTCGAGATACTGACCTATTTCCCTTCTTATGGACACTGATGGAACTTTGCCAGCCTCATGCACTGCTATTGCCACGAATTCTAATGTAAGAGTTGGCAGACCCCTTGTGCATGTGCTGCTGTATAATTAGGTAGATAAATAAGCCATGGTAATTGCTTTGCAAGCACACAATTCAAAATGGTCTCTTTTCCTTGGAATTTGTTCAGTATCATGTTTGCTTGGAGTTAATTCCTGTTAGAGTTAATAAAATGGGGCAACCAATTCATTGCATTAGCACTTAGTATTGGCATTTAATAAACACTCACAAACAGCCTAAGAATCACTGCAGTTGTTTACAGATACTTGATTGCAGCACTAAAACCTTGCTTGCACTTTGGTACTCTGTATAATGCAACTGTTTGCTGATACTCGGTTAATGTTGTATGTTATGCACAATTTATTTTTCTGTACAGATATGTGACTTTTATCTGCTATGGGCTGAAAAATGCTACCATCGTCCAACATGGGGAAAAACCGGACGTGCATACTGTGTGATATCATCTACAGTTCCAAAGAGGTGAATCTGGGACACGTGTTTTCTTTTTAAACTCTGATAAATAGCTCTTCCATGCTGCAGCAAGATAATGTAATTTAAGCACACGTTATGTGCTTGTATTTTATTTCTAGTTTTTATAGACTATGTTTTTCAGCATCATAGCTATGCTTTGCTATATATTCTTGCATTCTGATGAGAATGAGATGAGAATTTTTTTTTCTTTTGTAAAGTTCTAAGCTCATTACAGTCTAACTGTTTGATGGTAACTTCTGTGTTCTTTCACAGGAGATGGATGAGCATATGAGAAGTATGCTGCATCACCGCGAACTGGAGAATCTGAAAGGCCGGTTAGTAACTGCCAATACATTGTTATACTCCACAGGAGTTCTGTATGATAATCCAGATTTATCAAAGTTCTTTAGGACAAAAGTGTTGATGTTGGAACATTTATTTGTATTAAAGTGCAACTAATGAGACCGAATCTTAGATCAGTACTTTCATGATTAGATATTTTAGAAGTACAGGGCCAAAGACTAATAAAATGCAAGCCATTCTTTGTTCATCATGATGTAACCCTGTCTTTCTATCTCAGTGTTCCATGTGCCTAAAAAATTATAGTCTTTTGAAAGTAGGTCGCATATAATTTTATTGCATCCGAAGTGGGCATACCACAGATTCAGTGGCTTAAAAGAATGGGGACAAATGCCTGCAAACAAACTTCATTTTTTTCAAATATACAGATGTTGCTGTCTTCTTGTGAGAAAAATGTGGACTGTTTTTTAATTAAATTTTCATGATATGATATGCAGTTTGCCAAGAAGCTTTGCTGTTTTCTTGCAGTGTAGTTCAATGCCGGCTCTTGTTGAATGTGCATAGGTGCAATATTATTCTTATGCTGAACTTTTACAAGCGAATTTTTGAACTCTCAGCACTTGATGGCATTTGACTAAGTGCATGTTGTCGTTGTTGGTGACTGATAAAAGGGCACGTGCCTTATTGGGCACGTGCTCTCTCCAGTCTTTGGAGGGATGAGCTGAGGCAGCTGCCATGGCAAGGGCATATATATAGGTACATTGGAAACAACAGGCAGGGCCAGCACACAGCAACTGTGTTTCTCATGTGACAATTATGTAGACCACTGGAATGTGAAAAGTGAGAATGAGGTGGGGGAAAGCAAGAAACCTCCAGGTCAAAGGCACATGATATTGCATCTTAAGCATAGAAGACCCAACTAAAACATACAAAACATACAGAAATATCTGTGAAATGTTCCATATGCGGTGGAATGAATAAAAAACGCATGAGAAGAATTCTCAAATTGTGGTCTTCAATTTTGCTATAAAAGCAAAAAAGGAAAAGGTAAACAGTCCTAAAGCTGATCGAGCCTGAGCCCTGTATTTTAAGTGGTGCTCTGCCATGACACAGTTTTTGGAGAGATAGTTTGTCTGCCTGTAAGGCATCTCTCTTTATCAGCTCATGAGCCTGGCATTCAGGAGAGGAGCTCAGGCGAGGGGGGGTTGCTACAGGCAGTTGTCTGGAGCTCATATTACAGCAAATGCTGGAGAGACCCACCCTAATGCAGCTCTGTAGAAGTGAGGAATGAGGGAGGGCGGGGGAGTGCAGTGCTTCAGATCAAACTAGGCTGCTTGCCTCATGTTCACCGCAGAGCGCAGCAGACACCATCGTGACAGCGCGCTAAGGCTGGGCTGCCACAGAGAGAGCTCCAGCCTCCAGGCTCTGTTTGTGGGGCGCTGGTGGTGAGACACCATGCCACAGGCCTGCTGCCGTCTGCCGGAGCCGTCATTCCATCCCGCACTGCTCCACGCCTAAAACGAACTCCCAAAACCCTCCACAAGATCAGGAAGATCCAGCTGTTTTTATTTTTGCGTTTTTTTGTTATTTTATTGCCTTTTTTTATTTCTTAATTTCTACTGCATGAAAATAAGTCAGTTTGCCTCCTGATCGTTTAAAGTCTTTTGTTTTGCTTGTTTATTTTGATTACTTTGGAGTTGGAGTAATCTCCCTCCACTTATTTTATATTGCTTTAAGCACAAGGCTTTGCAGACAGCAAAAGCCAAAGGCCTAGTTCGACGACCTGCTTGACGACTACTTTTTTTTTTTAAAGTTATGCCTGAGGGTAGCATTGAGCGGCCCCTCTCCCCTCTTCTCCCCAGGGATTGTGGGCACGAGTGCCGGGTTTGCGGTGTGACGGTAGTGAGCCTAACTGAGTACGCCGACCACATCTCCAGCCCTGTGCACAAACAGCGTGTTGAGGCCCGCCAACGGCAGGCCTCCAAGACAGACCAAGATGAGGAGTACTTTGACAAGGAGATGGTTGAGCTCATTGAGAAACGCAAGGAGTTCATCAGGTGAGGGGGTTTTGTTTAAGTTTATATTACTGCACGTTTGTCATGTGGTGTTCTGTATTTGTGATTGTATTTCACATCATTTTTTCCATGTTTTCTTGGGAGCATATTGTCGCTGTAGCACAGAAACCTTGTATCTCTGTTTTTGTCGTTTTCTACTTTTTTGTAGAATTTGAAGACCCCAGTTACACTTTGCATTTGTTTCAATTTTGTGAAGGAAGGCAAAAATAGAAGCGGTCTAATATTACTTATGATAAATCTTGTTACATTACCTTCTATTACAAATTAACATTTTTCCTTCTCCTTTAAAGTTACCATTTTGTCGATACAAGGTTTTGCTCAAACAACATGTTTCTTATGTTTATATTATTTTTAATCCATACACTGCCTCCTCACAGTGTCAATTAAAACCCTGTAATATGAGCATCTTTAATGTGTTTAGTCACATTTGATTCTGATTCTTTTGGGCACCTATCAAATATGTATAGTATATTAGCTGCTTTGCAGGTAGCTCTTCCTTGTAAGTGTTCTCTAAGCTTCCTGACAAATGATAGATATCTCTGCATATTATGTATCAAATATATCAGTAGTCACAGTCACCTTAATAATCAAAATAATCATACTTTGGTCTTTATAAGCATTTTTTTTCTCTGCTTGTCTCTGTACCTTGCCACATGCTGTCAGTTCTATATTAAACTGAACTCTGCAGGCTGGAGTCATGTATCAGGAAGCCTAAAACAGCCATGACTGTTCTCTCACACTCTAACCCTCTCCACACCGTGCACTTACCACTAGCTAACTCCAGCAGAGTAAGAGCTGACAGTCCCTTTATAACCTGGTGTGGTCCAATCTCGGGGAGTGTTGTAGTTTTTCTTCCTTGTTGCACTTACTGTAGGCTAATGACATGGTTGCATGGTTGGCATTCAGGCCACCACCCAAATGATCAAAGATTGTTGTAGTAAATCAGTGTGATCAGTCTGAAATTTCAACCTAAACTTGAGTTGCTCTCTTCCAGCATTGCAAGGAGTCTGGATTTACAATTCTGCTGTGTCATTGCTGTGAATATCTGCATTGCAGCAGAACACTGTAACCAATGAAGAAAATGTTGTGCTGTGCTCCATTTTTGTGGTCAAAGAAAAAACACACTCTCAAAACAGCCATGACTTCTCACTAACATTCTCTTTAGTTCACACTATGCTCTTTCTACTGGCCAACTCTAATAGATTAGGAGCTGACAGTCCCTGAATAACTTTGTGAAACGAATTCTCTGAGAAGCTTTTGATCATATTTTCGCTTGCTGTAGCCTGATAAGACTCTAGGCTGTTTGTAACTGATTTATGTGGTTAAGAATTTGAAATGAATGCTGCCAAAGCAATTAGCTGACTCTAAAATGCTTGTAAGTGTTTGAAAGGTTTGGGTATATTAAATTAGTCATCCTGTAGTATTTAAGGATGCAGACTCATGAGATGATGTCAGCATCAACATGACTTGGTACTGTTGATGACAACAATTGTTGGCAATAAGTTTTTAGTTAGATTGATGCATACCTGCCAGCTTCACTATGTTGAGAGAGGGAAAAAATTTGAAAGATGTTGGAGGCTGGATCTGTTTAAGTCTAACAGTCAGATTATTCAAAGCAGTAATTGCCAAGGTATCAAAACAGTTCTTAGTTGCAGGAGTTGTAGGAGTGGTGTGCAGTTGTCAAGTAAAAGTTGACCCACAGCTGTTCTGTCACATGCAAAACATTATCCTCCAGTGAAGACCCCTTGAAGTCCTGTCCTCTGAGGGATGGTTAAGGGAGTGTCTCATATTTCCATGTGCAGATCACACAACAGTCTATGTTTGCTTCTGCTCAGTGTGTAATTTTTTTAATCTATAGGTATTTTCTCTGTATGAACAAAATCGATTTGCCCATTTGATTTTTCAATTGTCTTCTTAATTTTGGACTCCCATAGGCAAGAGGAAGCTTCAACAAAGAGAGTCAGGGAAGAACAGGAGACGATAAGGAAGTGGCAGAATTTGAAAGAACAGTGGTCAGATCAGAGACAGTGGATGCAACAGCAGGGTGTCCTCTGGGGCAGACACAACCCCAACTTCCCCCAGTCACCCCGAAACAGGGGAGCCATGAACTGGCAGGAACCACGGGGAGGTCCCAGTCCTCACCGTGGAAACTGGAACAGCCGGCAGAACAGGAGTGCTACATGGCATGCCGAAGGACCCCCTGACCTGCAAAGATGGGGATCCTTAAATGGCCGAGGAGGCAGCCTGCATAATCGAGGAAACTTCTGGGGAAGCAGACAGGGCAGCTATGGGGGTTTCTCTCCGCAGCAGAAAAACCAGCAATCATGGCCCAGCAAAGACGGCAGTCAAGGGCACTATGAAAGAAACAGTCAATTGCACTGGCAGTCCTCCAAAGATTTTGGCAGTAACATGCAACTGTCCAACAGTGCAGTACCGTCCAGGATACATCACCACCAGAAGCCACACAACAACTTTGAGAACCAGAAAAAGGGCTGCCAAGGCCAGGAAGGCTCTAGTGGAGAGAACGATCGTAACAAAGGTAAAGGCCCTAAGCCGGATAAAACCTGCCGCTGGGCACCATATCCTCCTGCCAAGCTTGGAGATCCTTCATCTCAAACTGATACCCAGCCTCCTGCAGAGAAAATGCATTTTGGATCTTCTGAACATGGTAAGGCAGCACAGTCCCAGCCAGATCTAGGGAGTAGTCTGCATGGCACCTCTGAAACTCAACATGAGGAGCAGCAGCAGAAAAAGCAAAGTACAACCTCCAGTAAAAGCAGTGGAAAAATTCACTCGCACAGTCAGACATCTGCATCCTCTTCTTCTTCATCTTTGTCCACACATAAGACAGAGAGGCCTGCTAAGCATTCCGATAAAAAGGGCTCTGCTAATCCTGGGTTTGTGACCAATCTCAGTCGAGCAGCAAGTCAAGACTCTGTCAGCTCTAAAGCTTCAAAGCATTCTCACTCAGGCTCTCAGACTCCACGAGATGTCTCCTCTGGTGCAGAGCAAGAACGCCTGCTTTCTGAAATGCTACGCAAAGCCAAGGAGACCTTTCTGGTCAAACAGGGGTCTGAGGAAAAGTCTGCCTCAGAGGACTGCTTCAAAGAAACTAAGCTACATATTGAGGAAGATCTGGGAAGTTCAGAGCTGAACAGAGAGAAAGGACAGTTTGAGAGCAAGAGGAAGTCAAAGGAACACAGTGGAAAGGGGAAAGCATTTGCAGACAGAAACATACAGCAGTCCCTCAGAACTGAGGCTGCTGTGCTGTCAAATAATTCCACCCTCTCACTGCAGTCTCTGCAGGTTAGCACCTCCACCATGGACCGTGAAGATGAAGAGGAGTGTGGTGAAAGAGAAGAAGACAGCATACAAGATCAAGTGATGCAGGCAGTGGATGAAGCATTGTGCTCCGACAGTGAAGGCTCCCGGAGCAGCCACCTCCAGTCTGTGGCAGGCTGCTCAGTACCTCCGCTAAGCAAGCTAGCCTTGCCTGCCTGTCTCAAGCGGGACCTGAATCGGCACATTGGCACCAAGGGCAAAGCAGTTGCACATGAGCCCAACCTGAACATTGCCCGACGCATCAGGAATGTGAGTGGCACACGGAAGAGTGAGAGTGAGAAGGACACGGGCCTCAAGCCCACACTCCGGCAGCTTATCAGCTCCTCCGCCTCCAGGAGGAATGTCAACTGGGACCAGGTGTACCAGGAGGTCCACCGCAAGAAGCAGGAGCAAGGCAAGGGCATGCCCAGGTAAAATCAGATTAGTATGCTTGTTTTGTTTTTTTGTTCCAAGCTTCCGAAATCATGACCTCAGCTTAAAGGGCCCAAATCGTGTAAAGCAGAAGTTTCCTTGCGTGTGTTATAGTAAAAGAGTTTGTTATTGTTAATATTGTTAGTTTAAAACGTATCATTCACTTCTCATTGCAATTAAGCTGCAAAACCAGCCTATTTTTAAATTCACTGTTTTTGTAAACCCACACATTTCACAAGGACCCCAAGAAATACAAGCAAAATATACAATATGGATCCTTTAGAGCAATGATTCAGACAAAAATCAGACTTCCACATTTTTCCATTACACAAGATGTAGTCAGTCAACCAAGGCATGGTCAGTGCCTGAACTTGCTTCTGTAGTTTTATACTGGAGCTGATATCTAAAAAGATATCTAAAGGTACACAATAAAATGAAAGCTTGATTTCCATAGCTGTTTTAAGCTATTTTACATACTTCTGCTTATTTTTATAGATAACAGCACATTATACATTATCATAATCCACATAAGTGAGTCTATTTGATGTTACTTAATAGCTTATTATGGTTTCAAACAAGTGTGTGATGATTTTGGCATGCTCTCTGCCAGATGCTAACTGATGGCTATTTATTTGATTTGATTGTTTCGAGTGATCACTTGTGAAAATCATTTATTGGATGTTAATCACATGTCTTTCTTCAGGTTCGGCATAGAGATGGTACCAAATGAGCCAGATGGGCCAAGCCACATGGAGGAGGACGATGCTCCTCTCTGTGAGGGCTTTCACTGGGACTCTCTGGTTGACTTTGGTGCAGCGTCTGTACCTTCACGCAAACGCAGCATGTCTGAAAGCAACATGGTCATCGATGGCAGTGCTGCCTCCTGTTCTCTGCTCAAAGCTGGAGAACCATTGAGGGAGACCTCTGTTGGGGGCCAGCAACACAGCTCCAAATTGAGGCCTCATTCTATTCAGGCTCTCTTAGAGGATGATAGTGAGGGTCAGAGGGATAACGAGAGACTAGCCCAGGCCAGTGCACACATGGATGCAGCAAGTGCAAGTGGCCCTGCCCTGGACCAAGAGCCTGTAGATGGGGACAGTAGCTGCATGTCAGGAACTGAACTGAATGACTGGCAAAATGGAGGGAAGAAACGCAGAGCGGTGGGGGTGAGTGATACACATTATTCAGGCTGTCACTGTATATAATCAGGAATGGATTGTCATTATGTGTTCCTGTTCTTTGCATTAGGATGTTGCATCTCCAGAAATTCCTAATTCTGAAAGGAAAAACAAGAGGCTAAAAATCAAGCCTAAGAAAGGTATGTGTGAGCTTGCTTCAGTGACAGGAGTTTGTGGTCTAGCAGTAGTTTTCTTAGCTGTATTGTTTTAATGTAATGTCTTGCTGTTTAGAACGCTCTCAGTTGGATGAGTTGTTGGCCGTCTCTCTTCGCGAGGAGGAGTTGAACAGCTCTTTGCAGGCAGTCGATAACAGTTTGATCCAGGCTCGAGCTGCCTTGCAGTCTGCTTACATGGAAGTGCAGCGCCTGCTAATGGTTAAACAGCAGGTTAGACCTCATGAAGTTTTTCCTAAGTCATTTTTTAAATTATTGATTAACGATTACTCTTACTTTATTTATGTTTGTCTAATTACTTCAAAGGTAACCACAGAGATGAGTTCCCTGAGAACCAAGCGTATAGAGATCCTGCAAGGGTTGCAAGGTACAAAATTTGGACAGTGTGTTTTTCAAATTGTTTTGCTAGGAGTTTTGTTTACAGCAGTCTCAAGGGTCCGATAAGGGAGAACAGCCATTTATTTTGCTGTTTTATTTTATTTTATTGCCAGATGGACCTGAGTCTCCACAGAGAATGAAGAGCTATGATGAGAACTTGACTACATCACTCCTGCCTTCATCCTTGTCGGCCATGTCTGAACATGGTGCTAACCCTGGTAACTTAGCTGCTTCTTCTTCCTTCCTTTCACCATCCGCCTCTAGCCCGCTTGCTGTTGTTGTCAAACAGGAGCGCTTGTCACCTGTGGCCCTCACGCAAGAGCGAGATCACACAGACAGCCCTCTACCTGGCCCCCACAGTACCACACCAGAACAAGTGACAGCTACAGCTTCTGAGACAGGTGAGGGGTCTTCCACTTGAGGTGAACCATAGTCTATCTCGCTTCCTTGCTTTCTTTTGTAGATCAAGGACTTTATAAGTCACACTCTCACTCACACAGTAACTACCTTTTGTCTAGCAGGCTGAAAGATCTCCAAAAGTGGAAACTATTAGCATTCAGATACAATTGAGTAGGGTCTCATTAATGTGTGTATGTAACCGTTATAAATTGCATGTATATGTAAAAGTAAAGTAAATGGCCAAAAACCAAACTACGTACGTGCACAGATGCAGTGTACATTCAGTGCTGGGGCTGCTGAAATACGACACGTTTTTACTGATATGGAATATGTTTACACAGTCAGATTAGCAATAGCTAGGTTATGGAGATGACTACAGGCAGTGACATATCTTTGCCTGCCTTTCATCTGCGCTTCCATTTGTCACTCTCCTAGTTACCTGCATTGTAACATTGTGACATTAAGGGGTTCACTGGCCATTAATCCATATCTCCTGCTGTTTGAAACAGGTGCCTCCATTCAGTGCAGCCTTATGGCAAAAAAGAGTCATAAGGATATGGAATCTGCCCAGGAAAGCACAGGGATGTCTTTGAGCGGCATCTCTTCAGACCACAAGTTACAGATGTCCCCTCTTCCTCAATCTCGCCGGGCCTCTCAGGAGCCAGTGCTGGATCCTTCCTCTCCCCCTGCCAGCGTCCCCCTTAACCCCCTCTCCCCTAAGCCTTCCCCACCTTCTGCTGTCCAGGAAGCCAAGGCTGGGAAGCGTGTAAGGAAAGCTGAAGAAGAAGAGGGCCCTCAGGAAGGCTCAGGGGAGCGAGCAGGCAGATATCAGCGACTCAGAGCTGGATGCCGATCAGCCCATCCGACCACTCCGCAAGCTGCGAACCAGACGGCGGCCCAGCGGTTCCTCTCTTCTTGCTGCTGAGGAAAAAGAGGAGAGCATGGAGGTGGCAGAGGCTCCAGATCCTCCACAATCACAGGAGCCAACAACAGCCCCTACTGAAAAGGAGGCCCAGGACACAGAATCTTCAGAGCTGGAGATGGTGGAGCTCCCCCAGTCCGTGCCCACAGAAGTGGTTAATCTGGAGACATCTGACCCAGACGAGGGTGTCCAAGAGGACATGAGCCCTGCTCAAGTCTCCAAGGAATCTGCTGCTCTGAAAACAAGACCCCAGAAGCTTGCCTGCAATGAGGTCACCTCCACCAGTGAAATAGACACCAGCAGTGCAGTCAAGAGCAGTGGAAGGTTGGTGGCGGTGTCTTGGAATCTGTTTTGTGGTAGCTGTAGTTAAAAGTATTATAGGTAAATCCCTGAAGTATTTGGTTGTCGTATGAATCAGCATCCGCCTGGTCTTTCCAGAAATGTGAAGGATTCTTGTTCCTAAAATGTCTCATTTTTGTGTTTGCAGTGAGAAGAAATTGGCTGTGAAGGAGTCCAAGGTGTCTTCAGGTAGGCACTTCACATTTCCAGGTGAACATTGGCTTAATTGTACGACGTAGACATTCTTAAAATTATTGGTATTTTTAAAATACTTGACCTTACAAAATCATGGCTATGTATTCCAACAATGTGATGCAGTAGATAAGTTTAATTAGAATATGTAAGAATATGGTAAGTTCTTAACTCATGAGTGAATCGACTAAAATAGATACGCAGTGTATTCTCCTGTTTTATGAGTTGTTTTGTGTTCTTAAAGAGCATCCCCTGATTCTCTAAGGCAGACACAACTAAACCCATATCATGCAGTCGAAATTAGAATGCTAACACTTTCAGCAGACTAAAATAGTTCACCAACTCCCTGAATTACTTTTTAAGGGCAAGGTATTCTTAGAGCCTGATATTTTCCTAGATCTGACACCACTGGCCCTGCTTCTGAGAGTAGCCCCTGTGATAACAGAGTATGATGAATGTACAGTCATTTTGCATACTCTGTTGAGATGTTCAGTTCCTTATGAGGATTTCAAGTGTAGGTTGGAAACTTAATTGACTCAAAGTGGAATGCCTTACATGTGGCAGACTTGTTGCATTAAACTTTCCATACTGCCTAGTTTTCGATCCCTAAACTTCGTTTCTTTACATATAAGATATTAAACATACTACATTAAACAGTATTTTGGCCATACAAATTAAATGTCCCTTTGGCTACCCTAAACTATATTTTCCTGAATCAATTTGCTATTTATTTCCCGTTTTTCTGTCAAGATAAATAAATTCTGTGAATAACAACCTTCCATCAAAAGTATGTGACTCCAGCATGCCAGATTAAAAAGCATTTTAAGCTCATGGAAGTAAAGAGGAACAGTAAGGTAAGAAGTTAAGCTACAACAGGGAAATGCAGGTTAAAAGTGGAAGGCAGGCTGTGAGAACCTGAGCATGAGATTTGAACCTGACCTGAGCTCAGCACATATTTGGGAATGTGACCAGTCGGGTTTTGTCGGGTTCGGACAGATGTTTGAAGCGTTGCTGTATCTTAATGGTTACAGTGGAAAATACACTCTATGGCTGCCCAGAATGGCTGTTGTGTTTGTTAGACTGATTTTAAAAGTTGTTTGTGGGACCAGTAGTCTGGCTATCCACTGAGCTAAAATCTTTGTCTGTGTTCATCAACAGTGTTTTGAATAGGCTTTACACAGAACATTCAACAGACTTTTCATGTGCTTGTTTGTGTGTGTTTTATCAGATGCATCTTCAGACCCAGGAGAGGAGGACGTTCCCACTGAGGGCTCATTTGAGGGCCATCAGGAGGCAGTGAACGGCATGCAGATCCATAATGGCCTGCTGTTCACCTGCTCAGGAGACCGCACCATACGAGCCTTTAACTTGGTGGTGAGCCTCAACACAGACACACACACACAGATCCAGTACACTCGGCGTTTTTCATGTGTATGTGGACAGTGTATACCGCATATACAACTATGCATTGTATGTTGCAACACAACAACCCCTTGAACCCTAGATTTATACATTGTCAATAATCTTAAAATGCTAAAAATGATTAAATATGCATAAAAATACACATTGGTCAATCATTTTTATAAATTATTCAGTAAGTAGTATAAAACATTTATGCAGTTATGTGAGTGAGTAACCAAAGTCTGGACCCATATGTGGGCCTGTAGGGCTTAGATGTGCTAGTGGAAAAGTGGTGGACCCTACATCAGGAGGTAAAAATCTGAATTTAATTTCACTAGTACAGACTGAGTTTATAGATGATTCATTACTGTGTTGTTCTGTGTCTTGCAGAGCCGTAAGTGTGTGGCCGTGTTTGAGGGGCACAGTAGTAAGGTGAACTGCTTGCTGGTCTCATCAGGGCCTGGATTGCAGCAGCATCTTTATTCCGGATCCAGTGACCAGACCATCCGCTGCTATAATATCAAGGTGCATCCCTTTGTTCCTCCTTCTGTACACTGCACCCACTGATGTTGACTTCCTTGCAATTTTGTGGGACTTAGATTGTCATTTTTTCAGTTTAAGCATGTACTCAAGTGTACTCAAAGTCTCAGAACAAATACTGTGTTGTTGACTGTATTGCTGTGTCTCTCTCAGACACAAGAGTGTGTACAGCAACTCAGTCTCCCTGATCGTGTGCTCTGCCTTCACAATCGCTGGAAAGTGCTCTATGCTGGCCTGGCGAATGGATGCGTGGTTACCTTCAGCCTCAAGGTAAACGCTTCTGATTTTCTCCTGCTGAGGCAATTATTCTCCTTCCATTTTACTATATTACCATCTGCTTTAATGAATGTGTAGTACCATTTGATCAACTACTGTGTAAATGTGTGAGGTAAGCTGTGAGGTATGTGTTATGTGATCTCTTCCTGCAGAATAATAAGCAACTGGATGTGTTTGAGTGCCATGGGCCACGGGCAGTGAGCTGTCTGGCCACAGCGCAGGAGGGTGCTCGACGTATATTGCTTGTCGGCTCCTACGACAGCACCATCAGTGTAAGGGATGCCAAGAGCGGCCTGCTGCTCCGCACTCTGGAGGGACACACCAAAACAGTGCTCTGCATGAAGGTGCTTGAACATCTTCCTTGTGTTATTTATAGCTGCTGTATCAGTCCAAAAGTGGGACAGTGATGATAGAGCATACATTTTTCATAATCTAAAAGATTTTTCCTTTGTATTTTATGTCCGTAAGGTGGTGAATGATCTAGTGTTCAGTGGATCCAGTGACCAGTCTGTCCATGCACATAATATACACGTGAGTCTGTTATTTCAGGAAGTGCTACATTTGTGTGTGTGTGTGTGTGTGTGTGTGTGTTTTATCTTTTTAGTCTTTGTGAGAAAATATGCCTCACAATTTTGGATATTCTGGTCATCACTGTTATGTGTATGAAACCTGCAGACGGGTGAACTGGTGAGGATCTATAAAGGCCATAGCCATGCTGTCACGGTGGTGGCCATATTGGGGAAGGTGATGGTCACAGCATGCCTGGACAAGCTGGTCCGTGTGTATGAACTACAGGTAAGAAGCTCACAGCCATGTCTAGTGTTTAAAGTGTACGAGTGTATGATTGCAGTAATTTGAAAGCGCTAAAGCTTGCTATGTTTGTGATAATTGTTTACCAATTTGTTTGTATGGTAGTGACCAAGATTTTGGTGTTGCCCACAGTCTCACGATAGGTTGCAGGTGTATGGTGGACATTCAGACATGGTGATGTGCATGGTCATCCACAAGAGTATGGTAAGTATCTCTGAGGCAGCATTCACTAAGCCCTCTCCACTTTCTAGCATGTTTACAATGTATATTGCCTTAGAGAATTCTGCTCTTCACAGCATTGTTGTGCTGATCTGTCTCTCCCTAGATGATGTCAGTGTTCTGTAACAGATGAAGACAATTTATTTTGAACAGATTTAACATTCTGGTAAATGTAGAGAAAACAAAATACTACTAGTAACACCAAATCCACTTCCCAACTCTGAAGCTTGGTGGAGGGAGTGTAAGTGTATGGAGCTGCTTTGCTGCCTCAGGGTCCTGAGCAGCTTGAGATATTGATGAATCAACAAATTAGCATTGTACCATGATGTTGTACAGCAAAATGTCTTGGCATTGACCTGTGATCTGTGATTTAAAACTCAAAGGAGTATGGGGTAACTCAGTGTGATCCAAAACAGGGTGGAAAAAGAGGCTCAAACAGTAGGAATTCCATATCTTTGCAATCTTAGTCATTGTAATCTTAACATTTGTATCAGCATCAAGAGTTATAATGCACTATGGTGAGTTACAAACCCGTATTAAAGTCATTATAATATTATACTGTATGCTCACTATAATACTACTATATTTCTGCCTCACTGTGCTGTAGATCTACACAGGCTGTTATAATGGAAGTGTGCAGGCTGTCCGGCTGAACCTGATCCAGAACTACCGCTGCTGGGTAAGTCACTGGCCTGTCAAGAGAGTGGCCAGTGTATACTGGATCTTGCAACAAGTGACCAAGATAGAGACTACATGTCTTGTTAGTGCAGTTAAACAAGAGAGTGTAGCACAATACATTAAATTACAATAGAGTAGTAGCCAACAGGGCAAAACTATGCCCAACTAAGCCCAACAATAATCGTAATTATCCCACAGTGGCAAGGCTGCTCTCTGATCTTTGGTGTAATGGAGCACCTGCAGCAGCACCTGCTGACCGACCACACCAGCCCCACGCAGCAGACGCTCAAGTGCCGCTGGAGGAACTGCGACTCCTTTTTCACATCTCGCAATGGCTCCAAACAGGTACTGAAACAGCTTAAAGTTTTAAGTTTCAAGATTTTTTTAATGGGCATATCATGTAAAATTGAACTTGATTCGCTTTTTGTTTTAAACAGGGGTTTGATGTAATAGGTAAACATTGTTAGTACTGAGTTGCAGCATTTGTTTGAGCATATGTGTGTGTGGGTGGGTGGGTGGATATATAGACACATTTCCATTTGCATCAGTCCATCTCAGATGAGCTTTAGTCTAGAGAAGTCAGTAGCGTTTCTTGAAGTTGATATATGGATTCCACTTTACATAGTCTTTACTTGCATTTGTAAATGCAGCAATGAACTGTGTTTTCCATGTGGTTACAGTTATTACAGAAGTATGTTAGTTTTATTTTTTTAGTTTTATTTTTTTGTTAGATGAGCTTTCATATTTGGTTTTTGGCTTTGCCCTTTACACCCAGAGAATTCTCGATATTCTTTGAGTCTTTTAAAAATGTTCCAGTCTGTAGATGGTAAATTCCTTGCAGTCATGCTTTGAAAACGTTCTTAAACTGTTGGACTGTTTACTCATTTTGTGATTGCCTTTTGTGAATCATGATTGCACAATCGTCAGTCTTTCTTTGCCCCGTCCCAATTTTTTTTAAATGTGTTGGAGGCATCACATTTGGAATTAGCGTATATTTACCAAAAATCAATAATGTTTATAAATTAAAATATTAAATATCTCTCCTTTATGCTGTTTCCAATTAAATACCTGTAAACCAGTTTACAAATTGCTGTTTTCTGTTTTTAGTTTTTTGGAATTGGGTTTTAAACTGCATTTATGTTCATAAGCATGGAGTTCTCCTTCAACACAGTGTGGGTTTCTCTTATCTTTCTAGGCAGTGCAAGCTCACATGCAGAAACACGCAGAGGAGGACAGTAAAATGGAGCCTTGAGGGGCCTTTGGAGCATCCATCTACCTGCCCAAATAACCCCCCTCTTATCCCATATTGGGAGGATCTCATCTATGCCTCAGGATAGGAGCTATTTCCTTGTGCATTTTTTTCCTACATGTTCAGATACTAACAGCTATTATCTGAGCGGCAGAAGACAAGCTACTGTGGCAGTTCTTCATGCCACCTTTGAATACTGAGGATTTGCAGGATTTTAATTTTTCACTGAGTAATTGTTTATATGTGAAAGTTGTTTGTCCGTTAACAACTTTTTGAAAGAGCACAGTAGGCTTTTATCAATGTCACGTCATTTGATTTGCCTGCTGTACAAGTTTTAAGGCTTTTTGGCATCCAAAGATTCTTCAGTTTATTTTTTAGTCCTTCCCTTTCACTGGATTTGCTGGTATGACAGTGCCAGTTTAAACATTTTATCTTTTCTCTTTTCCATGTACACTGTAATCTTATCTTTTTATCTGAAGCCTGGCTGAGTATGCATCTTTCTTTTGTACTGCCATAGCGTAGCTCTGTCATTTTTCAGAAAAAGATAGATATGTACAGGTAAATGGATAACACAGCTCTCTGTGAATCCTCCTCTTCCTGCTTGTCTCTCACCTGGTTATGCACAGTATTATCAGCTCTGAGATTCCATGACCAAATAAAGATGAAAACGCTGTACAAACTTTGGGACAGAGCCAGAAGAGTTGTTGCTGATGCTCCCCAGCTGAAAACGTTTCGTTCACTACTCTGTATGGCATGGGTTCAGGGATGGTCTTTGTTTAGAGTGATTTGAGGTGTGAAAGCATGGTACTCGTGTCTTCTTGAGCAACCAGGTTTTGTTTTTTTACTAGAGAAGTATTTTCTGAAGATCCTCTCTTCCTCGTAATTCAGTTTCAGCTCAACTTTGTTAGGGATACCATTTTGTGACAGTTTTATGTTCAAAATAGTCTGTTCAAAATGATTCATTTAAAGAAGTTATTATTCTCATTAGCAATAACATTTCTGAAGAGGGAGGGGTCAAACGTTCTTTTTTTTGGTTTTGTTTTTTGTTTTATTTTCTTCAAAACCTATCCTTTAAGCGGTTTTACTTTTTCCCCCACTAATGTGGATTCCATATATATGATGTGGGGTTGTTTCCTGTTTTCATTTAAGCATTGTATTTCCTTTTTTCTTTTTTTGTTCTCATTACTTGGTGTGGTTGCTCACTGATACTAAGACAAAGTGGAGGGATTGCTGGTTTGCTGTGATTCAGAGATTGCAGTTCAAGGAAATGTGTTTACTATAATAGAGACGGATCCTGAAATGTGACGGTCTGTGTGCGTAACCTGTTGTGAGCATAATGTGTGGGAGTGTGCTTGTTTCTAAATAATAATACCATGAAATACTGTTGGTTTGCTTGAGTTGTTCCACGGTGAGGTTCACATAATTGAGAGTTTTAAATGGACTGCCTTTTTGCATTATATATAAAAAAGGAACACATAGAAATTGTCAGAAGGGCACACAGTCTGGCTCTAAGAGATTTTATTTGACTGTGTGAGTGTTGGAAGTTGTTGAAGTTAATGTGGGAGGTGTTCTTTAGGGAGTGGAGAGCATAGTACTAGAATCCCTCTCCCATGCCATAGCACTCCACCATATATGCAGCATACAAAAGCACACACGTGCCCAGTGGTCAACAGCAATCATCTTAGTTTCATCAAGATCTGATTTTAAAATTGAGCCTCTTTATACTATCCAGTAATATCTAATCCACACTAATTCAGAAGGTTTTATTCCAGTATATGGTGACTTTTCCTTCATATTCTTTATGCTACTGGCATTTAGCCACAAGTTGTTCCTCCCAGTGTTTGCCTCTGACAGTACCTCTGTCTCACTTAGACAGTTGTGTGTAGCTGAGGGAGCATTCTGTCAACCTCTTACATGGTATTCCCAAGTTTCTCAGAAGTTTGTTCATTTCCAGTGATTACCTTGTTTCAATAAAAACAGGTTTTGTCAACGTGCCATGTTTAATCTTAATTCTGATGTGTCTGTTTCAATGAATTTATTATTAAAAAAAAAATCCAACATTATGATCCATGGAAAAGCACTTCAACCAAGAACTGCACAATCATTTATTTGGTTAAAAGGATTAAGATTTTGATACACTCATTTGACCAGAGGTTAAATTGGGAAACCACAAAAAGAAGCCTAAGTTCAACCCATATCCACGTCCACAGTATGCAGTGGAAACAAACCCCTGAACACCAGCTTCCGGCAGTAGAGAGTTCTGCGTTGCGGTAGCTTTTGCTGTTCCTTTCCTCTCGCTACTCATATTTTTCCATTAAACAACTCACAAACAAGATTGTTACATGCTTCTGGAAACAGAAAGGAATTAATTTTTCCACTGACAAAAGCAGAATAGCCTGAGACCGGGCACCTTATTGTCAAAGACTAGTGAACAACCATGATCTTTCCTTAAGTATATGGATTTGGTTATCACCAGCAAGTCGGGTCATGCCTACTTCTAGGTAAGAGAGCAAAGAAGAGATGAAAAACATACAGGAGAGGTGTATGATGAGAGATCTCTGTGAGGTACTGTATTGTGACAGAAAAAAAGAGGTTTCCTGTGTGGTTTTTGCCTGAGAAAAAGATAAGAAGGCCTAAAGAAGAAAATGAAAGAAGTATGAAGAATAGCAAGAGGTGACCTGAGCATGGAGATAACGGAAAAAAGTCAAGGTTAAAACAGAATTACTAAAGCTGAATGGTGCCACTGAGTAAAAGGAGAAAAGCAGTGTTGGGACACTGAGGAGACATTTGCACTGAAAAACCTTTAACCCGGTCTAAAAACTTCTTTCTTGCCTTCTTCAGCCTCTGAGATGAGAAGTTATGCCTATCATTGCTTGCAGACGCCATAACATCAGTCTCTCCAAAACAGAAGAAGGGATGTTGGAGTTTAGGGCTGATGCCTTTTTTGTGGAGACTGTGAAGGATGGTGTTAAGGTGGATGAGGTACGGAAGGAGAAGTGGCGGCATTCTGGCACACTGAGTGTTGAGGTAAAGGCTGGTGGTTCTGGTCCTGCTCCTTAGGCTCACCTGGATCCTGGGCTCGTCTAGGCATACATGGTCAACTGGAGCCACTAGAAGAAAGGAATGCATTTTTTTGCTGTCAAGAGCATGTTTTTAACCCGTGTACTGGTCAGACAGTGGCTTGAAATCTGACAGAACCCCTGTTCAAATTGTTTGGCAAAAAAAAATCATTTACACAATGTTGCCTTTACCCCAAATGCAAGGTTAACGCGATGAAGTTAGTGCCGCTAACAAGTAATGGAAGCTTATATTCCACAAGTATCATTGTGCTTGTTGACACACCTAAATCACACTTGCCCACTTATGTATAAAAATTCAGGCCTCAGAATGTCTGCTACTACTGTTTTAGCGATGTGCTACACATTTGTCCATTATAGATAACAGTATGTCATATATTATTAGCTTCTGTTACTTATTAGCTATGCTAGCCTTGTATCTCCAGTGCAAAACTAGAAAAGCAAACTTCAGACACCAGGCATGTCTTGGCTTTGATCGATTACATTGGGGCTCAAGGAAATTTTTCACTAACCTAAGCCTTTAAAGCTCCCCATGTGATGAATAGTATTAGTAATAATACCAGTATTAAGAAGTGTCAGCCTGAAAATGTCTTTTAATCCTTGAACCTCAGCCTTATTGTTCTGTCACTGGTCTTTAAAGCTGCACTATGGAACATCTGGGGATTTGGAGACCTCTCTGGTGGAAATGTGTAATTGCACACAACATTTTATAACATCGTTTGCGCTTTGAGACCAAGATGAGCAGATGAATCTGATGATTGCGAGCAAATTGAAAGAATCCCACAATGCACCTCAACAAGTAGTGTACAACCGATGTACCCCAGCGGTCAGGGAATACCCATAAAGTACTGTGTTGTTTGGTTTAAAGATTCATCCATGGCTTGTCTGAGTAGGATTACTGAGCCCAGCTACAATGGCAGCGTCTCCACAGACGTCTTCAGACAGATGTAAGTAAGCTCTTCTCATGTGTGCAAGTAAACTCAACAGGTAAGGTGGGCTGGTGGCATGACATTTATAATGTTTATGCAAAGGAATCTGCTATTCGACCGTAATGAGCAAACTTTTATAGTGTCTGAAATAGTTTACTACCATCACAAATTCTGTTTGCTGTAGTAATGTTCCTTGTAGTGATCCAGATTTTTAAATGTAGGTTATAGTGATCAGGGGACTATTCCAGACATGGCACTAAACAAGCCGGACCTTCTTTTTCAGCCTGTGTGTGCGACGTTAATATGTAAAGACGTATGATATAGTTTGAAAAACTCCTGTGAAATCTCACCTCTGACTTTTAAATTATTATTTCAGACTTTACAGGGTGTTTGCAGCAGCGAATGCACACCATATTTTTAGCGTGTTCTTTTTATCATGACTCAGTACTGCTACTTCTTTCAGATTTTACTAATTTGCATTTCATTTACATTTACGGCATTCGGCAAACGCTCTTTTCCAGAAGCTGATGCTCTCAAGCCCTGTCACTCCACCCACTAGCACTGACCTAAATGTTTGCATTAGTCTCCCTTTTTTAGACTTTAAAGGTATAAACAATTAATATATCATTTAAAAAACAGAATCACAAGGAAGCAAATGTCTTCACTGAAAGTCTTCAGTGTTCTCTGTATAATGTTTATAGAAGCTAACTGGTGAGGTATGTTAAGAAACTGGATCTTTCTGTGAGTCATGGGGGGGTTGGGCAAAATACTAAATGTATTCAGTAGTGTATTCTGTTACAGTACATAAAGTAACATTCAGAATACATTTAGAAGGTATCTTGATAAGCAACATGGGAAAATCTCTTTTTTTCCACACTACCTTGCTGTTACTGGTTGGCAGTTTTCTTTAATGTAATTATTTTATTAATATATTTCATGAAAAAAAATGCTTATTAAATTTACAAAAAAAAAATTCTCACCACCTGATTCAGTCCACTGCTACTCCCATAATCCCCCCAAGCACCAGTACAACACTAATGCTAAACTTACCACTCGCAAACATGTCCACTACTAAGATCATTAGTTTGCCTTCTGCCCAGTGAGTGCTAAACTCACTCGCTCCAAGTGGCTTAGATAATGTGTGTGTATTCTAAAACTATTCTCCTAAAAATGTAAAAGTTGACTGTATTCTGAATACTGTCTTTTCAGCCCTTTCTAAATATGTATACCCAATACTTATATTCCGTTACATCCCAACCCTTGTCTTGGGTGTATTGACACTTGTAGATATTGAGCCCCAGTGCAACTGACCCCCTGACCCCATTGGTAATCACTATGAAACTTATATGTAAGTTACATAGTTATGCGTTATGAGTGGGGATTTAAAATTTGGGTCCAATACAGACCATTAGGGTTTAAAGGGCAGCCTATATGTTATAACATGTTCATGATAACCCTATTGTCAGATTATTTCTCACCTCCAGTACAGAGAGCCTGATAGTGCCATCTCCATCCTGATCGAATGCCTGGAATGCTCCTGCAAAGAGACAAGTTCAGCTTTAGACAGAAACCACTCTTAAAATGTGTGGATTTGGATTTAAGTAGTAATCTGAACTTCAACCATAGGTCCAAGCCTTTTAGAGCCAAAACATCCATTTTTTTTGCATGTCATTAATAAGAACCGTATTTCTCGAGTTGGCTATTCCACTTACTGAACATCCCCTCCAACCGCACAAGACAGCTGATGAAGCTGTCAAAGTCGATGTTCATGTTCTCGTTGGCATAGCGCATGGTGATGATATCATACAGCTGGTTGTTGAGACGGAACCCTGAACGGCACACAAGACACATGACTGCACAATGACAAGTCCGTTAGATGTAATTCACATTCACAGCCACTTTAACATTATTGTACAGATGCTCAACATCAAGGAGTTGTTAGCACTGGCATTGCTGAATTTTGAAAAAAAATACTGATGCCTATGAAATGTGCCTTAACATGCCAAAATGTTACATGTTCAAGTGATCAGGCCTTTGACACATTTGTTTGAGAAAACAACCTTAAGCGGTGGGTCACTAAGACTTAAGTAAAAAAGAGAAAAGTGTAATTTTTTTCAAAAATCTAAATGACTCTTACCTGCATCATTGACAGCATTTCTCATCTCATAGCTGCTGATGCAGCCAGTCTGCTCAGCACCATAGTGCTTAAAAATTCCCTGCAGAAGAAACTAATCTGTAACTCTGTGCATACGTGACTACTTTGTACCAAAGAGGAAAAACTAGAAGACCCCAAACCTGCCACTGTTTGATCTTAATCCACAAGTGTCTAAACTCTTGTAGATTAAGTCTTCCAGTCCCGTCCATCTAAACAAATGTTATCAAGGTCAAACTACAGGCTCTGATACATTGTACTACATCATAAATATTCATGTAAGACGTGTCTTGTTGATCTTATTTTAAGTCTTTGACATAGTTGTTTATGTATTGACTTATGCACCTGTCACGCCCTCATCAACGGTCAGTTTCTGACCACAGGACTACTTTTGGCTGGATGTTTTTAGTTAGTGGTCTATTCTCAACCCTGCCATGACACTGAGGAGTGTAAAAACTCCAGCAACACATTTGTAATAGCACAACACATACAGTTGTATGCAAACGTTTGGGCACCCCAGGCCAAATGAACACAACCTCTATATCAAAGAATTTTTTTTACATATTTTGTTTCTACAACGTGGAAATCACTGTTACTTTATGTTTGATTAACTTAAAATAGTAATTATGGCATGTTAAAAGTTTGGACACCCTACTAAGTTACTAAGTACTTAGCAACACCCCTTTTGGCTGATATAGCTTGCAAATGGCATTTCATAGACAGCTAGAAATCTTTCTGTTGTTGTTTTAAGAATTTTCACCAATTCTCTCTTGCAGCATCCTTCTAGTTCTGTGATATATTTGGGCCGTATTACATGCACAGCATGTTAAAGATCTACCCACAGATTTTTAAAAATGTTTAAGGGGACTGTGAGCGCCATTCCAAAAGCTTCAGCTTGCATGTCTTGAAGTAGTTCATAGTAGATTTTGAAGTATGTTTTGGATCATTGTCCTGTTGTAGAAGCCAGTCTCTTTTTTGTTTCAGTTTTTTGCTTCCAAATTTCCTGATATTTAATGGGATCCATTCTTCCATATATCCATGCAATGCTTCCTGCGCGGCAGGCACAGAACACAACCCCGAAGCATGATAGATCCACCCCCATGCTTAACAGTTGACAAGGTGTTCTCTTTATCAGTTTTTCTTTAAATGTACCTTTGCTGTATGTGACCAAAGAGTTATATTTTTACTACATCAGTCCACAGCACATTTCCAAAATTACTCTGGCTTGCCATTGTGAGATCAAAGCATTTTAACAGTTTTTTATAGTAAAAAAGATCTAAAAAAATTCTTTTTTTATGTTTTTTATTTGTAAGCATCGATTAGTTTAATTTTGGGATCCCCAACCAGGTTATTGAGTGTCAGCACAAGGTTTGATTAGTCAGACAATTTATTAAGCTCTGGAATTGTCCTCAGCTCACAATTCCTAATGACAAGTACCACTCCTAATGACTTGATTAAGACCCACGAGTGAATTAAGTAATTAAGTCTTAAGACTTTACAGCTGGAAGTGTGTCTAAACTTTTGCACCTGCCACAATTATTATTTTATTTTTTCTATTTTGTAAATTAATCAATTACAAAGCAATGTTAGCCTGTGTTCTTTTCACTTCAAAAATCATAAATGTATGCAATTGACCCAGGGAGCCCAAACTTTTGCATATAGCTGTACTTACATAATATTACTATGGTGGGGTCACTGCTGTGCTGAGAATGGACCCAAACATTTGGCCAGCGGTGGTCCACTGATGGAGGGTGACTAATTGTGCTGCAACAGATGGGCTACAGTTAGTAACCATAAACCTACAAATTGCACATAAGTGGCAGGTGTAAAGTGCTAACTCTGTATTTATATGTATTTCAATAATATAAGTCATAATATAAGTACTATTATTCATTAGTCATAATAGTTACTTATGAATAACAATACTGATGATGCTGCATGTATAGATAGTCATGTTTCAAAAGATACATCCATGAGGGCAATCATGCTACGACAGCTCTCCAGACTGAAGCCTTCTGTATTCATCTCCCTCTCTGTAAAGGGCAGAAACAGTGTTGTAGAGAACTCCAGGAAACCAGACAGTCCATAATCACAAAAATATACTCACGCTCAGACACCACCCTGTTTAAGACATTCCGCAGTTCACTGGCCGAGATTTCCATTTCCTATAGAACCAGAGAAAGAACAGGACATTTATTAGCACCTTACTTTCAGTAGATTTTATTGTGGCCTTGGTTCTAATATAATCTGTGCTACTTCTAAAGCATGCAAAAATACTTATGCACCAAAACTCATTTAAAGAGCATAAGTCTGGATGCTTTTTACCAGTTCACTCCCACCCCAGCACCATACTCACTGTCCCCCCAGCGCTCCCTGGCTCCCCAGTACTCACGTCCCCGGCTATTTGCTGAAAAATGGTGCGGAACTGCTGGTCCTCCTCACTCTCTTCCCCCGCTGAGGCTGGAGCCGGCTGATTTTGTGATAGTGGTTAAGCAACAAAGGGAAAAGGACAGTTATAGGCTGCACATGATTTTTTTCAATTTAACTTGCTTCTCATCAGTGTTTTGTATATTTCAGTCATACATAAGCCCTTAAAATAGTTCTTCAAATGTTCTTTGGTAAATATATATATACACACATATATATATATATATATATATATACATAGAACCATGAACACTCAAAGAACCATTTGAATACAGAAATTGTTTCTTTGTATGGCTAAATTGTTCTTTTTTATGATGGAAAACGAGTTGTATATGGTTCTTTATAGAATATTTTTAAAATGGTTCTATATAAAAAGTGCTCTGCTATTGTTACAAGTCACTTTTTTGCTAAGAGTGTAGTCTTTCAAATGTTTATGTAATGTATATTCATATACATATACAAATCCTCTGCGTAATAGATAAGTCAGGGGATAAAAATGAAAGAACCAAGAAGGGGGTCTTGCAGCCATTTACTGCATTCCTTTGGCTGCTTTTATGTAGATGTTTTAGAGCCACACACATATTTTTTAAAAGTAATTTGGTTTATTGTATATACATTTAGACTCCTGAAGACCTCCTTGCAGATGCCAAAAAAGATGTCATTTTTTTTCATTTTCATTGACTACATTTATAAATATCAACAGCAGCAAAGAAATTAGTTCCATCAGGTTCCTGAAGTTTGGTCCTTGGCAGGCATGGCCTTGCTTAATCATTAGTAGGAGGCAATATATCTCCATCTTCTTCCATCAGCTTATTTTTAGCAAATGAAGTGACAGATTGATTGTTTGAAAGTTTGCATTACAATATTCTTCCTCTGTGTATCTGGAGAGTTCTAAAAAGTTCTACCAGTTTTTGAATTAGAATTTGCTCTAAATTCAATGGTAGATTTGTATAAGAATTTTTATGTGAAATGTGCCATTCTAGAGAAACTTGCCAAATCAGAATTGTTCATGATAGTGGTGATAGGAAGCAGACATCCAAATCATTTGACGCTTCTAAAAACCACCTCACAGAAAAAAATATTTTTTAAATCCATGTAGGGCAGAGACGTACATGTGGGGTGCAAAATAGTCCCCAAAGATTTTTTTCCAGATTTAGCACAATTTTACTATTATCAACATTATATATAAAAACTCAGAAGACAGATGTAGGTTCATAGTCATTTTGGTTGGGAAATAATTCAAGAAGACTTTCAGTGCAATACTTACCACTGGATGGTCAGCCTCGATCCTGTTCTCTATCTCCCTGAGTAAAAATCAACAAACACTGGTCACTAATAAACAAATAAACATAGAAACACAATTGGACCTGAAGGATGTATCTGCCTGTGTTCAGTAAAAGTTATTTTCTTTTTCTCCATTTAGTCAATTCACCTTACCTGTTCTCCTGGTCATAAAAGAGTATAACACTTGAATTAATTTTAATGTTCAGCATCTGTACTGAGCTTGAATGATATCATGTACTTACTGTACTGAACTGAGAATAAAAAGCATTTAGTAATCAATTTACTGCACACTGTACACCAAAAGCATGCTGTGTTCTTCCAATTAGCTTCAACTTTTCTCAAGAAATACTTTTTTCCAGTACAGGTTTTTCACTGCCTTGTAGTTGATCTTCAAGTGTGGGTTTATGGTGTAAATGGATTTGTTGCCCACATTTACCAAAAGAAACTAAAATGAAATCATTCCTGTCCTTAGCCATACCAAAACTGCAGCCATATAGTGGTTATAGCTCAAAACTGCAATCTCAGACTGTATTTTGTATGCTACATTATTAAAAAATACAGACGATTAATCTTCATAAATAGTGGTGTTGACAAATCTGGAAAAAAGTGCTTTAAACCACCAAAAAAAGTTAGAACCACCAAGCTATTCATGTTGAACCTGTAGGAAAAGATTAGCAGGAAGTGATCTTGCTCTGCTTTAGTATAACACCATCCTCATTGCGCCGAGGGAACGTAGTCACTTCTTTGGCCTCAGGCTTCAGCATCATCAGTGTTCGGCACAACTTGTCCTTCAGGGAGCTGATGTGTAATGGTTCATCACAGGGACATTTAGAACGAAAAAAAAGTGTTTACCGGAGCGTCCCAAATTGTGCTGTTGCTTGTCCTAAAAAAGATTCCATTACAGCTTCGAATTGGGGCCGATTTCTTCCAGCTCTACAAATCAAATTGCCGTTAAAATTGTTTGTCCTTGATGGGATTGTCCCCCCCAGCCCTTTCCCAGCTATTCCCATAGACCCAACTACCCACCCCTTTAAGAGAGCTGAATAAGTTACAGTGTAAGCTGGCCACTGTTAGAATTCAACATTTTATGGATATGTAATATATTTTGGTAAGAGACAAAGAGTAATAGTAGTTTTATGTAGCCATTCATAAGGCTATGTTTGTAGATGTTGTATCCAAGGACATGATTGAAAAGTGCAATGATTGTTCAATAATCACTAAGGACCTGATATGAACAATCATTGTGTTCACTGACTTATTACTTAATGTTGCAGGTAACTTATGAATGGCTTCATAAGTGAGGTAGAAAGAAAAAGAGTAACTTAAAGGAATATCCCAGGGTTTTTCAAAATCTGTAGCATGGTTAGTTACAGTGAAAAACTATTTTGACGTTTCCATGGACTGAAAACATGAACAGAAACCCTGTTTTATAATCAAATCAAATGGATGTGAAAACTGCTGGCGCATTCCTTTAAGATTTTAAATTTTACTAGTGTTGTGCTTCCTCACACAGCTATCCCTCCCACTCACTCAGAGGTGTTCCTCTTTTCGGAGAAGACACGGAGGATGAACTCGCCTTCCTGGTGGGGCTCATAGGTAGAGGGGACGATGACATACTCCCCTGGACTCAGCCGGAAACGCTGAGTCACCTCCCGCAGGTTAATGTAGGCTTTGCTACGGGCCTTAGAGGAGTTCAGCAGGAAGAAGTCCTTCTGCATGTGTTGCTTGTTGCCATGCATCTGATGGACAGAAACAAGAATGCAGAAAAACAACAAATGAAATGAGTCAGTATTGTGATATGGCTGACACATGACTGTTACGAGCAGTTGAAACTGGTAGGTAAAAGGTAAAGAAGGTAAAAGGAGGCAAAACCAATCCAGGACAAATGGTAAAGGGACGGTGTGGACAGTAGCATGCACACAGTGAGGTACACAAGGCACACTACTCATCCTCTACTGGAGAGAGAGCACTTTTAAGGGGTCCAAGCACTTCTCTCCAACACTTTTCCATACCTCCTTTGGCACCTACAGATAAATGGAAAAAAGTATGCTCTTTCAACTTGACGTATATCAGTCCTGTAACATTTTACCACAAAACTATTACTGACAGATAAAAACATTTTTTTATGTGATACTGTCTATTTTGGTCTAATAATCAGAAATATAAAGTTCATGCCTTTTAATGTCCTTGTCACATTGCACAAGGTGCAATTTAATTGTCTCATCAACATCTGCACAATATACACTAAATAAACATAATGCACCAAAAATCAAGTACCTCGTAGATGGAAAACCCAATATTGAAGAGATTGGCACCCAACTTGCGTTCTTTCCTTCTGTTTTTCTGCATGAGAGCCACCACAAAGGTGCAGGCTACCTCATTATCTTCTGGGTCATCATCCTCCTCCAGGAGACGCAAGCGATACTGTGGGTTTGTCCAGAAGGTGTCTAGAGTACAGATGCCCCCCCCAAACAAGAATTGTCTATTGTAATTTTACATAGGTATATATGTTTACCTTTACATAAGAGTACGTTTAACACAAATCAGCCTGGACAAAAGCTGCCTACCCGGATAATTCCTGCAGCCTCCAGCAGAGCAGCCCCTCACCCAGCGGCCCTCGTTCACAGACACAGTCCACTTGTGGAGCTTATCGTCATCCAGTGCATCAGGAGTCAAGTTACAGATCTCAAGCTTGGTGTAATTCTTTTTGAAATCATCAAAGGACATCCTAAACAACAAGGCTTATATTTTAAAAGCAAGTTCTCTATTGGGAAAAAGTAATCTGATGTAAAAAACAAACCAAAAAACAAACAAACAAAAAAATATAATGTACTAAATTTACTTGATTTACTTGATTTTTCTTGCATTTTATTTTGCTCTCTGAGATCCACTTACGACATTTGTCTTTGATATTTGTTATGTACCAAAAACATCCTAATTTGTTTTACATGACTATTTTCTAACCTCTCTTTATCCCTTAGAATTAAACAGGCTGTTTTTTAGACTGATAAATGTAAATGAACTCTGTTCTGATTGGCTGCCCTGTATTGTGCCTTGTAACTTCAGTGTGAATGGATGGAGCTAAATTGCTGCAGGATCAGTAGGTGGGTATATGTAAGTGTGTTTGTTTTCATGAAATCACAAAACAATGAATAACAGCCTGTTTTGATGTTGAGCTTCCATGCATGGACTGGGGAGTAAACAGTACATTTTGATACTTCAGTATTACAAACAACATTATATTAAAAAAAGTGAGGAAAGGTTTTGCATGACAAGGTGCCTTTATATGTGTACATCATTTCCACGTGAATAAAACTATATTAAATCAACACAATTACTGCCAAAAGTCAGTAAGCAGAAATACATTTTATACATAGACATATATTATTTATAAGATAATATTGAGTTGATGTAAAAATGATGCAGACATTGGAATTAAACAAATTAGGAATGTACTGACATGGGAATTCTAGTCAAGTCAAGTGGTATTTATAATAATTCCTCAATATAACTTGTATAGCAGCACATCACACAGGATTACATACAGTGCAGATACACAACAGTGTGAAATGAGTGCAGAATATAATACATTCTCCAGATAAACATACATGACAATAAATACATACAATGCTAATTAGACCACAAAACAATATATACGGATGAGCATCATATATAGGCACCAAGGCACCGATAAGTGGAGGAGCTACTGCGATCATTGTACAAAAAGTAGTGGAAATACTGGCAGCTTTCAAAAGAATAGGCAGATGCCAAAATTTTGCAACATTTTTTATGTAAATGCTAATAAGTATACATAAAATTCTATAAAATGTTAAAACTGAGACTACATCTACGTTTTTAACAAATATTAGTCAATACTAATGTGATTTAGTAGCATGCATCCTTCCATTTTTCCAGTGTATTCTCTTGGTTTTAGAAGTCATCATGATGCTTTATATATTTACTCACCAGAACTCTCCATCCTCTGCATTCTGATGCTGCAGTTTATCTTTCTCTGCCTTCGAGATGGTTGCCCACTCCTTTGAACTGCAATATAGAGAAATATTATTAATACTGCTAATGTACTGGTGAGAGCGATTAGCATAACCGAGAACAGTTTGCCCAAGTACACTGTTCAGATGATTTGAATGTCTTTTATTATAAGTCCTAATCTCCACATACTTATCACTCCAAGGTCCATTCCACTCCACTTGGCCCCAAGGGTTACGGAGACGCACCAGGCGCACTTTAGATTCCTTTTGAGTGTTCGGTTTACACTATAACCACATGTAGAGATTATTATAGTAGCTAATGCACACAGCTTCTACTAGAGTGATGTTCAATATCTATAGACTAACATGTAAAAATACTGAAAGTGACCACCAGTGACCCTTGAAAGGGCCTAAAACAAACCTCTTCCACAGCGGTCACAGAGTAGGCATGACCCTTCACCAGCCCTGTTGCAGTGCGGGTCTCAAAGCGTGCTGGGACCAAAGACTGCAAAAAAAATAATGACACTCATTGCTACACTGAGTCTGCAGGTAGATTTTAAATTGTTTTTCTTTCAAAGAACTATTTTGTCACCTTGTTTCAAAGAGGTATGGAGTCAATGTGTACGAACATATACAGGAAAAAACAGCTTCTATATTCAATGTAACTTACATCAATGGAGCAGCCCATTAGGGAGCCTCTCTCCAAGGCCTTCTTCATGATCTTATAAAGCTCCTTAGGTGCTTCCTTCATCTCATAGAACTCAGTCACTCCTCCAGTGAAGTCTTCCATAGCCTCAGTAGTGTTCCCACCCTTCAGAGCCTCATAGGAACCATGAAGCCTGAGTAACACAGCACATAATTGTTACAGTGAGACATCAAATTGGGATAGTCTAACAAATGTTATGTCTGCCCTGCGATGGACTGGCGACCTGTCCAGGGTGTTTCCTGCCTTCCGCCCCCCGCGACCCAGAAGGATAAGCGGCTTAGAAAATGTATGTGTGTGTGTGTGCGTGTATGTGTGTAACAAATGTTATCTCTTTAAGGTCCTAAACATATTTTAATTGAGAGCTTGTGAGAACATGCACCAGTGTTCACCATTCTATATAAAACTTCTGTCTTTACTAAAGAACCATTGAAGAACCATCTTTTTTTATGTGTGTAGCCGTACTTGGCATAGGCCTTCTCAAGGAGAGCGCTCCAGAACTCATTTCTCTCTGCAGACTTGGTGAACACCAGCTGGTTGTTGAAGGTAGGAATCCGATCATCAATGACGACATCCACCCAGTCCCCGTAACGCCAGAACTGATTTAACAAAATTGTGAAAAGATGTTAAAAATTTTGCCTTATTAAGCCTTTATGAAGATATGAAATTAGAGCAACTTTGATGTTTGGCGCCAACCTGGAAGTGGAAAACTCCAGCATAGTTGTCAGAAAAGCTCTGTTCCTGAGGAACAACCCGATACAAGAGCTTCTCGTTCAGAGTCAAGGAGGCAATGGCTGCCAGCAGCCAGCAGTCTCCTACAGAGTGTGGAGATAAAGTCAAACATACCATACTGAACAGAATAAATCCCTTGTGGAGTTGTGTGTCTATTCTACTGTGTATATACTTTTAGGTTATTCAGCTTGCCTTACAGAAATAGGAAAGAAATGGCATCATGTCAAGATTAGCCCTGGAAACATGAGTGATTTTTCACTTACAACCACCGTTTTTTCATGTGAAGACTCTCATTACATATTCTGGAGTCAAATCCTGACCACAGCTTTGGTCAACCTTCAAGGGCAGTTAGGTGTTTTTCTGCTTTTTTCAGAGTTGTAATAACAAGATGTCATTAGCATCACAATAAGAAAAACCTCATGGGAACACAAGCGATTACTTTTAAGAAACTAGTTTAAAATCTTGTCAGCTTAGAGATGGGCGATATGATATTTTAGCATTATTGTGATAAATTTTGTTATGGTGATAATAATAAGTGAATAAGTTGTGAATATGATCAACTGCTGCCTATTTCTGTATTTGGCATAAATCTTAAACCGACATAAACTTCTGACAATATAAAATTGTACATGTGAATTTCTGATACACTACTTTTCAAACATGAAAAAGCAAGAAAAATTGTCATTAATTAATCTAACATAGAAAATGTTTAGAGCGACTATTACCTAACTTACTATTACCTAAGCATACAGTAGTTTTTATAAACATGCAAACAATTCTATAAACACTGTTGTCTTTGAAAATCTACCCAGTAGACAAAGTTCCCCCAATTAAAGAATCACCTGCATAGTGTATCTTTTAGTGGATAACTGCCTCTGTTCAGAACTAAAAGCTAGTCTGCCAGAGACTGCAGAGATTTCTGATGACAGGGAAATTAAAATTGTTAGTTATATTATGTAGTTTTTCATGTGACCTTTCCAAGCTACAGATAGGTCTGAAAAATGTCACCACAGACAACTCAAAATCATGAGTAAACCTCAAAAATGTATAGCGTAGTTCTACCATTAAACACCTTCAACAATGCTCTGAATGGATTTTCCACAACATTCCCCCTAAACCTCTTCAACATTTCTAAATAAATAAAATAGAAAAAAGTAAAAAAAAAACATTTGATTGCAACTCAAAATAATCCATCAGGTACTCCAGAATTCATCTTCTGGTCAACAATCCACAGACTAAATTAAAGGAAAGTGCAGATATTTGTTTGCTTGTAACCCATTTGCACCAATAACAGGGGCCCACACAGCTGACCTAAGCACTTTTGAATTGTTCAAGGGAACGTGCCAGGGTTTTATCAGCTCTGCTACCTTTGTGTCCTTGGTCTCTTTTTATTGCCTGTGTAGAGGACAATAGGACAACAATAGGAAGCGCTGCTGGCTGGATTCCCTTCCACTAGAGTAGTCACAATATTGAGGGGCCCCTGCTGAACTGTGGACCTCAGAATGTAGCCATAAAGTTGTTCTAGGGCCCAGACAGGGCACTACAGGATCAAACGTTTTCTTACTGTAATTTACTGTCTTACCCAGGTCTCCCTGGCAGATGTCTGTTCTGCTGGCTCCTCCAACGATGAACTGTGGGTTATCACAAATGTCCTGTAGCACACAGACAGATAAGCACATTATCAGCACTGATATAGAAGCCAGAAGACATAACAAAGTCAAGCAGGTGGTTACATATGTATTTGTAGCAGCAGATTGACAGCAGAAGACCCCACAATTTATATGATGTCTATATGGTAATGATCTGGTATTATGGTAATGATCTATATTCTAGTTTCACTTATTACAATGTCATTACAATGTACTACACACTAGAATCACAAATATATACCAATCAAATGCAATGTAACATATTACAAAGCTGGGGTGCTGTTGTGTTATTAAATTGTAAGTAACTTGGTATTGGGGTGCTTTAACATATGGAATATTGCTAGCAAGCAGCTGTGCCAAGAGATTGCATGAAAAAAGCAACAGCTCCACCAAAAAAACAGAAAATAAAGCATAACAAAGCCTGCAGTGTTGGACTGTATGTAATACATCTCATTTTGCTTGAATTATTAATACAATTCTTCTTCAATATTTCTGCATATTCTTCTGTGAAGTATTTATCAAATTTTTAAACCCTCTTAAATACATTTTTGGAACCATCAGCTCTGTCCTAATCAACCTCTAATATCATATAAGAGGTCAACTATTACAAACACGTACATTTTCAAAATATCCATTAATTCATTTCACTGTGTTAAATCTTAACATTTAATACTTTATGTTGAATTCAGTGGCTCTGCCCAGGTGCTGCTCCTCATGCCTCCTACCTTGGGTCTTTTCCAGACAATGTTCTTGACCTTGTTGGACTTGTGGCCCAGCTCCTTGTAGCCAAGGGATTCCACAGTGGCTGGGAAGGTGTCATCCTCAAACAGAACCCTTTTCTGGAGGCACTCCTGTTTCACGATGTTAAAGTCCTGGCCACTGAATCGGAGAGGCTTGTTCACAGATCCTTCTCCATCCCTTCTCTCCCTCTCCCGGATCAACCGGTCGCAGAAAAAGCCAGACGGCGTGTAGGGCATCTCGTCTCACCAGGACAGTGGGAGCGTTTTTTTGGTGTTGAAAAAACTGGCTTTTGCCACCACCACTTAAGTCTTAGAAGCCTAATAACCCTGGCATAAATCCAAACTGCTGACCTCTGATTGGCTGTCCTGCTAAGTGACGCGGCCTTCACCTGGTCATAGAGTGGATGCCAGGGTTGGAGGGAAAAGACTTTCATGCGACACGCGTGACTATGCGAACTTTACCATGCGCACACACATGCGCAAACACACAAACATACACACATAGCTACAGTCTTCTCTTTGGACCGTTCCCATTGGCTGGAGAACAAAGAGCAGCGTGCTCTCGTGCCATCATTGTTGAGATACAAAGGGGAGCGGAGCTGCAAAGAGTAGCCAGTGGGATGGCCTGCCTCAGCAGAAGGCATTCAAGCCCTCTAAACCTGTTCTCAATGGAGCTCAGCATTGAGCAGTCTCAGCATTACCACAGTGGGCTAAGCCTGCAATGCTGCCCATCTGCCATGGCTCGGACTATGCCACCTCAACCAGACTCATTCCAAGACTCGTACGAGAGTGCAATGACAGATTAAGATCATACATGTTCGATATATACACATATACATATACATATATATATATATATATATATATATATATATATACATATATGCATACAACCACATTCTTGCAAGCAAACCTCAAGTTAGACCCATTTTTGAGTGATTTGCTTATTTTGGTAACAGAGTAGCTTCTGCTGATTAGTATCACAGAATATCAGATGGAAAGGATCAACAATCTTGTCATTAAGGCCTTCTCTAAGCAATTACAAATTTGATGATATTCAAGATGCAAACACTCACTGAAGTTACAATAAAGGGATTTTATCTTATTTCTTTGCTAGACTATGAAAGGAATTGAACCTGCAATCTTGTGGTTATGAATGCAACCAACAGAAGTTATTATTGTCCGCCAAAAAAAGCATGGAGTATTTGTAGTTCATTGAAAAATGCAGAGAAATTTTATTAGATATTTTATTAAATTTGATTAAACGTTATTGCTGTGCACAGTCTTGTTTTGCAGAAAATTATTCTTTACCTTTCTGGCATCCAAACAAGTTGGAAAAAGTTCTCAAGCTCCAACCTGTCTTTACTGGATGATATAATGTAAACAAATGCATAGCAAAATGACAATAACTGCACTTCTAAGACTAGTGTTAGGCTGTATTGACAAAATTGAGTATCACAATATTTTTCAAATATACCATAGTATCAGACAATATCTAAGTATGCAGTAATAAAGTTAATTACTCGATGCTTCCTGAGTGTTGGTACAGTACGCAAACAGAATGTCTTACAAGCCATGTCAGGTTCGTAAGACATTCTGTTTCGCTTCCCGAGTGTTGGTACGGTACGCAAACAGAATGTCTTACGAACCTGACATGGCTTGTTTTGATCGGTATGTTTTACACCAAAGGGAACTTTGCAGTTTTTGAAATGTTGATCAGAGAAATACAGACACAATGTTCAGTATATATCAAATATATTGCTAAAAACACCCTAAAACACAAAGCAACACACTGTACGGGTTAGATACATATATATACTATATATATATATATATACATATATGCATATATAATATATATATATATATATATAAACAAACTCAGATGTACCTAAGGGTTAAAGCTTTGGGACTTCTTGCTAATTTGGTAGGCTTCTTCAGACTTCTTTTTGTCATCAAGGCAAAGCAGCAGAGCAGGTTTTTAATGCAATCTTAGCAAGTCCTCCTTCACTGGTTTAGGATTACAGCGTATTGCATTTCATTAATCTCAAACTGTTTGTGCAAATTCACATGTGAGCAGGTTACAATACATATGAGCAACATGTCATGGGGGTCTTGACCACTGCCTACAACACAGAAAGATAACAAAGACTGTCTTTTGTTAACCTAGTACATAGTCCTAAAAGGTCAGTGACAAAAACACCTCTTTGATTCCAGGGTCGGCTCTCAATGTGCTTATGTAACAAAACTGTTGTGGATTGTAATGATTGTTTTTTTTTATTGCTTAATGTTACAGCTTCTTTTTGTCATCAATATTAGAACACAATTAATGCACAGGGTTTGAATTTATGGGCAGACATTAGGATTAAGACAAAACATGAAAGAAACAAACAATAAAAGAAATACACTGCTGCATTTCAGCTTTACAAAATGTACTTTTGAATAGTAATTCATTTTAAGTTACACTGCCATTGCTGATCTCACATTTATATGCATTCGTCAGTCTGAAATTATAGTTCAGTCCCATCACGTAAAAACATCATGCACATCAAAGCTTTTTTGGACATAAAACATTAGAGCAGATTAAAAAAAGCTGTTTTCCAGCACTGTTACCTATTACAGCACTGCTGCTATATTATGATTTCCCAGTCTGTGTGTATATCCAGGTTCAAATCAGTTAGCTTCAGCATAGCTCGCTCTGGTTCAAACTGAAACATGACCGTGGTCTTCCCTGCAGCTAGAGGGAGAGAGAGACTGGATTACTACAGATAGAAAAAAAGAAACTAAAAAGTCTCAAAACACTGCAAAACCATTTACTGTACATTCATAGTTTCAGCATTAAAGGGTCCATATCTTGGATTTTTCTTGTATTTTATTTTCCCCCTGAGGGCCATATTTATATGGTTTTATGTACCAAATACAGACATAACTTATTACATGACCACTTTCCAACCTCTCTTTATATCTCAGAATTAAACAAGCTGTCTTTGTTACAAGCAGTAAGCCACGAGAGGTTGTGCATTACTGCGATTTTATCAGGGAGGAGTGTGTTCTTAAACACGATGCAAAGCAGAGTGCCTAAAACTCCTTTCACCGTGACAAAATCGCACCAACGCACAGATTCATTGCTTTTATAAAACAGCGGCCGACAATAAAATAGGACAAAATACACAATTTTTCAGAAAATGTTATTATTAATAATAATTCACATAAACAAAAATTCCGTCTAGAAGGGTAGTTTCCAAGAGTATGGTATCGTTGCCAAGCAACCATGGATCGGTGAATGCAGAGAAAACTTTTGGTCGGCCCATCACTTTATATTGCAGTCATTTCATGAACTTTTTAAGTTTTTGTTGTATAACAATGAACATATGATAACATAGCACTGTTTAATGCAAAAACCTTCGCTTTATAAATTTATATATTCTTGGTCACCAAATTACCAGCACAAGTCTTATTAAGCCCCAATCCAAGGGCGGCCCTCTTCTCACGCTAGGGCTGAATCTCAAATGGCTCCCTGCTCCCTACATAGTGCACTACATTGGAATTTAAATACTGGATGCTGCACCCCAACAGTACATAAAATAGCTAAAAAATAATAATAATTTGGGACATATCCATACTTCACAAATAGTGCACTGTTTGGCTGTAGAAGCTGGAATTTCTAAACTTCCATAGTTAGCACACTATTTAGGGATTAATGAGCCGTTTGGGACTGACTGAAACACAGACATTTGAAGCATGTAAGCCATTCAAGTGACTTTCTTTAGACTTTTATATTGCTGTTTTAAAGTGAACCTTATTGTAAGTACTTTAATTCAAGCCAGTGGTATTAATGTTGGAGTTGTTTAGGCTGTTGGCTATCTTTTAGGCTGTTAGCTACCTGACCAGCCTAGTTCTAGTTAAGAAAATGCGTTGTAAGCAATCAATGTAAACCCTCAGTGTAAAAAAAAACAAACAAACAGGCTCTTACTCATACGATATACTTGGTGATCCATGTGAGCAGCATTACAGTCAAAGATTTTTCGTGGCATGGTGTGGCGCAGTAATACAGAATTCAGTTGCTGTGAGGAGGTTGGTGTGTGTATATTGTGTATTTTACAATAGCTTCGAGCGTGGCTCAGCCAATCAGATTTTAGGAGCGGAACTATCCGTTTTATAATGTGCCTTTAAGACCAAAATAAGATAAATGACCTGTGTGCTGATTGGCTGTCCTGTGTTTATAACTTAAATGTGAATTGGTGAGGCTAAACTGCTGGCTGAATAAGTAGATATAGCTAAATTAGTTGTTCTCTTGACATCCCAGAAAGATATCTTACTCCTTTTTGTCAATACAAAAGGGAAGGAAACTTGATTTTCCATAATATAGGCCCTTTAATATTTTCATCCAAAATAATTACAAACTTACTTAATAGGAAAAGCAAACACCATAAACAGTATATTCTGATTAAAATACCAGATTAAAAAAACAACAAAAAACAACAAAAAAACACAAACAACTGTGATGTCTAAAATAATATGGGTAAGTCTCACCTGAGTTTAGAGTAGGTCGCCTGCTAACTTTCTTTTGACCCAGAATGACCACTGACTCCAGTTTGCCATCTGAGATGAATTCGCCTTCTTCAGCTGCACAGCTGGGTATAGAGTGCTCAAGTGAAATTGTACTCAGAACTTCCACAGCACAAACCATGGTCACATATACTTTGCATTCTGTGATCAACATTTAACTTCCAAATTGGTGGCCTGAGCACTAGGAGGACCACCAAAAGTTTGGGAGCACGGGCATGTTTTCTTTGTGGCTTTGCACTAACTATACATAATTACATATTTAGACATATTTAGACTACAGCTATTCTGTATTGGTCCTGCGAGTGAAATTTGTCATTTTGCTGTCAATTTAATGCCCAGTCTGGGAGCAGCACAGCACCGCTGGTAGAGCAGCGCCACGGGCACAACCAGGAATACCGTGGGAGTTGTAGGATTTGAACCCTGGGATTTGGCTTACCTCTCCTACCACTAGGCTACAAGCCACTCTGTAACATGCTACTGGCTGGGTGTTCTGCAATCTCTAAATAGGCTAAAACTGGTTCAGGAAGCAGCAGCTTGTGGGCTCATATTACTTTGATCTTATTCAGTTTGCACTGGTTTCCTGTTAAGTTCCACATTAACTACAAAGTCTTACTTATGACATTTAGAGCTCCTAATGGCTTTACTCTGGCTTATCTCACTGATCTGTTAAAACATTATAGCCTGTTCAGACCACTTTACTCAGCTGAAGCCAGCTTACTGAAATGCCTACAATAACTTACAGCTCAGCTGGTGGAAGATATAATTCATATGTAGTTCATAAACTCTGGAATATATTAGAGTGGATAACAGGTGTTTTTAAATTCAGATTAAATTTAATTAAAATGCCTGGAGTATTGTGTCTCATTGTTTGTAAATGTGCTGTTATGACCATGGTATTTCAATGTTTTACTTATATTCTTGTGTAAAGCACTTTGAGACTTTATAACTGAAATGAAAAGTGATATATTATTGTTGTTGTTGTTGTTATTGTTGTTAATAATAATAATAATAATAATAATATAGAAAGATATTCTGATTTTGCAATTTATTTTGTAAAAAAACTGAAGGAATAATGACATCTTGGGAATAATTATACACACTAAACATTTTTAACCAGTGTTGTGATGTCAGCACTAACAACCTAATTCATACCACCTCCAAGCCTTTGTAATATATAATATAAAAAGTACTATAACAACAACACAACTACACACACACACACACACACATATACATATACATACATACATACATACATACATATATATATATATATATATATATATATATATATATATATATATATATATATATATATAAAAGGTGTGTGTGTGTGTGTGTGTGTGTGTGTGTGTTCCTGCTGCTGTAATGCTGCAATTTCCCTCATGACTAATAAAGTTCTATCTATCTGTTTATCTGTCTGTGTCTGGCTGTCTGGCTATCTATCGTAACACTGTCAGATCATTTTTATAATTATTGTCATTAAATATGCCAAACATCAAATTCTTCTTCAAAAGGAAGCAGGGTGTCTCCAAACATTTAATGGGCACTATAAATAATTAATTCTATAGAGTACATCATAGATATAGTACAATAAAAAATACAATGAGAAAAAGTAAAAAAGGAGAAACTTTACCTGCTAGTAAGTCTGCCAGACTGCAGAGTGAAATTCCGTAGGCTGAATTGCTTTTTGTCCCTGTAGTTGAAGGAATGACCATCATCCAGGTACAGCATACCTTCAGCATTGCCCTGTAGGGATAGATACTCATCAGTTTAGGAGTAAAGCAGACTGGATTAAAAAGCTGTTTGAACTCTTTTGCCCAAGGAACAGTATAAAAATTCATATCATAATACCAGTGACAAAATGATCACAGTTTTCAGTATTATCGCGGTATTGATAAAATAGTGAGAATTAGAAATCTAGTCTGCGATACATTCAGAAACTTTGTTGTTCCCCTTTTTAACTCACATTTAATCTGCTCCCAGAGCACAAAAAAAACACACTATTAAAGGAGAAGAGTAGAGGGCAGAAACAGACTTTTTCTTTGCATTGGGATTAAAGCACTAATTCATGGTGAAATAATTTCACCACTGGTATTATATTGGCCTTTTAACTGAACCTCTTAAATGTCTTTATAACACCAAAAAATACATAAAATTGACCTAAATATAAAATAATCATAAGTACTACTGCAGTTTACTGTTCATTCTATGTAACTATGCACTGTCCTGGTGCATAATTTGCAGGGGCACTGAAGCAGTAGACTATTTACTTCAGCCAAGCACTTTTTAAAAGCTGTACCATGTTATCAGGATTATTGAAATTTTAAATGATATGATTAACACTGGGTTGTACACTACAGCATAATGAATAAAACTGTGATGATCCTATTCCTTTTATGTATTTATCATGATCTGGCCAGGAAGGGTGGTCACCTCTGAGTCCAGGGCTACAGTGAGGGTAAAGGGATGCAGCTGAAGTTCAGCTGTGCAAGAGCCACAGCCCGTTCTCCTGGACACCACTGTTCCTCCCCGCTGGAACAAAGGCACCTAGCATAGAGGACATAATACAAATGCTAAGAAAATGCCAATCCAGCTATTGGTAGAAAAAGAGATGCTGATTAACAATGAATATCTGTTGTGAGTTGTTTTCTCTGTGGAGTGTGGTTTGGTTTGTGTGTGGCCACAATAGAACAACTGCTAATTTGCAGAATTATAACTGACATGTCTCTTAGCCAATCACAATCATTTCTAAATGTTCCTTCTTCCTTCAAGTGCAGGAAAAACTTCAACAGAACTCCTCAAAATAAACCTGCAGTGAGAACAATTCTAGCAGTAAATTAGTCAGAATTACCGCAGTAAGACATGTGTTACACGTGTTACTGAGGAACGCACTATGCCTGACACTCGCTTTAAGTACTATAACACCAGACAACATTTTTTCACCAGAGAGGTGAAATTTGCATAGTGTAGTGTTAAACAGGCCTAAATGTATGTATGTGCTGAACATCATATAAAATGTATTTTTTTTCTGAAAAATGTTTCAAATGTACTCCTCTGTGTGATACTGAATGTTCTAATCTGTTTGCACAAGTGTTAAGGATGCTACCAGGTAACCTTTACTGAAAGGTCGACTGAAGTAGCACGAATAACTAAAAGGAGCAGGACATCCTCACAATTTTGCAAACAATAAATTACTCACTGTCTCTAAAGTCACAGGAAGAGTCAGAGTCCCACCTCCTCTGTGTTGCTCACCACTGCTTACATTATACCACAACTGCAACACAAACACACTGCTTTGCTCAGACATCCTTTCAGTGCATTGCAAAACAACTGACATCATTCATAAGGAGCACCATAGAACTTGAGGCTGACCTCATCTGATCCTGGCAGTAAAACCTTGACCTCTGTGACGCCTGGGTCAGTTACAGGACAGGCAAGGAGAGCACTGCCTAAAATGATAAAAATCTCATTGATTTAAATCCAAAATTAAACAAAATGCGGTAAATTAATTACACACAACAATAATACTACTGAAATTAGCTTTGATATTCTGACAACTCTGGCATTCTCATATTTACCAATCATGTACTGGTTGTCCATAATAAAGGTTTCTGTCTCCTTGGGGAATTCCACCCATAAAGGTCTGTAACAAACATTAGAATGAATTTCACTGGCTCATAACAGCTAATCTACAGTCAAAAACCTAATCCACTCCACATTGAAGGATCTAGACCCCTGTACCTGATGGGCGGTAAGGCTGAGGTATGGGCAAGGTGAAAGAGAGTGTACCAATAGGGCAGTAAACAGTATCTCTGCTGGATTGCTGATCGCACTGCTGAAGTGACTGCGTCCCCAAACAGCCATGGCTCACGCCTCTTTGTCTGTTTAGCTGAGTGACCTCTAAAGAAGGGCTGCAGAGCCCCTGCCTGGTACCAGCGCACCAGCAGTTCAGGGTCAGGATCCAGCCAAAAACCCCCTACATCAGCTACAAACACAAACATATACACACACACACACACACACACGCAGATATATATATGTGTACACACTCACACACATACATTTGTGTGTGCATATATATGTATATACACATTTATTATGTTTTAATTTTTTTTTAATATCTAACAGTATGCTGTATCACTTATCTATGTTCCACTCTGCTCTATATCTGGAAATTAGCTGCTGAGTTGAATCAGGTTTGAGCAGAGAAACCACCAAACTATGCAGAAATGCCCTCTAAGACCCACAGTGCTGTGCAAAATTTTGAGACTAACCCTCATTTATTTAATTTTCAGTCAAAATGGCCACTAACTCCATAAAGCACAGTTATGTACGAGTTATTCATTTTCTCCATCAGAAAAGGCTGAAACATATATTTAACAGAATAATAAAACAACAACAAAATACAATATCTAAATTTTCAGTATTTGGTGTGTGCCTTTACTACAGCTTCCATTCTTTGAGAGGTTTGGCTTCAATATTTCAAAAAAAAAATATGCAGGGATATGTTTTTATGCCTTCAATGCAACAAGTTGGTTACATTTTCTGCTTCTCATGATCCAAGTAATAACAAACACGTTCATGATGTTGATGTTCATCTCTCAAAGACAAAAGCTGTACTGTTTATCTGATGATGACAATCAGATACCCGTTTTTCCCCACATATTTTCCTTTGACTTTTCCCCTCCTTGTGCATGCAGATTATCTTATAACAAATCTCCTCAGAAAATCTCATGAAAAATTAATAACTTATAATTAACAGCTGTCTCTGACTTTTGTGCAGTACTGTACAGTTTCATGGCAACTACCAAATTATTCATAGTACTTACTAAGTAATAAGCCCTAAGATAAATAACTGAGTACATCTGAACTTGCAGATTACACTATGGCAATGTTTTTCTGATTGACTGTCCTGCTGTTTCTCTAAGTGAGATCACAATGTTGCCGACCATGTGTTCACCAGAAAAAAGAAAGTAAGAGCTTATTACCTCCTCAGTTTACAATGGCTTTTTATTAAGTTCCATTTTGCCTACAAAGTCCTGCTTATGACACTTACAGTGTTCAAGGGCCTAACTATGGCATATCTTGCCAATTTCCTGAAGTACTATAGCCGATCCAGTCCTGCCTCAGCTAAGCCAGGATTACTGCAAACTCTGAGGATCACTTACAGCTAAGCTTTCTCTTACATAGTTCCTAATTACTGGAAACTGAGACTCAGTTTTCCATGATTCAGACTAGCTTCCTGTTTTCAAATGCAGATTAAAAACACATTTACTTCAGCTAGTATATATCTCGTATATTGGAATTTTTATTCTTTTTTCCTATAGTTTGTACTTGTGCTGGTATTTCACTTGACCCATAATGTTTTATATTTCAACACTTGCTTATGTTCCTGTGTAAAGTGCTTTGAGATCATCTAATCAGATGAAAACTGCAATATAAATAAAGATGAATATTATGACCATTACAACAAATAGCTGAAGGAATTTACTGACCACCACTAAAATGTATTCCAGTGATACTCAATGACAGCAGCATGGGGATTGAGATCTTCAGATACTCCCAGGTAGCAACATTGTCTCCTGTCCATACTGCACCTGTGACAGAATTGTATAGATCAGTACAGTGTACTGTATGCTTACAAATAATGAGGAGGAGATTCATGTACAGTTTTATTATTTCATGTAGACTTTTGCTTACCCATTCTTTGAGACCCAGCAAAGAAGGAGCGGGAAAGGACGAATGGCCTCTCCAGTCCACCAGAGCGAGTGATTAAACCCTCAACAGTAGCCATGTGCTGCAGAGGGAATATTGTTGCTTTACATGTGGTGCCTTTGAATCCTCACAAATGCAAACTCTAAACAGCTTTTAGGGCTGCTCTAACCTGAAAGAAGCCGTAGAGGTTGTGCAGATCTCTGTGCTCCCAACCTCCACAGTGTACAGCGTCTTTAGGCATTGTCTGCTCAGGACCATTGAAGACTGAGGGTTCGTTCATGTCATTCCACACAAACAACGACTCTGTAGACCCCTAACACAGACAGGCATTAGGCAGTGGTCACATACAGAGCAGAACTTGAAAACTAGTCCTTTCTCTTAGGTATACTTCAAAACAAATGATTGAAAAGTCTGAACTATTTCTTTCACACTCACTTTGTACTTGTCAAATGAAAACTGTCTGGCATACCATGACCTTGTCCTTGAACTACTGAAGTCCAAGTAGCAGGAATTACCTAATGATAGACAGCAGACACTTCAGCTAAGGAACTGCATTCAGTGCCCCATACATAATGAAACTGATAAACAAAATGAGGCTGATAAGCCTACAATAGGTATGTCAAATTTTACATTGTTGCCCCAAAACAATAAAGGTATTGTAAAAGTAATTAAATGGGAATTCCATCAGTCTTTCAAAATTTCTCAATAGTAGAGAAAATATGCTGCCTCGGATTTCTTTACAGTGGAGGTGATAAGAACCAGGGGTTGCAACGTCTATGAATATAGCCATTTTATTTACTATCTGAAACAACCAGTGTATCTACATGTGTCTTCTGGATTTTTACATGTAATGTTGATAATGGTAAAATAATCTTATCTTAAAAAAAAGGTATTATTTTGACTGCATGTACTTCTCAGTGGTTTTTATCATCACCACCGTGAACCATTCAGACTCAGCAAGATTCTCTAGAATGGAACCCTTCACATCAAACCAGTCTGAATTACTCTGTTTATATCTTACCAATAAAATTACGCAGAATTTTATAAATATCAGTGGAACTCCCACTTAAAGGTTCATTACAGAAACGTTACTGTACACAGAAAAGAAAGAGTATCAGGGATGACTAAATTGGAAATCATCATTAAGATAATCTAAAGTCATACCTGGCCAGCATGTTCCATAGTAAACATTGCCATCTCTGTCCTTCACAAAATGCTCACCATCTCTGGCCGCAAAAAAGAAAGGCCAACGAGGATCAGCTTTGACATGGGGATCATTGATTACCACCAACTAGGGTGCAGATAGAACACATTATGGCAGAAACAATACAAGAACCTCAGGAATATGTATGGGAAACAAACACACTTTGACTGATGCAAAACTGAGCCACTGCTCTCAGCTTTCACCTGCTCACCTTCCTTTTCTTTCTCTGCAGGTGGAGCTGCATGTCTGCTGGGTTGGGGAAGAGCTTGGAGTCCCATGTGAAATAGCGTTTCCCCTCAGTGTGATCTATGTCCAGCCAGATCACATCATAAGGAATGGCATGGAGGTCAAAGCCAGCATCCACAGATTTCACATCTTCCTCATCCTCATAGTTCCAGCGACACTGATGATAGCCCAAAGAAAAAAGAGGGGGCAATGCCTGGTATCCTATCAATAGAGAAAGAAAGCAAACTGAAAATAAACCTACAATGTACATAAATAGACATCCTACACATATGTTACTGACATTAAGATGACTCAGGTGAGACTATATCACCCACGAGAGAAATGTGTCATTCTTTCTGTGGAAAAACATTGCCTACACCTTGCTTGACACAAACACAGGACACAGACACAGAATACCACTGGAAGGAGCAACAAGCACGACAACATACAGCATGGGGCATCACTAGTCAATATCTGATATTTAACACAATCATTTGGTAAATGTTCTAATTTAACAATTTTTAAAACAACTTTTCTGATGAACATTTTTCGCCATACTCCAAATGTTATCAATCAGCCAAGACATCTCTGGTGTCTAGTTTGCTTAGTTTTGCACTGAAGCTACAAGAATAATATATAACTAATAAGCAATCAAAGCTCATATCCACTAATTAGCGCTGTGCAAACTGCATTCGTAATGCATCATTCATTTACTTCAAACTGTTTTGAGTTGTTAAGTAGTCTCAAATAGATCTGCTTATGTGGTTTCTGAGTCTGTATCATACTTATACAGCTAAAAGAATGACACAGAGTGTCAAAAAAACTATATATTCAAGACTTGGGCCTTTAAGCACAGGTAGAAATAAGCTTGCATTACGTAGCCACATAACCAAATATATCTTTAGCTGACAGACTTCATTTTTTTGCCAAACTATCATTTACATTTACATTTAATCACTTTAAGCAAAGGTGAATACCTGTGAGTTGAGCATACTGGGAGAACACTTGGGCTGGTGAGGGTCCCAGCAGTAAGAAGCAATCAATCTGTCCACTCTCCGACACCCAGCTCACATTAGTTTCAGTACTGATCCTGTTTCTCTTCACTGGTGGACCATTCTCTTCCTGCCAAAAAACACCAGGAACATATAAATAATGAGAAAGGGATCACACAACAAACTGATCTCTATTTTTTTCTTCTGTTCTTCAGTTTTTATGCAATCACCTGTAAAATCAATCATTTGTTAAGACTGAGGCTCATTTGACATACTTAGAAGTACCCCTAGTGGCTTATAATGGCATCTTCTCCATTCTTGCACTTAGCATTTTGGCCAGCAAAGTTAATTTAAAATGTTGCTGGCTTATTGTTATTGCCAAATTATGTTATTGAAAAACTCAATACTCAATTCTCAGTTATAGAGAGAGCTCCCAAAAGAATAAAAAAGTGGTCTGGCTGTTTGTAGTTAATGACTTATAGAGAGGCATTAGAGTATAAATAGATGGAATCATACCTCCTCATGGTTTGAATATTGGAGATCTACCAGAGTCTCAGAGGCGTTTAGCCAAAACACGCCAAGCGTTCTGTCTGGCTTGTGAGCTACCAGGAGAGGAACAGAGCCATAAAGTCCCAGCCTTTTGTTTATCTCATAGCCAAATACATCCAGGTTGTATAATCGATATGGCTCACTGCCACTGTAAAATAGACCAGGAAGTGAAGTTAATTAGTTAATATATCAGCTTACTATGCTGTACTACAGTATTCTCTTGGCTATATATAAACAGCTTCCAGTAGTTATGGCCAATGACATCATCAGTTTAAAATTTTAGAACTAAATTTGTTCTAATATTCTCAATTCCAAAAAAGCTGGGGCAGTATGTGAAATATTAAGAAGACAGAAAGCAGTAATCAGTAAATTCAGTTTGACCTGTATTAAACTGAAAACAGTACAATAGATTGTTCCAACATATGTAATATCTTCCAGTGTGAATGGTTCACAAAAATGTGTAGGTTACCAATGCTATGGCCACCAATACATCCCCATACCATGACAGACCCTGGTTTATGATCTTTACACTGGTAACAATCTAGATAGGTCTTTTCTTCTTTGGCCTGGAGAACACAACTTCGATTTTTTCCATAACCAATCTGAAAGGTTGACTTGTCAGACCACAACATTCATCTCCAGTGTCCATCAGGCCGTTTCAGATGAGCTCAAGCCCAGAGAAGTTGGCAGTGTTTTTGGACGGTGTTGACATATGGCTTTCGCTGCATCTAAAACAGTTTCAACTTGCATTTGTGCAAGCCCATGTAGTGACAGACATCTAAAGGATCGAAGGACATGGGCATTCAGCTATGATTTTCGACTTTCGGCACAGATATTTCTCCGGATTCCTTTAATCTTATTATACAATGCACCGTAGAGGACGAAATACCTAAATTCCTTGCAGTCACTTGTTGAGGAATGCTATTCTTAAACTGTTTGATTACTCACTGACACATTTTTTGGCTAGCCTCAACTTATCTTTGCTCATAACGGGCAAGGCCTTTCTACTTTTATATTCGAGCCTGACAGCATCAATAGCTTAAAATGCTTTTTTAATAGATATTTCATGACGTTCCTAATCCTAAATTGCCCCATTCTATTTTTTTTGTGCTGCAGGCATTAATTTCAGAATGAGTGTATATTTACAAAAAAAACTCAAGCTCATAAAAATACTACATGAATTGTCTTGTCTTTGTGCTGTTTTTTATTAAAATACACGTCAAAGTAGATTTACAAATCAGTTTTCTCTTTTTCTTTGCATTTCACATACTGTCTCAACTTTTTTGGAATTGAACTTTGTAGCAGACAGACATGAACATCAAACCCCAACTCTACCTGGTGTCCTTCAACCGGAGAGAATCGGCATGCTCAGGAAGACCATACACATTAGTGAAACCATGCAGGCTAAGGTCAATACCCACTGAACTGGGACCTGTATGACGAATGTTAACAGTAATACATTGTTTTAGCTTTATAATGCTGTAATGCTGAAAGAATACATTTTCATCTGCATAATCCTTGGCAAACTCACCATTTGCCTTGATGTCCTGAAACTGTCGAAAGTTCTCTTTCCACAGCCCTAAGGGATCTTCCTCATCCTGTGAAACGAAAGAACTGGATTTTTCGACCACCTTCACAAAGCATGTTTCATCATGCAGCAATGAAGCAGTATTACAAATGTGTCACTGTGTTACGTAACAGTAAGTGAGAATCTTGCCTCATGTGAACTTGAGTATGGCCTGGAAAAAGTCAGGAAAGGGTTAGTGTACAAAATTTAAACATTTGTTTTATTGCTGTCATAAAATCTTGGAACTATTTCTGTTTTTTTGTCCTTTACAGAAGTTCTTACCATTCGTTAATATAACATTAAATTTCTATTTCATCTCCCCTGTGCAATGGTTACATGTATTTTAAGTTAAATTGACAAATGTTAAGAACTTTTTCCCTTCCCCATGTATACACCATTTCAGAGACACAACATTTTCTTATGACAGTGATGATATCTAGCTCTGGATTATTTTCAAATTAATATATGGAAAATACAATATGCTTACAATATTCTTTTTCCAGTTACCTGGTTGGATCCTGCAGTGTCTCAAAGCAGAGTCTACCTTTTGGATTGAGTGTGACAATCACTTCTTCCTCACAGAAGACCTCTAGGCAAAAAGGAGAAGCAGAGACCTGGACCCGGTGCTGTCCTGGACCCCAGGTCAGAGATACACAACCTGCTCTCCTCCAATCAATTCTCAATCTGCCAAGGAAATAACACTCATGGGAAGAATTTCTCCAAAACAGGGCCTGCAGGCTATTTTTAATATATGTTCTTCATTAAATATGTATAAAAAGAAGTGCTGCCATCTTGAAATCAGGACTTACTGCTCATATCTTGGTTCTCCGACCAAAACATCTACAACCTTATATCGAGGTTTGATAGGCTGCAGCTCATCAATAGTAAATCTGACAGTTCCATTTTGAACTGGCCATATTTGTAGAAGCAGACGTTCCTATTAGATACAGAAAGATTTTAGCGTCAATGTCTTGCTCACATGTTATCTGAAAACTTGCAAATGCAAACAAACCAAACGCTCAGGTAAAGTTAAGGTACTTTCTACGTATATTCAAATTATTAGGCAATTTGGTGGATGAATAAGACGAAATCTGTTAACTTTACTATTAGACAAGCATACACTACGTGTCCGAAAGTATCCACCCCTTCTAATCAGTGAATTCAGCTACGTTCCCTTCTCCTTAGAAAAGCATTTCCAGTAGAATTGGACGCTCTGAAGCAGCCGTATATGAGCCTAAGGTCAGTGTGCCCAATGCCAAATGTCAGCTATAGGGGTACACAGCCCACAGCTTTGGGCTGTGAAGAAGTGTAACTGGTGTGATAGAGCACTATCAAATACCACTGAATATCAGAGCTCACTAACGCTTTGAATGCAATCGAATCCTCACAGTAACGTCCAACATTTAGTGTAAAGCTTTCCCAGAGAAGAGGTTCTTACTGCAGCAAAAAGGAGGGAAACTTCTTAATACCCTTGATTTCAGAAAAAACACTACATGAGCAGGTGTGTACAAACTTTTGGACACATACAGTATTTTACTCTATTGTTCTGTTTTGGCAAGCATGCATTAAATGTAGTGTAGAGCCTCAGAGTTCCATTTTCTGCCCAGTATTTAACAGCTAAAACAGATATATTCCACCAGAGAAATACCTTAGACTTTGCTTCAAAGACTTCCAAACTCGCTCCTTTTTCTGTCAGTACTAAAGTATCCAGAGAGGCACAATACTGCAACCCATGTTTGGCTCTCTGTCGCCTGTTGGCCAGTGTAGGTTATTTAATCCGTCAATCAAGCATTTTATTAATCAGTGAATCATTTACTTAACTAGTATATACAGTTTACAGAAACATCGATACACCGTTTTTGTGATGTTTGGTCAGCTTACTTGTAAAACAAGATGTGGTGAGTGCTCTTAAACTTATCTTCACCTTCGTCGCCAGGCACGACGCTGAAAGGCAAAGAAAGAAGATCAATTATATGTGACAAATGAACACCATCGAAATGTACCAGGAAGAGTAAACAAGCGGTTTGCAGCACTACACACACTACTCGATGAAAACTACCATTATAATTAATGGATTCTGTGCTCACAACTAACTGGGTTCACCTAAAAAGACTTTTCATACCTTCCAAACAAACCTCCTGTAACATTCTTCTTTATATTCTTGTCCGCCATACTAACGTCCCGAAAGTGTTTCGTTTCTTGTGCACTTCAGCTCGTTGACGGTGCCTGAAGCGAGAGGCCACGCCTCCTTTGACTTCAGTCACTAGTATTGGGAAAACGGATCGGGTAGTCCATGATCTGAGCTCTGATTGGACAGTCTTGTGACAGCTTAGACAATGCTATATGTCATTACACTATATGGCATATCGGGGTCGTGTTAAAATATGCAGACTAAACAATGTATATAATATATTTTTTTTTCTTCTTTCGTTTACAAATTGATAATATAGTTTATTTTTGGGTAGACTTTGCTCAGCAATTTTTAGGCAACTTTCTTCAATGTCCTGACTCAATAGTCTGTGCAAATGTTACAATTATTTTTGTCATTGTATATATCATTTACAAAGATTAAAGCAAAAAAATGCATAGAATTCAGTCAGAAATGCCACTTATTATTTTTATTATTAATTTATCAGACTATACATCAATTTGTGAACATTATTAAGGAATAATGTAGCAGATTACAACAGCGCAAAAGGGAGAAAACAGCTTTAAGCTAATTTAACGATAACGTTAACTGATTTCAAATATGTAAACAGGTCAAACGAAGGAGCATCAAAGCTGCTATGATCTACGAATTTCATTAAATACGTTGGCAACCTGCAATGCTCCAGACCTCACTAGATTTAGCAGAGATTCTCTAACGGATTTAGCCTGTTAAAAACCTTTATGTCAGTGTCATATGTCTGACCAGCAGGGAGCGCCACTGTAAGGCCGTCGACGGTCTCCGAGACAGCCGAAACAGCCCACGTGCACCAGCGAAACGGAATGCACGTTCGCGTTTGCGTTCTGTTGCGAGGGGTGATCGGATCGTGAACGAGCAAGCGGGGTCCGACTCCTAAAGGAATCATTCTGCTGAATAGGCCCTTTTAAATGAACCGATTTATGAGTTACGAGTCATCTTTTACGACATCTAAGTGTATGTGTGCTGTTACAGACTAAAGACTTCAAAGACCCATTTCTACAATTAAAATCATAATATTTAAATATAACTATATTAAAATATAAATATATAAGTTAAAGAATCTCTTGGAATTTGTCTACATTTTCTCTCTGTAGACAATGTAGGATGTATTCATACTAGTGAAATCCTTTTAAAATGTAAGAATTCAGTTTTCACCAGAAAGAAATCAGTTTGAAAATAGTAATTAGAATAAGTAAGAAGTATTAATAAGTAATAAATAATAACTAGAATTTCAATATGTCAAAAATGTTATTTTTACTTTTGAATTAGCATGTATTAAATGTAATTCATTCTAGTAATTTTGTACTTTCATTAAAATGATTTAGGAAAAGTTATGAATTCTTACTAGTGAGAGTCCTTTGTGCTAAAATAGTATTCCTTTTAGTAAACTTTTTTTTTTTTTTTAGTTTTATGATTAGCGCTCATACATTTCACTTGTTTAAAGTGAATTTCTGACATGAGTAATTGTGGATTAAAAGCTGAAACGGCTTTCCTTTGACTTTTCTTTTGGACGTTGGATTCATTGAAACGGGTGGTTCAAAGGAATCGGTTCAGTGAACTGAATCGAACTTTCCATCACTAGTGCGCAGGCACGTCACGAATCCGCAGCCAGCGAGAGATGCTGAGAGGACGGCTCGAAGAACGGGGCATTTAATAAATGTTTACGTCCTGCTTTTCCCCCACATGCCAGGACGAACAGATGCTCATGATGGTCATTGTGGAGAAGCTGTCTGCGGTTGCTTGTGGATCGTCAACATGATTTTAAGCGTATTTTGCACCAGTCTTTAACCACACCCGGCCTCGGCGCTTTCTGGATTACAGGGATTTGCAGCTAGCGCGACTCATCGAGGTGAGTAGCGGGCTAGCAGGGAAAGCAACATGGATTCAGATGGCTGAGGATATTAACGTCACTGACAGCACTGTGCCGTTACCATGCAGATGAACGCCTTCTCCAGATATTTTTACAAGGTCGTTTTGTGCTGATAGCTGTCAGAGGGGGTTTCGGTGGCATTTAAGCGCTCTAACGTTGGTAAATTTGCTGTGTGCATGTAGCAAGTCGACGCAGAGAGGTTTGCTATGCAACAAGCGGGTTGCTATTGTACTGCAGATCACATTTCGGTTAGTGGGCAGAAGGCTTTAGCTAACCAGGCTGAAGTTGGCTACCTATTCGCCAGCTGAATTTTTAAATTTTCCCGTTCCACCTTAAATGGTGTAGAAGTTACATTCTGGCACCGTAACCGCTGCACCGTTTAAGGTGGAACGGGAGAAATAGAATAAGACGCTGACTTAAGCTTCGTCTTTAGCTGGCAACTTAAACCATTTCCAGTCATGTCACATTAGCAGACCTATTGACAACATTCCACATCTTTACCAGTTCGCGTGTCCATCATCGTTATACCGACATAACTAGCGAGGCATTTTATTTACCCAAGTAAAAAATGTGCCTGCCGACGTTATCTGGTGGTCGCATTCTGAGTAGCAGATTAGCCACCTCTGCTAAAGCGCTCACAGCTATCGATAATAAAACACACGCAATTACGCCTTGACCTGAATGTTTATGGTCTCTCTGCTTATCAATTCACTTAATGTTTTGATGTTGGCTCTCTAGTCTATGACCGCATTCACCGACTGTAGTGAGATATCTGGCCGGCTATGTGGCTAACCGGCTAGCTGCTGTGCAGGGCTCCGTCTCGGTGACAGCAGTTCTCTAAACCATTTAAATCGAGCTCTCCAGCCACTTTAGTAAAAGCAGCGACACTTTCCAAATTTTCCACACAGCCTGGGCAGCTAGGTCTTCCAGCGGAAACCACGAAACTTTTTATTGTAAAATACTGATTTGTATAGGAATATCAAACACAGTTACAGATGAGCTGCCTTTGCAAAACTATCTCAGCAGGGTTTCAATATGCAAATATGCCCCCTAAAAATATCACTACATATTTTTTTAATTATGTGCTGTGGGCGTCCTGACAAAAAAAGGAAGTATTTTTTGTAAATAATAATATTAAATAAAATAATTAAAATAAAAAAGTCTTCAGTCATATCACATCAGGGGTTCACTGTTTTTATGAACTGTGAAGCACATTTCAGTGGTAAAATGTACTTGTAAAGCAATTTACAGTGGCTCCAAAACGTATTTGGGTATTTATGCTGTACTGTATTAGGTTCACTGTGTTAGGAATCAAAATGTCAAGTTGTAACAGACAGTTTTTTTTTTTTGGCGAAGTGTTCTTTCAAAAGGCAGCTTGTGTTATCCTTTGGGCTTCTTTATGGACTTCTGCAGGTTTTTTCATCAAAAAATGCCTTCGTATACTTCTAAATTCATGTAATGCAAGTTCATTGACACCATTGTAAGAAAAACAGGCCCAGAATTTAACATTTCCAGCTCTGTGCACCTCTTACAGTACTTTTAGTGCATTTCTCCACACAGAGTCCACCATCACCATCAGTGTTGTTATGCTGAAAGTGTTATATTAGGAAAAAATATCATTTAGTTAAACATTTCATAAAGTCACCTAAAGGCTCCATATCCTACATATATTTTGTATTTATTTTTTCTGCTGTTGTCCACTTATGATGTTTGGGCAGGTTTATGTAACAAAAAGTTTTCGACCTCTTGTTGTCCCTTAGAATTAAACAGGCTGTTTCTATTACTGCATTTAAGATGAATATATATGTAAATGAGCTCAGTTCTGATTGGGTGCCCTGTATTGTGCCTTATTCAAAAAGCAGTCCAGGCTGAAATCTTTCTTATAAATTCAGTGTTAGTGGACAGGGCTAAACTGCTGTAGGCTGAATAGTCAGATATATTTGAAAGTGATAGGTTTTTGTGATGTTACAGAAAACTATACATTTAAAACAAGCTGTTTTTGCAGCTTACTTTCTATTTATGGTCTGTATGAACTGAGAAGCGAATGGTACATTTTGAAACTGTAACAGTGTTTACCTACTACATCAAACTCTTTCATTTCAAAAAAGCTGCAAAAATGAAGTTTTCCATCATATGTGCAATTTAAAGTTTACCATTGGTTTAATTGTTTAAAAGTTAAGCGTCCAAATTATTTTTTGGGTCCACTGTAATAGTAAAACAGTATTTAAGCAATTAAGAAAGTGACAAGATAAGATGATACAGGACCCGAGATGCAGGTTTGAGAGGAAAAGTGAATTGAAAATTGCTGAAGAATCACTCTGTCTAATAGTGTGCATCTAATTTAAATAATGTGTCTGAGCAGATAATGTAGAATGCTTGCCTGCTGTAGTTGGTGCATTGAAGTTTGCTGACAGTGCTTTTTGTAAATGTTTACTCAAAGTAAAGTTGTTGGCACAATTAACAAATTTTTATGCCTTTTCTATATAGAAGAGCTATAGATGTAATGAAGTGTTCTCCATGTTACCACACACATCGCAATCCCAACGTACATTACGTTTCTTCCTGCATATGTACGAAGTCAGTGTTGACCTGATATTCCTTGGGCTTTGCTACCAATTTTAAGAAATGAGCCAAAGAGAGAGAGAGAGCATGAATGAGAGTAAAAAAAGAGTCTTAGAAAGCGCCCTAATGCCTTGAAATGATTCGATGCTCTATGACGTCAAACAGAAAAACAAAACAAGCTGTTCAGAACAAATGAGCCCTGTTCTCTCTCACTCACTCACTCTCTGTCTGTCTGTTTTTTTCTCTAGTACTAAAATGTCAGTAATTTGATGTGTGTTTTTACAGTCGGCGTTTCTTTTATTTGTTTATGTGAGAAGGCGTGTTGGTTTGGAGTGGCTTGCAGGACTGTATGTGCTTCAGCTTTAAAGGTCAGTGATTTGCAGATTCTTGCCGCAGTTAATGTTTTGTGAGAGTATGTGTTTGTTAGATGCACTGCATTTGAGACATTATTAGCAGTGAGAGAGTGAACATGCTGCTTGTGCGGGACAGCTGCAAGCGGCAGGCAGGGCAGCTGCAGCTCAGACTCAACAGAGACGCCTCTTTCATCCATCCGCTCCACTTTATTGCTCGGATGGCATGCTGGCTCAGGCCTCTCCTGTATCCACTACGGCCATGTTTACTCCGCTGCAGATCAGTGCGTGTTTAAATCAGTGTTTCTCTACCTGGTCCTCAGGGCTCCCAAGACAGTCCACATTTTTTCTTCATCCTTAAGTGTTGCAAGTTGGACCATCTTAGGGGCCCTGAGGACCAGGTTGGGAACCACTGATTTAAATCATGCTTAATTTTGCTCTTTTTTGTAAGTTGCTAAGAAGCCTGCCTAGCTGTGTAAACTCTAAGGTCGGCTTTTCACATTGAAACTTTAATGCAACTATGTTGTGAATTGCATTCAGCATAATTACTGTGCATCTTTACAGGTATTTTTGTCAATTAGTTGTCTGCGGTTCTGCAGTATTTGTCTTCAGTTCATTGAGGACCTCAAGGATCTTAGTCTCCTGTAAAAGTTCATCATTTGGATCCCAAAGAAATGGTCACTTTATAAATTTAGAGGGCATTAAGATGGGAGAAAATGAACAATCTACCAAAATAGATTAAATAAAAGCAGACTAACAAAAATAATGTACTGTTTAAACAGCAGTTAGCATTAGCTCCCTACACATTAGTGTTAGCTGGCTAGTTAAGCCAGCTGGTTATAAAAACATTAGGTTTGAAGAACTCTGGGTTGTCTGCTGTTCTGGCTCAGGAAACTGACAAAATGAAAAACAATCAACCTTCCATAAACTCTATCATTAGAATCTCCCTTTCAGCTATCCAGTAAACCAGTTTCTGTTAGATTTTCTTGTCAGTTAATTGTTTTTAATACTCAGGTGATGCGTCATCTGCGTTTTGATAGGCTGTTTCATGACACTTGTTCCACAGAGTTGTAACTGTTACGGATGAGTATCAAATGAGTTGCAGGACTTAGTTTCATGTATGTAGCATTTCATAGTTACTGTATACTGGATAAAAAGATACATTGCAATATTTTAAGTTTATATGATAGATAACAAAATGACCAAATACCAAGAATCAAAAATTAGTTATATTGCTTCATATTGCAGTTGCAATGAACATTCCAATACATTGAAAACACACTACTGAACACCTAATGTGAAGTGGTTAAAGACTGGTTAACGCTTTCATTCATCCATACACTCAATGGGGTTAGTCAGGATACTCACCGCACAGTAAAACATTCATTGATTGGTTAGAGGCTCATATGACTATTGCAGCTTTCTGTGATCTCAGTATTGCAGAGACTGATGTTGCATTTAAAGGAGTAATTCACTGAATAATCATATTTACACAACATTCCCTTTATCCTACATATAGTCATTTAACAAGGACATGTTTGATGTCTTGACCTCACTGATTAGCAATGATGAATCTTCTGGATCTTCTGTGACTTTATATCGTTGTTATTTAATATTGTCATTTTTGTATTTAAAAGCTGCAGATGTTACAGTACTTATTTCAGTTACTTATTTCATCGTGAAGTTTTGGCTGGAAACACAGGGTTAAATGGTTAAGGCCAGGGCGGCACAGTGGTGCAGTGGTAGTGCTGTCGCCTCACAGCGAGAAGGGCCTGGGTTCGATTCCCGGCCGGGCGACCGGGGTCCTTTCTGAGTGGAGTTTGCATGTTCTCCCCGTGTCTGCATGGGTTTAATCCGGGTACTCCGGTTTCCTCCTGCAGTCAGGCTAATTGGACATGCTAGATTGCCCCTAGGTGTGAATGTGTGTGTGATTGTGTGTGTCTGTCTGTCTGCCCTGCGATGGACTGGCGACCTGTCCAGGGTGTATCCTGCCTTCTGCCCAATGATAGCTGGAAGGAATCATTGTATTTAAAATGTAAAAGATGTGTTATATCAGTGCATTACAAGATTCAAATATAGAATAGGCTAGAATACAATCTCATTGTCCAACAACTTCAGAAATTTGTCATTAGGTTGACAGGGTAAGTAGATCACCAAGAACAGGTACCATCACCTTGTAAGTGGCTAATGTAGCTAAAATGTTACTGGGGACCTTGGCCTAGGCTATTAGTCACAAAGCCCCACAGCAAAACTAAAGAATCAAGCTTTGGGCACCAAACAGCTTCTGGCCAATTAACTATATTTGGGGTAAATGGAACATTGTGAGATTTTTCGGTTAACTGTTCCTTTAAGGAATTATATATTGACCAGCCCTACTGGATGATGTAAGACTTAAGATTAATAATTGAATAATAGGCCTAGACTTTAGGGGTTTAGATTGACCGGCTGTGTTTCTGTTGATATTTGTGTTTGTTAGGAGGCAGTGTAGGGCCCTGATGCCAGGCCCAAGCCCTAGCTGCTGGACTTAAGGGCAGAGGTGGGAGCAGTCCGGAGTCAGGATGAGTGGAGGGCTGGAGCAAGCTGACATCCTGTCTGCAGCCGTGTTCGTCAAGGAAAGATGGAAAGTGGTGAGTGTCTTTGCGCTGTCGTAGTTCGCTGTCTCTGAAATGCAAATGTAATAACTTAGTTGAACTTCTTTCGCAGCACAACAGAGTTAAGCTGGGCCTACACTAAGAGAATTTTTGTCCGTTTTGACCCCGCTTAACCCCTTCTGACAAATCTGAAGTGATTTTGCAGGTCGGGAGCTCGATCGGAAGCAATCGACAACTTAGATGATCTGGTAGTGTAAGAAGAGAAAAGAATCAATCTTTAGCCCTCCAAATGAGCTCCAGAGTGATCAGACGCCCTTTGATATTTTCAAACATTTTTAATTTTTTTACACTTCAAAACATTCTCGAGTCACGTAGTGTGAGATGGTCAGTACTCTACGAGTGATTCAAGCAGCAGCCATTGAGAGCACTAGCAGAGTGGAGGAAAAGGGCAAAGACTGATACATGTGCAGTGGACCACCGAGACAAAGGAGCTAGCTCTCAACCACATCTTTAGTTTGCACTATAACTGTGGAGCCTCTGGGAGGTTGATTTCTTATTCATAGCTGAAACTTGTTATGTGTGTTATACTCTGTCTTTGCCTTATCGTCTTCTTTGTGCACCCTCACAATAGAAAGACAAGAAATTCTGTGAAAGACTGACTTTAAGTTTGTCTTGCTATCTGTTTTACAAATCTATTAGAATTTTATAAGTCATGTAGCGTGCGCACAGTTTTACAGAGTTAACTTAAATGTTAAATGTCAATTTTTTAATCATTTTTAGTAAGTACATCAGTTTTATAATAGATATCAAATTGTATTATATTAATTGTAGTAATAACAGTAACTGTATAACAAGTCTCATGAGTAATAACGGAACAATAAGCCTTAAGGTTATACATCCTTATTAGACATCCTTTCTTGGGTTTTATCTTAAAGTAATATACCGTTTATTCCTTTATGGCCTGAACCGAAGACCTAGCTTTAGTAGTCATAGCTCTCCAACTGCCTGATGTAATATATGTTTTCAGTCTGTATACAAATAATGAGGTCACAAAGCCTAAGTTGGCAGCACTACACCGTTTCTTCTGTTATAGATCTAATGTATTGTTTTGCTTGATGAAAGTTAGTAATGACTCACATTGCTGTTCACAGTGCTGTGTGTGTGTGTGTGTGTGTGTGTGTGTGTAAGAGAGCTTGCAGTGACAGGCTGTGTTCTACTCCACAGTAGGTCTTTGTGTGAATAGTGCACAGTGACAAGCAGTGACCCTGTCCCCACACTGTGTGGTCAGGTTGTGGTGTGAGGTCAGCACTGCATGGTTTCCTGAGGTAGTGTGTTGCGTAAGCACTGCAGTGATATGGTCAGTGCTAATCCCCAGAGCACAGCTCCCACTGGGCCTGAGCCAGAAGGGTGGAGGGTTGGCAGGAAATACGTTTGCATGGTTGTTTGAGTGTGTTAGTCGTATAGTGGCACATAAATGCAATGACAAAAATAAGCTGAGCCTAGTTATATAAGAGCACCAAATAAAGGTTAAAGGACAGTTAAAGTGTAAAATTTATAAGGCAGAGATTTTGCTATAAATGCAGTGTATAAACCAGTTTCACTCCTCAGCAAAAAGCAGTAAAATGATTCAATGCCTTACTCATCTGTCCCGTTTTTCTATCATTTTTTTAGCTGAAGAAAATCGGTGGCGGGGGCTTTGGGGAGATCTACGAGGCGCTGGACCTGCTGACCCGGACCAGTGTTGCACTTAAAGTGGAGTCAGCCCAGCAACCAAAGCAAGTGTTGAAGATGGAGGTGGCTGTGCTGAAAAAACTACAGGGTGAGTAATGTTTTACATTATCACTGTAAATTTGTGGGTATGCTTTTCTGGTTTGTATATAGTAGGGAGTGTGCGAGTGGGTATCTAAATCTTGTTGTTTTTGTTGTTGTCATCAGTTAGTCATGATTTTTGTTATTGTTATTAGAGAGTGTAATGTCTTTCGTGTATTGTTGTGTATATTTGGGCCTGTGAGGGGTACTGTAACCTCACTCTGCTGATATTTCTCACTGGGCAAAGAATCAGCGATCCAGTAAAAAGAGCTTTTGTTTTTTTGGGAACCTTCACCCGCTTTACCTCCATCTGCCCCCCAACCTCCTCTCTCCTCTCTCTCCTATCTCTCTCCCCTCTCTCTCTCCTCTCTGCTTAGTGGAAAATCAATGTGTATGGATCATGTTTGCTTTGTAATGGCCTGGCCTTCGAAGCTGTGTGGTTCTGTTGCTTCCTGAGGGAAAAGGAGTGTAACTGGAGCTCTACCCCCTTCACAAGCCTGTTTCTCAGCAAGAGAGACATTAACAAAACACAGAGACTCAAACATCTCATGGCGATGGATAAAACAAAGAAAACCTGCAGCCTTTTTTAAATGAGTAAATAATCTCAAGAAGATGTGTAAAAAGACATAAAAGAAGAGGAATGAAGTATAGGGAGAGCTTGAGCTGAGCTGAGCTAGAGCAATATGTTTAAGAGAGAGAGAGAGAGAGAGAGAGAGAGAGTGAGAGAGTGAGTGAGTTTGTGTCCAGGCTGTGGGGATGAGGCCTGGCTGGTTTCCCTGTGCTGCCCAATCCCCAGAGAACAGAACCACTCTGAACATTCCCATAAATCTCTCTGAGCCGCATGAGCCTGTGGGGAAACAAGTCCACAGTCAAGAGAAGGAAATGTATACAAATTGGCATTACTTTGCAAGTGTGACAGAATTATGCAGAAAAAGTAAATATTTTGCTACTTTGTTTAATTGTACAAGCATTGTGTTTGAGCACTCCTTTATCCTTTTGTCCTTTTCCCTCTTCAGGTAAGGACCATGTGTGCCGCTTTGTGGGATGTGGTCGCAATGACCGCTTCAACTATGTTGTCATGGAGCTTCAGGTATGGTCTTCTAAATCTATATTCTTTACACGGTTGGCCTGACCTCCAGACCCAGATTAAGCAAAGCCTAGATTAAATAGGATTTTTAAAGGTGAAACACCATTGCAGCGTTGCAATTTAGCCCAAGACAAGATTTATATCCAAGGAGTCAGCCCTAAATGTGATCTTATAACTGTGCTGTTAAAGTCATGAATCACCAAAGCAGTGTCACAGAGAACATGGAAATTATTGTATGTTTTAGTGATTCCACTGTTGAAAACCTCTGTTGTGGTACAAAATAGTGACCTACCTCATGCAGCAAAAGTTGATTAGAGCTTTAGTGACTTTAACAAATTCAGTGAGCAAACACAAATGCATCTGAAACCATGACATTGTGAATTCAGTTGTGCAACATGTGATCTTATCTGGAGCTCCCGGGTGTTTCTAGGGTCGTAATTTGGCGGACCTGAGGAGGAGTATGAACCGTGGAACATTTACGGTCAGCACCACACTCAGACTGGGCCGGCAGATACTGGAAGCCATCGAGAGCATCCACTCTGTTGGCTTCCTACATCGAGACATCAAACCAGTAAGCCAGCACAGCTCTCTGACAGCCTGATGTTCATCTGAGGGCAAGAAACTGTTTACCTACAGACTGTCCTCGCATATTAACAGTAGAAGTACTGTAAACCTTGCCATGTTTTAGCATTGTTTCAGTCCAACTTCGCCATGGGCCGTTTCCCCAGCACTTGTCGGACCTGCTACATGCTGGACTTCGGTTTGGCACGCCAATTCACTAACGCATGCCAGGAAGTCAGACCGGTCAGTGGCCCTGCTGCTCTCTTTTACTGTTTATGAGTGACTGCTGAGTGAGTGTGTCGTTTTGTATCAGCTTTTAGTACTGCGGATATGGACTAGACAGTGAGACCCTGCTCACATTTTCTTAAACATCTGTCTTGAGTGAACTGATCATAATGTAATGCCCTTTACACCTGCCATTTCCATGTGTCTTGACTGTGACCTCATGAGATCAGATTTCATGGCTGCAGGAGGGATCCCATGCACATTTACTACATCAGTCTCGCTCTGTTTGTTGTCAGAAAATAAGTGTCCCACAAGTCCTTGTTCGTGTACATGTACAGGCTTTTAACCAAACTTTAGATCGTGTGGACTGCTAACAGAACTTATAAACAAACAGGAGAGGAGACAATTAAAGAAGCTACGCCAAGCAGCCACTCTCATCTCCTCTGTGATGACACAATTGATTAGACGGTCCTTCAATGTTGTCAGGGGGGGCATCAGGATGCTTAAGTGCGCTGCAAATGTTATTTATGTCCAGTTCACACCAGTACTTAATGCTGTCCACTTTTGATCAGATCACTCAGGCAGTATGTTGATGCCAGGCATAACTTGCTAGATGGTTTCTAACTAGAAGTGGGCAATATGACCAGGACCAGATCATCAAATTAAAGGCCCTCGGGCACAAATGTCTGTAGGGCTCCTGCCTGGCTACCTGTTTGCTGGTCAATGCATTTTATATGATATCACAGAGGGTTACATGATGCCTATGCAGCACCACAATGGCAGCATGCTAACCATGGTGTTGAGTGCATCTTACAGCTATAAACACCAGCTAAAGTAAAGTAAGTGTGTCAGAATATCATGCTACATATTGTGTATTATGAAAATGTTTTTAAAGATTTTGATATTATATTTTTTGCCAGATTGCTCAAGTCTGCGCTGTATAACATGCTGTAATCTACTGCATTATCTATAAAAATTCTAAAGAACATTCTAGCAGCCACGCTGAAGTCTTTTCTTTACATTTGTCAGTTCCCTTTCATTAATATATATATATATATATATATATATATATATATATATTCTCTATTTTTGTCAAATTTTTCATCTTAAGTTCTCCATGTACATGGCTTGCAATGTAATGTTCTCCTGTGTTCTATTTGTTAGCCTCGTCCTGTGGCAGGGTTTAGGGGCACAGTACGATATGCTTCCATCAATGCTCACAAGAACAAGGTATGTACATTTTCTTTATCACTTTATTGTTAGTTTGATGCCAGTCGGCTTGAAAAGATAATGGCGGACTTTTCTACTGTCTTCTAGAAAATGCAAAGTTCTGTTGCATGAAAAGTCTTAGCCATACTGTCCCTGAAAGGGTGATACCTTGCTATCACCTGCGCTACATGTGATTTCTCAGTTGTTCTCCATTGTCGTCTCCTAACATAATAGCTGTGCAAATAAATCTTGAATGTAATTGTTGATTGTGATATTGATATTGCAGGAAATGGGCAGACATGATGACCTGTGGTCTCTGTTCTACATGCTGGTGGAGTTCTTGGTTGGTCAGCTGCCTTGGAGAAAAATCAAGGACAAGGTGGGTGCTGCATAGAGATGAGCACCAGAATCCATTTAACGCTGTGCCTCCCCATTTACATTTGATTATGATGTGTGTATTTACTCATTAGGAGCAAGTGGGGAAGCTGAAAGAGACTTATGACCATCGCCTCATGCTGAAGCATTTGCCCCCAGAGTTTAGTGTCTTTCTGGACCACATTAGCAGCTTAGATTACTTTACCAAACCAGACTATCAGGTGACGTATATTTTGGAGTCATACATGTATGTTCTAACCTTGTATATTCTGTTTATTTACCCTTATGAAACTTTATGATGTTCTTTTGTGATGTTTTATGAAATGCCTACTGTGTTTCTCAGAATGTGTGACGAGTGTCTTTGTCTCTGTTGTAGCTTTTGATGACAGTTTTTGAAAACAGTATGAAAACCTATAATGTAGTGGAGAATGACCCATACGACTGGGAGAGGACAGGCACAGATGGCTCTCTGAGCATGAACACGGCCGCCAACACGCCTCAGCACCACACACGCCTCACGCCAGCCCACATGGGGTAAGTAGTACCCCTTTAGCGTTGGTAGTTCAAGCAAAGTTAATGCTAATAATAGCAAATAATAGACAATATGACATAGGGTTGTCATTTAGGATCATTCTTACTAATATTTAATTTCTTTTTAGCCACATTACCTGTGCTTGAGTTGAACCATGTCTTTAAAGTTTGTGATAGTTAAAGTGAAGTAACTGTGGAAGCCATTTCATGCCAGATAGAGGAGAAAACATCACCTAAGCTTTTTTTCTGTTTCTGTCCGTAATATGTCAAAATATTGACTCCTAAAATAATGACTTATCAATATATTGGCTGACTCAAAATAGTGACTTAATATCTTGTAATAATGGCTTATTGTCCCAAAGTACTCACTTACTTACTTTCTTGAAATTTTGGTTGTAAGCTTCCATCACTTGTTAGCCTGATTAGCCTCATAGCATCAGTGCAAAACTAAAGAAGCAAACCTCAGACATCAGATATGTCAACTATATTAAGGATAAGGGGGAAATGCATTTAGATTTCTTGCCATATTATCACTTAAAAAATACTGTTTTTAATGAATAAAACCTGTGATATGAATGTTGTGACATGGTTTGCTCTCCTCCAGCATGGCAAATGCCTCTCTTTTGCCTGGAGATCTTCTGAAGGAGAACACGGATGAAGTCCTGCAGGATGAGCAGCTGAGTGACGGAGACAATAACCCTGCTCCAGAGCGCCTGCCAGACTCTCCCAAGCTGCCTGTGAGAAACCAGGAAGCTGATGTGTGGGAGGATTTGAACCGCAATCGCATCCGCCTCACTGGTTGGAAGGTGCCAGCTCCACAGAAGATTACTTAAGTCTAGGTGATTGCACATATTACTTCCGCTGTTGATTTTTTTGGATTCATGTGTTTGCTCTGCTGTGTATTTGTAGGGGCCCACAGAAGAGGAACACAGTAACCGAGGCAGTCCGAGCCCTCACGCTGGCTCTCCTGTGCGGGTGCGTTCTGAGGTGATGCCCTCAGATAAAGATGCTCCTCTCCTAAGGAAACTCCGCAACATCCACAGCTTTGAGCTGGAGAAGAGACTAACCTTAGAGCCCAAGCCCAATACAGAGAGGTTTGTGGAGGCATGGTGAGTCTTTATTGCCCCTGTGTACACGGTAATCCCATTTAATGCACTGAGGCCCAAATAACAGAGGATAAGTGCAACAATGCAATACTTTTACAGAGTTTCAGAATAACAAATAAGCCAGTTTTTATTTCCAGGTTGTAAAGTGTTTTAGCTTTTGTCAAAACATATACATTTTGTGTGCCCAGAGCAGTAAGTGCATTAAAAGCTAAGAAAAGAATGTTGCTCATATTAGGGCAACCTGAAGTATAGAAGTTTGGTTAAGTTTATCAGTGGGATGTCTGTATTAAAAATTTTACACATTTCCTCAGTAATTATACTCTCACAACCAGATAGCAATAAAAAAAAATTACAGCACAATGGGTTACTATTGGGTTGTAGTATTTTCTACGAACCTAGATGTTTGCATCACACATGGTTATGCTCAGTACACCACATGTAGTGGTGTGTGATTTTGTTGCGCATTTTAAAGCAATTGCCAGTTTAGCATGTTTTACCCAAAATGAATTGTCTTTCCTAACTTTTCAGTCTGGTTTCCAAGTAAAACATAGCAGTATATCTTCTACCACACTTATTTTAAATGACATACTTACTACCATAGACAGGAAAAAATGTTCTTCAATATAGTTGATTATTTTCTACTTTTAAAAAATCTGCAAAATATTGAGTTTGCCCACAATGCTACTAGATGAGTTCAGAATTATCTGTCTGAAAGACAGTAGTGTGTGGCACTGGCAAAAATAAATCAGACCTGTTACAAGTAACTAAAGGTGTTCCTCAGGGCTTAGTCCTTAGATCGATGTGGAAAAATTGCAGTGCTCTTTTAATGCCTTCAAACTGCCTTTTACAACCATAAACTAGTTTTAAGTGCAGAAAAAAATGAATTCATGCTTTTTCCAGAGCTTCTAACATTGTTTTTAGTACTGTGAAAATCAGTACACTAAAGGAATCCAACACCAAAGAGTAACTGAATATAAGTACCTTGGCATATGGCTACACAACAGTTGTACTTTTTTATGCCATATTGATAGCCTCACAGGCACATTGAGACAAAAACTTTGGTTCCTATATCAACACAAAATGCGTTTCCTGATGTACACTAGGAAAAGGATTGTTGAAGCAACATTAATGTCTACTCTTGATTATGATGACACAATTTATGTATGTGCATCTGCTCATAACCTTAGATTCAGTCTATCAGACTCCTTACTCCATGAAAAAGTGGGTTGGTCCTCTCTGGCTGTACATCAGGAAACAAACTGGCTTTTGTTTATTTACACAGCACTCATTGGCCATATGTCATCTTATAGTTATGCTTACTGTAAATAACAGAAATTCAGCAGAGAGTTTTTACTGAACTGGGAAAATCCCCCTTTAGCTGCAGTGCAGACATAAGCTGAAATTTTTACAGGGTACTCTAAAGCTTTGTTTCCCTGAAACTTTTAATCTCTAACCATCTCTAGTCTCCTCAGCCTACAAGTGTTTTATTTGATCTTAGTTAGTTCCTACTTAAATTTTTTCTTTATATATTCTTTATATGTGTTGTAGCGGTACAGGGAAGCAAGCATCTGGTTTGGCACAGGAGAAGGAGGGCAACGTGGGTGGGGTCCCGGCAGTGCCCGCTGTTGCTGTTCGAAGTGAGCGAGTGTGGCACTATGATGAGGAGCTTCTCTCCTCACCTAAACCTGCCTCCCCTGGCTCTCCAGAGCAAGGCGACGGTGCAGCCAGCAGCGGCTTCGTGGCCCTTAACCTGAGCTCGGGCCGGCAAGATGTGGACTCGCGTGACTGGGTGATGGTGGAGCGTGCTTCTGAGCTGCAGGACTTCCGTGAGGCGGCTGGCAGCAGCCCTGGACCTGAAGCTAAACTGACCAGCAGTCCTTCAGAGGAGCCGGAGGAAGAGCCTGAGGTGCTGCAGCCAATGGATGAGTCTCCAGATAAGGAACGGACCACCCCCAGCCCTGCACAGGCTGACCTTTTAGCCCCTGTGGCTTCATCACTGGCCCCTCCCAGAGTGGAGAGGCTGGAACTGAGTGTGGGGCCTGCAGGCGGTCTGCCCCTAGTCACCCCCACCAGCCCTGCTGAAGCACTGGCCGAGGGGGCACTCACACAGGTAAATTACCTCACTCACTTCAAGCTATCCACAGTGGTATGGAAGCTCATTCCAACCAGGTAGAGGAGAAGGTGGTTTCTAGCAGCAGTATGTCAAAATTTTGAATTCGTTTCATGAGATAAAGACATGTTTCTCACAATTTTGATGTAGCACCTCGAAATATTTTTTAAACATATTGACTTAGTATCTTGAAATATTGTCTTAGTATCTCAAAATATTGACTTAAAATCTAACAATAAAGACTTACTATGCCCAAATAAATAAAAATAGAAAAATAGAAAAATAAAAGCATTTATATTTAACTCATTACTTTGACATAGTAAGTTAAAATGTTGAGAAAAATATTTCAATTCTCAATATTTGAGAAAAAAGTAATTATTTCAAGAGTCCAAATTTTGAAGTACTGGTACCAGAAACAGAGAGTATGGGGGGGGTGGATATGGCAATTATGTGGTGGGAATGGGCTTCCTTACTGTAAAGGTTTGAGAGCATAACCATCAGGAACTTATGCAGGCATGTGTCCTGTGCTGCTTTGCTTGACTGTTTGCCTGTTTTGTGCCTCTAATAGAAGCTTTGCCATTGTGGAAAAAGATTGGGTTACTGAACCCCCTGTGTTTTGATGAACATCTGGAATGTCTAACCGAACCCTCTGATTTTAATGACCTTCTTATGTGAAGTATTTAGGCCAGCATTTTACTTGTCTCTCTGTTCTAACAGAGTTTTCCATCCAGTAACTCCTAACAGCTGTGATACTCCTGCTCCCCAAAGTGCTAAACTGTGCTAAAACACAAAATGTTTCACTACACACACATTATCAGGCCCAGCAGGCTGCTGCTGCTCTCAGAGGACTGCTCGCACATCAGCTGTGCTAATGAGAGCTCACCTGATCCCAGGCACAGCGTGTTACCTGAGCCACTGTCTTCATAGGCCAGGTCAAACCACAGTGTGAGAGAGGAGCTCACTCATGCTCCTTAGGCAGCCTTATTTTAGCTGCACATGTGCGGTAGCACGCTAGCTGTTAGATGCGCACGCTCCACAGTAGGGCTGGTGTTGCCAACAGGCTCATAATTCAATAAAGGGCTGAAAGATTAATCATTTTTATATCAAAATCACAAGCAGTAGCCTACAAGTTAAAAGTGGGTAATTTTAACGTGATAACCTGGAGCTTGTAAACTGCATTGTAGATGAGTTAGACCAATCAGAATCAATCAAACACCCACATAATGCATACATGATAACCACAATTAACTGGTAGTCTTGTGCGTTACATTCAGTGTCCAAGCCAGAAAAAGGTGATATTCTGGTCTTTGGCCAAAAAACAAGCCTGAACCTTAATTTATAGTAAATAATCACAATTTAAATCACAGTCACATTAGTCATCAATTGCAATTAGATAATTTCCTAAATTTGTTCAGCCCTGATTCAGTACTAATTCAATACATCAAGATACATCATGATGTTGTAAGTGGTCAGTCACTATAGTATATGTGCTTTTGTAAATATATAGCAACGACTACCCTAGTATAGAAGCTATAGAAGAAGCTTTATGAGATTTTTACTGGTATTTTTTAGCTACTGCCATCCATAGGCTCTAAGCAAGTACTTCATCTACATTGGTTGTATTGGTTGTGTCATTCATTTGCAGAGCCACACTTTCATAAATTCACTACAGTTTATAGGATGTGCATTTTTATCCTTGATTTTTATCCTTATTTATTGATTAAAAGTTTGGTGAATTGGTAAAGATAGTTGGCAATTTGGATGAAGGACATCCTACACCAACTCACTTAGAGAATGTCCAGTCAAGTCGTAGATATCCATTAAAAAAGCAAAACGTACAGTTTGGTTCTTGCAGCCGTAGAACATTCCAAAGCTATGCTCAGGTTGCTTTTTTAAAATAAGTTATAATTTTTAAAATCAAGAATGTACAAGAATGTATTAATGTTCAACACAGGCAGCAGATTTTCTGGAGGATTATAAAGGTTAATCCAGTGGTTTTTCTATTTACAGTTTTGCTACTTCTTTATATTGTGCTTGTAGTCTAATATCTCACTTTTAAAAGTATTAAACAAAAGCAGAGATTTTTTTTTATTTTTAGATATTAATCAGGCATAATTGCTCTTACTCAAGAAAAAAATAAAGACATTGGATTAGTCCATTTTGGACTAATTATAAAAAAAAAAATTATTTGCAAAGCCATTGTGAACCCATGGTGTAATCTTTAACTATTTACATTCAGAAATGAATATTTCACACACACATGCTGTAAATGTAGGAATACTACATAAAGTTCAATTATTTTGTAGGCAACTAAAAAAATTTTAAATAATTAAAAATTATTAACTTTTTTTTTCTTCTTTTTTTTTATGAAGATCTATGACATGACTGGACAGTGACTTTGGCATGGAACGACCCAGGATGATAATGCATATTTTAAAGTCTCTTCCTGGTCTTTTTTTTACTGTAAGGAAAAGAGCTTGATGGACACAAGCATAAATACATTTTTAATGAACCCTTTTAAAAGGCTACCCAGTTTATCTTTTTCAGGTACTTTCCAGCGTTATCAATGAAAAAGCTATGCATGGTTTGTAATTTTTCAGTAGTCCATTTTTTGCTCTTTTTTTTAAACAATTATTGATCAGCAGTATAATCAGAATATTACTTGATTACGACAAGGCTGATAACACAGCTCTACCCTGCAGCTCTTTTTGTAGATCTGTAATAGAGTGCCTTTTCTACAAATAAGTTTCTCCCACAGAACACACTAACCTGTTTCCCCCCTGCTCATCTACTTCCTGTCCTACGTACACCTTCCACTACCTGCCCATACCTTACTTATCCCCTTTTCCTCTCACTTCTTATCCACTCCCTGCCTCACTTCTCTCCTCCTCCACCTCCTCTCCCAGCTCCCCACCTCCCCCCCATCTCTGCCTGAGGAGGTACTGGTCCGGACCAGCAGCCCGCTACTCCTGCGCTCCCCCAGTCCTCACACCGTCCTCACCACGCTGTCGGACCCCCTGCAGCAACGCTCTCCGCCGGCCCTGCGCCGCAGCCAGTCTGCAGACCACCATCACCACTACCCTTCCTCCTCTTCTTCCTTGTGCCACGCTTCCCAGCCCCGCTCCACCCGGTCTCCTGGCCACAGGAAGCTGCCGGCCATCCCGCCTGGTGCCGCCCACACCAAGTTCCCTTCAGTCATACGCATCACCCGTGCCCAACTGCAGCAGGTGAATACCCCTCTCCCGCTGTCCGACCACCACCACCCCCTCACACGCTCATATCACACTTTTGTTCTCTCCCCTCGTCCTGGATCCAACTCTTACTTTGTTATCAGTTTGTGTGGAACCTGGTGTACTGTTGCTTTTGTTATCCTGTTTTCTGGAGGACTCTTTTTCCTTAGGAATCCCCAAGAATACCTATGCATGCTCAGATGTGGTTCTTTGGCATGCTCAAGTGTTCTTATCAGTGCAGATGTGGCATGTGAAAAGGGATAGAGGAACTGGAGGTGCTGGATTGTTTAACTGCAACTGCTAAAAATAACAACAGTAATATAAAAAATAATAAAAAAATAAAGTATAATATAGGGATGTGTTGATAGAAAAATGTAATATCACAATGATTTATATATTTTTTTGGATTGTCTTAATGAGCATCATGTCTTTGGTTTGCCGTAGATTTTGTTATTTTGGTTGATCCTTGTTATTCTTGATAGCACGCATATGAAAAGCTAGCCCTGCAGCTTAGTGGGACCACTTGTGAAACCGGTGCTGCTCCGCATGTCGAAAAAATCAGCAGTGAAACTGCACCTTGTTTGACTGTGATGGTTTTTCAGTGTGTCCACAGTAACAACATAGTGTGTGTTGAATATCATGGGATATCTTATCATTGAATTCCGGCACATATCTAGTATAACAGTACTATAAAGGATCATACAAATCTTTGTGTGCTTGTTGTAAGATGAAGTTCATATTTTTATATATACTGGTTAAAATTTCAGCACCCCAGCCTTCACGTTCCTTTTAAGTCTTCTGATCAACAGTCTAGTGCAATTTTGAAATCACTTAACTGTCTGACTAGCTGTCTGCTTTGGTCTTTACATTGTGGTGTATGGTGTCTGTTGCTGGTTTAATCATCACATTCATATTATGATTTAATTTGTGTTTCTGAAATCATAGTCCAGTGTGTTTTTCTGTGCAGACATGAAGCTCCATATTCAGACTGAGTTTAGTGTCTGGTGCCGTATATGTTGCTGAAATAATTTAAGCAGCATAAACAATGTACTAATACCTTTCTTCCACTTTGTTCTTTCTTCAGCTCTGCCTTAAGATAACTCAGTCAGCAGCATGCATGTTTACTCTCATTCTCTCTCATTCTCTCTCTCTCTCTCTCTCTCTCTCTCTCTCTCTCTCTCTCTCTCTCAGCTGACAGCTCAGCGTCCCTCCGTGTTATCCTCACAATCAGCGTCTGACAGTGCGCCACAATGCCCCCTGCTGGAGAAACATCATAATGGTGATGCCCTGCCACAAGACATTACAGCAGACATCCATTCCCCTCAGGAGCAGCCTCGCTCCCATCCTGCCAGCCCCTCCAGTGCTGGGGCAGCACAACTGACAAATGGGGATAAACCTCCACAAGTACCCAGCCCAGTGCCAAGCCTGGAAAGCCCACCCCACTCACCCCAAAGTCACGTGCTAATGAATGGTCACTCCCCTCCTACAGACACCCCTCAAGAAGATCTGCTGTGTGAGATAAAGGACCCCGACAGGGACTCCGGCTGCCCTGATGGTCCTACAGAACCCAACCAGCGCCCCCCACTGGAAGAGAACGGATCTTCTCCTGCCCAAAGCGCTAGCCCAGCCCCTGGCCACCGAATCAGCCGCATCCCTGTGCTGGAACTATCCAGCCTGCTGCAGGATGTGCCTCCAGGCTCCGCTAAAGAGAAGCTTCTGCAGAAGAGAGCTCAGCACTTACCCACCTCGCCCTGCGCCTCACCCTCACTCTCTTCAGACAGGCGGGCCATCCTAGCAGCTGTCCAGCGTGACCCCCTCTCTTCTGCCTCTGACCGTTCTCAGGATGACGAGTCCCTCCCAGGCTCGCGTTCGGACCGACAGGGAGACGACGCCCCCTCGCTCTCATCCTCCTCTAGCCCACTGTCACGCAAGAGTAAGATCCCCCGACCTGTGATCCCTGCTTCCTCCCAGGAGGCACAAGCTAGCCAATTCTTGCCCCGCCCGCCACCTGGCAAACCACCCATTCGCCCAGTCGTGGATGGCAGGTAAAGAGTGCGTGCTTTCCAATTATTTGAAGGAAAAGTCTGGTGATGCATCTAATTTGCATAATGTTCCCTTTTTGTCAAATGTAACTAGCTGATCAGCCAAAAGACATTTGGTGTCTGAAGTTTGGTTTATTAGTTTTGACCTAAAGCAACAAGCTAATGTACTTAACAAGTAATGAAAGCTTATTCCACACCAGTTAATGGCACACCTGAAACATCATTTGCCTCAACTGCATTAAGTTGTTAAGGAATCTCAAACATACTTGCTTATGGGTGATAAAATACTATGTTATGATACGGTATGACGTGTTTTTCTATAAAAAGTGAACAAAAGAAGTCTATTTGAGAAACAAATGGTAAATTTGATTGAATAGAATTTTTTGCAAAACTACCGTGACTGCCGTGATGCTGTACCACAATAAAAATCACACATTCACCTCAAACCAAGTTGTTAAAAAAACATAAATATTCTTGCTTAAGGGTGATAACAGTATGGTATATCAGACTGTATGGTACACTGATGTCTATAAAAATGGACAAAAGCAAGCAAGGATGCACTGATGTAGACATTTTGGGTCTTGGTAAGTCCCAACCATTTCCCCAACATTTCAAGAATTTTACTTCAGAATGGAAATGTTACTAAGCACTCCCGAATCATATGAAAAAATCTGCCTGTCCCTTTAGCACAAATCATTATCAGCTATGCCCAATCTATTAAGTCTGGATGGTGTCCAGTAGTACCTGTGTAAAATGTGACACTGAATGAATTTTCCTTTAACCTCTCTAATATTTCTGCCTATGCTTAACATGATTCTCACCCCCACATCATCAATATTACAACTCAGATATTTTTGCCATATTGTTTTATTTCCACGTTTCACTCATTAACTAATTAGATGCTCTAAAGAATACAGATCGTTGTTAGCTTCATGTTGCAGATTTAAGTATTTAGTCACAGGGTTACTTTCTCTGACCTTGAATTTATCCTGAATATATAATGCCTTATTTGTAAGTATTTCCAAAAGTTCTATCTCCACAGTTATATTTCTTTATAAAACTGGGATAGGACATTAATACCCCATTTTCATACAAATCACTAACAATATTTACCCCTTTAAATTGACATTGTTTTCAGTACAATGTTTGTTTACCTATTCATATTTCTGGATTATGCCAAAATGAGGCATATAGATGCTTAAAATCTGATATTTTAAATGCTTAATGAATTTTGGTCCAGACATATCTGGAGACAATATAGGATTTGAATTAACCTGGTTTGCTGTACGTTGTGAGAGGATGTCCAATGGATGATATGGTGAGGCCAGGCTTTGCTCTATAGATATCCATTCTAACATGGACTTCTGGCACCAATGTTTAGCCGACTTAGCTATGTCTCTTACATTCTCACATCAGATAGTATTACTTTAATTGTCAGTTGCTGGAGTGATGCTGGCACGTTGTTAAGAAATCTCTTACTTAGACTTGTTTATTGTTTTCTTTCTGCCTACATAAGTCTGGTGTAAAACTAACAAGGCAGACTTTGGACACCAGACATGCCTTGGCCGATCAGCTAATTTGGGGAACAGGGACAAAAGTCACTGAACTATTCCTTCAAACTCATTACTGAATAAATTTTTACATGTACAAATTACATGTAAAAATTGTACATGTAAATGTACATGTACATTCATATCATAGTCCTTTTTGTTTTAACTATCATGTTGTCCACAGGCTACGGCGATACAGGTTTCGTGCGGGTAGCACCAGTGACTCAGACCTGCTGACCTGTCTGGCTCAGCTGATGCAGAGCAGTTCAGGCCGCGCCTCCTCCCCACACGGCTCGCAGCCTACGGGTCCCAGGCTGGTGTGTGTCGGCCACTCAGCCACTCCTCACCACCACCACCATCATCACCACCAGCGCAGCTCCAGCGCCTCTCCCCGCAGCTACTCATCCCTGCAGCGCTCCGGCAGCTCCTCGCCATCCCGCCACGAGCCCCGCCCCGCCTGCACAGGACGCAGCCGCTCACCCCCCAGCTGCTCCGGCTCTCCACCCATGCGGCGCACGCACACCCACACCCCCCTGCATTCGCCCCGAGCCAAAGCCTGCAGCCGCGAGCCCAAATGCTCCAGCAAGCTGAGCAGATAGTCAGCCATCCCCTTCCCAGCACCGCCCCCCGAAAAAGCTCCTCTCGCTCGAATCACCAGCGGACCAGCACAGGAGATAGATGCTAGTGGGATCTGGAGCAATGGATCCTTGTGCTTGCTCTCGCTCCAGTAACAGTATAGCTTAAAAACAATATACAGTACTGTGCAAAAATCTTAGGCCACTAAGAAAACTAAATTTATAGTTTATAGAATTATTTATCAGGAAAAAAGCTTTTGTTCGCTCAGAAGAAAACTAACAGAATAAATACTAATAAACATTCATATGATAAATTGTCAATGTGTTAGCATAACAATGTGCAAACAGGTAGTCAAAACTTCATTTAAGTTAACTTAAAATCACTTAAGTTCACTTAGTTAGTTAAACATAACAAATACAGTATGATGATGAATCCAGGCGGTGGTTGGGGTTCTTAGAGGAGAACTGTAACCAACTTACAAGATACCAATATCTTTTTGAAAAGTTTGTGTTACTTTTTGTTGTATTAATCTTTATTTACATTAATGCTAATGTTAAATGGTGGTTTTAATGAACAAAAACATACTCTCTTCCCGGATTTCCCAGTTTTAAACAACTTTCTTGGCCACCCTAAGACTTTTGCACAGTAATGCATTTCATATACAGTATCCCATCTTACTACCACAGCTCTACAGTGTTCTACTCATTAGTTTTGAAGCCGCTTCCTGTGTGCCATTTAAGTTAGAGCAGTGATACTCAGTTTAGGACCCCTGTCCTGCATGTTTTAGTGTCTTTCCTGTTCTAAAGGCAGTGTGGTATGGCACGGTACTATTACTACAAACTCAGAACATCCATACTCTGGATGAGTACCTATGTCTATTTCCCATCGCATCGCAGAAACGTGAATGTAGGCAGGGTTCTGTGGAGGTCACATAATTTGTCAAACAACAGTAGTGTTAACAGTTAATACAGACATCAGTAGCAACTGTGGACAAGCTTCAGGTTCTGATATGCTGCACCTTTAATTCGGCATTTGGTTTTATGTGTAAGTCACAGACAGCGATTGTGACTAGCTTATGGTTTTTTTTTGGGGTTTTAATGGCAGTCATCCAGTTCAAGTGACTATTTGACGATTGTGTTTGACCAAACAGTGGTCTACACTACTTCTAGCGCCACCCTTATTGTACTCTCTGTACCCCAGCAAGAAAACTAACTACATTCAGCTTGAGTATGGCAGTGACAATGCCAAAAAATGTGAGATCACAGATTTATAACCATACCGTGTTGTACTGCACTGCCCAGTGGAAAAACGTCTCAACACATCTACTTCAACTCAGGGCTTGTTTATTAGCTTATTAGTTGGATCAGGTGTGTTAGAGCAGAGAAAACACCAAAATGCCCAGCCCCCGTTTCAATACCAGTTTTATCATGCCCTCGTCCACTTGGCCTCACCATTTCCCCCTCACAGGAATCCCAGACGCCATCTTAAGGACTGTTCTATTATTTTATTCCCTAAAGCGAAGGATGCTAGATAAGTCTTCTGAGGGGTGAGGGATCGAGTGAAAACGTCAACTTCAGCAGCAGAGCTTTCTTAGAAATTCAGTCTGATGCATTTTCCTTTACAAACCTGAAAATATAGCAGACAAAGCTGTTTATGTGCCGTAGCAGTAAACAACTTTAAATTCTTAATATTTCAATACCATAACATTCAAGTTGCTGAGCTGTAGTTTAAAAATTACTCCATCTGTTATACATGATTGCTGATACAACTTCATGACTTTACTCTGCTAGCTTGCTAGTTAGCACACTAAAGGCTGCCCAGCTAGCAGCAACAAAAAGAATGGCAACACGCCACAGTTCTAAAGCAAAGTTTACAGCCAGACAAAGCAGCAAATTTATGTTTTATGTTAAAACCTCTCAAAAAAAAAAAAAATAAATAAAGTTTTGCATTGCAAAGTGTGCATAGCTAGCCAATTAGCACACTGAGGCTAACCTAGCCGAGGGTGAGTGCATTCAGATTTAAAAATCTGCTCCTCACTGTACTCTCTTCCTCTTTTGGCGTGATTGGCCACTTATGTAACATAGGAGTGATGCAGGCAGTGAGTCAAAGTTGGCAAGGGCATCTTAAAAAGTGTTGAAACGGGACACAGGATTGGGAACCACTGAGTTAGACAATAAGAGAAAATGACGTCTCTCAGCTTTCTCCCCTCCATTCTGCTGGCAGCACTCAAGATGTTGGCTTTTTTAGAACAGTAAGGTAATGCCTGCTGTTGATGCTATAGGTTCTTATTGAAATGGCCAGTTTTTACATTTTGTTTTCAGGTGAGCTGTTGTAGTTTTAGTAATTTTTTGTTTTGACGTCAAGTCATTTCATGCAACTAGAACACTGATACAGACGTTTGCGTGTTCATGAGGTGCATGGGTTTGTGTATTTGCATCGAGCTCTGTACAACCTGTAATATAGTATTTATTGAAATATTTATTTGGGCTTGAATGCATATTGCAGTGGCAGGTACACTGACAGATCGGTGGAACTCTTTATAATTTGTCGATGCAATCGTTCTCTCTTTTCTATTTCCTTTCGTGTCTGTGCTCTTTGTAGCCCTTAGTGGAGGCGGTTTGTAGATAGTTGAGTGAAATGTGTAGAGTGTTAGTGTGAGGACCAGCCTTGTGATTTGTTTAACAAGAAATAGCAGTCAATGAAACAATCATTACAAGTGTTTGATGCACTTCTGTATGTGCCTAAGGAGGTGTTAATTTGGGTTGTGGATAAGCAAAGTTCAAAGTTTTGCAATTATTGTGATGGTGAGAAATTAGTTATTTACTTCTTTCCCCCCCCCCTCGCTCTCTCTGTCTTTCTGTCTTTCTCATGCTACACTGCACTAAATGTTTAACGGTACAAACCAACACTCGCCTGCATGCACACATCTGCATGCAGTACTCATATAAGCATTAACACCTTTTGGTTGATCCGCCTTGCACCCGAAAGCTCCTTGCGTGGTGATCCCTCTGAGTGCATGACCAAAGGTGTGTCCACCCTCTGGGCACACCAGGCACTATCTGTACACATATGCCGAATGTTCAAAGGGAATGTTTTATCCTTCGTTGCACACAGCACTGTTGGAATTGGAAAATCATCTTTTATTCATGTTGAGGGCAGAGAGGAAGAGAACATGTTGGTTTACACTCAACTTGTGGGTAGTGTGATTCTAAAATGCTTTGATGAAATTTTAAAAACAAAAGCAAGTGCTCTGAACTACAGGTCTTTCATTTTTGTGGAATGCCCAGAATGAATTCCAAAGCGTAAGATCCTTGAACGTGCTGAAAGATGGTTTTTACTATGGCATTGTATCTCTGCAGTCATTTAAAGTGATTTGTAAGGCCAAAAATTTAATTTACTCAAATTTACTATTTATTTCTCAAATAGTCTTCTTTTACTCGTTTTGTAGATGACAGTATGTCACACAGTCATATGACAATGTTATTATCCCCTTAGGCAATTTTATTTTAAATTACTTAACATCTCTAGTCAGACACACAGTCTGAGGCAAGAGATGATTTAAGCAAACAATTCCAGAGTGCCAATTTTCGAGGTATAAACTTTCATTAATTGTTCTGAACAAGTAGTGAAATTAAATTTTTCAGATTTAATATGATACAGTTGTGTCTTAATTTGGTACATTTGTCGATACTGCAAAAATATGGAGTGTCTGAAAATGTGCCTTACATTATTATTTTCATTTTTGCATTTTCAGTAGTGATGCATCAAAATGAAAATCTTTGGTACAGAAATTCAGGGCATGCTGGGCCGAAAACTAAAAACTGAGAAAAGCCAACAATAAATAAAAACGGTTTCTACAAAATGAACTAAATCATGTGCTGCAAAATGCATCGTCCTCAACAACAGAGAATGGTTGGTCATCCAAGGCAATGAATTCTATTATTTTAGTTATACTTTGCACTTTTGCACTGTCATTTATGACATTTTTCCATCATTTCAGAAACTGTGGCTACACGTCAATGTGCTAGAAGGCACTGTTCTTTAGGCTTTTGTTGTTTTTGTATTTAGTATAGTGAGGTATATATTTCAAGCGATGTAACACTTGTAATGGAGAAGTACCTCCTCTTGATTCTACTGTCCCTTGTAGAAAACATGAAATGGTTTCATGCTGCTGAAATTGTCACTGTTTATCTGCTACCGCTCAAACTGGTTGAACATGTCTGTGCTGAATAGCGCAGGTGATCAAACAGCCTTTGAAATTTCTCATTTTAATTACCATTAAAATGTTTTTTTTAAGTCTTAGTTGTAGGCTCATGTAATCCCTAATTTTAGCTTATTAGAGCATTCAACATTATAAGAGTGCTATATTTAAAATAAAAGCTTTCTAGTTTTCAAATTTAAAGCTCTAGCTACAAGCTAACTTGTTAGCCCCAAGCTAACACACTAGCCACAAGCTAAGGCGCTAGTCATGATACAGCAATACGGTATCATACGCTGTAATACAATTCGATACAATATGATGTTACATCTCAACTACAGTAGCCTCATAGCTTCAGTGCAAAGCTAGATGGAAATACACTCCCTGTATCCATAAATTAAGAAAATTGCGTACAATTGTATACATTTGATTTTCTGCCCAACAGTTACTTTGAACGATGCCCTTTAGGTTCTTCTTCAGTTCTGTCGTTAAAAATACACACAGTTAATTTACTCCAGGCACTGACCTCTCTGAAACCTCTAGTGTTTCCTCTCTGTCCTCACTATAATATACTGTCAGTATTTCTGCTTCATATACTACTCTCTGCATGTGCTCCAGAAAAAAAAAACACTCTAATGCATCTCCCAAAAGCTTGAGGCATATTGTCATCCTGTAAATAGCACTGTTAATGTTTAAGTTTTATATTTATCTTTTGTTAAATGAAAATTTTATCCCCAACCTCTTTGCTCTACAGTTTTCCAACCACTTTCATTCTGAATGAGCACTTTCTGAGGGTATATCTACATAAGTTGGGATGTTATAGTTGTTTAAAAGGATATGTATCTCTCTAAGCAAGCATACCTTTAAAGACTACCAAGTGTGCACAGTAAAAAGGTGAAATTGTATTTTTCTTGGCAATCAAATTCGGAGCATCTTGGGTAGCTGGAGAGATTTTTCCTGTCACTTGAGCAGCTAAACCCCCACTGCATTAAGACTCTGTCCAGCCAGATAGTCGCCTTAATAAGTGTGCATGTCTCCCCTCGGGGGTAGGGAGTGACTAGACAGTGTATTTTTAAAGGGACCAGCTCCATCAGAAACCCAGTCTGGGGCCAGAGGAGATTATACACTAACACCGCCACCACCAAGTTGCTATTTTGATCTAATCAGTGAGATTTTTGCAGTGGATGGTGCTCAGGATGAATATCCTACACAAAGTGCACAACTGGAGCTAGATATAGACACTTTAAGATTGCTTTCTAGAGTCATTACTTGAGATTTCCATTTAATATTCTGGCCCAGAGAGCTCTGAGAAGTTAGCACATTGATGAGGAGAGTCAGTCCTGTGTTGAGCCTCTAATCACGCATGCACTCCATAGAAACACAATAAGCTTTATGGTTGAGAGTCTATTTTGGGGACAGTTTTTTTGCATGTAAGTAGCATAATCGCTGTCATGGTAAAATCATGTATCTTTTTTTTTTTTAATGTTTTTTTTTTCCTGCATCATTTGAGCACAGCAGCTGTCCTTTACATTATGTGAAAATTTCACAATGAATGGACCAATAGAAATGTTCCAAAATGATTTAGAATAAAATATCTTTGCATTAACTTCTATTAAAAGTTAAGAACGTTTTTGCTTTCTCCTGTAAAGTTAGCATTTTGGAGAACATGCTTTTTTAGGACAGTGATGACATAAGAGCAGATTTATTTTACAGAGCTTTCATGATTCGCTACATTTATTGACTTCGGTTATAATTATAATGTGAAATTAATTTTTAATAGATTAAGGTTATGAAATTATGAAAAGATATTTTACCCTTAAGAACAGCATGAGAATATTGTGCCCCATCTACAGAGGAAGTAGGAATAATGAAACCCTTTACTTGCTGTAGTAGAAAATACTGTAGTGCTTTACATTTCTGTGAGACCGCTCTGTTTGCTCTTTTTCTGCTGGCTGTAAAGCAGTCATCTTATTTGTCCTCTGACAGTCAGACAGTCTGCATTTGTTAGTATATTAAAGTCTCAATCTTTTTATAAAATCTTAAAGCATAAGAAACCTGTATATCTGTATATCACTGCTTCTGCCCTCACTGCATCACCTGCTGTCTGTTTCATCTGACTTTATATCGTCTCCCCTCACTGAGCCTGAAGAGAATGGAAATGTGAGCTAAATGAATGTTCCAAGGGGCCAAGTCCTCTATTACTGACAAGTGACCATGATGAATTCTCTAACAGTCTGATTTATTGTAATATCTGCTGATTATAGTTTTGCTTATATTAATATAGTTTAATTCACGTTCTATTTGTTTTATAATCTTGGTCACAAGAATTGAGACATTACTGTACAGCCTCAAAAAAGAAAAAAGTAATGTTAAAAAGGGAGAGACTCCATTGTACATTATTGTAATTATTTGTGTTATTTTTCATTTGTATCATATCAATGCCTTGTACAGTGTTGGTTTTCTTTTTTTCATTTGAAATTGTTTTGTATTTTATTTTTATAAACTGGTTATGAATAAAATATTCATTCAGCATGCCAACAGATCTGATCCTATGCTGCTGGTACTGTGTGCAGTTTCTAAGCTTTTGGAAGGCTGTGCCTAGCATGGACCACTGCTTCATGAGATAAAAGTACTTTTCCTATGTAGTATGAATATACTGGCAGTGTATATCTAAATATATGCAAGTATAGTATCAATCAAATTTCAGATTGCTTGATTAGAATTTTTTTTATCTACGTTGCCATTTTATCCACATTACCTCCAAATATGAACTGAAAAGCAATCTGATTATTAAACTAGTAGTACTGCATGCATCTTCACAGACAATATTAAGTTACACATTTCTGATATGATCAGACACTGTGGTTTGTTCAAGGTTGTTTCCACTCTGGCTTGATAAGATCAGAGCCAACGGCTCTTAAGCTTAAATAGATTGTGAATCATTCTAATTTCAATATTTTGCAGCTAATAAGGAAGGAAGATGGAATAATAACAGATGTTTGCATAATAAATAAATCAATATATAAATACACACACAAACATACCTCATTTAATGCATTATTTTACATCTGGACAAGAAAAAGTGTCAAACGTTGACACCTGAAGGACACTGGAAATGGAAGGAGCTATGACTTGTAAACTGAGTAAACTGTAAAATTATTTTGCAAGGACTGAAACCAAAGCAGAATGAAAAATAATGTTGGAAGCCCCTGTACTACATGGGTGTGGGAGAAACTGCTGAATCTAATTTACATTTTTAACCAGAGCTGCTTCACTGCTTTAAGCAGTTTGCTATAGTTCAAAAAAGCCATGTTGTCAAAGTGCAGTCTTGAAGGTGGAACCTTAGGGCTTAGAAGATGCACTGTGACATGGGGCCACAGTAAAATTTCAGAAAAAAACACAAGAAGTGAATGTTGAAAATAATATACAGCGTCCCTCTATTTGAAATGCAACAGAATCATACTAGTTTCCCTAAAAAGTTGCTCTCCTCTCCAATCATATTTATTCCAATTACATGCAAAATGAAAAACGTGGCACCTGAGAAGGACCTTTATTTTGAAGACAAGCCATATAGTTTCTAACTTCACGGGAAAAGCCATTCCCGCCATTATGTTACCTGGGTAACGAAAATGCTATGGCAAAATCTGACGTAGCGGTTTATTTGCAGGAACGCTAATGTCACACAAAACACCAATTTTAATGAATTTAAATGAACGGTTCAAGAATGGACTTAACGATTAATTTAAACTCTCTCGGATTTGAGGCTGGACTCAGTGAGGGTGAAAAAGAATTGACGTTTCTGCGCAGTCGGTCAGCAGGTTTGACTGTTAGTGGATGCGGGCATGCAGTGTTTCTATGTGGACTTGCCACTACAGTGAGGTACATGCGCAGATAGACTGCTAACTCATGTTAAATCAGTTATCTATAAATAACCTGCGGGGTTGTTGTTCACATGGTCACATCATCCATATGATCATAATCAAAATTTAATACTGTGCCATGTATTTTCCTGCAGGGAGAAATTAAGGTACCTGACTAATAAATCACGCCTGCCTGGCCTAAATCTAGGTATTATTGGAGGCGGACACGTTGGCAAACAGTTGACAAAGGTTTTACTAACTTTGCCTGGATTTAAATCATCTAACATCAACATTTCAACCAGAAGGCCTGACACACTGAGTGAGTACTAAAATCAGCTGTACTATTTTTTTTTTCAACCAGCAGACATTTTGCTGTTTTCTCTGAAAGTTTTTACCCTACAGTCTTATCATCATTTAAAAACTGGTCAAAAAATAAAATACATATATTAGCACCTTTTTTGAACCTGAAACCTCACTTTTATTGACTACTAGTTACTCTAGCTATTTCACTTCACTTTACTTATGAGGATACAGTCATTGTCATTGATGAGCTCAAAATGACATGGGAGATGAACTCTTTTATAAAATGCAATGTCCGCCTCCTTCTCAGTTGAGCTGTGCTTTTTATTTTCTTTAGTAACATTAATGGAATATATTTCATTGGAAATGTGTTTGATTTACAAAACTGGAAACTAGATTTTCATCTTTGAGGAGTGAATAAACAAGTCAACTTTATGATAGTATTTTTACAGTGTTCAGATGTTTTTATGGCAGTTGTATATGACTTTTGATATCAACAAAGCTGTAGTATTGTTTTTGTTTCTGCACAGTCGTCTGGGGAGAGGTATGAATTGCTTTCACAGTAAGGAGGTTTCACCTTCATAGCTCGCTAGCAGCTCAACACAGTCAACATTTCACATACAGAGGACCAACAATGTCCTAATTAGGGAGAAAACATTTTATTTGATTATATTGATTAAAAATATCTGAGTCAATCCACAAGGGGCTCTGCAGAAAGAGCATCCATCGTCTGTCTTTTATTGTAGAGGAATTCTCCAATAGCGGGGTGAAGTGTTACTTCGACAACCGCAGCCTGGCCGCTTGGGCAGACATACTCTTCCTCTGTGTGCTCCCCTCTCATCTGCCTCGAGTGTGTGCAGAGATTCACTCTCAGCTGCCTGCACACTGCCTTGTGTACAGTTTCACCACTGCTCTGCCGTTACAAAGGTATTACTGCACATATTATCTGTCATGTTCTCAGCATACTATACTAATCAGCTTATAATTTGTCCACTATTTTAATAGAGTATTTTTAATAGACAAAACTGTTCTGGAACTGTGTGCTATGAAAATAGATGTCTGTATTTCTGGCTTTTTTTCTTCTTCTCAGGCTTGCACGACTCCTTGGCCACAGTTTTGTTCTGAAACCCCGTTATGATTTTGTAGCCTGTGATTCAGCTCTGATGTGGCTCCGCCATAATCAAATGATGACAGCTTTAAAGGATGAAGAAGTGCTGACAGCATCATGCCCACTTTCAATGAGTGGTGAGTTGAAATCCCACAGAAAAACTCTTCTAGAACTGTGTTTAGTGTGATATTAAATGGCATTTCATTTTCATTGTCTCTGTCAGGTGGGCTTTCATTGGATCAGAGGTGGGTGTCTGCTGTGCTGTACAGTCTCCTCAACATGTGCACTGCTGAACGATTGGGGTTCAGCCAAGCCGTCCATCTGCTCAATGAGCTGTTTCAGACCAAACCCTCATCCGGGACCTTTACCTGTCAAAGCTTTGTCAACTCATCCTGTGCAGCTACACTTACTAACTCTGAGGAGTGAGTGTCTATAAATTAATTACAGAGACTGTAAACTATTGATAGTTTACCAGTTTCTTACTTTTGAAATTACCCATACCTCTCAAGGACACATTTTAATTTAAAGTATATATATAACCCCGTTTCCAAAAAAGTTGGGACAAAATAGAATGAAATTATATGCAAATCATATAAACCCTATATGTAATTGAAAATTACCATTTTGAATTTGATGCCAGCAACACATTCTAAAAAAGTTAAGACAGGGGCATGTTTACCACTGTGTTGCATGACCTTTTCTTTTAACAACACTCTGTATGCGTTTGGGAACTGAGGAGACCAACTGCTGTAGTTCTGAAAGTGAAATGTTTTCCCATTCTTGCTTGATATATCATTTCAGCTGCTCAATAGTTTGGGGTCTCCTTTGTCATATTTTTCATTTCATAATGTGCCAAATGTTTTCAGTGGTGACAGGCCTGGACAGCAAGCAGGCCAGTTGAGCAGCTGGATTGTTTTACTGTAGAGCCATGCTGTTGTAATATGCACAGAATAAGCTTTGTCATTGTCTTGCTAAAATAAGCAAATCTTCCCAGAAAAAGACATCATCTGGATGGCAGCGTATGTCACCAAAACATGTATATATCATTCAGCACTAATTAATGGTGCCTTCACAGATGTTCAGGTTCAACCAGGCCATGAGCACTAATACACCCCTAAACCATCATTGACGCTGGCTTTTGAACTGTGCACTGATAACAAGCCGGGTACTTTTAAGTCTGGAGCACACAGTGTCCATGGTTTCCTAAAAGAATTTCAAATTTTGATTTGTCAGACCACAGGAGACTGCAGGACACTTTTCCACTTTGCCTCATCCATCTTAAATGAGCTTGGGCCCAGAGAAGGTGGCAGCATTTCTGGATCCTTTGCATGGTAAAGTTTTAACTTGAATTTGAGAGGCAGCAAACAAACTCTTCATAGACAAATGTTTTCAGAACTGTTCCCGAGCACATGCAGTGATATCCACTATAGAATCATGTCTGTTTTTTTTTTTGATTTTACCCAATTATCTCCCCAATTTAGTTGTCTCCAATTCCACCCGCTAGTTAGGACTCCCCCAATCACACGATACTACCAACGCTGGGAGGGCGAAGGCTAGCACAGGCTTTCTCCGAGACCTGTGAAACCAGCCACCGCATCTTTTCGAATTGCCGCTCACGCAACGTCATTGGACAGCTGAACACACTCGGAGGAAAGCGCACAACACCAGATCTGTTACGTCAGCTAACAGACGCCTGGGCTGACTAGCATCGCTAAGGGGAGCCATCCTACCCACCCAGAGAGTGAGGCCAATTGTGCTCTCTTGGACTCCCGGCTACGGATGGCTGTAGCGTCACCAGGGACAGGGCCAACGCTTAGACAGTTGCGCCACTCGGGAGCTGAATCATGTCTGTTTTTAATGCAGTGCTGCCTGAGGGCCCAAAGATTATGGCCAGCCAATATTAGTTTTGCATACTCAGATTTATCTGGATTCTCTGAATCTTTTAATTATGTTATGTACCGTAGATGATACAATCTCAGAGTTCTTTGCTATTTTATGTTGAGAAATGTTTTTCTTGAATTGTCGCACTATTTGCCTGTGCAGTCTTTCACAGACTGACCTGCTGCAAATTAACCACCAGGTGTTTTTTAGCATTATACAACCTTACCAGGCTTTCTTTTGTTATCCCTGTCCCAACTTTTTGAAACATGTTCCTGGCATCAAATTCAATGTGCACATGTTTTTCAGTAAAACAGTTTCTCAGTTTGAACATTTGATATGTTGTTTTGAATTAATATAGGGTTTAAATGATTCACACATCATTGCCTTCTGTTTTTATTTACATTTTGCATGGCAAAAACAGGGTTGTATTTATATAAAACATAAAAATAAAATGTCTCATTCATTATCATTATTGCTTGTTTCTTGTTCTGCAGGCCTTTTCCTTGGATCAACTTGATCGATGCACAGACAAAGCAGACCCCCTTGTCTTCTTGTCTAACAGCATCTAAAGTTTTACAAGACTGCATTTCTGCAGTGTATCATAAAACATTTTCTGGCATGTCATCTGCAAAGAATGAGATGAAAGAGTGAATCATAGAAGTGCAAGTAGAAAAACAGTTCTAAGCAACAACAATTGTTTAATATTTTTGCTTTATGTAGCACATATTTTAGTTGTATTGGAATTAATACAGTTGCCTTATTAACTAGATCTCAAAAGACCAAAAGTAAACTGCAGCCTAAAATAAATGCTAATTAAGCCCAGGGGAGTAATGAGTCTGTGAGTCAACTATTTTAAATCTGCTGTGCCTCAATTAGCACCACAATAGTACTAAGCTCTCTAGAGATTCCCTAGCATTTGTGGCTCTGTGGCTGTAACAATATATTTTATATATTTTTGTTATACCAAATTCAAATTTAGATACAAGAGTAGAAATGGTAGGAAACTGAAAATGACAGATATATTTCAAGATGTCTATAAATGAAAGTGACCATTAAAGATTTATGCATTCAGTCTTTCTGGATTTACACTTTCTTTTAGGCACTTTTCACAGAAGAGTTGGGGTGCATGTATAAATAGTATGACTATCGAGAAATAGTGAATAACCAAAATTATAAATTATATTTTTATGTTAAAAGTGTTTTCTTCTTCTTATTCTTATTAGTTGTTGTTGTAGTAGTAGCAGTAATTGTAATAACTTGCAAGGAAATAATTTTCCAGTGAATTAGGATGGCGTGACTTTGGACAGGAAGAACAATAATACACAACGCATCACAACACAATATTATATTAACCTTGTAATACACAATTAAACCACTTTTCCGTGTTCACTGGGACTCGTATTATGTAAAGCATTTGCGTAGTTGCGGTTCTGTTGTGGGGGCCGCTAGTCCTGCCCTCCTCCTCCTTCTCCTCCTCCTCTTCCAGCTTGTCACACGTCAGGCAGGCTCAGTTAGCCAGCAGGGCTCAAGCCGCTCGGACTTTTCTACCGAGCATCACAGGACCAATTAAGGTAAAGCTGGAGTGATTAGCACATCATCGGGAATCCACGGTGTACCTTTCGGCGGTAATGTAGGTAAAAGCAATTAATGAATCAGATGTTTGCTGCGGTTTGTGGATTTTACGTTAATTTGCTCCCGGCTAGTTAGCTAACGGTCGGTGTAGAAAAGTCCTTTTTGCTAACTGCGTTTAGCTGAGATTGTTCCGTACGGGCGATTCTTTGTTGAGCAGGATTTGTGGAGCTGCTGTTTGTGTGCGCTAGCTAACTCTTCCTGTTCAGTACGACGACGTACGTTACAATTCCAATAATATAATCCTTACTGTCACTATGATTGTGTATTAAAGCTGAGTTACCTGAAGACGACAATAATGATGAATTCGTGCGGATGTCTTTATTGCAGGCTGACAGTGTCGGTGGTAGTAAAGCTTCGCTTGATATGACGGTAAGTTTATTTTCCTTAACGGTAGATAACGTTAGCTTAGTATGTCTGTGTATGTGATTTGTGTGTGTTTGGTGTGTCTGTGCTTTGGTGTTTCAAACTTTAGTTCTTGGCATTCTAGAGATGGAGAAACTAGAGGCCACGTCGGAGCTCCAGTCGAGGCTGTCGTCCCTCTCTGTTTCCTCTTTCTCCGGTATAGCTTCGAAAAACTGCGACTCAAACCCACTCGACAGGTACCAGCGTGGCATTTTAACATTACATATGTGGTAATTAGGTTTTACCACACAAATTAAAGATTAAGTTCATTTTAATGCATGATTTCTTCCGTTGTATGTTAAAAGACGGTTCCAATGTGCATAAAGACTTTTACTTGAATTGAGTAAAACTAAACCCCCGTTTTCCTTCCTGAAGACTTCAAAGCACAGATCTTTCCCGAACAGTAATATACCCTGACAACCAAACCAAAATGGATGACAACAGCAATACCAAAGGATTACAGCAACCCACTGAGGTATGTTGTCTTGCTCGAAGCACTTTATTTAATGATTTCTGTCCTTCTTTTGTTCTCTGTTTTAAGGTGTTTTTTGATCTTTTTTATTTCTGGGTTGTCAATAGGATGGAGAGGCCCCCTCTGAGCCAGCTGCAGGGAGGGACACGCCGGAGAGCAACACCAATGAGAAAAGCTCACTCCCTGGAGAGAAAAAAGGTTAGCGCGCCTCCTCCTAAAGGACCTGTGCTAAGTTCTAGTAACCTTCTCATCATCTTTCATCATGGTCCTCTGAGAGCATACTGTTTTAAAAAAGACATCCCAATCTTAGACACGTTCCCTCTTGGGGAATTATGGCAGATCACACAAGACGCAATAGTGTTGTTTGTCATTATGCCTTGAGTGATTGTCATTTATTTTAATCTGTTTTTCTCACCAAATTTAGTCAGTTTCTGGTGTGAAGATGTTGCTTCAAGCATAGTGTCAGACTCACAGATATACATGGACGATCTGATATTTATTGCATGCAAAACTGGCCGATCTTGGGATTTTGTCAGATCCATTCTGATTGGGTGTGCACAGGTTTTAATCTCTCTAACAGGGAATAGACTTTTGCAGGAGGATGAGTACGAGTTTTTTGCACGCCAACATGCAAATTTCTAGCTGTTTTCAATGGACAAGATGCATTTTGCTTGCTGTTTTTCTGCATGCTGAGGGCCTCAACTTTTATGCTTCAGGCACCCCAGGTTAAAAAAAAAGTTTGACTCTAAGTGGTTGAATAGTCATACTTTCTTCGGTGTTGGTCTGTCAAATTAAAGGTAAGGCAGGGCTTCAGTGACGATTGTAATAAAAAAAAAGATTAGTGATCACAGTCGAAAATCATGACATAAACAAAAAAGCGGCTTACTTTCAGTTTAGCTTGTTTTTGCTGCCTGCACCATATTTCTTAGTTAATAGTTAAAGTTTCTGATTGTGCAAATCGAAATAATGTCTTGCTAGCATAGCTGACTAACAGTTGTGACACCATTATTGCTTGGCAACAGCGAGAGAAGCAGCGCTCGCAAGAAAAATGCAGTGTGAATCTCCAAGAAAAAAGACCAGGCAGTGTGCCTCACGTTATTCTGCTTTCTGAAAAAAATGCATTGTGAACTAACACCCTCCCCCTGCCAATTGTTGTTTTGAAAAAAAAAATGGAAGTTCATGGTATCATATCTTTAAAAAATCTTTAACTAGTAACCCAGGATATTCTTTAATATTTGCCAGTGCATACTGCTTTGTTGCACATGGGTGTGTCACTTGTTTCTACACACTCACACTGCAGCAGTAGCTTATGTTTGGTTATTTTGTATGTCAGTTGAACGGTAGTAGAACAGTAGTACTGTTGGTCCCCTGATTTGTATTAAATTTGCGAACAAATCTTGCTCATAATCTACAATTATGAAACAAAGTAACACTGGGGAGTGCTTCACCCTGCTCAGAGTTTAATGCTAGATCTGTGACAGTCTAGGTAATGCACACTGACTGAGGAGAGAGGGACCCTGCTGCTCTATCTCTCCTAATAAGAACATGGTCCATTGCACTCTCAGGAATTCATTGCCACAGATGACCTTACTTTATTTTATTTCATCCTATTGCAGCTTTACCACCACTGGCACCAGCCAGCACATGGACCTCTTTATCCCTGAAGGAGCTGAAAGCTAAGTTGCGTCAGGAGAAGGACAGCGTGGTGACTGTGTACCGTGGTGACATTATGACCGTCCACGTACCTACTGTACCCGAGGCCAAGCGCGTGTGCTGGGAGTTTGCTACAGATGGCTACGACATTGGCTTTGGGGTTTACTTTGACTGGTCTCCGGTCACCAGCCGAGCCATTACTGTACACATCAGTGAATCAAGCGATGATGAGGATGAAGATGATGAGCTAGAAGGTGAGGGAATGCTTCCTGTCTGATTTCCTACCTTTGTTTTGTTGGTAAAAACTAATAGTGTCATATTATCCAAAACCCGTTAACAGACTGCTGAAATGGAAACAGTTTGTACACGAATAACATAGACTTTTTGTAGGGTTAGACGATGTATAATGTGTAACTCGTTGTCTGGATATTGGATTCTGTGATACAGCTAATGCAGAAGATCACAGATTTATTATTTATTTTATTGTATTCTGATTGATTTTAGATGGGATTAGAGGTGTAAAGAAAAAATTATTCAAATCAGAAAAACGCTCCTGACAGTCTACGATATGGCTGCATTGATTTACAAGCCTAGATCTGGTTTGAATCTAGAAGAAAACTTCTAAAAACCAATACAGCTACTGCAAATCAAGGTACTTGACAGTCAGCGCTCAACTGGCTCACGCATGGGTGCGAGAGAGAACGATAGAAATGTCTGATGAGAGAGAAAGATGGGAGCATCTAGGTTACGCAAAGGGGAGCCTGCAGCTAAAGATGCAACAAGTAACGCTACCATTAGTAGTTTCTTCCTGAACTCATTTCCCCACACTTCTTGCCAGTCAGAGGCAATAACTGAAGCCATCAGTTACTTTATTTGCAAGGACGTGTACCTCTGTAGCGCTACAGAAGATGTTGGATTTAAATACGCTGGAACCCAGATACACAATATCGAGTCAGCAACATTTTAGTGAAATGTGCACTGTGTGTGAATAAAAATTCCTTTCCTTTCTGCTTTCCTTGATTTTGCCTTGAGTTTTGTAGTCATGTGGATCCACACGCTAGTCAGTTCTGCCAGTACATATTAGGGATGCACCAAAATATCTATAGCCATTGAAACGCTTCAGCCGAAAATGGTCAAAAATGGCACCTTTTTCGCCAAAAGAGACAAAACAAAAAATTAAGTGTTAAAATCTAACACCTGACAAATCATTTGAATGATAACAGAAATGAGAAACAGTGATTAAAATCACTGTGGGTTTCCTTCGCTGGTCAGTGCAGAGGCATTTAAGTTTGAGTTGCAGCAGGTAAACAGTGTAGGGGGTGGGAGGGGGGTGGGTTGGCCATGTGGAACTCTTTCACAACTTCTATAAGGAACGTTAGACGAGCAATTTATGATTGTGCATCCTGAGTATCAAGAGAAGATACAGTTTGGTATCAAGTTTGATACCGCTTCAAAACACAACATCCCATTTGAGACACAAAACACAGCAGAAGCAGAAAGGAAAGTTCCTGCTAGCATGCCTATAGCCACAGTTTTTTGAAAAAGAAAGATTCACAAGTCACAGTGAAACACAAAGTCTAACTAAAAAAAAATTAGAATTCATTGCCTTGAATGAGTAACTGTTCTCTGTTGTTGAGGACATTAGATGTCTTAGGCACATTCTTAGGTAGTCTATACTAAGTGTACAAAGTTTATTTTAAGTAAACTTTTTATTTATTGTCAGTGAAGTTTTGTCCTATTGAATGCAGATTTTATTAATAATAACTGTACTTTATTACCAACAAAACCCTTACTTTTGGGATTCAGTTTTCAGCCAGATTTGTGTTGTTTCAGTTTCAGCCAGAAATTTTGATTTTAGTGCACCTGTGTATATATAGTGACACCATGGGCTGCATATCGGGCAAAACCAACCACTGCAGATAGAATAGAAAGATTCACTAAACTTTTCAAACACAGACCCCTGTCAGGAATTTAGCAAGTAGCTTTAACAACCAATGGACTGATGTTGTGTTCAGTTGAGTCTTATATTACAAATACAGCTTATTTCAAATTACAGCTCAACATTTCTCCTGATTGATAACCTGTATTGCATGCACAGCCCATTAGGACAAAATCAGAGAATCTGACAACCACAATGTGGGTTATTTTTAAATTACTTAATGTAGTACAAAGAGAGTTAATGTAGTGTTTTAAAATAATCAGACAAAATAAAGACAATGTTTTGAAATTGTTACAAAGTAAAAACTAGGATACATAAAATTATGTTGAGTTTAGCTGATCTACATCATATTTAATCATACCTGATTCAGATCAGTAGTGAATCAAACTGTATTGACTCTTTACTTGTTTAATTGTGTTGTAAACTGTGCACCGAAATTCGTATCGTCTTAAAGAGAGAGATTCACACCCCTAGTTTAGATGTATCAAGACTTTCCAGTGATGCAAAAATGTAAACCTAAATCATTTTGGGCAAAATAATGTGAGTTGTGTTGCAAATGTATTGTAGTAGAGCAACATGTAGCAGTATAAGTGCAGTGTGGTATTGTCCACATTGTGCAGCCTTGATTACTTGTAATGCATTAAAACACCAATATGTAGCTCAATATTATAATATTACAATATTAAATAAGCTGAGGTTACTGACTGTAAAACCGTCATATGAATTAGACCATAAGGCTATAAGTGTGGTGTTTTTTAGCAGGGCCTGTGGTTCCTGGAGATGTGGAGAAGGGGTCTAAAACGGTGGCCAATTCTAATTTGGGAGAGATCCTGCCTGTGTACCGTCAGGACAGTCACCTGGCAGTTCAAGGAGGCAGTCACGACTTCCCTGGAGAAGGCACGTACCACCTAAAGTTTGACAACTCCTACTCATTATGGCGGAATAAGACTCTGTACTACAGAGTGTACTACAGTGCCTGAGGAACCAAGTGCACCTGTGCAAATGAATGTTTCAATGATATATATTTTTGATCATATATATATTATATATATTTACAGCACTGTATACATATCGTTCCTGCTATTCTTAATTTGAACATTAATTTTATTTAGATGCAATCACTGGCCCAATCAGATCAAACACTTTTTGCTAGTCTTTATGAAATGTTTTTAAACTTGAGTGGGATCTTGCAGTTTGGTCTATGTGCAATGTGTTCAGTGTATGTTTCAGATGCTCTGTGCAAAGAATTTGTGAAGTGCCCGTATATGTTTGCCTCAGTAATCAGGTAGTACAACGGTTCAGGGAAAGATGGTTGTTCAGGTGAAATGATTGTTCACCACTGTATGGTGAATAAGGAAGCACATGGAGAAAGCCAGTGTGTTGAGTCAGGTGAGGACAAGTACAAAAGCCTTTTTACATGTTTATATTCAGGTTCTAGAATGGTTTGACTTGCATAAGATGTATTCTTGCATTTATTTCAGTAGCCTTACATTACCTCTTCTACATATTAATAAATGTTCTCATATCAGTGCACCTACAGAAAAACAGCAAATCAAGACATTAAGAGTTATACGTTTCAAATCACACTTTAACTTAAAGATTTTCTGACTGCAGACAAAACAGCTATTAAATCAGTCGCCAGGGATACAACTCCAGCAACTGGTCACAGTCTGCCTTTTTATGACTTAAGTGGAGACCATTTCCGTCATGAAAAACTAGTGCGTTACATAACTGATTCAATATTTACAAGGCCCCAGTACCATTTTTCTGGGTAGGGGGGGATGGGGCGGTCGGGCGGTTCAGCACCTGTTTAGTCTCTGAATAGTCAGGTCTTCGTAGATGTTGACATGTGCCATTAAACAATTTTAGAAATTTATTACGTGTTTTACACATGCAGCTTTCTGTGTGTCTGGTAAATGTGCAATGTGTTACACAAAGCTTTATGTTGAAGGCTGTAGTGTTGTGTCAATATTTTTCACGATTTTGTTTCTGTGGATTGTCCAAGAATACCAAATCGCATTGTGTTGATGTGACCTGTTTAAGACAGCGCTATGATGAGGGCAGCAAGCAGCAGCCCCAGGGAGCGCTCTGCTTGCGCACCTGCATCCAAGGTGTTCCCACACGCACCACATTGTGACTTTTTGCATGTCTCCAAAGGGACTATTGCGCTGCTGAAATACCCAAAACTGCCAATGTGCTTTCTTTGTCGACCATGTTTCTGTCCTTCTTTGTGATATGTGGATATGATAATTTGTCTTATGCTTTTATCTGCTCTTTTTCTGCCTTTTGTCCAATAAATATTGTTAAACAAAAAGCAGATTGTTTTAATTATGTTCATGTCCCTTAATAGAATAGTTTGTCAAATTTACAGTTTACTGCTTCACCTCACATGTGGATCAGCTAAGACATGTTTAGTAGGCTCAGGGGGAAATTGTGTAAATTGTGGTGGCCAAACTACCCATTTAACGTTTACAGTATCAGTCAAAAGTTTAGACACCCACTAGAAAAAGGGGTTACCTCCCTTTACCATTTTCCACATTTTAAAGCAGTGAAGACGTCCAACTTTGTGAAATAAAACATGGAATTATGTTGAAACCAAAAAAGTGTCAAACAAATCTAAGCTTTTTTTTCTATTTTAGATTCTTATAGAAATAAATTGTCTTGATGCTGTCAACACTCTTGGCGTTCTCACAAGCAGCTTCACAAGGAGCCAGCTGAGACAAACAGGCTTGAAGAGGATGAACATATACTAAGACCTTGTTGTCTAAAATGTCTGTGTTGTGAAAGGTTTCACACACAGGCATCACCTTAACTTCTTGTATTTGTCCTAGAAATGTCCTTAGTATTTAAGCATCAAGCTTCAGATTAAAAGATCTTTAAAATTAAGAACTCAAACTTTTGACTGGTAGTGTACACCTTATTTTTTAGATTTTCTCTGGCCAAAGTAAAATAGAACCAATGTGTGGTCATGGAATTTCAGTGGCCATTTCAAAGAAAAGCCTTTCTGGGGGTTATTTCAAAAAAGTGGGATTTCTGAGTTTGCCAAAAGTCAAGTCTGTCCAGCAGAATGAGAGGTCAGGAGCGTTCCTACTGGGCAATATTCGCTTTTAAGTTATCCTGGTTACTGAAAATACAATTGCGATATACTCCAATGACAGCAACACAACATGTACACAATCTGAAAAACTCCATTGTTCATGATAAATGAATGAGTGTTGGCGGGTCTTTGCTGGTCATGCTGGGGGCGGGGCCACATCTCTGCGGGACGCAGTAGTGAATGAACCCGATTTAAAGGAAGACTGTAGGGTGCTAACATGGGGTGAAGGTGAAGCTGAAGCTGTTTGGCTGCTCAACCTCAGCACGGTCATGGGGAAAGTACACTTCTATGCACTGTGGTCGTTACATGAAGCACCTCGTCAGTTTATCAGGTGGGTTTTTGGCGCAGAGAGTCATCAGCGTTTTTAAGGTGTAAAACGAGCATGTCTGTGTTCTTTGCTAATGTCTGTTTAGCAACGTGAGTCGCAAAAGCTACCAGGTTCAGATGCCGCTGCCTTTGCCCAAGCAGCTGGTGGTGTTCAGTCTGGGAGAATGGACCTCATTTTCTTGTGAGACAACAGTGTTAATTGAGGTATCAGTGAGCCCTGACGTGAAGCCGCAGAAAATTGGGATTCTCTCACCACATTCAAGGTAGCAACGGATAAAAAAACCTGCCTAATCTAAAATGCCTGCCTGGGGTGTGATACTTACCTTCCGCTTCACCTTTCAGGTGCCTGGTCTGGGAAGGTGACTGGACTCTCGACCTTTTAGCTGAATCAATAGAGAAAAGTAGAAGAGGTGTATATGCAAAAGTGGTGCTCACTGTTTGTGGAGAGGTATTTCATCTTTTTTTACAGTCTCCCACAAGTTTGTTCTTCCCATAGTTAAACTACATGGTATTTGTTTTGTGCTAGGCCTAATATCTTGGGCGGTTCTATAAGGGGGCGGGGCTTAGACGAGATGACGCACCAGCAGCTGAAACCACATGTAAAGTCACGGTCAGGAGTGGAAAAAAGTACAGAGACTACACTTAAAGGGGAACTCCACGTTTTTTTAAAAAGAAATTCTACAATGTTAACTGGGCGAGATGTAAACAAAGTCACTCAGAGTGGTTTGATGTGAAATGCTCCGTTCTAGAGAAACTTGCAGAGTCAATTGTTCACAGTGGTGGTGACCGGAACCAGACTTCTGAAGAATTTAATGCCTCTTAAAGCTCCCTCACAGAAAATCGTTACATGGAATGGTTAGATATGCGCTACCTGATGTCTGACACGTTGCTCTATAGTTTTGGGATAAAGATTTGGTGTAAAATGTATTTTAATCGATTTATTGTAATGCATCACTGGCAGAGGAGTACATGCAAGGCAAAATAGTCCCCAGAGAAAACTTACTTTTTCAGATTTAGCACTAATTTTACCGTTATTAACATTACATATAGAAACTCAGAAGACATTTGTAGGTTCACTTGTGATTTTATAAAGTAAATAGAATGGTTATTTTTTGTGTTGTAGACATTGTAACTGTGACCCCGGCTTCCAAACAACACCACTGTAAAGAAATCTTTATTTTGTAGTTCCTCTACAGTTAACCACTTCAAACCACTCTGCTTGCATCTCAAGGACTGAATTAAGTACATACAAGGAAAATATAAATGGCTTTACACAATTAAGAAGCTGTTGGTGGTTGTTATTGTTCTGTTCTTTTTACATTGAAGTAACGTCAAAGGGGAATTTTACCAAGTCATTTAGAGTGGTTTGATGTTAAATGGTCCATTCTAGAGAAACGTAAAGACTTTCCTTTCAATGGTGGTGATATGAACCAGAGGCTGCATTGCCTACAGCAGAGTTGAACAATGTGGGGGACATATCCAATTGCAGTTTTTCCAATATTGTGACACACACACACACACTCTCTCTCTCTCTCTCTCTCTCTCTCTCTCTCTCTCTCTCTCTCTCTCTCTCATTATCTATATATATATATATATATGTGTCCACATTAATTTACTCTGTTGTTTGTGATGTAGGTGAGAGCCAGCTTTGTTAGCAGTACACCGCGGGTGTCAAGAAAACGACTACCTTCCAGCCAGTCCTCCAGCTTCTGCCAGACCCTTCTAGGCAGTGGTAACAATAACAATGTGAGCCTCTCCTTAATTTAATTCACTGTACACTTAGAGTCACAAACATTGCTGTCATGAGTCTAGTTTTTGTAGCAGGTAAAGTGGACAAAAGTCAGTGTCACGTTCAGACTTTTTTCACCCCCCCTACCCCATTATCTGCTACAGTTTGATTATGGGGTAGGGGGGATTTGATTGTGTTTTAATATTACCAATAGCACTTAATCAAAAAGGCTGGGTTTTAAGAAAGGAAATTACCAACTATGTCATTTTGCTTGAGGTTTTTTTTTTTGTTTTTTTTTCTTATCAAGATCACTTCTCAGAGGTCGTCACCTGAGGACACTGTTAGTTATGCCGAGCTCCAAACGAGCAAGGGGGAGACACAGAACATGAGTCTTGGAGTGTGGGCTGTGGTAAGGGATTGTCAACAACCTGGCTGTTTAATAAGTAGAAAACAAAACATTAGTGGCTGTAAAAAGGTAAAGGTTTTAGTGGAGCAAGTTTAACACTAATTGCTGGTATTATCAAAAGGAAAAGCTTCAAAAGTCAAGCATGTTCCACACCAGTGCCTTAACCTCTTTAGAGCAATATTACATTAACCTGAGGTTGCCAATATGCAAGCGTGTTTTTCTCCCCTCTTCTTACATGTCTCTCTGGTGTCTGAAGGATAAAACTCCAAGGCGGACAGTAATAGGAAAAAGAGGACGTATTTGGAGCTATGAGGGACCCGAAACACCCCTTAAGTTAAGCCAAGCTTCGAGCCCCAAGAAGCTCCGACTGAGCATAGGGTCTGCATCACAAAGTGAGGAGAGGGAAGTTGTCAAAAGAAGAAGGAGCTGCAGAGCAGGTAAATGCTCCCCCAGTCTCATTTCATTTCATTTCATTTTATTTTTATCTATCTAATCTATGGTCACTAACATTGGAAATCTAATGTAAGTCCATGATTAACTGGCTGAGGTGCATTGGTGATGGATTGATGATGGAAGGTTTTTCACAAAGCAGGATTTTTCAGTAAGTTGAAGCTGAATAGCTTGAAGCTTTTCTCCTATTGAACAGGCTTAACTTTGGGCTTAGGGACATTGAGCCTAAAACTAGCTTTTAATATATTTTGTCATGTTTGTGCAGTATTCTGTAATGCAGCATTGCACCTCTCAGCCTCATCTGTTTAATAGAATTCATGATTCTGTATCGTTTTCATCCATGAATGTTCTCTCAATACAGTACTCAACATGCATTATGCAAATAAATCACACAGTCTTTGGGAATCCCTACAGTGCTCAACAAATCCTGACTGCTAACCACTGATCTAAAGGCTAGTGAATACATCTGTGGTGCCAGCTTTAGTGATATAGCACTAACCTGTTAGTTATGTTTTTTTGCTATAATTCTGTTAAAGGATAAGCCAATCAGGAAAAAAAAACATTTCAAACAACCTGTTTCCAGGTGTTCACCACAAAGCACATGTAGCCTATCCAAATTTACTTCCACCTTCAAGATATATCACCAGAAGGGGTTTTCCTAGTCTTAAAACAAGGAAATCTCTTTTTAGAGACTGTTGTAGCACTACTATAAGATTTGTGCAAGTATGTTTACGGTAAGTTATCAGGCCAACAGAGTAATACTGATTTGTGCAATACCGCCTTTCAGTAAGTTAGCTATCCAGCAGACAGATTGGTGACCACCATTTTAAAGCAACGGGTGGTACTATATCTCAGTTTTTCAACTTTTATATGCATAAATGTGCTTCTTTTTATAGAAGCAGAAGAAACTGAACATAATTATTTATATCTACATTAATTCATCACTGTCATTTTATCCAGAGCATCCATCAAAGCGCTGGAGCCACACCATGTGTTTAAGCGATCCTGACACGGCTATTCTTATTGGTGGAGAAACTGCAGACCAAGCCCACTGTACAGACTCCATATGGAAGCTGGAGATTGGTGCGTTGTTTTCACATTAGCATCTGTGGCCTGGTACGCGTGGTTTGCACTTGATTTCGAGGTTTTTGTGACCTGCTTGAAACATACCGTGACTAAAGCTTTTCTGCATGGCAGTTACCAGTAGGGCTGCCTATATCTTTTCCAATGTTGATACAGATACCTTGATTTTAATAAGATTCCTGAACAATACTCTTTTACAGTACTTAATATAAACATATGACACATTCATTTGCTCTCTTAAAAGCGTCTTTTTGTCCTTTTTATCTGTTTACAGATGGTGATTTTTGGCTCCCCATGGATTCCTCTGCAACAGGACCTCTTCCACCAAGTGCTCACGGCCACTCTGCAGCCTTTGACCCTAAGAGTAAAGTTATCTATGTGTATGGTGGCTTGAGAGAAGGTCAGCGATATAGTGATATTTACATGCTGGACACCTTAACCTGGAAGTGGAAACTCATTAATGCAAGTTTGACCATGTTCTACCTTGACTTTTTCTTGAGCATAGCCAGATATTTAGCTGAATAGAATAGTATGTAATCAAAATATTAATATCCACCAGGCAAAAGGAAATGTGCCTTCATTGGCATACCACAGTGCCATCATCTATAAGAGTGAGCTGTATGTGTTTGGGGGCTTGCAGCCGAGTCGTGGCCCTGGAGGCAAAGCATGCAGTAATGCTTTGTACATCTTCAACCCTGAGCATGAGTTGTGGTACCAGCCAATCGTGGAGGGTGACCTTCCTCTTCCCAGGTTTGGGTCAGTGTGCTTTTTCATATAATCATCTTCATCATATCTTCCAGGCTTCTAGGCATGATTTAACTTGGATTCATAAATCTGATGTGACTCAGCATGCTGATTGTTATTCATGTTTATAAACAGGCACTCCACCACGCTACTACCCAACAAACTAGTCATATTTGGAGGCCAAAAAACTGCTGCCTACCTTAATGATCTCCACATTCTAGATCTTGGTAGTAGACTCTTCACTGCTTAATGCATTTGGCTAAACACACATGAATATTAAATGATATCTCTAATTATTCCAATGATCACTTTTTTTTGTTTTTAAATAGGCTTCATGGAATACACAGCAGTGAAGTACGAGAACATGCCACCACTGGCCCGAGGGTAAGGATGTCCTCTAGGGGTGTTACAATATACAAAACATAAAATTTGTTTCAATAGGATGGTGTCTTGACACAAAGGCGTTTTTCTATACCGCAACAATAAGAAGTGCCTGAATGTGTGCCTTGTGTACGTATGTTAATGTTTTCTTACAAGCATGCATACTAAGGGCCTAATGATGCACATTTTCACTTTTGGTACAATTGTCCAATTCTGAGATTTTTCTACATTTTGTATGTTAAACATGAATATACAGAGCTCAAACTATGTACTTGATGGATTGGTTTGGCTCAACTAAATAAAAGTTCTCCAGTAGAACTTTTTCAATACCTGTTTTGCTGCCCTCTAACAAAATAATTCCCTAACATCACAACCACTAGAATATTTAATTGATTCATAAAAAAACTTTACTTTGCTGGGATGCATTCAGATGCCTAGTTTGGATCATCAGCAATGGTTTCTGTGAAGGACAGAGGGGCATATCAGCAATACAGTTTTTACCTCTCTTTTGAACACTACAAAGGTTAATAAACAAAGGTTTCTACTTCACTGGGTTGGTAGCTAATGTATGATTTCTAAAACAGAAACCTTGCAAAAGATCCTACTAAGTGCGTGCTCTTGTAGCCCAAGGCAGGTTCAGTTGGAACATAAACCTACATTAGCTTGATTCCTTTAATCTAGTTAGTTTTCTGGGGTGTCCACATTAGACTGTATTGAGTAAAATCCAAATGCCGGAAACCAATCTGCAATAGTACGTTCATGACTCAGTGATCATGAGTATATTTTTCTCTCTCTGTGTGGTCAGGTTTCATGCTGCTCTGCCCGTGTCTGACAACAGGGTGCTGATCAGCGGAGGCTGCAGTGCTTTAGGAGCTCTACAGGATCTCCATCTCTTTAATCTAGGTAAGCCATGCCATTAACAACATTATCTCTGCAACACTGCAAAGTACAGAGAAGTTGTACTGAAATTGTATTTTGCATAACCAAAACTGGTTGTTGCCAAGAATCATAAGTGTTTGGACTAAACTATAAAACTGATCCCAAACTTTAAAGAAAAAATAGGCCCGGTTGTTTGATTTTTGCAGATACCAACTCCTGGACGTCAGTGGTGTGTCCATTGCTCTGCTCAAAACCTCGTGCTGGCCACAGTCTAATCAGCCTGGGTGGCACTGCCTTTTCTGACACTGATGCAAGGGAGCAAGGAGACCACCATCGTACCTGTCCCTCCACACAGTTCACCGTCTTAGTATTTGGGGGATCAGATGGTGATGGAACGTTCTACGATGATGCAGTCAAATGCGCTATTGAAATCCCTACTGAAGAGCAGAGACTGGATGCAAAAAGGCGTCCGTATGATTAAGACATCAACTGACAGTGAAGGTCTCCCCACAAGGGTTAGTTTTTAGTGATAACTGGAAAACACTTTAATTTTTCTAATAACTTCTGAGTGAAAATAAATTTCACTTTAATTTATTCATCTTGAGATGAGAATTTTTTTTTATTTCTTTTAAAGCTGATTTATAGATTTTAGAGATTTAAACAGCTGTTTTGCAGCTATAGCTTTGTAACTTATCTCATACAAACTTTGAGGACTTCCCATTTTCAGCAGCATTACTTGTTTAGCAACTTCCGAGATTAATAACAGGCTGGTTATCATTTTTGTGCAATAAACATTTTTTCCCACCTATCAAAAGGCACATTTTAACTTACTTGTTTTTTCACTTTGTTTGTAACCTAACAGCACATTCACGGGTGTTTGTGTCGTTTTAATGTGTATCTCACTTTGAAATGTATTATCTGGAAGTTGCAAAGAAGCTAATGAAACCTCAGCATTTTCACCAATACAATAAATCCAATGAACAAAAGGAACTGGACTCATGATTGCATGAAGTTGACTTTAGTGAAGTTTGAGTATCATTTTGCCATTAGTAACACCATGTAGACAGCTCATCAAACATACTTAAAAACGAAATTTATGTGTGCAAGTCATCAGGAGTATCTGGCTGACAAGACGGATGGCTCACTTTGAAGGCTTCAAGCTCTATTAATGTCTGATTCAGCCGCTTGATAGTGGGAAACTGGTTAATGTCCACTTTGAACCTTTAACGAAAAAAGAACACAATAGTTTTAAGGTGCATTTTGCAAATTTGACAAGGATTGTGAGCAAATATTTTCCAATATTGCTTTAATTAAAAAATGTAAAGCTTTTAATTAAAGGGTCACTCTAGTCAAAATAAATGTGTCAGTAAATCAGTACATGTTGCCTACATGCCTATGCCTCCCACAGCAGTGCCACAATAGGTCTGAGAGTTTTTCTTTAAAGACTAGGAAAATGCCCTTCAGATTATGTATCTTGAAGATGGGAGGAACTTGTGAAAAACTGTAAATGCTTTGGAGCAAATAAATGAGGCCAGGCAGTTTGAAATGTTTTTTTTTTTTCCTTAATAGCTGCCTAATGCAGAAGGAAGCCAAATAGCTAATGTTACTGAGAGAGAAAGAGAAAGTCACAGGTATTAATTGGCCTCTACATCAGAATTCCAAATTATATGGTGTATTTGAGCAATGCATGCTGGGCTTTGTAGTGAGAGAACACTGATGGACAAAAACGCCAAAAGGATTTGAAATCGTAAATTCTGGCAAATCACTGAGGCTGAGGAATAAAATACTGCACTACAGAACATTACATCACATGACACATTAAATGCTAGTTTTAGGCCAGATTGCCCCTTTACCTTTCAGCATTGTGGACCTGGGGCACCAGACAAATGTCTGCCATGGATATCTAAAAGCAAAGAAGGTAAATAACACCAATTTTAAAAAAAAAGGTATACAGAAATGCTGCAGCAATCATTTTTCACTCGGAAATATGTCACACTATGAAAGGAAAATGTACCATGAATTCTGATTTATGTTGGATTGCTTTATTTCTTCTGCCTTCATGTTAAGAGACAACAATAAAAGACTGAAAAAACACATCTCGAAACAACTTGATGTTTTGTTAGCATCCTTGTGCATAAAATAATCCAATGGCACACGGCTGTCCAAGAAACAATTGAGTATCTACTTGTCCAGTTACCTTTGGTGTCCTAAAATGGGAAGACTGTATAAAAAAAAGCTTAAATTCCTACAGTTCACCAAATATGGAAGTACATGTCCTTATTTAAAGCTGATACCTGCAGTTTATCTTCATAGTTGTCTCATTTCAAATCCACTGTGCTGCAGTACAGAGCTAGAACAACAAATATTGTCTTGCCTCACGGCCAAATGAAATAACTCACAGACTGTCCTTTGTGTGTATGTGTATGTAGCCACACGCACTCATATTAGTTCTTTACCTCATTCCCAACACAGTATGTTCCAGCTGTCTGCTTCAGAATGGGCTCCAGAGCTGCAACAAACAAGCCTGATTAGTGGGTGAACAGAGTGTACAACTCTGATTAAGAATCTAATGAATGTTTAATAGCTTCTGATTCTGTGTGAATACTGCATATGATACATGTGAAGCAAATGTGAAAAAGAACTACATACATCTTGATCACTTTGCATAACAGATCTAACCTGAAAACTCACCCTCAAATCCTCGGTTGATGAAATGTTGAGCCCACTGTACCTTCTCTGCCCCAATTTTCTGTATTACATAAAGATTCTGAAAAATAATATGAGATGTAGTGCTCAGACTGGACAATGTGTATAAAAAGAGGCATCACCAAATACAGTACTGTAAAGTCAGAGACCGCCCTTCATTTATTTCATTTCTATTCAAAAGAGCCATTATGTACAAGTTATTCATTTTTCAGAAGATATTCTTGAGTAGATCAGAAACAAGATAATCCACTTGCATAAGGAAGGTCAAAGGAAAATAAGCGACAAAACAGGAGTTTCTGAAACTGGAATTTGAAACATTATTAAAAGGTACAGAGAAAATGGGACTCCTTGCAATCATGCAAGATCTGATAGACCTCCAAAACTCTCACCATCAGATAAACAGCAGTGAAAGCTTTCATCTTTGAAAGACAGAATATATTCAATCTCCACTCTTGCTTCAGATCTGAAAGACTTCCGAAAAGATAATAAAGACAAAGTGTGGATATAATAAATACTTAAAAAGCATATATTTAATTGTTGAGGTTTCTGTGTAATTTTCTGTTAAATATGTTTCTATATCTTCACACTGACAAATATAAAACTTGTAAAGTAAATGAACAGTGGTCTCTGCACAGTACTGTAATTACTGAAATTGGTAATTTCATCATATAGCCTAAACTACATCTCTGATATCTGTTGATATCTATATCATGTTTTGTAAGGTCCTAATCTTGTTAAGAACTGAAGAACACAGCCAAAAACAAAACACAGATTATTTAAATGAATTTTAATTACAGTTTTATTAACAGTTTTTCATTTTAGGAAATCAGCTAAACCATTGTATACAGCTTTTTTTTAACTAAATAAATAAATAACAATCTCTTGCATTCTGTAATCTATTAGATAACTTCAGAAAAAAGGAAATATTATCATATATTAACACATATCCACACATATTAAACAGTAGTATGGTTTAACTGCTCTAGATGCATGCAACTCCACATGCTGGGCCAGCTTTAATAAAAGTGCACTTGGCTGAATTGGCTCAATCGCTTTTAAGTGCTGTATTACTACCCATGGAAATTATTCAAATTTTTCCATATTACAAAGCATGTGCTCAATTTCTCATCTACTTTACTCATGTAAAAACTCATGATCAGACTTTTTCTAGGACGAGCAAGGGTGAAGTTAATTTGCGTAGCTATTCTACCACCTCATATTAATACAACGTAATGGATCTGTTCGCCAGACCAATACACATCATCTTTGAATCTTTTTTGAATGACTGCCCACAAAATTTGCACACACTGGTGGATGGGAAGTTCACTGAGGCGTGTTTACACCAACTCTCTCATCATTGCTAATGCCCTGCCATATTCAAGTTGAAAATACTGGCAAAATACTGGAAAAATTGGCTTCATTCACAATATGTGAATGCACACAACACATAACACTCATTACAAGTGCACTTTGTTATTGTTTGCTTCTACCATGCTCCATTTTCCAGACATAGGGATTTCCTATCCCTGCCTAATAGAGGAGTCCTGACTATAAGCTAGTGAAACCATACTGAACTATGTGAACACAAGTTTTCTGTATGTTTTAATTTTGAACTGAGTTAAGTTACTTCAAAACTCTCTTTGACTGGACTGGGGAAAATCCATGTACCATACACACATATTAAACATACCTGTAGAGGCTGGATCCCAGAGGCGATGAGGTCACAAATCATGCGCACCTGAGCCCGCTGCTTTGGGTCAGCAGGGAGGAGCCGTGGCCCTGGCTGAGTTTCATCAATGTATTGGATGATGGCCAGCTGGTGGCACAGGGAGGACCGTGAATTTACACACTACATCAACAATTCCACTACTGATGATTTACAATTAAACAATTGAGGCTGAATTCTGTAAACTGTTTATCAAACGCATGGTCCATAGTTGAACTTACTGACTGAGACAAGGTGATGCCATCAATGCTCACAGCAGGCACTTGCTGCATCGGGTTCAAAGCTTTATACTGATCTGTGAACTGAAGAGGATATAGTGAGTTACATCCACAGACTACGTATACAAGGCACATACTACCCAAGATTAGGGATGTACAATGATATCAGAATCATATCGGTATCAGCAGAAATTTGCTTCGAAAAAAATATCAGTATCAGGCAGATGTTTAGATTTCAAATCAATATTTGATTACTCATTTACTTCAAGAGAGCAGAGCATTTAGGTGATACTGGACTACTAGCACGGATAGCATTTTTGCATTTGATCCATTTTATTGTATTCTTGACCCTCTACAAATAAATATTTTCTCTTTAATGCTTATACAGATGGATCGCGTCCCAATTTCTACATTTTATAAATGTTTATGTATCCACATCAGCAATGGCATACGTGTACATAAAAGATATTGGATGGTGGCATCGGCCCTCAAATCTAATATCAGTGCAATAACTCCAACTTATCAGATCATTAACAACCCCTTCATTACTTGAAGTGGGTGTTGGGGGTGGGGAAAACCCTAAAATGTGCGGGGGGGTTCTCCAGGACCAGCACTGGAAACCTGCACGTTACTTAAAGTGATTGTTCAGTTACTGTACCTTTAAGACTAATATATGCAAATGATCTCTGTTCTGATTGCCTGCCCTGTATTGTTCCTCATTCAAAAAGCAATTCAAGCTGAATCAAGTTAATAATCTTGTACAGGGAACAAATGGAACAAACATGGCATTTTATTGCAAATATTAGTGCACAATTTCTATTTATTTGCTAACATATACTTTTTTAATATATAATTTTTTTTTAATATATAAAAAATAAGTTTTATTTTTACCAATGTGTTAAATTCAGAAAATAAACATTAATTGTGCATTAAAATGTGCAGAAGTGTATTCTCTGTAGAAAATATGTAGGTATTTTCACTTAGGAAAAAACATGTTATTTGACAGGGTGCCCAAACTTTTGCAAATGACTCTTTATGAATTGTATTGAAGAAGAAAAAAGGGGGACAATTTGATTTTCCATGATATGAGCCAATTAAACAGAAGAAAAAGAGGTTCACTCAAATCACAACAGTTCGAGCTCTTACCTGTTGGCCTCCATCCTTAATAAGGTTTACTGGTACTTGATCATATTCAATACCCTTCAGGGCAAAAGCTGGTGAAAGTGGAACACATTCACATTAAATTGGAGCGAGTCCCTTTAAGCGCAGACTGAACAGACTAAAGAGTCAGACATTAATGATGCTTCAGAGAAAGCAGCTTACCTATCCGGACTCTCCACGAGCAAGAACTTCTGAAATATCCATAAAGGACAGGCTAGAAGATGGGAAACAGGTTATTATGAAGGTAGCTAGCTTTTTATAGTCAAAGTATTCAAGGAAAAAGATAATTATCAAGACTGAACCTTAGTCTGAGCCGCCATAGTACTGACACCAAATGTAACTGTAGGACTGAAGTTCTCGAGCTATGTGGGGGCAAAGTCCTAAATCTGGCCAATGAGATGCTTCCCAAACCTTCCTCCTCTTTTCCATACCGACTGTGACTAAGCGGTTTAGATTTTTGCACGGATCACACTGACTAGGCCAGTTCAATCACAAATTTCCCCTTACTCCCTACTAAGTGCACTAACAGGTCAGGAAATAACGGTTTCTGCACCCAAATATTGAGCAAAAGCATAAAAACTGTTTGCGATTCTGTAGCTGTGACAAGATCACAAGTAGCTGCACATGAACTAAGCTACAGTTGCACTAAATATGAATATGAATACAAATTACCTTCATTAAACATGCCAACAAGGTACGCATTGCAGGCATCACTTCATTGCTTAGAAAAAGGTTTAGAGGAGTGCAAGAAGTTCCTGACTGAAGGTAACGTTAGACAAACCCACTGAACTAAAAGGCACCCCAGATACTGTATAAGCACACAGTGTACACTGAAGTCTATGAAATATAATTTAATACAATTCAATTGTCAGTTTTATAACTATGTGTAATGTATGCAGACCCGTACACTGGTATTACATAACGTTAAATAACGATCGACACGTCTATGGATCCATACCGAACTTCTTCCTCAGACACATTCATAACACCAATCATCACCTATTTTACTTAAACAAGGGCGGGTTCTGCAACAAGCGGGGATGTAATTGGTTGGCTCTCGTAGGGCTTTCACCAATCGAATTCTGTTACTGGGGGGAGTATTCTTTTCGTGTCTTTTGATTGGCTCTGTTGCGCTCGTGTCCCGCCCACTTCTAAAGTCGTTGAGGGTTAAAGGATAAGTTTGAAGTCTGCACGTTCCTCTGGCGTGGTTTGGGTTCAGCTTTTTCGGAGAAAGTACATCATTTAATCTCCGGCTTCCATCATGGCAGCGACGTTAGTGCGTTCTCTTGCGAAGAAGAGGGTAAGAAACACACTGAGGGTGCAGTTTGTTGGCGGTGGGCTGTGACTGCTGAATGGCACATATCTGCATTAATATGCATTAAGACTCGGCGACGGTTGCACTTGGACTTGAGCTGCACCGGCTGCAGTACTTCTACATAAAGTGAACCAAGTTAAAGGGGAATTCCACCGATTTTTCAAAATGTGTGAATAATTCAGTTCTTGGGATGTAAACATGAGTCATCCAGAGTGGTTTGATGTGAAGTGGTTCATTGTAGAGAAACATATAGACTCAGATTTCTTTATAGTGGTTGTGACAGGATCCAGGGGTCACGGTCACGGTGTCTACAACAGAAATACAGCCATTTATATTTTTTCTTTGGGGACTGTTTTGCTCTACAACACCCTACATGTACCCCTCCGCCAGGAATGGATCAAAATAAATGGATTAAAATACTTTTTAAACCAAGTCTTTATCACAAAGGTATCATAGAACAATGTGTCAGACATCAGGTAGCATATGTCTATAACCATTTCTTGTAATGACTTTATGTGAGGCAGCTTTCAAAGGCATTATACTCTTTACAAGTCTAATTTCTATCACTACCACTCTGAACAATTCTGACTTTGCAGGTTTCTCTATAACAGAGCATTTCACATCAACCTACTCTGAATGACTTTGTTTAAATCTCAGCAATGTAATTATGTAGAATTTCTTAAAATGGGTGGAGTTCTCCTTTAAGCCCATTCAGTACATTTGGTGCTATAATACCTGCAGCTGCTAATTGTCTGCATTATTTTTACCACATGACCTGGTCTAATCACTTAAGCCAGTTTTCCACACTAACCCCTCACTCAGACTGTTCCAAACAGTTTAGCTTGTTATACTAGTTCTCAGAGGAAGCGATAAGCAGAACTTTTCTCACCTTTGTGGCTATTGCACTTGCAGAAAGCGTTTATAAAATTACTGCATTCGGTTGCATAAATAGACACTTACATTGTGTACTGTTTACTTTAGTAAACAGTTGTGTACTTACTTTAGTAAGAAACTGAGCAAATTGTGCTGACGATTATTAACTTATATCTTATTGTTATTTATAATGAATTCCTATACTCCTCTGCAGGTGCCTCTTCAGGTGGGACGCATGTGTTACTCATCCTCTGTGGTAAGTTAGTGATTACAGTTGTCTTGGATATAGTGTAGTGAATAAATGTCCTGTTTTGGACATGCTTGTTCAAAGGATACTGTGACTCAGACTCTCTCGCCATGCTGAAAATGTCATCTTTGGAGCAGTGTGCTTGAAAACTATGGAGGTGGAGTAGCAGAGGATAAACTCCTCCATTTTTTAAAAGCATGCGTCTCTCACCACTGTCAAAAATGTACGGTAAGACTAGATTTGCATTCGTTTTAACAACAAAAAAATGAATGACCCTTTCCTGGCCCAGCAATAACGCAAAATAACTGCCATTACAGTAAGAAGACATATATGGCCTTGTTATTGCAAAGGTTTGCTGTCTGAAATTTGCAAACACGCTTAGACTAGAGATCTGCATTAGCATGAAATTGAAGCCCGAACTGGAAACACAACCACACTTTTGAGATCCAGCCTGTTCCGGTCCGACCCAACATCTCTTGCATGTGCTATGAGATGGATTGTTGTGGATGTTGTTTTATGCTGCTTTTCTTTGTGACCCAAGCCCTATGTTGTGCATAAAATAAAAACAACTGAATCTCACCCGAAACCTGATCATTTGTTGGGCCCCGTTGGGCTCGAGGTAGCAGACCACTGCCTTGGACTGAATGCTTCCTCACAATAGTAATTTCTCTCAATGGCACTTATCCCAATACTCCAATATTTGGCAAGCAGTCCTGAAGATGTAGTGTTTTGTGAGCCTTCGATTCCTAATGGTATTTGGTGAACATGGGGTGTTTTTGTTTCACTGCCAGACAGGGTCAGTTGATTGACAAGCCATGTGAATTACTGTAATATGTTTCTTTTTTCAAGCCCTGTTGATATGCAAGACCACATCAAGTTATCACACAATCTAAAATGTAAAGAAGCCTTTGTCAAACTTGAGTTGTCTTGACAAGTCTGGTACACACGTTTATGCCCTGTATGTAGTACGCCTAAATTTCATCTTGAATTGAGGAAGTGAACCCTTTCTATTCCTATTTATGGTAATATTTTATACAATGTGTTCAGGTTTAGTGTTCTCTTCTTTCTTCCTCAGCCCACCACAAAGCTGTTCATTGATGGCAAGTTTGTTGAATCCAAGAGTTCAGAATGGTTGGACATTCACAATCCAGTAAGTACATACAATAAAACACAGGGTGTTTTCCAAAGAGTACGTTTGTGGATTAAACTGTGTTAAAGGAAGAGCAACTTTTATTTATTACTTAGCGTCTCATGTTTCTGCGTTTTACAATAATTAAGTGGAAGTGCTTCGAGCTACAATGTACCTAAGCACTTGATACATGATACATTACACATGATTGCGGTATGTTATTGCAGATGAGCCGAATCACGATGGTACTATGGTGTTGGAGGGTGATGTTAACTGTAAATCTACTTTGCCAGGTTAACCTGATCTTTGTTCTTTGTAATCTGCATCACTTAAAGACGGTGGTACTGTAGATTATGCTAACACCACATATTTCCACTTTCCTAGATAAGACTTGAAAAAGCACTTAACAGGCATTTCCTTCTTAGGATCAGTTCTGCTCATTGTTACTGAGGTTGAAAAAGGTCAGATGCACTTGTGCTAAAGCAGTTTGCTGACCGTATCATAGTTCATTGTCATACAAAGTTCTCAGGGTCATTTTATGGAATCTTTGTTAGACCAGTGATTACTTTTTGGTTAAGTTCAGAGTTCAGATATTCTTTATTTGCTTATTGGAGGATTTTTCTTTTGTGCTGAAACACAGTTGTTTACACATTACATCACAAGCTGTTTGGATGTATGTTTAGCCCAGGGAAAAATGGTGCGATGAAACAAGGGTTTATTTTTAATAAAACAGTTGTAAAGTCATTGACAGTGTTTCCTGCTTATTTCTTTGTGCTTGATACGGTGGTATCAAAACCATGTATTGGTGAGTGGACCAGTAGCAATGGTTCAAAATGACTTGGAAAAGAATCTTGTTCCTATAACTTACAATGAATGTTAAGAACGTTTTTCTTTTTTGCATTGTGTGAACATGTAAAGTTACCATTTCAAAGAAGCCCATATTTGTTAGGACAGTGATGGCATTCAAGTCTTTTTGTTGGACAGAGAGTAAAGGAATGGGCGATGTTCCAGTCTTCATTAAAAGACAATCACTAACAGTAAAGGACCTTATTGCATAAGACTTTGCCTTGAGTTTGATGTTTGGTGATAGCCTTAGGTCATTTAGCTGTGATGTTTTATGAAGAAATCTTGAATACTGAGGTTTCTAAACCATGTAGATGTTAGTGGAGGAGGATTATGTGTTCATATCCTCCACCAAAATACTGATCTTATGGGTGACCTTTCAGAGGCTGGCTGAGCGTGGCTGTTATAGCCAAAGGAAATGCGATCTGTACAGCATGTCGTATTTGAGAGAGTACACTAGCAAGGGTTCAGACATTATGATAAAGTTGCATTTAAAGTTTGTTGTCACCAAGTTATGTCATCCTTTCTGTGAGAAAGACCAAAACTGAGCCTTGCAGATATTCTTCACTAATATCGTTGATTTCCTGAAGTTGACTACAGATAATTGAGATGATAGAATTTTGTAGTGCCTTTTTATTTCACATATACTTCTGCACAGTATACTGCAGTGGGGGAAAAAAAAAGGAAGATATCCATGACAGAAATCCTTGCCTCTGTGTTTCTCGACTCTGCTCAGGCTACCAACGAGGTGATTGGCCGAGTGCCCAAGGCCACGCAGGAAGAGATGCTTGCTGCTGTGGACTCGTGCTCACGGGCATTTCACTCCTGGTCTGAGACCTCCATTCTGGCCCGCCAGCAGGTCTTCCTTCGCTACCAGCAACTAATTAAAGACAACATTGTAAGTCCCTGTCTATGGTGCTGTGAATCACCGTCTTTTAGCATTGTTATTTATCATTGAATCATCTGATGTTATAAAGTCGCGTGCAAAGCCTTAAAAATAGTCATAAATTCCAAAGACCACTCTATGATTTTGTCCTTTGCTATGAATATATTACTTATTATTACTTACACTACTGTTGTGTGTGTCGTCTTACAGAAAGAGTTAGCTAAGCTGATCACGCTGGAGCAAGGTAAAACACTGGCGGATGCCGAGGGTGACGTGTTCAGAGGATTGCGTAAGTCTCATGAATCATCTTTCGAATGATCACCAGTCATTTTAAAGGAGAATTCCACACATTTTAAATTTCTCCATATTTAAATCAGTAAGATGTAATCAAAGTCATTCAAAGTGGTTTGATGTGAAATCCTTCGTTCTGAAGAAACGTGGAGTCAGAATCGTTCACAGTGGTGGAAAAAGGAATCAGATGTCTGAAGTGTTTAATGCCTCTAAAAACTACCTAACAGAAAGTCATTACATGAAATGATTATGAAAACAATGCCTAATGGCTCCAATCACCAAAAGTCATGATAGTTTTAAAAAGTAGGCGACTTTCCGGTCACAAGGCTGGTTCCCTAACCTCCAGCCCACGACTGCCCCGGTAAGTCCTAAGTTAAGTCCTGATAAGGTCAAGATAAGATTTGTTCATCAATTAGCATCGCAGAAGCAGATCTTACTTTAGTTTAGAAATGTTATCTTACAGCATTGCATCTAATCTCAAATTAGGCAATCCTAAACCATTCAGTCGAGGTCGGTAATTATTATGTTACCAAGCAAACCTCACAGCTGAAACATAAATGCATAATCAAAATAACATTTTAAAATGTAAGTAGCTGGAAGCCACTGTTTCTGATGTAAAATAAAAAACATTAAAACGTGCCAAAAACTGGAAGTTAGGAATATTGTGACAGTGCCCTGTGCTGTTTATTAGTATGTTGTCGCTCCAAAGTTTCAGTTTCCATTTCCCAAAGCTTTAGCAGGTATGCGAGCCGCCCAGCGTTATTCCTCCTAATAGGGCTTGGGAATGTATGTCACGTTGCGCTGCCTCATGGGAATGTGCAGAGATGAATGATTTAAGCTGATTATTCACTAGAGATGCAAGTATTTTTGCCAAGCATGGTAATTTGGAGATAGAATTTATAGCTAGTTTGTTGGGTTAAATTTCATGTTGTGTCACCTACTATGGATTTGTGGCCTGGGTTTATTATAGTGTGGTAAGATGCTTAGCGGTATCACTGTCTCTGGTCACTGTATCCTGACACAACTGATGCTGTGAACCAGGGATGCGTCAAACTCAATCACTAAAAGGCCCTTTTAAAAAGTCTGAACAAATCTGTGGACCAGAGAACACGTTTTTATTTCATTTTTAAATTACATTTTCCTATAACCCCAACTTGCCATTGTTTATTCAAAATACGCCAATACGTCAACAGCAAAATATAGGCACTTGTAGTAGACCTTAAAGTATTACATGAATACCAGGAGATATTCTTGAGCTGGACACGTGGCATCCTTTCTTTGCTGCAAGTTCATTCATTCTTGGGAGGATCCATTTCTGAGCTGCTGAGCTCGGTGTTGAAATGCTGCTAGTGTTTTTGGGTGATCTGACTGTTGTATTAGAATTGAGTTGTAACTTCTGTCCCATAGATTGTTGTTTTGGGGGAGAGGGGTGGGAGCGCACATTACCTTGCAGTGCATGCTGGGGATTGTAGTGCAGTACATGGTGAAGCGGGCTAATATTAAAAGAAAAAGAAGTAAGTTTGCTGGCTGGATGGGACTTTGCCATGGGCCTGCTCTGACCTGCAGGCCTTATGTTTGGCATATGGGCGGTAGCCTGTGGGTTCATATACTGTACTATACTATTCTACACTAGAATAAAATGTTGTAATATTAGAATATAAGTAATGCCTTAAAAATTCAAAAATGAATTTGGCTGAAATGCCCATCCCAATACCACTGTAAATAAACCGAACCAGCCAGCCACTTTAAATGACTTTATATCTTAATGGTGGGGTTCTGCCAAATTTTTGAAAAATCAGTGAAATTCCAATTTAAGGTTGGTGACGGTCTTAAAATCTGCTCCACCTTGGAGCATAGTCTCTATATTATAGATCAACTTGCGTATTAACTGCAGTTACAAAAGTCAGGTATTAATGGCTCCCCAGTATCCCTGAAAACATTACTTCTATGTATATAGTGTTATTAATTTTCTTTAGTTTCTCTTTGATTCCAGAGGTGGTGGAACACACCTGCAGCATCACCTCACTCATGATGGGTGAAACACTGCCCTCCATCACCAAAGACATGGACACCTACACCTACCGGCTGCCTCTTGGTGTGTGTGCCGGCATCGCCCCCTTCAACTTCCCTGCCATGATCCCGCTGTGGATGTTCCCTATGGGCATGGTGTGTGGAAACACCTACCTGATGAAGCCCTCTGAGCGAGTGCCTGGCTGTGCCATGATGCTTGCCAAACTGCTACAGGACGCTGGAGCACCAGATGGAACGCTCAACGTCATCCATGGCCAGCATGACGGTACAGACCACACTGGGCATACTGAGAAATTTATTGACTTAAGCTTCTTAAAGTAGTAGTGCTGATTTAGGATCAGATTCATGTCTTTTTATGATGATTTTACTGACAGGAACAGATCCCACTCAGCACTGGTAATCGGAGACACTTTGTGAATTACAGGCATGGGTCATTTAAGGTATTTTGTAACTGGAAAAAAAAGACGTTTTAGGACTGGGATTAGTCAACAGAGTTAATTGGCAGTTTGCACATCAGTTATAAAAAATGTTTGTGGACTTTTATTGTTGGTGTGTCATGTACTTAATAAAAAGTGCTCTGTAATGTTTATTTGATTATACACTGTAATTATGGCAGATTTTAATACACAAAAGGAAGTGATGGGAGCAATATAGCTTCTCTTCATTTCATTACACCATAAAAGAAGGAAATTGGACACAGACTAAACTTTTAATAATGGTGGAGGCAAATCTAGAGGAACCAAAAAAGACATTATGGTTAGATTAGTAGATTAATCAAAATATAGTCGATAGATAAATTGATTATAGAAATAATCGTGTAGCCTTAGTACACCTGACTCCAGAGACTGTATTATGATATGTATTAGCTTGTGGTAACAACATCATTCAAATGTAGTTTTAAACCAAAAATAAAGTGATTCAGTAAAGAGTCTTACAGTTTGATTTACTATGAGAAGTGATTCTCTCTGTATAATCTCTTTTTGTGTCTGTCATTGCAGCTGTGAACTTCATCTGTGATCACCCTGCTATAAAGGCTATCAGCTTTGTGGGCTCCAACCAGGCAGGAGAGTACATTTACGAGAGAGGCTCCAAGAACGGCAAGAGAGTACAGTCCAACATGGTTAGTCTCACACATTATTATAGAAAAATGAATACAGTGTCAGTAAATGCAGAATACGGAGTTCAGAAAGGTGGCAGAATCCTGCAGGAATGCTACAGTGGTGTGAGGACTCGCTTGCGAGGACCAAACACAAACCCCAAAGTGACCATTTGCTCACAAGTTGGGTATAAGGTATGCAGTTAGGATGCTAATGGATGTTTTCCCTCAGAATAGCTGGTGGCAGCTAACAGTGTCTCCACCATATTCTAAGTGGGGAGAGGGAGACATGATGGTTAGCTTCCCCTAAAACTATCTTCAGTGTTGCTTGTAGCATTCAGGCTGACCAAGTTGACAGGCGTCAGCCAGTGAGCATAACGAGAACTAGCTATGTCTTGTCTCATAGCGCCTCCTGGTGGTCACATGTCTGTTAGCTCTCCAAAATGTACACTATACAGCAGAAGTATAGAAGCAAGCAGTGAGTGAGTGAGTGTTAATTGTATCTTCGATTAGGACTTTGGAAGTGGAGGAGCCCTGGTTGTTGTTGTTGTTGTTGTTGTTGTTGTGTTTGTTTTTTTTTGTTTTTTTGGCTACTCTCTCTATGACCATCTCCAACATGAGAATAATTATGGAAAAGTATCATTAAAACTAATAGCATTTCTGTTTCTATCATGATGACCGTAAGTCAATTAATATACTTAGTTTGATGTGTGTCAGTTTTGGCATCAAAAAAAAAATCAAAATATGATTTGATTCTTTTCTGACAGAGAAGAAAGTCACACTAAGGCCTATAATGTAGTAAAATGAACTGTAAATGACACCACCCATTTGATATCTAGAGTCCTTTGTGTCCTGTGCAAATATGTGCCTTTGAGTACTTACAACTGTAGTCACTTTGCAAAGCAGTAGGTTAAACATCATATTCACACTGATCAGGCATAACATTATGACCACCTCCTTGTTTCTACGCTCATTGTCCATTTTATCAGCTCCACTTACTATATAGGTGCACTTTGTAGTTCTACAATAACAGACTGTAGTCCATCTGTTTCTCTGCATACTTTGTTAGCCCCCTTTTACCCTGTTCTTCAGTGGTCAGGACCCCCATGGACCCTCACAGAGCAGGTACTATTTGGGTGGTGGATCATTCTCAGCACTGCAGTAACACTGATGTGGTGGTGGTGGTGTGTTAGTGTGTGTTGCACTGGTCTGACTGGATCAGACACAGCAGTGCTGCTGGAGTTTTTAAACACCTCAGTGTCACTGCTGGACTGAGAATAGTCCAACAGCGTCCTGTGGGCAGCGTCCTGTGACCACTCATCACTCGTCTCTGACTTTACATCTACAAGGAGGACTGACAAGGCAGGAGTGTCTAATAAAGTGCACAGTGAGTGGACACAGTGTTTAAAAACTCCAGCAGCACTGCTGTGTCTGATCCACTCGTACCAGCACAACACACACTAACACACCATCACCATGTCATTGTTACTGCAGTTCTGAGAATGATCCACCACCCAAATAGTACCTGCTCTGTGAGGGTCCATGGAGGTCCTGACAACTGAAGAACAGGGTAAAAGGGGGCTAACAAAGTATGCAGAGAAACAGATGGACTACAGTCTGTGATTGTAGAACTACAAAGTGCATCTGTATAGTAAGTGGAGCTGATAAAATGGACAATGAGCGTAGAAACAAGGAGGTGATCATAAAGTTATACCTGATCGGTGTATAGATAAATAGATAGATAGATGGATGGATGGATGGATGGATGGATGGATGGATGGATTGATTGATTGATTGATTGATTTCCCCATAGGTATGCAGTCACCCCTTCTAAATAATGAATAATAAGAGGTTTCTGGACACTTACAGTAAATACAGGTGTTGAAACTACTTTTCTATGTAACGTTTTACATTTAATAAAAAAACCCATTTACATGGAATCGGCCGACTGTATGAACTTGAGTTAGCTTCCTCAGTCATGACCTATTCTTCTATTTACTTTGGATTTATCAGGATAAATAACAAATAAGCTAAGCTGCTTAAAGATTGAGGCATAATTTCCTTTTTTTTAGTTGAGTATTTAGTTTGTGTTTTATTAGTGAAGCTATCACGAAATCAGCCTAAAAGATTCAGTATGTATTTACATGATTGTGAAAATCAGTAGAACTATACGAGGAGGGCGTATCACCATGTGCAGCAGCAAAGACACAATTTGAAGGTGGTATTTGTTATAAAAACTGTTTTAATGTTTTTTTTCTGTCAGTGTTGTTTATCACATTCGTCATAGGGATTTCACGAACACTGTATTGTAAACATTTTACATGTCTATCAAATTACAGAACCAGCTCAGCTCCATTAGGTCAGAGTCCAGTTTAACCCCTGTCTATGCTTATTTTCCATTCAGTCATCGACACGTACCATAGTGGTCCATTTTGTGGTTCTACAATTATAGATTTGTAGTCCAGTTGTTTCTCTGTGTAAATTGCCTTTTATTATTACATTCATCAGTGTTAAGGATGACCGATCAACCGATAAGGTGGAACTGCAGTGACACTGACATGATAGTGGGATGTTGGTTTGGTTGCATTGGTACAGTTGGCAATGTTAACAGATTTATTAAACTTTGTACACTTACTGTCCACTGTTAGACACACCTACTTTGTTGACCCATTTCATAGAAGGTTGGAGACGATTGCTCATCTGTCACTGTTAGTCCTTCATGAGTGGTCAGTTTCTGGCCACAGGATTTGCTTTTGGGTTTTTTGTTGTTGGCTCTGTTGTCTAGGTTTTTTTTTGTGTCATTTTAAAATATTTTCCAATTCAGAGAGTTTGCCAACGACCAACACAAACTGTTGAAGTGATTTTACAGTTTTAAATTATTTACATGGTTCTAATTTAACACCTTAATTCTGAAGGCAAACTCTCTCCAGAAAACTCTGCATGGAATTACCAGGAGCAAACAAATTAAGAATCAGTTATATGCAATTGCTGCTGAAATTTAGTTAAATGTTAATGGACATATTACTGCACACTATTTCCTGACAAAAGTAGAATTTTTAATGTTTATTCTTACAAAGGCAGTGTTACTTCCACAGTTTTGGCTTGTACTGTAGGTGCTGAACTTCTTCTTCCAGAATGATTTCAGCATCTTAGAACGTAGCTGGCTTTCCTGGATCGGTTCTGTTTTCTTTCTCCACAGTGAGTCCACAGCGCTCCCAAAATACTAGACTTGGTGCGACTTGACAAATAGGCTGAACTGAACACTTGCTGAACACTATTTCATCATTTTGTTCTAGAAACACTCTCTAGAAAGTGCCAACATGTAGTCCAGGGCCACGCAAACAGCAGAAAATCTAATTGGCACCATTTTCCCGTTAACTCAAATGTAGTCAGTTAGATAAGATGTCTGAAGTGAGATTTCCTAGTTTTGCACTGGAGGTATGTGGCTAATATAGCTGGCAAGTAAAGGGAAATTACGTGCTACCAAATAAAACTGTACAAGCTGCAAGGCTAGATAATTACATGATTCCCTCAAGACAGCAAAAATGTACTGAAGTATGGACAAAATTTCGAATTGAGGATGGCTGCTGTTGCTGCAAAATGAAAACATATATTTTTGTCAATTTTTGTAAAGAGAACAGTAGCCTCCTAGCGCCAGTGCAAAACTGAAGAATCAAAGCTCGGACACCACGCTTGATGGACTACATTTGAGATGAGGGTAATATCATGTAAAAGTGTTTTTGAGATATTTTTTAAATTTCTTCATTGTTTATTCTGAGCCATGACTTGAATAAGGGTTTAGCTTGTGCAGCTGGCCTGTTACTAAACTTAATGTTTCACCAGATGGTGGCAGCATCATCTAGGAAATAAAAGTTGTCTCCCCTTCACATATCCAAGACTTCGAATGCTTATGCTGTGTCTGATTCAGTACTTGTTGAGGAAATTGGTAATGACTTTAGCTGAACGTCATGGTGTGACTGCATGAGCGGAGTGTTAAAATGAGTAAATTCAATTCAGATATTGCAAATGGAACATGAAACTAGCAGTCAAAAATAATGGAGTCTCAAAAATAATGGAAAGCAGCCTTTTTTTTTAATTGCAGGAAAGGAGCCAGTGTTATTTAAGCACTTTTTAGGTATAAGTAGTGTAAAGGCAGTTGGGGTAGTGCCATTTAACAGCATATTGGGTGTCTATGTTGGGTGTTTTATGTGTTGTATGTGTCTGCCATGTGATGCAAAAAGCTACAGGTTTGACTGACATTACAGGGGATTTCTCTCATTGCGAAACACAAATGCACTGGTGGACCCTATATGTGTGTTCATGCACATTATAAGTAATGTCATTTGCAAGCTGAGGCTGCCCTGACTGTAACTGCAGAGCCGATGACCTTTTGTCTTGTGTGTTTGGCCAGGGTGCGAAGAACCATGGCGTGGTAATGCCAGATGCTAACAAGGAGAACACACTGAACCAGCTGGTGGGTGCTGCATTTGGAGCAGCTGGCCAACGATGCATGGCACTTTCCACAGCCATCCTAGTTGGAGAGGCTCGCAACTGGCTGCCTGAGTTGGTAGAGCGCGCCAAGCACCTACGCGTCAATGCAGGTAAATCTGTTGCTTCTGCATAGACCTCAGAATCAGCCACATATATTCTCGTGTACAAGAGTACAAGTAAAAGCACATAGAGGCTGAAAACATAACTGAAAATGTTGTTAAAGTACAAATGTATACACAATATAGAAATGTGCAAAAATAGTGTAATACTGAGGAGCTAATCAAGTTAATTCTAGGACTTAATGCTCCTTTGGTTAGTTCAACCAGACTGGATTTAATTAGGCTGTTGTTACATTTGCTCTCTCTTATGTGTTGATGGACTATGCAGTATTGTTTGAACCTCAGTCAGAGTCCCACTTCCCCAGGTGAATCTGTTACACTTCTTGGTGGAACCATTAGACTCCATTCCATTTTCCTTCTCTTCATTCACAACTTTGCCAGTCTTCCATTACTTCAAATATCATTCTCATATTTCCTCTGTTTATGGTGTCTTTCTACATTCACTAATAGTCAGTGTTTCCACTTTTCTCATTGACCTACTTTTTCATTATCTGCTCCATGTCCATTCTTGCTCTCTTCCCCATGTCATCATTTCTTCATGCTATAGATTTTATCCATGTTAGTGCTTTCCAGTGGACCACCCAAGCCTGGATGACCGCACCACTCTCTAACCATCCCAGCTCCAGATTCAGCACAGCCCAAAGGAAAATGCACAATTTCTTGTTCATGCCACAAATGTGTTTGTGGTATGGGTGGATCATAGAGTGGCACGGGCTGTTTAAATGTTTACCAAAATTGAAAAGATTCAATTTTGTATGTGCAAGAGCACTGCGCTGCAGTATTGGTGGCCCTACTTAAACTCCATAACAAACCCAGCATCAAGCCATGTGCATGTGGGATACAAGTACTTCACTATCATGCAGTAAGCAATGAAAAAGAAAGCAACAAGTATGACGTGGAACATTGCATTCCAGTCCGCACCATATGCTCATCCATCTCATAACATAGATCATTTTCGACAGGTCACGTAAGATTTGAGTTGGTCTTTGGATACATAACCGAAACATGACCATGCAACCATAATGAGGGCAGTCATTTCAGGTTATTTATTGTCTTCAGTTATCTACATGGTTTATCATCATGTATCAGCAGCAGCCAACAGCAGCAAATGTGAGCAATCAAGGCAGAAAAATTTACTCAAAGCAAAAAATCAGAATTTATCAGTGAAGCTTGTAATGTGAACATAGACTGAATCTTTGTTTTCTGTGCTACTTTTTGGTACCAGGTGACCAGCCGGGGGCAGATGTTGGGCCCCTCATTTCCCCTCAGGCCAAAGATCGAGTGAATCAGCTCATCCAGAGTGGAGTGGAGGAGGGTGCCACGTTGCTGCTTGATGGCAGAAACATAAAGGTCAAAGGTTATGAAAACGGGAATTTTGTGGGACCCACTATCATCAGCAATGTCACAGTGAGGGCTATTTATTTATTGTACCAATTCAAACGATGAAATTATGCCTCTGGAAGATGAACTGCTTTGTCCACTTTCTTATACCTTGTCGTTTGCCTCCAGACTGATATGGAGTGCTACAAGGAAGAGATCTTTGGGCCTGTGCTGGTGGTCTTAGAAGCTGACACACTGGATGAAGCCATCAAAATAATTAACAAGAACCCATATGGCAATGGAACAGCCATCTTCACCACCAATGGAGCTGTAGCCCGTAAATACACCCATGAAGTGGACGTTGGCCAGGTGAGGAAGGTTTGCTTTGGAGTTTTACTTTAGGGGAACACTTTTGCAGAGGAATTCTTCAGTCGACAGCATCTGAAACATGATTGGTAATGCAGAAAGTTCCACAGTGCAAGCGTCTGTAAAATGCTGAAAACAGTTCACACTTGTAATGAGCTTGGATCTTATTCATTCTGACAAAAGCATAATGCACTTTAAAAGCTGTAATTATTATGCATTTTATAGCAAATTTTTCCAAACACAAAAACCATTCTTTTATTGAAATTACATAGAGATGTTATATTAAGTAGAACTATCCATGCATGCTTCATTCACTCTGACAAGTCTGTTCTTGGTGAAGCATTCCAGACACTCAAGAGTCAATATTAGAACATGATGTAAATGTAATGTGTAAAATCCCTTTGGCGCCTCTCCCTTAACCCACAGCGGGGAAACAGTGTGGAGCTGTCCATGTTCCATCCTCAGCTGCCATATCTGACACAGAGGGTAATGCAAGACCTTGTCCAAACACTCATGAAAAAACAATTGGCTTTCTATGGCAAGGATTACCTTGTTTGCCTTGAGTTAAAAACCCAAGGTAAAAAAACAAACAAAAAAAACCTACTGCCACCTTGAAACAAGCAGATCTCCAAATAGCCCACAGCAAATATGTGCTGTTTAATCAAAACACAGTACAACTCAGAAATATTTAGCTGGTATTAGAGTCTTAAATGCACTCGAAAGGGATCCCTTGCAACCTGTTGATCTGGCGGTTGTGTAAAAGCGGCCTGTGCTCACCCCGTTTGTTTGCGTGCGGCTTGCAGCTATGCCGTGTGTTTGCCATTCACATGGCGCAGGAGACAGCGCGGACCATGTGCTGAGCTGGCCTCCAAAACCTCTACACACAACAAGAACCTCCTTTGCTTTCTCTTCCTTCTCTCACCCCCCATCCCTCCCCACCTTCAGCCCAAAAGGCCTGGCTGCTATGACCGCCCTTTCCAACATTTCAAGGAGCCGTGCCAGTTTCCAGTCTTCACCCGCCCTGAGAAACAAAATGTTTTGTTTAGTTATCCTCTGCATGCATTGCTTTTCTCAGCGGATACACAAACAAATGATTGTGGGTTTCAGCCTTGTGTCATTGTGTCGCTTGAATGAGCTGGTTGTTCAGCACTTTCCATACACAGCAGTCAAAGCTCGGCAGCAATATATAGTTTTATGCCCCGACCATTAAAACAAAGATCTAACCTTAAGTAAAGTGAGGTTTAACCATAAGTAGAATGACTAGCCCCATGTTCTTAAGCAAATGAGTGAGAAGAGAAAAACAACAGAAATTTAAAGAAGTTGTGTCATGCATTTGGGTGCGGTTGGTATTTTAATGCTCTTGATAAATGCCCAGATCTAAGGCAGGTTTTGGTTTTAGATTTGCACTTTGTTATGGTCGTAACAAGGCTGAGCTAACGTGCTGAGAAAGGTGCTAACCTATGATTTTACCAGTCCGTCTCGCTCTCTGTTCCTTTACTGGCACAGCGCTGCATAACATACAGCTGTGGGAGAAAAAGACATGTTTGTATTTGACAGTTGCGTTGTTCTCTTAACTGTCATCGGGGTGTGAGTGTTTGGTGTGAGGGAGACGGCGGGGGAGCAGGACAGTTCGTCAGTCCGGGGCAACCTGGGGGCAGCTTGTTTAAAGTGATGTCTGTCTCTCACTGCTGTGTTTCATGCTCTGCCTTTTCCAGATTGGAGTGAATGTACCAATCCCTGTTCCCTTGCCCATGTTCTCTTTCACTGGCTCCAGAGGCTCTTTTAGAGGGGATACCAACTTCTATGGCAAGCAAGTAAGTAGATTTCCCAGGTCTGCTCTGAATGCCCATTTGAAGCAAAGTGCAAGATGGTAGTACTAAGATCACTAACCTAAAAAGATCAGTGTGACACAGCAAATAACACAGTGCAATTCAGCACCTAAAGAAATAGTTCCATGAAAAATTGCATTTATAATTTTCCCCTGACCCCAGTGTTTTGCATTCTAAGTTTGCTTTTTTGAGTTCTACATAAGAGCTATGAGGCTAATGTAGCTAACAAATAAAACTAAAAATGAAGTCTTTTACCCTACAATTTACTATCATAAACTTGCAGTCACACTAGACGTTTGCAGTTTGTGTTGCCTTGCAAAATGGGGGTGATTGAGGCTGGTCAAGAAGATTGGTGAAAAGAATCCTCCATGTTAGTGCTTTTAACAAGCTAGCTGACTTGCTAATGAATAAACAGTAACAGCACAAAAGTAAACAGTTATATCAGATAATTATGTACTTGTGTGAGTATTTGGCTGCACACTGTGTTCTACCAGAAAAATGTAGATAACTGGCAATGGAGTATGCAGCTGCGGTTAGCCATGTAGCTAACGTAGCAGTTAGCAAGCTGGCAAACTCACCTACCATAAGCAGTAAAACCACAAAAGTGAATATAATTATATCAGATAACTATATACTCACCACAGGATAGTGTTGCACACTGATCTAAAGCAGTGAACGTAAGTGATGTGGTTGGTGGCAGTGGGCTCACTTGTGTGCAGCTTCGTTTAGCCATGCAGCTAACACTGTAGTTAGGAAACTGTCTAGCTGGTCTGAAACAAACAGTAAAACCACAGAAGTAAAGATAATACAGTCTCCCAACTGACTGCGTATCATGTTTCTCTTTCATGTGTTCATTTATAGCCAGTAGGGAAGAAATGGTAAACGGTTTGTGTTTAGACGCTGGCTAAATCAGTGCTTCTTCCGTTTCGGAAGTTCAGTTCTGCAAAGGGCCGCCCCTTCAGAAGTCAACACAGCCAAAGCAGTAGCACTACTGGTAAAGGACAGGAATTTGGACTTGAAAGTTCTGCAAAGATGAACTGGAACAGACATTCGCCCTCCAAGTCTGTGACGCCAAATCACTCATTGCTGTGAATTCCAGTAAAATTAATGACAGTATCACTGACATTGTATGCTTTATCTATGAAATGGGTAGAAGTACATCAGCTAAAACAGTAATCGCAGCTCTCTTGAAGTTAGAATTTTATCTGTATTGTTGTCCATTCTTATACAGAACATTTACATTTTAGTTTTGGAGACCACACAAACAAGTCTATTCAAAAATACTTGGTTACATTGAGGTGTGTGATTTGGCACATCTTAGATGTACAGCTGGGGGAAAGGGGAAATTTGTGTACCTTTTTAGTGTAACCTGTCTTTTAAGACTTCATGCACTCAGGTCTGTCAGCTTAGGATAATAATACAGAAGTGAAGGATGAAGGAATCCAAGCATGACGTTTTACCATTTAGATTATAAGTCATTTTTTCCTGTAGGCCTCTGACCTCTTTTGTATAGTCTTCAAATAATTTTGGCTTGCAAGTTTGTTTTGGCCTCACATTGCCAGTTGTTGTGAAAAAGATGATGATTGATGAAGGGGTAGTTTATTGTCCTGGTAAACGCCGGGTTGCTAACCACTCCATTTGTCATGTGAGCTCATTCTGTTTTTTCAGAATGGCATTACCAAGAAATGAGTGACTAACAATGCTGTGTCAATGTTTTCATTATGATTCTGAGCCTTCTGGTCCTCTTGCCTTCACAGGGTATCCAGTTCTACACACAGATCAAAACTGTCACTTCGCAGTGGAAGGCAGAGGATGCTACTTTGAAATCTCCAGCTGTGACCATGCCAACCATGGGACGTTAAGTTGCAACATGACTCCCAAATCTTGAACTTGCCCAAAAGCCCCCCCAAAAGTGTTTAAGCTACTGTACAGATTTTTTTCCAGATAAAACTGACGTTTCCACAGCTAAGCATTAATGTTTAGTGGAACAGTACTTTGTAAAGTGATTAGAAGTCTGTGACCTGTTAATGTAGCTCTACTGTTCCACTAGACTATTTTGGCTTTCTGACACACTCTGATACCACAGACATGCCACTGTCTCTTCCAACATGATGCACTTTTTTATCCTTGGCTATGCTTTGGGTTTTTTTTTAATTTGGTAATGCCAACCACTATTAACAGTATAACAATATACCTCTTCTGTAATTTCATATACTGGGGACTTTACATTTCCTACAGACAGTTCAAAACCTCAGACTGTATCTAGTTGTAGCTAAACAAAGCATTAATACTTTGTCATGTGGTTCTTACAAATCCATGTTTGATCACATCCGATGGTTGCTTCACGTATAGTCCTGGCAGATGGGTTTAGTGCAGCTTGTTCAGCTGCAAAGCACTACGTGCCCAGCCACCTTAAACAAAGGAATGTCCTTAGTTTTTTCCCAATAAATGAATTGATGAGTTTGTCCTTCAGGTTTTTTCTTGACCAGATTTTGGGTTTAAAAGATTTTCTGACCAGTTGGAATATTAGGCCCATATGTTTGAGTGTTTATGACTATGCTGAACCTCTTTGAACTGAACAAAACTGAATAGAAAAGTGGGGTGGAATGCATTATTTGTTAGTAAACATCAGTAATCACTTTATCATTTATTGATCAGCAAACCAAATTATATTGTGATAACTGGCAAGTTGGTGTTCCTGCACAATCTTCTTTTTATAAAACCTAATTGATGTGGTTGAGGTGCTTGTTTTTTCTATAACAGACACCGAAGCCTATATCTGGTGATATTTGCATCTGGTTATGTGATCATGGTTTCATTTCATCAGTGCCTTTCACAGGATCATTTGACCAAGACTCAGGTGGTCTGTAGATCTGGGAGGCTGCTGGGGTTGGAGGTCATGTTGGACACCACTGCCTGGGTTATGAAGGTAGCATGTGATTCTCCCTCTGTGGCCCTGTGTGAAAAGGAAAACAGACAAGACATGGAATTATATATATGGCTGTGGTGAGACAACACAGAAAAGATACCATGCTGAATGATAAATCACTCTAGAAAGATCATTGTCTCAGAGAGAGAACTTTAAACATGCAACCTCAGAAAGACTAGATCACTCAAATGCCTTGTAATTCTGCGTATTTCAGCAAACAGAAGAAAAAGAAAGTGGCACATCTTCTGGCCTGCTGCTGTCTCACCCTGGATCGCTGCCACTGCGGTCCCCCTTAGAGGATGCTCTCAGAGCCAGAGGCTCGGCTGCTTTCCTGTAGATGAGCATTAGAAAACTGATGCAGCAACACATTTTTAAGAAACAGGAAATTCAGAATGGTTTGATTTGAAATGTTAGAGACACTAACTCAGAATTCCTCATAATGGTGGTGATAGGAACCAGACACAGACACAGAAAGTTGACATAAAATGATTACACATTTTTAAATATATGCAGAACATTCATAAGTTTCACAATTAACCATTTCACATCAAACTACTCTGAGTGATTTTGGTTACTTCTCAATGACTGAATTAAACAGGAGTGGAATTCCCCTTCACCACAAATTGACGCAAGCATGTGATCATTTAGCCATGTAGTTTGTACAGTGCTAACTGGTGGAGTATAAGCTTTTATTATTGTAGCTCTTAGAACTAAAAAAAAAAAAGCAAACTTAAATCAACATGCCTTGGCTCATCAACTATATTTGATGTAAGGAACCATTGGACACCTGTTGAATTAGAGCCAAATTATATTTGGCCATGCGGGGACACACTGTGTTGTTCTTGTTCTACATCCACCTCAAACCACAGAGTTAATGTGCTGATATCAGGAGCACATGATTACACACACTTCTTTATACAGTCTACATGAATAACCACTTCTCTTCAGCAAGTCCTCCATCTTTCCATCCATCTATTCATCCATGCCCCTGCTGCCTGCTCCCTGCCCTGCATCTCTTTCTCCTTGGTGAAGAGATGTTTTCCAGCTGCTTCAGGAGAACCGCAACTGCTTTAAACGTGCTAAAGAAACTGCTGGTTGCACGTGAAGGCGGGCAGCAGGCTCGAGCAGCCAGATGGTTCTTGCCATGGACATGCTCCTGTGGCTACAGCGCCCCTATTTTTACCCTTAGTCCTGGCTCTCCCTCTATCCACTACCCCAGTGCTGCTGAGTGGCTGTTCCAAGCAAAGAAATCTGATACCAGATGCTTTAGTGTGAAACATAAGAAATAACAGATTGTATGAGAGAATAACAGATTTGATGAGGAGACTGTTTTCACATTGGCGAGTATGTTGACAATAATTCCACATTAGTGGTTTTAGGTCAAAAATTGAAATGGGAGAGGAGGAATACAAGGACTTGGATGCACATGGATGCATTTAAAGATATAATCTTGTGGGGAAATTTCACCATGCACTGTGATTTTACCACCATTGTGCAGACAGCTTAGACATTTGTGAGTAGTTGTACGATGATTGCCAGTAAGATTGTGGTTAATTACTGCTAGTTTAACTGTCCTCTACTCACAACATATGTACAGGACAGCATTTTTAGGCTTTTTAGCATTGCTAGGATAACATAGAATGTGCTGAATTACTAATTTCAATCTACAGTATGGCCCCCATAACTTTTCAGTGGCTGGTTTCAAAAATTCTTTTATAATTTTATCTCCCAAACAGTACTGCAGTTCATTCATCCAACATTGTAACGCATCTGTCTTGAAAGCTTCTGTTTGACAAAATGCCAAACACTCAGAACTCCTTACCTTATTTTTAAGCCATTCATTTTTGCAAAGAGCAGTCGCAACACTCGCTCCTTCTGCTCCCAGGTCAGCTCAGAGATGTCCACTTTAGAGCTCTGCAGGTTGTTCCTAAAATGCATTGTATTGAAAGCTGATCACTGTAGTGTTTAGAACAGTATATCCCTCATCATTTTATTAGTACAATATCAGTAACGTAGGTCTCTCTACTGGGCCACTTTAACGTACACTGTATGGTCAAAAGTATGTGGACACGTGACCATCACATATATAGCTTGTTGGACAGTCCATTCCAAAACCATGGGCATTAACTATGGAGTGTCCTCCCACTTTACGGGTATAAGAGCCTCCACTCTGTTGGGAAGGCTTTCCACAAGATTTTGGAGCGTGTCTGTGGGAATTCGTGCCCATTCAGTCAAAGGAGCTTTTGTGAGGTCAGGCACTGATGTTGGACGAGAAGACTTGGCTCTCAATCGACATTACAGTTTAGGCCAGAAATATATTCAGTGCAAGTATGCGAATGCAAATGACAACGCCTAGCTGGCACATTGCAAAGGCACAGCCTTTCTGTACAAACACTGTAAAATACACATTATATGCACCCTGACTATGACCACCTCACAGCAACTGAACTCTGTATTACTGTGCCACGATCCTTGTGCTGTTAATGGATTAATCTTTGACCGTAATGCTGTTCGCATGGACCACTGAGTATATTGATGAAGTAAGAACCTGTTTTTTGTTTAAACTGAGGGGCTTACAGCTTTTTTTCTTAACTAGAACCAGGCTGGTCTGCTAGCTGACGGGCTAAAAGATAGACAACAGCCTAAACAACTCCAGCATTAATATCACAGGCTTAAACTACTTACGATATGATTCACTGTAAACCGGCAATATAAAAGTCTAAACAATGTTACCTGAATGGCTTACACGCTTTAAATGTCTGTGTTTCTGTCAGAAGTAGCGTCAAACCCAGGCTGAACCCCAAACGACTCTAACGACTACTCCCTAAATAGTGTGCTAGCTATGTAAGTTTAGAAATTCTAGCCTCTACAGCCAAGTAGTCCAGTATTTGTCGAGTATGGATGTGGCTGAATCCCAAATGACTAAGTTTTAGCTATATTATGTACTGTTGGGGTGCAGGATCCAGTATTTAAATTCCTATGTAGTGCACTATGTAGGGTGCAGGGAGCCATTTGATATTCAGCCCCAGCACGAGAATAGGTGCTAAACAGTGCTATGTTATCATATGTTTATTGTTCTACAACAAAAAGTTAAAAGGTTCATGAAATGATCACAATATACAGTGATTGGCGACCGAACGTTCTTCTCTGCATTCGGAGGTCCATGGTTGCTTGGCAACGATGCCATACTCTAAAGAAACTACATTTCTTGGTGGAATAATTGCTTATGTCGATTGTTATTAATAATAAATTATTTTCTGAAAAATTGTTTTTTATCAGATTTTATGTTGGCAGCTTCCCGCTGTGCCTAAGAACACCTTTCCTTGTTATAAAATCGGAGTAATGCACGGCCTATGTGACACTCAACTGCTTGTCTGCTGTCGCAGTTGAGAAAGCACACTAGCAGTGCAAGGCCGCTCGACCAGGCTGGGATGCCCCTTGCTGTAATGCTTAGAATGCAGCTTGAGCCTGTGTTGCATTAAGAATTGCATTGTGACCCATTTTTGAACGCAATTATGTGCGAAACCAGGTATGCGTAGCTCACAGGGTCTGCATTCTCTGGCAAACCCAGATTCATCCATCAGACTGTCCATCACTCCAGACAATGTGCTTTACACCACTCCAGCCTACGCTTGGCATTACACACAGTTTGCAATCTTAGGCCTGTGTGCAGCTGCTCGGCAATAGAAACCCATTTCATGAAGCTCCGGACATGCAGTTCAGTGCAGTGCACTTTTGCTTATGTTGTTTCCAGAGGCTGCAGTGAGTGATGCAACAGAGACTAACGATTTCTCTGCACTACTTGCTTCAGCACTCGGTGACCCTGTTCTGTGTGTTTGCCTGGTCTACAGCTCCGTGGCTACAGTGACTAATGAGAAAAGTGGAATCCTGTGACAGTGCCACGTTTGGTCACTGAGTTTAAAGTCAATGAGTCACTAAAGTCCAATCAATTGTACTGCAAATGTTTGTCTATGAAGACTGCCTGGTTATGTACTTGATTTTATACACCTGTCAGCAATAGGTGTGGCTAAAACGCCTAAACTCAATAATTAGGAGGGGTGTCCACATACTTTTGGCCATATAGTGTACAAAGCATATGGCTCTGATAACACTTTTCACTGTCAGAGTACCACGCCATGACTAAGCTGATGCAATAGAGGATATATAGTCTGATTAAAAGCTTTTTGGGAAAACCCAATTGCAGCAAAAATTGAGCAAACTCTAGCCCTGACTAACCCTGCTGTGGATAAGGGATTAGTGTGGACCATAGGCATGCTAACACTTCAAGTAGTGGCCTGTTTTGACTCACCACTTCTCAGCCTCTTCCAGGTCAGTGTAAACATTGTTGGTGCTGTGGGGAGCCTTGTTGAACGTGCGTATGCGGGGGTACTCTGTCCTCCCTGTCCGTGCTTCGCTCATTCGTCTGCGATATGCCTCCATTGCTTTCTGTCTTTATACATTATTTCAGTGAGCAAATGCAATTATAAATGGGTTAAAAGCAAGCAATGATTCATGTTAATTATCTAAAATGCCCAAATAATTATTATTTCACTCTTGCCTCATTTTTTTAGAAATCAAATTAGGTTTGATTACAGACTTTAAAACAATTTCTGCGATTAAATTTTGCGAATCATCTGCCTGTCTACTTTAAATAAAATAAATGGTACCTATGAATAATCATAATTAACTACAGCAGATCATGCTTCATGTCATTAACTCTAAGTTGACACAACTAATTTTCAGGTCTTCAACTTAGTCCTGCTTGTAAAATGCAGCTGTCCCCATTTTCTAGCATGTGTTTGCTGGGTGTACCTGTACTGGAGCTGGCTGGCTGCGATCTCCTGCTTAACCTGAGCCAGAGCCTCATGGAAGAAAAGTTCAAGCTCTGTGCGCTGCTCCACAATTCCGCGCGCCAGCCGCTTCACTCGGCTCATCTCATGCTCACGCATGGACAGCAGCTTCTGGAGCTTCTCCAGCTCCACGCTGCCGGCCTGAGCACTGACCACAGCACGTTCCCGCACAGCTGCCTTCTCCCGCTCAAACTCGCCTGCCATGATGCTTAGGGCCTGCTCCAGTGTGGCGACTCTGGCCCTGAGCTCAGAGATCTCGCTCCGCTGAGCCGCCAGCTGGGCCACATTCTCTTTCGTCATCAGCTCACTCGTCTCCTGTGGGGGCAGTGAGTCAGCGGACACTGGAATGGATGGCCATTACATAATTACATAATATCAGCGTCTGGGTCAGGCCAGTTACTAAAATTTATACCCTATTCTTTTATGACTTCCACTTCTTCCCCCACCGGCTTGATTCACAGTAATGTGTACTCATGTCCACAAGGTATTTCTACACGTCTAGTGACTGGGGTTGGCATACATTTGTGAAATCAAGCATGCATGTGTGCATGTGTGCCATGCAGTGCCCAATGCAGGAGTCCCATCAATTGCATATGTCAGCAACAGGCCACAGTGGACAACGGGAGAGGACAGAGAGAGAGAGAAAGGGAGGGGGAGTGATGGAAAGTATGCAGCATGCCAGGCCACAGAGAGACGGGAGACTGGCTCCCAGAGTGGAGGTGAGGAGAAAGAGCCGCCACAAGTGAACACAAACACACACAGCCCAGTGCAAATAAACACCAGAGGGGGGGAAATACCATTCCCAGCACACCCACCAGAGATCAGGAACTACTAGAATAACAAAATAGCTATGAATTTCATTTACTTACTCATTATTTCTAAAGGTGGCTTCTCTTTGTCTCTCTTGTATGTCGTTTTTGGCTGAGGGAGGATTTCCCCATGTCTGCTCAAACTGTTAGTAATACTGCCTTTTGGAGCTCCTCAATTCATGACTTTAGTCATTTGTGAACCACTAAATATAGCTGTTGCCTTAATTACGTTTTGAGGACATTTATGCTCCTAGGACACTGGGAAAGTCTCCAGTCCTCACAAGCTGTCAAATAACCCAATTATCCAAAAATAAGAAGATGGTGGTCTGGCATTAGAGCTTTTGCACAGAGCTGTCATTGAGAGGCCATCCTAGGGGAACCCCTGCATAGGAGGCTACTTGTTCGTCAAAGCACTGTCTCATTCCAGTAGCATCTCTTGATTTTTGTTGGAAGGACGTTTAAGTTAGGGGGCTAAATATTTATTGCATGTCAATATTGCATGCCTTATTGAGAAAAAGGGAAGAGAGTGTAGTCGTTTGTACAGTGGAAGAGAGAGAGAGGAACATATCCATAATGATGGTACCTTATGCAGGGTAAGGGAGGCGTTCTCCCTTGCTAGGGCCTCATTGGTCTTCCTCAGCTCCTCCACCTCTTTCAGGTGGTACCCCAGTGCCTCATTCAAACGCACATTCTCCTTGAACACAGAACGGGACGCATCATCCAGCTGCCTGTGAACAATGGACCAGGAAAGAAAGCAGAAAACCTCTGGATAACTTCAGCAGTATAATACAAGACATGGTACTAACTAAGTACTAAAAGCTAAATTGCTATGTTCTTTAGCAGCTAGCAAACTGTTATTGACAGTAAACTTTGCTGCATGTTTTATGTACAGATTTATGTTCCTAATTCTTATGTGCCTCACACACAGATTGAATCTGACAACAAACAGATGCAAAAAGAGTTCCCTGTCAAACGATCCTAATAAAGACACTCTACTCTGCATACCATCAGCCTAAAGTGACTAAGACACCAAAAGGGTGTCAAAGGAGTAATCAGCTGATGTACAGTATGGCTGAAACTCCCTCTAATTGCCCAAAAATTCCAGAGCTGTACAATTCTGAGGGATTGGCCTCGTTTTCATTCCACTTAGCTGTGACTCATATAATTGAATTAGGCTGACCACAAGTGCTTGGTCTGGGGAGCAGGTGGAGGATTGTCCTGTGGAAACACTCTAAAATGGCAACTCCCTGGCAAAGAGAGACTTACCACCAAAGTGCCACATCAAGAAGTGAGATATTAGAAGGTTTGCTACACTGGCTTTGGTAAACTAATCAAGCAAAACTAACATATGGCTTTTGCTGTGGCCATGAAAAATGCCCTTGTACATATACACGCACATGTTCAGACATGAACACTTTCATACGCACTGTTTGCAGAGTAATCTCCTCTGTTGAGGATATAATCATTGGCTTAGATGATGTATACTATCTCCAGAAAGAAAAATGTAGTGTGGTCACGATAATAACCTTGTTTTTCTACAAAGGTTATTTATTTTCCCTTGCTGTGTGACGGTGCAGTTTGAAGAGTAAAATTAGCCTGTAATTGGAAGAAGGCAAAAAGGGAAAGATGGACAGAAAAGACACTCACACAATCGCTTCATTGTGGGCTTTCTCTGCTAGCTGAGCAATTCTCTGCTCCGCTTCCTTTTCTAAACGAACCTGGACAGAGGAGGATACACAAGTGACTGTTGCAGTTTACTGCCGTTTTCAAATGTATTTCTCTCTTTACAGTCAGTTTTCATTTCACAAAGCAGACACTAATAATTTGTTTTCACTTGTTTCATATGCATTAGGACTGCAAAATATAACTTGCAGCATTGGCCTTTGCAATACTGATAGCGGAGAAGGTCGCAAGATGAAAATGAGCCCTCACAATCACACAGTTTTAACAATCAGTGTTTTACTTTGTGCTACGAGCATCTTGAACAATTAAATTCTGGAGTTTTTTGTATGGGTGTTCTAATGAATAGTGATAAAAAAGTAAATTATTTTGGTCAAAAAAACGTAAGTAAATTTTTAACCACGATTACTGATTCACTGATGTGTTTTCTAATATATTACACAGCATATCACAATCGCATCATGTACCAATACCTGTATTTTATCATGATTGTGTAACAAAAATATGCATACCTTCTCACTGAAGAATTTGTGCTCCATTCTTGCAAGACTGTCCTTGTGTTCACGGTCAGCAATGTACATACTTTCTTTAATCTGGAAAAGGGAATCAACACTTGCTATCAGACACATTAAAGTCTCTTTACCCATTAATTTTGCCATTACAACTACTGTCATTATGTCCCACATCACTAATATTTTATACGTGCTATTTATCACAGTAAGCTGATCCTGAATGGTCAGCATTCACGTTGGTATCGTAACATAGAAACATTAAAAGCTTACATTTCAAAGTTTCTTTTCGTCTTTTCAAAAATATCATGCTTTTAATGTCTCTGGGTGACAAGAACAGTACCAGACGGTCCATAATTTTTGCTCTGTCTCTCTGGGAGTTGGGACTAAACAAAAATGTGGACCGGCTTGGGGTCCCTGAGGACCGGTTTGACAACCACTTCTCTATAGACCTATTTTGTCAACCACAGACCACAGAAAAAAGGTGTTATTATTGTTGATGCTGTTATTATCATGGTGGTATGTCCCTCATCTGTCACATGGTCTTAAGAATGTTTTCATCTATTTGTTTAAAAAGCTATTTGAAACTATACTCCTCCTGAATTGCATAATCTGTATTATTGTACAGTGCTCAGCTCTTGTTCCATCTGGGCCTTCTTCTTGTGGAACTCCTTGATGTTCTTCAGTTCCACTTGAATCATGCGGAAATCATTGGACCTCTTCTTAAACTTCTCCTCCAGCTCATTAACCTTCTGCATATACTCCGCAACCTGCAACAGCCAAGCAACCAAAATAAATGGTCGGCAGCCCAGCACTCATGATAATAGGGACGGCCATGTGCCCTTTTCCTTTCTGAAAAATTGGCAGTTGAAGGACTAGGAATAGAAGGAGGTTACTTCTACATACAAGACTACTCTGGGAGGGCAGCCCTATAACCGCTGGGGTAAGAATTACAAAGTTCATATGGCCTATGGCCTTTCCATGCAGACCAAAGTAAAGCGCTCATGGCTGCCCACCAGAAAAATACCAGCAACTGGAGCTATTCAGAGACCACTGTATCCAGGCATTATAACTTTCCAAGCCAAGTGTTATGAAACAGAAGTTTGACCTTCTGCCTCGCAGCACATACTTCTGCACATACATGCTTGCTGGAGCCATGGCAGCAGTCACTGAAAGTACCCGTGAAGGGCCAATTGTTAATAAAAATGCCGTGAAGTGCGGGTCACTAATGAAACTGCCAGTGAAGCGCCAGTCACTAACAGAATTGAGAGTGCAGCTCCAGTAAATACTCCATAGTAAAAACTGCTAGTGCAGTGACTCTGAAGTGCCAGTTGCCAATAAAACTGCTGGGTAAAGTGGCAGTGAAGTGGCTGGTCCGCCCCTCACCTGACATCCAAATCTAATAGAGAATATGTCACTTAAATGTCCATTACAGGCTTCAAATGATTCAAATGTTCTTGTTTAAGTAGAGTTTGCTTGAGTAGTTCTAAACCCTGTGTTGGAAGTGAATGTACATCACTGCTGCTCCACAGAACATTAAAATTCCCATAGAAGCACAAACAGAAATGAATAATGTCACAGGGGTGGTAGTCGGGTTACTTGTAATTTGAAGATTTCTACATTAAACACTGCTCTATATATATTGATTTGGGGGGCCATGGAAAGCTTATTAAATATTTCTCAAAATATCTCAAATTCTCAAACCAGCAGATACCCTGATGATGCATATTTTACTAACTCTTTACTAACTTCAACAGAAGAGATAAGACTAAAAAAATTTTGACCTTTCTGTACAAAGGCCTCAACATGGTCAGTATCACATATCTACTTAAATTTGAATCACAACATAGAAATAGTGTAGAATGCTGACTATTTATTTATTTTTTTACTTTTCATAAATTTTCGTTGTAATTTTGTTGCTATTGTTTAATTCTAAATTTAAATGAAAACTATCCCAGATTTACAATGTGGTCTCAGACTTTTGGACCCCACTGATTGTTTTTAAGTAAAGCACTGTGGAATCTTGGAAAGACTCTGCATAGTATGTTACTGTTAAGTTCAGGCAACTTTTACACACAGATAACTGGATTAATCATCAAAATACTCATGGGTTACTTGATTACTAATATAAACAACAGTGACAGCTCTATATACACTCATATATACACCTGTATTTACAAATACATTATTATTCCAAATAATATCCATACCCAAATGAGCACTGAAGCAGAATGCAGCTAAATGCAACAATGTGAAAACCAGAGTCAAAACAACTGAAAGAGCAGTCCATACAAAAGCTATAATTCAGTGTTAGATTGTTTGATCCAGTTACAAAATGCCTAGAGAATGCTGGCTAAATTCCTTACAACTAGCATCACTTAAGGGATTACATATGAAATTACATATTTGCAATGGTATGTTTTTTTGTAAAACTAAAAGGCATTTATAAAACTAGCCATTTTATGATGAGTTTACTAGCAGTATTCTAATGGCAGTCATTCTTTCACAAATTTCACATATTTACAGATTTGAAAAACATATTTGCCATTAACAGGACAAGTGTGACTACCATTCATTAACTTTGCCATCACAGTTTTAAGGTCTAATTATCTAAATCCCAACTTTTATGCAATTAGACAGTTCTGAAGGTCTGATTTGTAATATTGGTTGAAATGAGATTTATTGTGCAGGTCCAGCTGCATTTTGTTCCTTCTTCCTTTGCTTAAATGGCATTTTTTTAATTGCTGTCAGAAAGTGGCAAGGGCACAAGGCTAGAGCTGGAAAAGACTTGATGAAATAATACTTTGGCTGAGTGACTTTCTCCCACAGCTCAGTCACATGTCAGACCATTTATTTAACAAAAGAAGCAACAAAAGCAGGCGCCCACTGTTTTTTCTTTCTTTTTTTTTTTCAACACTGTGACTGCTTTAGAGGGTTTCCATTAGCTAAGTCCTTTTTCAAGATGAAGTGTTTTATCACATTACACAGTCCAAGTGGGGTTGGCCTTGAAATTGCATCTGAGTTCACCACAACAATGTATTTTCCAGAATAATGCTACATGGGCAAATGTGACATTGCCATGAGTGTCTAAAAAGGGGATGTTTTAAGTTTGTCCAGACCAAGGTTTTTTTGTTGTTAGCCAACACTTATTGGGACCCATTTTTACCAGCATGAAGTAAGAGATGTTAAATGAAAACAGCTGTTGACCAAAGCAGCACATTTTCTAACTTTTCAGAGAGACTACTGCTGTTGCAAGTGGTCTGATGGTTAGCTACCATTTGGAATTACATAAAAATCCCTGTAATGCATTCATGTTCAAGAATTGGGCTTATAAAAAGCTTTCATCAACATAATAATAACGTTGAAGTGACATTTGTAATTTGCTACCAAGAAACCATAAGACACGTGAGGATGAATAACTTGGCACATATTGAAACTGGCTGAAGCATACCAGGAGAACACAGATTTTAATTACAGAGTTTTTGGCACCACAGAACAGGATTACATGACTGCAAATGTTGGGGTTCTGTTATAAAGTTTTATGCTTACTTTGTTTTTTTTACACTATAAATGAACTAAGTAAGCATGTGTGTAATTAGAAGGGAATACTGTTTGTTGGGAGCAATATTACACATTCTTAGAGATTCTAGGTTTACTGTAGGTGCCAGTCAGCCACCCAACAGAGAGCATAATAAACAGGCTGTGATATATGAAATATTATGATTGGCAGGAAGCTATCTATACGACATTCATGAAGCTGGCACTGCTGGTCATGTAAAAATGTCCTGTGCCAAATTCTGACCTGTTTGCAGTGATCTGTGTAGTCAGCCCCTGTTCTTGGAACATGGTTTGTATGTTTATATCTAATGGCTAAGCACACAAATACTGTTTCCCTGGGGGAATAGCTTGGCAGTCCTCAGGACTGTGGGCACTTACTACAAGCTCTTTTTCTTGTAAGGCTTTTGACTTCTGCTCTTTTAGCTGTTCTTCCAGGGCAACAATCTGTGGAAACAAAGAAGGCAATAAACACCACAAACAGATTAGAATGGCAAGCTGCTATGACATGTTGGCACACATCTGCTATCTGATGAGCAAAAGCTGCGTCATGGATTGCCAAACCAACGCTTTCATTCAAGAAAACACATTTAGGCCAACCTTTGCTTCTTTTTCAAGGTCTTTCTTCTTCAGGAAAGCAATTATATCAATCATGTCCTTCTCAGCTCTATACTGCTGATTTGTGAGTTCTTCATTGGCCCTGGCTAGTCTGCGAGCAGCTTCACGATATTCCACCCGTGAACCTTCCGTCACCTCCAGTCTGGCCTCCCACAGGGTTGCGTTGGCTTTAGCCCTCTCCACATCAGACTCTTTATCCAATTTCGACTCACGTTTGCCTTCTTTCTGTCCCTTTCTAGATAAATAAGAAAGATATGTCCGGTTGTCAAAAAGTAGCTAAACTGAGAAACAGACACATACATAGTCAAATGTAAAAGACAAGAAGTCAGATATACTGCTAGATACATACGTAGTTAACTAAACTAATTAACAAATGAACTAACTAAATGCATTGTGGTTCTGTATACTATTTTGTCATTTTTCGCACTTAAAAGTGCAGTGTGCAAGATTTAGCTGAGTGATTCCTCATCTAGCAGTGAGGTTGCAGATTGCAACCAACTGAATACCCTTCTCTCACCCTTCCTTTTCCAAGTGTGTATTAAAACCTATGGTGACTGTCATATTTTAGCTTCTTTGATGACAAGGAGTCACCATCCCTCGCCTTTTCTTGACTCTCTAGAGCCAGTGTTTGGTTTGTTCATTCTGGGCTACTGTAAGTACAACATGGCGGACTACGTTGGAAGAGGACCCTGTCACTACCCAATTTAAACCGGAAACCTGTTTTGGACTACGCATGTGTGGAAGTGTACGTCAACCAACCTGAGCTGGACTACGTACGCACAGCAGCATTGTAAAATGATAGTGGAAATGACATACCGTTGCTGCGTATGGGTGGTCCAAATCGGGTTTCTGGTTTAGATTGGGTAGTGACAGACCCGCTCAATATGTAGATATAAAGGGCTCATTCTAAGCCAATGAAAACACAACGTTTCATAGTTACAGGTAATTATACACTAATGAAAACATGGTTTTGCATACAATGTTCTATTTCTGCTAATATATCCCCCCTAAATCTTACATACTGTACCTTTAAATGGATATTGCGGAAATACCCCAGGCTGTAATGATTGGTCAGACTTACACTTTTGAATTATTGATTGATTCATTGATTGATTAGTTTGCCGTGCATTTTGATTGGTAATATTTGGGCCAATACTTGTAATATGAAATATTAAATATGAAAAAGTATGTTCCAACAAAACTACAGTTTTCATTGTTAAACGCAATTATTTTTCTTCTTTGTACTCGTTTAAAAATGACGACTCATATGCGCAGTGAATGAGGCTGCCTCAGAAAAAAACTCATGAAACATGTTGCAATTTATAATACTAGACCCATGTTTGATATTTACCAGAGTGCGAAATATGGGCAAAATAACACTTTTGCTAACTGGTCTAGAAAGTTCCCTGACCTGCTACGCATTAGCATCCCTACGCCAGTCCCTATGCGCCAATTTCACTAGTTAGATACTGTTAATATTTAGACGGATTTGATGTTTAAACACAGTAATATGAGTAATTGCTAACGGTTCTGATGGAAAGATTGATAAATTACAGTATATAATTAATAAACGGCATAGCTAGAGGTCTTATTTATTAACAGTTAACGTTAGCTAACGTTACTGAATACTGACATTACTGAACACTGAACTCTCACGGCTACCTAGCAACATGCTCCGTAATAGTAAACGTTAGCTTGCATTTCTGTAGCGCCTTGATATCGTTCGCTTACACAAATGTGACCTTTAACAAACAGCAAATTCTTGCTTACCCTTTCGCTTTCTTTCCCTTCTTTCCCTTTTTCTTCGGCATACTTCTTGGTTGAAATATTAAGAAAACAATGAATAGTGTAGACTTGCGCTTCTTCACAGGTCCTCTGACATCTTGTTTACCACTGTTACTATAGAGACGGTAGGAGGCCGGGACTCCATTCCTTCCTGCACTGATCCCACTGTTTTCAGTTTGATCCCTTTTCATCAGTGGTGATTTGCTCATATCCATTCAGCAAATAGATTTTAATCCTAGGTAGTAAACACTTTTATCGGGTGCCAGCTTGAACTGCAAAGTACTGAAGCAAATTTAGGTGATAAAATTATGCAATACATGAGAGACCTTTTTCCTTAAACTTTCAATGCACAGGGATCAGCTTTCTCATCTTGGCTAATCACAATGAATCTATGAGTTCAGTCATTGTATTGACTAGTAGCGGCCACGTCGTATTCTTTTGTTTTCTTGGTCCGTGTGGCAGTTGCTCACCAGTGGCCAGGGCTTCATATGAGGGGCCATGCATGTACATACCATCCCACCAAGTAAAAAAAGAAAAGGCCAAAAATCATCCTGTTGTGAGACTACCAGTCCCCCATGGATTAATGCTGATGTAATATCACCTAAGATGTCTGTGATACATTAATTCCATCCATCGTTGAGATTTACCCACCAAGTTGCCTTGAACGTATCAAGAGTACCCTTACCCAACCCATCCAGTCTTTTGAACCACCTCCCCTCTGGAAGATTTCTTTACAATTTTACCTTTGTCTGGTACCTAGTGTGAGGATTAATTTGAAAAAGAACCGAGGGAAGGAAGGCTGGGCACTTCTCCCATTGAGGGGAACTCGGCTTAGATGATTGACAGATTCAGACATCATGCAAGATGTAACTATAACTAAAGATTACATAAGCTGCGGACTAGCCGCAGAAGTTAAACAAAATTGCAGTTGACTTAGCATTCTCAGAAAGCCAAGCCCTCTGAAAAACAATGTAAACTTAGCGCAGAACATCATTTTGAATCCATCCAGCTGCACCACCCTGGCTTTGCATGCCTGCACCCAGTCCAGTTGCCGGCCTCCAAACTACTCATTTCTCTACAAGCGCTCATTTCTGATGTAACTGGAGGATGTCCATAGAACATTCCGCAAGCAGAAAAAATCACCAAAGTAGCATACGGGAAAACTTTAGGGTGGAGCTACTGTAAATGTATAGGGGCTGAAGCCCTAGCACATGTATGCTGTTAAGCAACTAAATTTAAAGCTAATTGCTGAGACAGGCGAAAGCATCCCATCCCCCAGCCCCTTTCTCACTATAGAAATAACCGTGAACATTTTCAAGCTGTCATTATCACTGAAATTGTAATTACAAGGTTTTGGCCTCTTCAATGGGAGTTGTTGGGCAGGACACCCACAAACATGGCATTCCTGCGGTGGACTGTGTAGTATATTTATAATGGGTTTCTAACTCTGGAAGGATCAGCTTACAAAACAGGGAGAACACCTTATGTTGGAAGACTCTTGTGCAGTTTGAATCAGTAATGAGTAACAATGCATGATGATGTAGCAATGCTTTGTCACAGGTGTTTGAAAATGATATTCACTTGTCACAAGGCCCAAAAAAGATAGCTTTAATCATTTCCTGATTACACAGAAGACAGAGGCCTTCAGACAAAATGCGATATACTTGTAAGCTCAATCTGCCAGAACTTGCACCCATTAGTTGAGTAATTTAGTAATATCCACCATGCGTAAAGAGGATAAAAAGACATAAAGGGTCTAATTTACTAACTTCAGTGGCACATGTTGAAATAGCTCAAGCAATTTGAACACTGAGTCATGACAAATTCATTGCTTAATCACTGCTTTTGCACAAACGAACAGATCAGTTTTCCTTTTATGACCAGGCAAACTTTATTTTGTTTCTTATTGTTCCTATTTTTTATATGCTGAAGTAGTATTCCATTGTTTTCAGAGTGCTTATTTTCACTGTAATGTGGATTACAGGATGCTGATCATCATGGTAGGGCAACAAATTCATCCAAATTGTCATTGTTCCTCTGCGGCAAAACATCTGTCAGTCCAGAATGCCTAAATGGGTTTTTAGCTTGTCAGGCTTTGATTCCATCACATTTTTCATCACATCAGTTGGATAATGCACTGTAATTGCTTTGCTTCATGCTGTAAACACAATTTATGATGTATTGTGAGCATCCATGGACGTACAGAATGCTTTGTCAGTAATTGTCTGCAGTTATGCGTACACATAATTATGTGTGTGCTTCATCTGTGTGAGAAAAACAGGGCAAGCAACTACTGCCAAAACTCATCAGCACATGGTCTTATATCATATACCGTGAAGCAGCTTGATACAGACTGCAAGGGAATCTGTAGGGAACCAGATGAATAGACAGGATATAGTCATTCTTTGAAGACAGTGAGTACATTTTCATGACACTCAAATGGCAGCCAGCCACCTTTTAAAGGAATTATTCACCAAAAAATAAAATTTGCAAAATTTTCCCTTTAACCCAAGTGTAGTTGATCAGCCATGATGCATTTGGTGTCAGACGTTTCCTTCTTTAGTTTTACTATGGAGCTACAGGGCTAATTTAGCCTAAAAGTAATGTAAGTCTTTTTTTGGCTGACATGCAGTACTGTGCAAAAGTCAGAGACCAGCCTTACATTTATTTAATTTCCAGTCAAAAGAGCGCTACATCAGGAAAAAGCAGAAAACATATATTTAACATAAAATTACACAGAAGTCTGAACAACAGAATATAATACATTTATTTTTTACATCTCAATTTTTTTAAGAAATCTGCAGGAATATTTTTCCACACCTCCAAAGTTCAGTCTTAGAAGTTGATTGCATTTTCTGCATTTTCTGAATTTTCAGCTTCTTACAATCCCAAATATATTCAGTGATGTTGACATCTGGACATGGGGTGGCCAGTTCATTGTTCTGAGAACACCGGCAGCCTCTTTGTTTGATTTTGCAAATGCTCTTCCTTTCTTCAGTAATAGCTTCTTAACAGCTACCTATCTTTTCAGACCCATAGTGTTGTCCTCTCACAGTGGAAGGATGGACAGGAACACCTGTGGATTTTTCCAGATCTGAAGCAAGAGTGGAGCTTGATTTTCTCCTCTCTCTCAAAGATTAAAGCTGTAAGTAGTGTTTATCTGACAGAGACAGGTTTGGTGGTCTACCAAGTCTTGTATTGTTGTTTGGAGTCCCATTTTTTCAGAATATTTTAAGAATCTTTTAAACTCTAGTCTTGGAAACTCCTGCTTTTTCCCTTATTTTCCTTTGACTTTCCCTTTTCTTATAAACTTATCTAATCTCCTCAGAAACATCTCCTGAAAAATGAATAATTTGTACTTAATGTTCATTTTGGCTGAAAAATAAATAAGTGAAGGGAGGGGTAGTCATGATCTCGGATTTTGCACAGAACTGTACGTCTACCATATTAGCCCCTTTACTCCAGTGCAAAACTAAAGAAGCATTTTGGACACAGTTGGCTTATCAACTGTGTTTAAGGTAAGGGAAAAATTGTGTAAAGTAAATTTTTTGGTGGCCAGTTCCTTTAAATGAGCTCACAAAGGGCACAGTGCTGTTATCATGGCATGGGCAGGAGTGTCCTCTTAAATTGTCAGAGGTCAATAAGAGATCCAGCGCATGCATGCTTGGCAACGGAGAAAAGACCATAATGGGGTACCACAGGATTTGAAAAAAGCAGTGAAAGAGGAAAGAAAGTGTAATATTTTTAGGTCCAAATTACAGCGTTGGAACAGTTGCTTTGCTCAGTCGAGTGGCCCGGGACTGGAATGGCATGATGGGAGCACAGACAGTGCCAAACTCCACCCTAAACTCCACCCCTCCCTGAGTTCCTCCAGCTCTCCCTCCCTCCCTCCCTCTTCTGCCCTCTCCATGGCCCTCCTTCCTGCCCTCCACACTAAAGCCCCAGCCTGGGATCCTCCTCAGCCCATTCCATGTCTCCTCTCCTCAATTCCCTCTCACACAGTGCAGTAGCGGTTCCACTCTGAAGCCACACTGTGTGGTGAACCACGTTCATTTGTTGCAAGAAAAGAAAAGAGGATGCAAGTTGCGGTGACCCAGCTAAATGCCACAGAGTAATACAAAACAATTCATTTAGCGGTGTGTATGTGTGTGTTGGGGGGATTTCACGTTAACAGGGTGGAGAAAACCCCACTCTAAAATGCATGGTTCACTTAAGGTCTTCTTGCCTGCAGCACCACATCACAGCTCCTGGCACGCTCATGCCTCAAAGCAAATGAAGACACAGCAATGAGAACCAAAAAGATGGTTAAAAAACATTTTTCCCCCCCTCGGCCAAACACCTACTTCAGAAGGAAAGCGTAACCGCTCATAGTTCTCATGCTTTCTCTTTATGTCAGCCTGAGGATATTTTCTCCTCTAGCTGAAAATCCTGTGGTCATTGAGATGAGTGGGCTGTAGATGATTTTTCACATGCTTTTTGTTGCCAGTTCCAAGCCACACACACACTCGCTTCTGTGTAGAAGGCACTGTATGCATTCAGAGGCACTTTATGCATAAAAATGCTTTTATTAAGCATTTTTTGGCCATTTACTTCAAGGCAGTAATATAATACTTGAAATTTATCCTCACATTCTCTTAGCACAGTATCTGAAGGAGGTCTTTTTGAATGTAGGCAGTAACACCGACGCAGACGTGCAATAGTACGGTCTGCAAGACGTCAGGTGGCAAATGAGAAAACAACACAAGTAACCCCCATGTCCCACAATTACTCACAGCCATGTCTGTGTCCAGTCTTTTTGCTAAAGCACTTTTAGAGCCCTAGTTTTAATGATTATAGTGCAATTTTATACCCTCACCACAAAGTCACACAATAAATTAGATAATGTCTACGTTTCTTTGCTCTCCTTTTTAAAACAAAAGAGAAAGGAAAAAGCCCACATTTAGAAGTCATGAGATGAATAATAAACTCAAATTAGCTATGTCTCAATTAGCCGCTATGCGTATGTGTAATGCAACACCAAGCAGTTTAATTTAGAGTTTTCAGTAGCTGATTCATGATATCTCTGGAAATGTCAGGGAAAGAAGCTGACTTAAATGAATTAAAAGTTTGCATCTGGAGGGTGAAATGGTTGTCAAGAGAGAAAACTGTTTAAGTAACAAAACTGACTGCAAGTAGCAAGTAAGAGCGTAAGTTTTAATTAAGTACACTCATAAAGCGTATTTTAAGAGCAATGCTCCTAGTCTCGGTCCTCCACTCTGTTTTGAAGTCTTAATATACACTGCTTTTTCTTTTTTAGGAGTCTTTCTAAGCTTTTAAGCAACTTCAGATGATGGTGCTGTGGGTTGGTAGGAGCTATTGCACATTGCCAATAATTGAGTAGAAAGAAATTGTGCTGTTTAGCAGGTATTCCAGACCCATTCTTTGGTTAGGGAGAGGAAGGGATGATTGGGGGATGGCTCCTAGAGGACCTGAGACGGAGAGGCTCAGGATTGGTGGATGGCCTTGCTTGGCGTGGCCCCCTGCCAAACCCTTATGTCTTTATATACTGTTAACCGATGACCATCCAGTCCTGAGTGTGTCTCTATCTTCACTCTCTCTCTCTCTCTGTCTCTTTCTCTCTCTGTCTCATTGCTGCTTCTCTCCACCTCCTCTTCTCCTGCTTCTCACCTCTTCTGCTGACCTTCATCTGCATCTGCACGCTCCTCAGCCTTCTTCTCCGCAAAAGCAAGCAAAAATCATCCAACACACTTTCCTCCATTCAAACATTTAAAGAAACTCCAGCTGCTGACTGTGCCGGCTTGTGAAACCATGCCACAGCAGTTGTTGCTCCTGTCGGTGGTGTCCGTGTGGCTTTTGGCTGGGTTCTTCCTAGCAGATGCTACATACTACAGCCAACACGTGTACAACCTCCGCCACCGCACGTACAGCCACCGTGCCAGCAACATGGACAACCAGCTGCCCCCCGTGGTACCCACAGAGCCGCCTGTTGAGGTTGTGCCGCCACGTCTGCACAATTTCAGCCGTATCTTCTATGGGATCATGTTTGATGCCGGCAGCACCGGCACTCGCATCCATATCTACAAGTTCATTCAGAAGGACCCAGGTGAGTTCTTTCTCTGATCCTGTGTTCACTGTCTTGTGCCTCCATTGAGTATGTCCTTTACTGAATAATTGGATGTAGATCTCAGATAATATAATCTCTTTAGCCATGGATGTGAATGTTTCTTGCTCCAGTTGCCCCGTTTTCCTGTCCTAAGTAACATCCATTGTCAGGACACAGCATTGCAGCATGAACTCAGAATGATCCTGTGGAGTCCTGCCTTGTAGACTCAGTTGACTCCTCTCTCTCTCACTCCCTCTGTCTCTCCCTCTCTCTCTCTCTCTAAGCAAGCGCTGTCTCCTTGCAGCGTCTGGGTTTACTGCAGCCTCATTCGCTCTTTGGTGCTAAGACAAACAGAAAGCTCCATGTGGGGAGAGAAAGAGAGAGGAGGAAGTGAGAGAGATATGCAGTGGTTTGCACTTTTGAGACGTTGCAGCCAGTGCAACCAAAGATTAGTGGGTTTGGACTGATAATGTAGTAATCGTTTTTCGACCCTTCCATCACGTGGAGACATGGCATCAGCCGATGATGTAAACTCTGAGTCCGAAGAAACTGCTAATTTGCCTGTCTGGAAAAATCTTGGTGGTCGCCATTTGTGGTCTCTCCACAATGGCCAAGCATCTAAGCACAGGCACAATAGCCTCGTAAGGACTGGAGAAAGGAGATGAGCTGTACGCAGTCCATAGCTAATGTGCACCTTCTTTTGCCAGATGTCTCCAGCTGTTTTACCTGAAATGTATGTGTGTATCTCTTCCACAGCTGGGCTGCCAGTGCTTGACAATGAAATGTACCATGCAGTGAAGCCTGGACTGTCTGCATATGCCGATAAGCCTGAAGTGGTAAGCCCATAACGTTCTCATCACATTCTTATGGACACTATTTTTGCTACTACATCCTAATAGCTATTATATTTTCCACAATGTGCAGACAGATGAACCATGTAATTATTTGGTTATTTCCACCTAATGATAAAATTGTCAGCACTCGTGCTCCTACTATGGAATCTGAACTCCAGACTGTCCAGCAATGCATCGTTTCATTCTGTGACCACACAGTTATTTTCATAGCAGCATATGTACTTTTCCAATTTGCCGCTGACCATGTAAAAACATGAGCTGACCTGCCATGTTGTGCAACTGCTTTGTTAGTTCTCTGTGTCCTCAACGCAGTGTTTGGAAATGCAGTCAAAAATTCCACCCTTCGTTGAGTCCTTTATTTGTAGCTGTTGACATTCACCTGTTTATTACTGGTCCTGTTCACCAGTTTAGACTCTACCTCCACATGTATTCAAGCAGGCTGATAATGGTAAATGCTGTCTTGTTCTTCAGGGTGGAGACACCATCAGGCAGCTTCTGAAGGTGGCCAAAAAAACGGTACCCAAGGAGGAGTGGCGGCAGACTCCCGTGGTACTGAAAGCCACTGCTGGCCTGCGGCTGCTGCCCGAGGAGAAAGCCAAAGCCCTGCTGGATGAGGTGAGGCAAAGCTCTCTTTCTCACTCCCTTGCTCTTTTTCTCCATTCCTCTTTACCTCAGACAGTTTGGCGGAGAAACCGAACGTTCCGCCAAAAGACAGGGAGATGTTAACCACGTTTTGTTCAAGATGAGAGGAAAAGAAAGAGAAGGAGAGAAAAAGAGAAGCTGCTATTGCATAAAAAAGCAGCTGTTCTGAGGCTGTCTGGAGAAGAGGGGGCCTGGCTGGCTTATGAATTGTATTTTTCGCCACCACAGCAACCACAGATGTGGTTTCAAACTCCCCCAGCTACAGACGTCTTTGCCCAAGACTGATTCAGTGTACTTCCCTCAGACTCCAGATAAAAGGGATTGGTTTAGTTTGAGGGTTATGTTGTCCCATTACATATTCCAATATACAACATATTGAAATACATCATAAACACTTGAGGTTTGATTCTTTTGCAGTTATTGTGACCCAACTCTGAAATTTATGCTTGCATCCGCAGGTCAAAGAAGTTTTTGACGAATCTCCTTTCTTTGTACCGAACAACAGTGTCTCTATCATGAATGGTACAAATGAAGGTAAGTTTAACTGCTAAAAAAGTCCCCTATTTTGCTTTTCTTTCTCCTTCACTTAACATTTTCAGTTCTTTCAACATGATCTTTCATCAAATGCCCATAATGTAACTTGAACTTTGAAAGCTGCCATTTTGTTTAACCAGGAAAACCTTAATGAAACAATTTCGTCTGGTCATCCTCCCACACGTGATTCTGTACTATTAAATAATCCTCCACATCCTTTTTCTCATTTGGGTTGACATATTTTTTCATTGCAAGCTCAGATGTACAAGTCATTACCTGCTTTTATGAGCTGTGAGTAATATCACATCTCAGACATGTCTGATTACCTGGGCTGGTCCCTGATGGCCCTGAAATCTGGACACTTTTATTATGAAATGAGATCTGACCTTAATGAAGAAACATGCACTGCATGTACTTCACATCAGTCTGAACTCTCTGGCAGAGCCTGAAACCACTAATAGCAGGTGGCACAGTTATGGCAATGACTCAGCAGTGGCCACATATACCAAAGTAGGGTGTAGGCTGCCAGCATCAAGAAATCATATCTTGATAATATGGAAGCAACAGCTGTTGTTGATAACAGCTATCTTGAAATCAGTACTCATCACAAGAAGATTACTCAGAAATGCTCTCTAGACATAAATTTGTTCAGTTCAGCATTAGTTGTCTACAAATATGACAACTACACAGTTTACAGACTAGATTCTACTATGAAGCTCATGATAGAAGTTGAGAAGGAGGTTGAACTTGGTCAGTCATCCACTAATCAACAAATTAAATGTGCTGCAACTATCTCATTTGTCTTCATGCCACCAGTTGCCTTAATTCAAAATTTTACATAGTATCTTATGATTTCCCCATTCTCTCTTTCTCTCAACAGGGGTGCTGGCTTGGGTCACAGTGAACTTCTTGACAGGTTAAGTATTGCTCATTTTTTACTAAAGTGGTGTCAGTGATGGTATCAGTTGATGGTTAGTGTGGAGTCTTGCGGCCCATGACTCAGCCCCCACCATATGCCTCTGACAGGCTCCACTGGCCTTTTACAAATTTCACTTTAGGGAAGGCTGCCTCAGAACAGATGTAATTTATTTACAAAACGCCTAAACAAAAGGCTTTGTCTCTACTGTGGCTGACAGAAAACCACATGCTGCAAGCCTCTACAACAGTGGTCACCAACCCTGGTTCTGGAGATCTATCTTCCTGTTCTAGTCAGTTAACTTCTTCAGAAGTGCTTGATTGGCTGGATCAAAAGCAGTAGTGTTTGGTAGGGTGGGGTCAGCATGTTATACACAGGTTGGAACTAAAATCTGTGGGAAAGTAGATCTCCAGAAAAAGGGTTGCTGACCACTGCTCTACAAATACGATCTAGATCAGGAGTTCCCAATCCTGGTTCTGGAGATCTACCACCCTGCAGAGTTTAGCTCCAATTCTATTCTAACACACCTGCTCTAGGTGATTAAGACCTTCAGAGATACCTGAAGAGATATTCTGCAGATAACATCATGCTAATTAGTGGCTACTGGCTTCATTCTAAGCCATGCTAGCATGTTTGGTCAACCTATTCCTTTAATTAAACAGGGACATTACCTGTTGGTCATGACAGATTCTAATTCTGCATACAGTGGTGTGGTGAACTTAAAGTATTTCAATTTCAATCTTTATACAATTTTGCTGTACTTTTGTCTTACAGGTCACTTGTATGCTAAAACCAGAAGAACCGTGGGTATCCTGGATCTCGGTGGAGGTTCAACTCAAATCACATTCCTCCCAAAATCTAAAGTAGGTCTATAGTCAGTAAATTTATCATAGCAGAGAAAAATTACTAGAACAGAGAAAATATAGTTTATCCTAATTTGTTCTTTTCCCTCTTCACAGAAAACAGTGGTAACTGCTCCTCCTAGCTACATTGCTCGTATCGACATGTTCAACAGCACTTATGACCTTTACACTCACAGGTATCTTTCTAAAGCCTTTTATTTTGTATGTTTATATTCTAAGCTATCTTATTTTTCTGAAATACCTTTTTTTTTTAATCTCCTTTCCTTATATAGTTACCTTGGAAATGGACTCATAGCAGCCCGACTGGCAACTCTTGGCGCACTTGGTGCAGATGGTAATGCTTCTTCAGTTGTTTTCTTTTTTTAGATAGTTTACCTATTTACATTCAAATCATCTTTCCAAGGTTCTCTGCTGGTTAAAACCCTTCCTCTTCTCCTCCAGGTCTTGACTGGAAGGTTTTCACAAGTTCTTGTTTACCAAAGAAGTTCAGAGAGGATTGGACCTTTGGTGGGCTCACTTACAAAGTCAGCGGAATCCCAGATGGTAAGAGATTAACGTGGAATGCAATTTCCACAACAAAAATATAAATAAATGTCAAAGCTTAGGTGCTCAGGCATCTAATGCAGTAATAATTTTAAATGAATAAAGGGATTACATAGTGATGTTCCAAAGTTACATGAAATGAGTAACTCATTACACAAGGCTGAGTAAAACTGACTTTAAGACATTAATTTGACAGTGCTTTAGTGAGGGCGTCATTGTGAAATTGTGGAGCCAAACAGCTTTGCAGCGTCTTGCCAGTTTCATGTAATTGTCCACCTCTCAGCAGGCGTTTGAACAATAATAATACTGTAAACATTGTATTTAAGTGAAGGGAAAATTGTTAGTTGTGTCCTCAAATGATATAACACTCCCTTACTGCAGTCGTGTAGCTAAAAGATACGGGTTTAGTCACACACTTGGGATATTACTCTTTTTGCATAGTTAGCAGATTAATCTTAGTGGGGAATGGCCAGCAGAGGGGGGCTCCGCTAAGGTGTAGTCACGGCCAGTACATGGTTTCCTGCTGCTAGATGTGACTATACAGCCAGCTCATTTCAGTATGTGCGAAAGCAGTCTATTTGGAGCTTCATGAGGGGAAACCTCTCCCCTGAAGTGTTTGTGGTGAACTCTTAAAGGAACGGTGCAACATTTTTCCTCAAAACCTTTTTTTCCAGGTTTCAGAGGTTTTTGTGGTTTTCATCCAAAATACATGCCTCTGAAACAAGAAAACCCTCTAAATGACCTCCCACAGGCTTCCATGGGGCATAAAATGAGACAGGAACAGAACACGTGATAAGCCACCCGCTGTAAGCTCATTTGAATGTTGTGGGTAGCGATGTGTTTCTATACATCATTGCTTTGCTCATATGGAAGGTGTTTTAAAGTGTGCTAAATATACTTAAATGTGCCATTTAAACATATGCCAATATATGCACATACACATCAGTGTGTGAAAATATATGTATATATTATATGAAAGTGTAAATTTTTTTAATGTAAAGAATATATTTAAATATATAACAAATTTCATCCATATTTTGAAAAAATGTATTTCAAGTCTTTTGCTAGTACAACCAGACTACTAGCTATCAAGATAACTAAACAATAATTTTATGCAAAGTAACTTCAGTGCACATATTAAAATATGTATTCATAAATCACACAGTAACAAATGAATGAGAGTATACAATACCATTTTGGACCTGAAACTATGCTCTGTGGCAGCCTATGAGAGGTCATTTTTGCACTGTATCTTAGTTTTGAAGAACATACTGTACAAAAATCACCAAAATGATTTAAAAAGTCTTAAAAAAGACTTGAAAGCACTGCATCACACGTCTTGTGAGAAGAACACTGTAAAAGTACCTCAAATCTCATTAGATCCTGCATCCACAGGTTATGCAGGGTACAAGCTGTGCTATCATGAGGTGATGCGGGTGGTGAAAGGAATCATCCACCAGCCCTTTGAAGTGAAGGGAAACAGCGTCTTCTATGCCTTCTCCTACTACTATGACAGAGCTGTGGAATCCGGCCTTATTGGTAGGAAATACTGATTATTTAAAAAAAAAAAAACAGTTATTTAGATTATCATCACAATGTTCATTTGCAGATGATGAGAATTTTATTAAGATAATTAAAAAATGTACCGTCTTTCTTTCAGATGGCTCCCGAGGCGGTGTTGTGGAGGTCAGAGATTTCAAGAAGAGAGCCAAGGAAGGTAAGACGCCAGACTTTGGATGTTTTCCCTCACTCTTACGTCCATGCGGGTCAAAGTCTTTGCCGCACACACTGTACAAACATAAACTCTCTGTGCTTATTTGCATTCTAGGCTCCCGACAATCGCACAGCCTTCACAAAATGACAGCTCCGACACCACATAAACACACCCTGTTCCTCTCCCACACAAATACCTGACTCTGTGTGTTCTACTGCCTCTGCATCTCCTCAGTCTGCTACCTTGGCACTTTCTGAATATGAGTTATGCAATTTCTGCGATAAAGTAATGTCGACCTGGGTGCACATGCAGCTGCACAGGGCGTAGCTGACCATTACATGCAGCACAGTGTTCCAAAACAGAGCCTGACACCTGAGATTGATTCATCGCCTTTGGCTCATTAGCCAGATCACGTCAAATAATAAGTGTCACTGAAGCGCTAGATTTATCATGAGGAGGAATGAGTTGGTGTCTTATGAAAGGCTTTTATTTGTGTAGTGTGAACACTGTCGCATGGCCTCGATGAGCCACTTTTGGCACTCAGGGCATCCTTGGCAACAGACCGTTTTCTTTGGCTGTGATACACTCGTTGCCTGATATCTAACAAGAGGCGCTAAGATTTCACGGCACACCCTGTACGAGAAGACTTGACAACCTGGCACAGCTTGCCCCTTGAGGCTTGACACAATGTTATAACATGTGCAAACTAGGGCATGAAACAATTCCTTAGCACAGTCAGCTAAATAAAGATCTCAAAAACAATGTGTGGGCCTTCTTTTCACAATGACATGACAGACTGACCTGCATTAGTCTCTCGAGTGTTTTACATAATTCTTCCCAGAATCTTGTGATTCACTTTCCAGTTAAAAACTGACCTACAGTTTTTAAAATAGAAATGAAATCATATTCATTTGTCAAGATTTGACAAGGAATCTAAAACATATATACGATTCTTTCTCTTTTGTCAAGTTTGCAACAAGATGACCAAATACCGTCCCATCAGTCCTTTCTTATGTATGGACATGACCTACATCACCTGCCTTCTGAAAGAGGGATTCGGTTTCAAGGACAGCACTGTTCTGCAGGTGGGTATTTTCACTGTGGTGACACTACAGCCTTCTTTTTCTGGGAAGGATTACATTAAATCAGAGGGTGATGTTCTACGTAGTTATGAGTAGCGAGTTGTCCGAATTAACATTGTTTGGTAGAATTACATTCAGTAGAGGTCTATTTGTGGCTTTGAATGGCAGTAAGATAAGCTAATTTAGGCAACATAATGATAATTATGTATAATCTACCTGTTTCTCTCCCACAGCTTACTAAAAAGGTGAACAATGTTGAAACGAGTTGGGCCTTGGGGGCCACTTTCGATTTTTTCCACAACCTGAACATTCACTAAGGCCTGCAGACGTACGGGTGCCACCGGGCGGGGAAAACACAGGGTCAGAGTGGGGAACCTCGCCTACACCCCTAAAACACTCCTCACCAAGTTTGAACCAGCCTTGCACTGCAGCATCCAAACACCATGCCTTCCTCCCTCACTGCCATGCAAACACCCGGAAAACTGTCCACAAAGAAATCACTATATTTTTGTAAAAATGGCCAGGCCAACCTGCTATTTCTACTGTATGTTTAACCCATGATTAGTTTATTTTTGTAACTTGAACGTTTACATTTTTTTTTTTCAGCTTTCGTCTCACCTGAGGCGCTGCCTGTCTATTTTGGCAGTCTTTGAGTTTGTGATGTGTAGTTAGGTTTAATGCGACTATTCACAGCTTTTCAAGGACTTCGGCTTGTGCTGTGGTGCAGAATTATGCAGTGGCATATTTGCAATGGGGGGTAGAAAGTTTCATTTAAGGGAAAGATTTGGAGCTCCTTGTAAATTTTGCAGTTACTATACTATCTCTCTGTTAGTACTTGGTTGTTCTGTATTTGCACAGAAACTAGTACTAAGAAATAAATCGATCCAAGTTATGAAAATGAATATATCCAATTTTAGCAATCAACCCCTTCAGGCTAGCACATAACACTTTCCTAGTAATGCTACAGCAGTTAATTTAGTGTCGATATGACTTAAATGTTAGAAATGTTCATATTCTCAACAAGCAGGAACGAAATGGGTGAAAACAGGTAGAGATAGATGCAGGAGTAAATCATCTTGGGGATATTCCTTAAGCAAGATTTCTTAGTTAGCCAGATAACTTAAGCCCAAAATTGAGGATTTTCCAATAACAGTGTCGCTCAGCTTTTTTCTTTTTAGACAGACTTGACTTTGGGTTTAAGTTATCTGGTTAAACTGACAAATCCTGCTGTGCGAAACACCCCCTTGTCACTCAGCTGAGTACATGAATGCTGTTGTATTTCTGTACGTGTGTATTTATGTATGTCTGTTTGTATGTTGAGAATCTTTGCTGTTTGAACGTTGGACTGGAACATGGTGCTACAACTGGAATTCTAGAATGCTGCAGGTATTGTGGACAAGATTTTGAGAGAACAAAATTGTAAAAGCATTGTTGATTTGTCCAACTCATAATTACTCAGGTTTTTACCATAACTACAGAGTTGACCAGCAATATTAGTACACTGTTTGCTTTACATTATATTAGTCACATTACAGGAAATCCCCTTCAGATAACCTGAACACCTCCACAGGAACATTTGTTTAAAGTCTTTTTGCTCAGTGCACTTACTGTAAGTGCTGTTTGTGAATTATTGTATAAATATTTATTATATATGGATATGTAAAATGCATAATAGTACAAATTCAGTCCTTTTACTTGTATCTATCCATGACTGTTTTAACAAACTAGTCCTAATCTGCCTATAAAGTTACTGTATATATCAACAATCAGTAGTGATGTTTTTGATACAACTGTATAATACTATTATGTACTGCTTTTCTTTTGTTGCTTTTTGAAAAAAAAAGCTTTGTAATGCTTTAGTCTTTTACTGATCAAAACACAGCAAACGCTATAAATATGCTTCAGTCTCAGTCAATGTTGTTTATGAAATATGTACATGCATCATGTCAATAAAAAAGTCAACTCTCATTGCAGAAAATTCCTTCTGAACATAGTCATAAGATCAAATCTGTTACATGGAATTGTGTTTTAATAGAATATTGTGAAAATATTCATAATGAGTAGTTATTTCATATGAACATCATTTGCAAGATCATATAGAGTTAATTCACCCGCTAATGATCCATGATCTATAAAAGAATGGTTTGGTGTGAGGTGCCTCAAGGCTATATTTTGGGGCCACTGCTAATTCATCCTTTCCTCTTCAAAACATATCCATAGTTTATAATGAACAGTTGTACATTTTTTAAAGAGTTAAGCAGTGTGCAGATATTTAGATTCTAAAAATCATCCTGAAAGAGCTTAGGACACTGTATCTTGGAAATACTGGGTTTCTACTTTTTGTGTTCGTCACATATGGGCTCCAGGCAAACTGTGCTCAGAAGAACTGCGTATACAAGAGCATACTGCAGTTGGGAATATCTGTATCCCACACTTATGTATAATTGGTTTGTTAGATGATGTCACAGGATTTTGAGCTTGTTTAGAGCTAGAAAATGAGTTTACAAACCATGTCTTCTTAGAACAAGGGCAGAAGACGACAAGCCAATTTGGATCCAGTTGTTCAACACTCAACTGGCAACATCCTTGGTCCTAGGGCTCTACCACAGGAAGTCTCGAACAGAAATGGCAAGCAGAATTAAATAACTCAGACAAACACATTCAGACTTAAAATATAAATTTATTAATTTACACTTTTACATTGAAGGGGCAAAGTTGCTTTGCCATATTGTAGTCCCAATACACAACTGCCTGCATGCAAACAGTTTTTTACTTGCTGGCATATGCAATAATCTGCTCCTGTGGGCACAAGAGAGAAAACATATAATTAATCTTAGGTCTGCACTTTCCTAAGATGTACTACACATACAATTCACAAAACTGCAAGAAATGCCTATTTTCTCTTTGGATCCAGGAGGGAAAAGTACATATTCTCCTTCTCGTAACCCTACATTTAACTGGCATAAATCAGGACTTAGCATCTAGTATAATATGAGAGATAACCTCATAGCCTCCCAGGAGAATCCCTCGCAACAAGTTATGGTCTTATTGGTCAAGATCGCTTAGTAAAAAGAATGAAACCGGTTCAGTGGCCTGTAATAAAAGGAGTGTGAAAACACAAGCCAACACTGCTTGTGCGCAGCCTTGCAACTCCACCCACACAGTTTCGGTAACAGTAAATTTGGGGCTAAACTTAGCTGTAGTAGTAGCTCCTGACCATGTAAATTACAGACACGGTCCTGCATATAAAGGCATGTAATCAAAGGACAAGAAGGGGGATGGGGTTAGAGAGCAAGGAGACACCAGAGGAGCCAAAGTCAAAAGAGGGAGCAAATGTAAGAGAGGTGAAAAGAGGCTCAAAGGGAATTGGAAAGAGATGAGAAGAAAGTCCTAGATGACAGAGGATAAAAAGATGATGAAGAGACAGAAATAAAAAGATCACAGAAAGGATCCGAAGGCAACGGACTTAGAGCAAAAATCTCTTCCTAACAAAGGACTGCCATCAATAGGGAAGTGAACATTGGATTTAAAATAAAAAATATTAAAACGTTTTGAGCCAAGTAGATGGAAATGGATACTTGCACAAGATACAGACATAACACAGGGGTCTTACTTTGAGGGGTGGTAGTGCATTGGTAGCTTGCAGGCCAAAGGTTCTCAGCAGCACCATGGGGGCAGCATTGGTGGAGTACAACCTCTTCATGAGGTCGATGGCAGCCATCATGGGCAGGTTGTGCCTCTGCCGCTCAGTCTCATATTCCAGCAGGTGCTGCATGGCCCCTGGAAATTAAATGGCAAAGCGTCACAGCATAGGCTTTTTTAAATTGTATGTACAGTATAGTAAGCAATGCAAAGGCGAGCATTAGAGCGTCTTTGTTTCTCCTGTACAAAAAATTACCTGTTCATCTATACTTAAAGCTACACTGCATTGAATGTACTATCCCTGACTTGGTAATCGTATGGCATTGAAACTCAAAAGAATGCTGATATCAAGATTTCCATTTGTGGTGGGAAGTAATGCACAGTGTTCCTGGCAGAGATGTGAACCAAAAACATAAAATAAGTTTACAGATGCTTCTGTATATTAAAAAGCTCTGTAGAATTGTTTGTGGTTAGAGAAATGGAAAAGAACTTACATCATGGGACATTCTGATCTTCGAGTGTGGCCTCAGGTATAAAGTCTAATATGAAAACTCATTCAGTAACAGATGAGCGGAACTTCTGACCACAGACCAGCCAAGGCCATAGCATTTCTTATCATGCTCATTCAACGTGACTGAGCTATTGGAAAGTTTCTAATATGATCTTTTGCTTGTCCTCAATGCACCAAGTCAATGTGACCACCAGACAGTACACAGTAGTCTATATTTTGTCAAGATAGAACAAAGATGTTCAGTGTAGGGCAATAGACCTTGCATCTAGTCTTGCTGTAGGAACTCTGAAGAAATGGACTAGGAAACTCCGCTCACCACATGCATTTCTAACAGACAGCTGTGACAGTACTATGTTTATTAAATGAAAACACTATATTTCAGCCTATGAATATGAGAGATACAAGAAAATGAGTGTACAAAGTCGTTTTTATACGGCCTGGCTGTTCATGTTGGTACACTCACCAAGGTCTTTCCCATTAAATGCTGCTTGGCTTAGCACCTGTGTCAGACAGGCCACATCCCCAAAACCTAGATTGGCACCTTGGCCTGCTAAAGGGTGCACTCTATGTGCAGCATCTCTGAAAGACGAAGGAACAAGTCAAGGTTAGGAATAAACCCTGCGGTCACTGTGACAGACTGAACTATACCCTATCATTTCAATACAGAAAAAAAACAAAGAAATATACAAATCATGAATTCAAATGATTTTTAGTTTGGTATAACTATAGCTGGAGAACAAAGGACTTACACAAAGAAGTTTCCACAAAAAAAAACATCCACATGGTTTGCAAAACCACCAACTAGTGCCCATAAAGACCTCAGATATACATACCCAATTAGGGCCACTCTGTGGCGGATGTACTCAGAGGCATGGCCCATGCCCAGAGGGAACATGACCCGGCTCTTTGGACCAATGCCTGCCACGCTGGGCGGAAGCTGGCGGGTGGAGGTACCGTCGGGCATGAGGACGGACAGGGCAGTGCGAAACAGAGAGCCGGCAGCCTCTATCAGATCAGACTGGTTCTCATTACTCCACTATAGAAAACAAGAAAAATAAAACTGGTAGACAAATGAACTGGAAGAGCATAGATTACAATAAAGATGCAAAACTCCAACTGGATGATCTTCAGCACAGTCATCAAGGACAAACACTTGGACAGTACAACCAGCACCTTATGAGCATCTATGTAACCACAGGGGCTATTTTCCCTTGATAACTTAATTCTTTTGAGGGATAAAGTCATTTTGGCAGTGATGCAAGGGCTTGGGCTTGGACTTGGAAGTAGAAGACCAGTTATCCAATCTGCATGTCCAGCAGCAAGCAGTCTCTCAAAAATCTCAGGTTAAAAGGAGCATGCACATGGCTTTTTTGTTTGATGAGTAATTTTCAGGAATATTGAATGAATATTGAGGAATACTGTGTAGCAAGGGGCAACAAAACATGTGTGACTAAACAATGCACATTCACAAGTGTGATATCTTTATTCTACACATTCTAACTAATTAAAATAAGTTGCTGACCAGGTCGCAAATTTGACTATGTTTGGTCTGAAGAAAAAACGTTCCATGCAATAATGAACAACACTGGCAAGACATGGGTTTAATTAGCCAACCAGTCATGAGTGCCAGCATGACTCAAACACGCAGGCCTGTGACCAGTAGCCTCAGTAAAAATAGCCAGCTTGGGAACAGGGGAGGTTTTTTGGCCTTCAACATATAAAACCCTGTGAGGTGTGCATCTGTGTGAGGGCCAGGTCAAAGGCGTTAAGCCCTGATGAAGAGCAGCCAAGCCAGAACTATTGTTAAACGTTTTCTGGGAAGGGTCAATCAAAAACTGTGTGACTTCGGTTTTGGTGTCGGAACTGACACAAACTTTCTTGAACTCAAAATAGACAAATGCTATGTGTCTGTTTTCATCTTGGCTAACAGTATTAGCCTAGTCACATTGTGTGTGAAGAGTTAGTTAGCTGATACCAAAGGTAATCATTTCACTAAATCATGCTGAAAGTTAAATCTATAGGAGCAGAGTGTGAAACTAAACTGAGCGTATTGTTTAATAGTGCTTTTCTGTGACGCTTATATGTGCTATAGCTGTGCTCTGTGGCAGCCACTTCTTGTCCGTTGCGCCCTAGCCTTTAGAAGGCTGCCGTAGTCTTTCTATGCTTCCTTCATTAGACTAAACAGATTAGAAACTCTGACCAAAACACAGATGCATGCCCTACACTGCCCTCTGGTGCAGTATAAAGTTCAGACATTTCATGGTTGTCCAATTTGAGAACGTAAAATGTTAGAGAAAAGCGTTTTTACACTTTCATGACTATCTGAATATTTAAAGTTTCTGATCCATCCCTACTGACATTTGAGTGATGAGTGCTGACATCACATGACATCAGCTAAAAAATGCCTGGGGTGTGGAGTTATTTGCAAAATAGTATGTGATATTGTTCTCAAAATAAAGATGGTTAGTCATAATATGTTCCTTCAAACTGACAAAGGTAGCATGCCGACTTGCATTAAAAACATCCTGAAAAGCTAGGTGTCCCCAAACATTTGACATGCAGTGTAGGTGGACAGTTGAGCTCCAAAAATCAATGCAAAATACCATTCTACTGGAGTACAGTTGTTCTTGACACAAGGATAAACTGTAAATGACTTACAAACGCAGAGTTGATGGCATCCACAAAGCTCTCCTCATCCATCTGCAGGAGTTCTTCTGCATGCTGGTGGCTGGTGGACCAGACCAAGGAGCTCTCTGCGTCTGACAACTAATCACCACAAACATTTTATTTATATATATATATATATATATATATATATATATATATATATATATATATATATATATATATATATATATATAAATTTCAAGTGAAATTCATGAATACATGCTGTTTCTATTCAGACACTTTAAATGTTAACTGGGCCTTAAAATCAAACAATGTTCCTTTAACTCAGCCTAAATACGTTTGCTTCTTTAGTTTTATACAGAAGTGACAATACTAATGTAACAAAAGGTTACAGCTACCAGTTTAGCATTATGCAAACTGCCTGCCTGCCTTTGTTTTCTAATACTGCTATCTACAAAAAAATGGACAAAAGTAAAGACAGGCTTCAAAATGTTGCTACCATTCATTTTTTTTTATCAAACATACTTTTGTACATTTTAATACATATCAGTATATCATACAGTTTTAGAAACAAATCAAGTATATTTGAGATTACTTAACAACTCAACGCGGTTTGAAAACTGTATTGATAAAGTAAGACTGTAATGATCCAGTTTGTACGATGCTCATCGGCGGGGTATAGCGTGAATCGCGACTGCCTGACCAATCCACCTTCTTCTACAGTCAGTGGCAGCTTACCGGGAGCATTGCGATAGGTCCTGTTGGGAGGAACCTCTGCCATGCCACGTTGTTCTCAGTGGGCTGTACATACGAGAAACACAAAAAGTCAAAAGAGGAAAGCAGGGTTAACTGAAATACTTTCAAATGACCAAAAGCTCTCAGATTGCATGCCAATGACCATACACACAGTAAACGGTGGCATGTTGTGCCAGTAAAGCTCTCAACATACCTCAGATAAATGCAGAACAGCTACTACAGCAGACTGGTCATAATTCCACTTGACAGTGGGGATCCCTGCCTCCCTCCGCACCATGGAGTTGGGTCCGTCAGCCCCAATCTGTAAGAGCAGGGAGTATATACAGCAGCATATTACCCTCTCAAAAGTTTCTTATATGAGTAAAGCTGAGTAAACCACACACCCACTACATTCTTCTCACCAGCAGCTTGGTCTGCAAAGTCTGTCCACTGGCTAAAGTCACTTGCACCCAAGGAATGGAGTCAGCAACTTGGTAAGGCCTGGGCCAGGTGTACTTTACCACTCTTGTTCTGTACTGCACTTCAACTTGTTCTGGATAAAACATGAAAGGAGGAAAGAGCATGTGCAAATATCCAGGGTTAAAAAAGTAAAGAACTTGAAATTCTTGAATTGAGCGACAAAATCTGAGCCCTAACCTCTAAGTTTAAACGTGATACCTTGACAAAAAAACAAATTCACACAATTTGTAATATGAACTGGAGCTACGAGGCTACTGTAGCTAATAAACAACAGAAGCTTATATCTATTTCCGCATTGCAAACAAGTATAATAATCACCAAGATTATAATCACCAATAAGCATCATGCAACGTAGAGATGCACATACTGAAGTTTTTATTGCACTTCAGAAGAGCATAATGTTTAGTCTATGCGGGATTCCCACAATTCCCATATCTCAAAGACTGCATCATGCACATGCATCTCACTTGCTCATGTGTTTTCTGGTATGACACAGTGACATAGCCAGAATTTCATTTATTTGAAGGGGTGGGGTGGGGATTTAAAGGTTGAGGAGACAGCTAATGAACGTTAAGGCTCAGAGACATTATAACGAGGATTACAACCACCAGCTAGCCTACTTAACTATGCATAAAAAGTTTGAAAATTACCCACCCATTACCATAATTCAAGGGAAAAAACATCACAGCAGGTAAAGGCTTACTAGGTAGATTTCACTACTCTAGTATTTTCTCCGTTTCGCTGTTATGAAACAGAACGAGTACCAAGAACGAACAGAAGTGTGGACAAAATTCAGGTTTGACAGTGGCCGCTACTACAGTGATACAAACCACATAAGCAAGTGTACACTAGATTAGTTAACAATTTTACTTTGACTGAGACAAGCGTGTGATGATTCAGGTACGACGCAAGTGGTCATAATCTTCCATTATTTCTTAGCTATATTAGCCTTTTAGCTCCAGTGCAAAGCTAAACAAGCAAACTTCAGACTAGCTGACTGCTGATCTGCTGTAAAGGATAATTCAAATAAATCTGATTAGTCACAGAACTGTTGCTTTAAACAGACACTCATCAAAATGTTCTTTCCTTCCTCTTTCCTCTTAAGAGATTTGGGGGATCAAACCAGCAGAAAAAGGAAAACATGGTTTTGAAGTCCTAAAGAAAGAGCTGAGAATCAGTACACCACGCCATAAAACACTACTGGTTTCCCTTTAATTGGCAAGGCCAAGGTCACACTGACGATCCTGGTAATGAGCCTTGCCACATTTCACTGACTAATGCTGTTTATCTACAAACAGATCATAAAACACACTCAAGCAGCTAACAATTACCCATACTACAGAGAAAATAAAATTAAGAAACAAATCCACTTCTCTTACAATTACTAGTGGCCAGCAATCCACCACATGAAAGGAGTCGGAATTATGCCCTCATCTGGAGACCATTCTGTCCACAAAACTGAACATTAGTGCTTGTACACAAAGTGACAAATACTGGCTACTTCTTCTGATTCCAAAGCAGAGTTTTGCAAAAACCCAGCTGGAAATGTCAGTGTAGCTCTGTTGCAGCAACAGCAGAAGGACAAAACTACAAGAAAACAAGAAAAAAAAGAAAAAGAGGAAGAAAGCTCAACTTGCACATGAATCCACACGTGCTGCCACATCTACTGAGTTTAAGATGATTTCTGTTTTTTTCTGTTGTTGTAAAAAAAAAGCCATGTTTTTAAAAGGACATGAGTACATTTGCAGAGGCAGCTTGAGAGAAGTTAATTATAACAACAATTTGTTGTAGCTAAATGCTGTCAGCACTTTGGTGCCCAGAGTTTGTGAGATGCTCCACTGCAAAAGTGTGGTTTTTCAAATGGGTCAATAGACCACTGCACGTGTCTGCACATGGCACCAGAAACTTATGGAAACACTAATTCCCACCAGCAGAAATGTGCTGCATGATTGAAATAGCAGGGAAAACATGGGCTCATCAAAAGAGGCTAGGTCTTTAAAAAAAAGGCAAAAAAAGGTTCAAAAGGAAAAAGTAAGAATAAACAAAAGCAACAGGACAGGAAGGAACAGCTTGTGGTGACATCATGTGCCAGGACAGCTGTAGAACCAAGTGGGTCCACTCCAGGCTCCGGTCTACAGGCCCAGCAGGAGCAGCCCATTAAGCACTATAGGAAGCTCTCAAGAGCAGAAAAAAAAGCAATAAATAGTGAATAGTAGCGTGCTGTTAGTGGAAAACTGAAGGTTGCACAGTAGCAGGAGCCACAACTTGCAGTTTTTAAGTTGTAGAAAACCAATGTTTACTTATTTTGTAAGTGACGTTGACAGAACATGAGTTTTAATCCCTTGGTTCAGTTTTTCACTCTAATCAAAACCCACATCTGAGCTGTGTATCATGTAAATCTAGGATCCCAAAAAGCAAACACATAAATAACTTGATAATTAATCAAAGTTCAAAAAGAGCCAGTTACCAGAGAGCGTCTGCAGCTGTTTAGTCAGAGCGGCCACGATGACATCGTTCTCTACGACGTACGCCATCTCGTCCTGCAGATTCTCCTTATCAAACGTAATCAGGGCATCTGAACAGGCATCCCAAACCTAAAGGAAAGGGCCAATTACTGCTGTGGTTCACAACTCTATCCTTAAATGGACTACTCAGCTCCTATTTCTGGACTTCCAAGAGGGCACAAAAGACGCCGAACTAGAACACATCAAAGATATTCAGCTAAGGCCTAATGTTTGGCCAACCAAGCATCAATCTGGGTTCAGCAAAGGCCACCAACACCCCTTGGGGTTGCATGGTTCACTTAAACTCTCTGAGGCAAAGTAGAAATATGAAATAGCATTCTTTATGTAGATTTATGCCTGCATTTAAAGTCAGTAAAATAATAAATAACAAATACGTGAACATTACTGTCACGCTAAATTTTCTGCTCAGTGTTTGTTGCAGTGTATGAGGGCCAGCTTTTTAGGGTGGTGTGCTTTTCAGCCTGTAAAATATTAGATTTGCTTTAACAAGACAGCATGACTTAGCTGTTGACACAGCTGTTTTTCTTAAGACATCAACTGACTCGTTACTAAGGTACAAGCAATTTAGTCCCTGGGCAACAAAATGCAACGGCTTTTTATCTTTTTGGTCATAAAGCACTTGGGATATGCCCATACTAAAACCACTAACAGTGGTGGGTTTGCACTTTCTGATACACGGTTGGGTGGAAGATTTAAAACGTGACCAAACCCAGAATTACAATTTTACACGTAGGAAAAACACCACTGTTGATAAGTTTCATGTTGCTGTGTGTTGCTATGTACTTTTAGTCACGGCCAAATTAAAATGGCCATTGCCAAAAATGAGCCTTTTAACATGTCTACTTTTGCTCCAGTGATACTTGACAAGGTACAGACTGCTTTGGAAAGAAAAGGCAAGCCGATACCTCTATAGCAAACCTTCAAAATTTTAAAATATACTCTTTTGGTACGTGGCATTTCCCAAACTCATTTTGGTGTTTTGCCTCTAACCACTAAGTCTTAATGGAAGAATGAGAGGGAACCTTGTAGGTTGACCTCAATCCATTGCAATTCCTTCCCTTGTTTGAACATAAAAACATACACAACACAAAAAAAAGAGAGAAGTTAAGGGGTACAGAAAAGGCATAGCGGGTGAGGGATGTCTCCATACGGCAACCTCTGATGACATCCCTTCACTGGACCAGAAACCACAAGATGGCTTTTTGGCCAAAAAATAGCCACATCTTACGAGGTGGACCCACATTTCTACCACAGTGTAGAAACTAAGGGTCCTTTGCTACTGACATCTGTAGCTTTTATCTCCAACCCCTGTTTTCCCCACAATTCTGCCTAATTAGAAGACAGGGGAACTAGGCTCTTATTTCAATCTGCCATGGCGATTTATAGCAGCACATTAAACCAGATTCTAATACATAAATACTAAACGCAGTAATCACAAACAGGTCTGTTGACTCTGCGTTTGGGGCTTTTGCTTTTCAAATGGATCGCTCATATTCTAAATGCTGAAGTCTAAGGCATTAATTGCCAGCTGGCTATGTATGCTTTGAGCACCAGCACAATGGAATGAGCAAAATATGACTATTTTTTGTTTTACTTGATGGCTTCATTGACCACGGAAAACTTACTGTGCCATACTTTTGTGTATGTGGGAGTTTAAATTTGTAACATTGAAGCTTATTTAGCCTTTTTTATTTTTCTAATTACATGTTTTTTTGGAAATTGGTGTCTCTCTGTCTTTTAATTAAGCCTAACATTGTTCTATTTTGAAGGTACAGGAAGACCATCTTTATGTTTGGCCCCTCAGTTCCATATTACTGGCTAACTACATGGTCATGTGGTTTGTTACAATGCTGGAACAGAAAGAAACCTTCACTGCTGACCCACCCAGCGTAGAAAAGAAAGGCTTTTCCCCCTTCAGTCTATGGAACATAAAATTTTAGTAATGTACACAACTGCAGTACTTTTAGATTTAATGACAATACCTTTGTTTATTTTCCCAGATGCCAGTTATTGTATACTAACCTGCATTTTTTGGTAGGGTTTGCATCTCAAATTGACAATATGATCCCAAGCGCCAAGACCTGCGATATAAAAAGATAGCTGAGTCATTGTATGAAAGAGAATTTAAAAGGATTAGCAGATTAATCAGGCTTTGCCACTGCTGACTCTCATGCATGCCCAGTTGGCATATCCATTAACTGCAAGTTAAACGGTTGTAACAATATTATAATACAGCATAGATTCAATGATCAGATTCTGGGTAAGCAGGGAGACTTAAGCTCAAAATAATGAATGATTCTTTGTATGTTAGAGGATAAATAATAAAACAGGGCTAAACGACACATTTGAAATTATGATACCAATTATTTACGTGTGATAAAAATATATTTATAATATATTTCAACATTTGATTGTATTTTTTAAAGGCATTTTTAGAATCTGTATTGTGCACTTTGTATCCAGTTTTATGGCAGGGCCTGATAAACTAGGTTTTGTTTAGACAAAACTGAACCTTCAAAGTTGCCCACATAATGTATATTTCCCTCAAATTGCACCAAACAGTTCAAGTAAAATGAATACAGTGATGGAATGAAATGAATAGGGACAACAGTCATGCCTCCAAATTTTTGCCATGACCCATGTGCCAGAAAGAGCCAGTAGGTCATTCACTGACCTACTTCCTGGTGGATCTTCTATACACAAGCATCGCTGCAAATAGGCTTAATGACAGGGAGTGTCCTCTCTAAGAGCTTTGCTATCATTGGACCAGATGTACTTTTCCCCGCCAGGTACCCACAGATTGGATAATGCCCTTCAATTCACCATAATGTTGTTTTAAATTAAGCCAACCATTCATTCCTTTACAGGATGACACATGGGAAGCTGCGGTACAATCTAGAAAGACTTAACTGACTCACTGTAAAAGAGTACATCACATCTTAGTACTAGTCATGTCACTGGCATGCATTTTTGCCCTTAACAAACTAGCTGAACTACTAGACTGATAAAATCTTCAATGAAGTCAGAACGACTACAGCTTTTCCGTATAATTAATGAGACAAGGTGTTTACACAATTTATCAGTTAAGGCCATCCAGACACAGGGGGCTATGTTTAGTGCCTTGTTCTGATACACTGTTCCACATTATGTTGTGAAAATCATCTTGTTTTTCTTACCATGCAGGTCATCTGGTCTTTACTGTCTTTACTGTCTGAATGCCACTCTGTTGTAAGGACTCATTTTCTTGTATTTTATTTTTTCCCCTAAAGCCCAATCAGAACAGACTATTTTTATTGCAATTGTTCATGGAAATTCAATTTGGTTTGCATCTCCCATTTTCCAAAGCTTAAAAAATTGTAAGTACAAAAATATCAATCTATATACAGAACTGTGCAAAAGTCATTTATTTAATTTCCTGTCAAAACAGCCACTAAACACAAGTTACTCATTTTTCAGCCTCTAAGATTAAGTACAATTTATCACAATTGTATGTTAGTGTGTCCATCCTTTGCCATTATGACAGCTTCTATTCTTTTCAGGAGACTTGCGTTAAGTTTTTCAAAGAAATCTGCAAGGATATTTCAGGCTTAGAAGTAGTTTGCATTTTCTGCTTCTCACAATTGAAGTAATCCCAAACACATTCAATGTTGCTGATGTTTGGACTGTAGGGTGGTCAATTAATTGGTCTGATAACACCAGCAGCTTCATTTGTTTGGTGTGCATATTTTTTCTTTTTTGTTTATTTCCTTTTCTCAGTAACAGCTTCTTGAAAGCTACACATCCTTTTGGACCCATAGTGCTGAGTTGTCTTCTCAAAGAACAGATAAAAACACCTGTGGATTTCTTCAGATCTGAGCAAGCGTGGAACTTGATTTTTTCCCACCTCTCAAAGATGAAAGCTTTATTTACGGTTTATCTGACGGTGATCTACAAGGTCTTGCACGGTTGTCAGCAGTGCCGTTTTCTCTAAATCTTTGAATTTATTTTTTAACTCAGATTTTAGAGTAATTCTACTCACTTACGCTTAGAGGCGGGCGATGTGACAAAAATCTATCACGATACTTCACGATACACAATGTTACAATATATTTTTTTTTTTTCAGAAATCTGATTAGCTGGAACAGAGAAAAAAGAACCAGTAGTGCTACATTTTAAAACGTACTATCAAAAACTGAGAATACAATGATTTTATTCAATATTTGGCATACTGTGTTGCACTAAATCCAGTTAAACAGGACTAATTTTGCTCTCTTCGTAATGAAACATGCAGCTGGTCAGTGTTCTACAAGTTCTGATGATATCTACAATATGTTCAGAAAAGCAAACTGTATTGTATTGTGATATAATTTATCACACACACAAAAAAAAAAAAATCTGTATATTGTCATATTGCCCAGCCCTTCTTACGCTGGTAACACTGCTGCTCATTATTCTATATCTGTTGTTTGGAAGCTATTTATATAGTGTTTTTGTTGTATGTATGCAACAGAACTTTGTCAAGGTCTAATGCACCTGTTATGCACTGCACTACACAGCTGAGATCAAGTAATTTGTTTTAATGCACATTTGGACATAATGACTGTACTGTTGAATTAAATAGTACTGGACTGAACCAAATCCAAATGAACCAAATATTTGACAGTCAGTGAAATATGATCACTACATGAATTGAGGATTACATGTGAATGTCAGTGTGATGCAATGTACCGCTCAGGAGTGTTGCTGAACCAGGGCTGATAGAGCTGACCCTTGTGCTGTACACCTCAGGTGCCCTGTCCATCTCTTTCTTAGGACCAGCTTCCAGCAGAAGAATCTTTTTGCCTTGCAAATTTGGATCAAAGCCTGTAGAAACAAAAACAGACACTTATGCTAAATGGCGAGGAGGCTATTTCTAGTGGCATGACAAAGCCAGAGCATTTTGCCTCTTGCATGAAAGTGGTGATAGCATGAGAATTCTAGTTTTCATAAGATGTGCATTTTAATTGCACCTTGGCACGTTTGCACCCGGGAGTGTGCGTTTCACTGAAACCTCAATTGCAGCCTTAACTGGTGAGGGCAGTTATTCGCTGCCTAACTAAATACTTCCATCAAACAAAATAAGTGCTTCGCCTTCATGTGGAGAAGGCTGGGGTCAGAGAAAAGCGAGGGGGGAAATTAACGTTATGGCTAGGGATGTTTGACAACGCTGTACTTAAGCAAATCGTGGGAGATTCTTAACTCGCACGAAGTCGAAGCTTTGTACACAAAACACGGAAGGAAAGGGACGTAAACCGGTTGTTTGGACAGTAAGCTGCAAGAATGTACGAAGCTGAAGTTGCTTCCTATCCTCCACCTTCTTGTTCGAATTTTCCCGTTCCACCTTAAATGGTGCAACAGTTACGGTTTAGCGTTTGAGGCGCCACTGCACGCGCCAGAATGTAATTGCTGGTCCATTCAAGGTGGAACTGGAAAATTCGAAAAAGGAGCTGGAGAATCGGAAGCAACTTCAGCTTCGTCGAGAATGTTGACACTGGGCGACACTCACCAAGAGAGCATGCCATAGCGGTCCCCACCATGCCTCCGCCGGATATTATTATGTCGTATACATCATTTTGGGCTTTGCCCGATTCCTCGTCGGGCTCGGAGGACGAGAAGCCTCTGGCAAAGTTTCCTAATCTGGCTCCGTTCACGCTCCTAACCGTAACGTTAACGCACGGCCGCGCTGCTGCCACAGCTGCGGTCAGTCTAATTCTCCTTAAAGTGAACATTGTAACTCAGCAGAGGACGAGGCGAGTGCGCTCTGTTCGTATATAGAACGCTACAGCACAAAATCAGAGCAGTTCTCCTTCAGTTTGTCCTCTTATTCGACATCAGGACTAGTTCACTTTCTCTCCTCTGGCCATGTTGATGCAGCTGCTGCTGCGTAAGAGCTCAACACGCAGTCGACTTCCTGTCTCGTTAAGGGGCTTTCCAAAACTAATTCCATTAATATCAGCTTTCTATATTAAAGATATTGACTTGTACTTATATATAAATTTCAAAAACGTGGATAAGTTACTATGTTCCTTTACGATGTTAGAGCTCCCACAATGTACACAATAAAGTGCTGATGTATTAGATTTACCGCCATCTATTGCCCTGGAGGGAAATTGCAGGAAGACATTCAAAAGAGGAAGGATATCTTCTAAAAATAAGATGCTGGATATGAAAGGATAAATTTTCCACTGTAATTGTTTCAGGGAATGTTTCATCGCTTATCATACCTTGAAAGAACAATAAGCGTTTTTTCCATACAGTTTCCAATATTAAGCCCATCGTATTTGCGCGTCCTCGGGCGCCGGTGGGTGGGGATTAGTGCGCTAGAGATCAAGTCCAGAGGCGTCTGGCGACCGTTCCAGGGAAATGAAAAGTAAAATACCATCATCGGATTATGTCTGGGTGCGTCCGTGACTGCGTCATGTTGGCCGCACCGTGAATCAGATGAGGAGCCGGTGAGGAGCCTGAGTAAATCGCTGGACAGAATTGTAAGCTGCATTAACTTAGAGGCAAATCGACTGTAACATTTCTCAATAGCCCAGTGTAAGTTAACATTTATGTGCAGCCACTTTAAGCGCACACATGTATGTCTCATAGATGACAGAAACATTCGCTTTTACGAGATTTCCACCAAAATAATGGCGTGTTGTGGATTCGGCGTTATGGTTGCCATAGCAACGACAACCCACCACTTTCCAATGCAACAGGCGCTGTTCACTCACAGCATAGCCCAAGAAACACCAGTGCTACACTCTTAAAAAAGATTTTTCTTTAAGGGTTCTTTAGCAAAAGGAATGGTTCTGCTTAGAACCACGAGTTCTGTGTAGAACCATTTCCTGCTTTTCATTTTTCAGATTGATGGAGAATGTGTAGTATATGGTTCTACGATGAACCTTTTTGAAAATGGTTCTATATATAATCAAAAAGCGTTTATCTATTGTTACAAGCTAGACATCGTAACAATAAAAGAACCCTTATTGGTGCTATATAGAACTATTTTCAAAAATGTTCATGTACGACACATTTTTTTATCAATCTGAAGAACCATTTCACCATTTAAGCATGAAATTGTTCTATATAGAACTCATGGTTCTAAATAGAACTAAAGAACCCTTGAAGAACAATCTTTTTGAAGAGTTTATGTTCTATTTGCTGAAAGTGGTTCTGTATAAAACCAAAAAGGGTTTATCTATTGTTACAAACTTGACATCAAAACAGTTAAAGAACCCTTAATGGTGCTATATAGAACCACTTTTTAAAAATGTTCATACATGTTCTCCATCAATCTGAAGAGAACCAGTTCACCATGCAAAGAACCATTTAAGCATGAAATTGTTCTATGTAGAACTTATGGTTCTAAATAGAACTGAAGAACCCTTGAAAAAACATGTTTTTTAGAGTGTATGTTCTATTCTATTCTATTCTGTTCTATTTTGGTTTGTTTTTGTACTGAATACTATGTAACCTTATGTTGTGTATCAGTAGTAGGCTAAGCACTAACTATGTTTCTTTTTTTTCTAGCTTTAGTAGCTGATAACTTGTGAGAAGAACACAGGTTTGGATCCAGATTTCTTCTTGATGCCTCACACTCACACATAAAATCACTACTTATTGCATTCATGTTATTTGTATTTAATAATATTAGAGTTTTTCAGAGTACATAAATACTTACTGACTTTTTGTATATATATTGTGTATCCTGACTTCCACCCAATGACAGCTGGGATAGGCTCATGTGTGTGTGTATACATTCCATACATGTATATATATATACATGTATGGAATGTATGATATATATACTGCACAATGATATATATACTGCACAATATTTCCCCATAAAAAGCTTATGGAAATGCTCTCATAAGCTTTCCAGAATTGTCATCTCATGACAAACTTTGTATTTCTTGAAAATGTAAATGACTAATGTTAAGTTAAATTGCTACTCTTTCCAGGCTTTCCCACCCTTAGAAGATTCCATGTCTGAAAAGAGCATTGCTCAGCAAGGGATGATGGGAATTTCAGAGAAACTACATTCCTATTCAGAGGACAGGGAGAGGTCTGAGATATTTCTGGAGCAGCATTTAGAATTCCTGAAAGCTACACACCGGCAGCAGCTCCAGCAGATTGAGCTGCAGCACCAGGCTGGTCTGGAAAGTAGAATACTACAGAATTCTCTGCTCTCTGAAAACAGAGACACTTCACATAAGACCAGTGGACCACAAGAAACTCCCAGTAGTGATGGGAACAGTGTTAAAAACAGAGGAGATACCTACATGTAAGTTCACTCGTTATAAGACGCACTTGTTACAGATACAATACTAGTCAGAAGTTTGGACTCACCTGATGGAACATCCTGATAACTCGATGAGGGAGGCTGATGTGTCTTTTGACTAGTACTGAATCAGCACTGGATAAAAGTTGTGAGGTCCAAAGTCTAAGACTACATTGAAAATCTGGAATTATTTATTTAAAGGGGCCTTGTCATGAAAAAACTGAATTTTCCCTATTTTAAAAAAAATAAATAAAACAGTTTGATATAGTTCATAAACACTGCTGTACCTCTTAAATATGTCACTGAAAGTGTATATTGTGCTTATTGTTGCATGTGGTAATGCTGTTGTCTCTCTAAACCTAAAGGTTTAATAGACCAAAGAGATCCTCCTCCACACCTGATCTGAGTACCAAGATGAACCTGGGGAAGTCTTTTGATCCAGTTATGCCCCAGACTTGTGGGAGCCGGAGGCAAGCTCTTCTCCAGGCCAAAGAGTCCAAGCAAACCATATTTGATAAAGAGGAAATAGACTGGGCTGAGTGTCAGAAACAGTTCCGTGTAGCACCTGTCCCTGAGCATGTCTTCAAGTCCCTTTATGATAATATTGTCAGTGAGCAGGAACGGATGAGGCAGGAGTGGCGGCAGCAGAGGAAAGAGGTCCTCTTATCCATGCAGAGACCCTTTACTTTCCACCAGAGAGAGCGGACGAAAGAGAGGGCAAAGCAGGAGAAAGCCACTGACAAACAGAGTGAAACCAGCAAGCATGCTGGAAGGAGGAAAACTGTACCTAATGCAGTAACAGACCCAGCCATCTCTGAACATTTAAAAGGTCCTCCTCATACAGTTTCATCACCACAGATTAAGAGGCAGCACTTTTGCCACATCTGTAGCCTATTTATTACTATTTGTAGTCAGAGCTTGTAAGCAAAAGATATGTAAGCAGTAAGTCGGCTGTAAAACCGTTAGTCTATCCTTCATATTTATTTTTCTGGAACAGAGTAGCAATCAGCCTCCTTGTTTAAAGGAATAGTTCAATGAAAATCAAATTTACACTCCTTTTACCTTAAATGTAGACCATCAGCTAAAGCATGTTTGGTGTCTGAAGTTTGCTTCCACAGCTATGAGTATAGTGTAGCTAATAAGTAATGGAAAACTATACTCCACCATTTAGCACTGTGCAAACTGCATAAATCATCAGTCATTTGTGTGTTGAGGTTTTATGTACAAGTGTATGCAAATGTTTGGGTACTCTTGGCCAAATTACATTTTTTATGATTTAGTTTATATTTGATTAACGTAAAAGATAGAAAAAAGCAATTTTGATGTGTAACAGTTTGGACAGCCAACAGATATCTTATGCTGACATTTAGTGGAATTCATTCTTCCTAAACTTGTGCAGGGTTTCCTGTGCCACTGGCTGCCACACAACCCAAAGCACAATAGATCTGCCCCCTTAACAGTTGACAAGGTGTTCTTTTCATCAAATGCTGCTCCTTTTTTCCCCAAACATAACTTTAGTGATTGTAGCCAAAGTGTTCTATTTTTACTTCATCAGTCCACAACACTTGTTTCAATAACATCTCTGGCATATCTAGATGTTGTTTTGCACATTTTATGAACATGATGAAATTTGTGATTTGCAGATAAGGTTTCCTTATGAAAACTCTTCCATGCATAATCATGTTTGTGCAAAAAACGCTGCACAGTATAACAGTGCACCACCACTCCTACCACTGCTGAGTCACATAAACCTTCCAGCAGATTCTCTGTTGTCATTTTGGGGGTTTTCTTTGGCTTTTTGGCCAGGATACAAGCAGTTCCATCTGAGAGTTTTTTTTGTCTTGACCTTTTTGTTGTTTTGCCTTGACCTCCACACTTCCAATTTCTTAATAGGTTTCTTAATGACATTTTGGACAGTAAAAATTGTGATCTGGAAGCAGTTGGCTGTAGTGGTTTGCTGCAGTGATTGTGTTACTTTGTCACTTCAAAAATCAAGAAAAAGTGGTGCTCAAAGTTTTGCATACAGCTGTGATCTCAAATCGGATTTTTATGTGATTAATGACACTAAATAACATATATAAATAAAGCCTGAATTTTGCTAACGTGTCCTGGCAGATCAACAGCATTTGGGGTAAAATAAAGCTCTTCATTTATTGCAAAGCTTTACCTTCAGAATTTCTAATCTTCAATTAATGTCACAGAGGAGGAGCAGAAGAGGAAGATCCGCATTCAGGCGAGGGCTCAGGAGACCCTCAGGGCCTCTTCAGCCCCCATCCAGAGCCAGGCACCCAGAGCTGATGGCCAGCAGGCACGCACTGCCCAGAGGACCAAGAGCAGAGTACTTGGCTTTTTAGAGCAAAGGTCATCCTTCCGACCAGTGATCAATGCTCAGGTCCCAGACTTTGATAAGCTGTACCAGGCCTTCCGGAAAAAGCTGACGGAAACAGCAGAAAGGAGAGAGGTTACCCTCTGCCAACCATTCAAACTGCGCACATCTACTCTCCAGCCACGTCACAGCAGAAGCAGCACAGACCAACCGCTGGTTGGTTTCACTTTCATTGCTTTTTTTGTTTTGTAAATTTAAATAATAAATTCTTATTTGAGGTTTTAGGTCAAACAAAATTAAATTCAATTGCTATTTGAGGTCTTCTTTGAAGTCTTTTAAAATTCCTAAGATGTGTGTACTGTAACTTTTCATTTTCCTATCATTAGAGCTCTACAAGCAAGAGCAGTTTAAAGAGAAGCAATTCTTTTGGTGGCTTGACATCGTTATCCATGGATACTCTTCCAACGTACATAACGGATGCTGCGAGAAAAAGGTCCATGGCTATAAGGTGAGCAGGAAGCTCTAGAAAGCTAATAACTATTATACTATACTATATTATATAATGTATATTATACTCTATATTTCTCTGTTTTTTTCCCTGACACAGCAAAGTGTCATCTAAAGTAAAGTGCATTTTAAACCAGAAGTACATGCATTGAAAAATGCTTAATTCCTCCTAGTTTCTGTGTAATAATGAAGTAACAAGCATTAATTTAATTAGTAGTTGTTGGTTTAATTGCTTAGTTAGGCAAAGTTTGTTGCCGGCTAACTTTATATTGCTTACTATGGGTATAATAAAGGACACCTAAAATGTTACATAAAAGAGTATGATATATAATACACAAACAAAAGTGCTCTAGCAAATGTGTTTTTTTACCCTTATTACTTAATAATGCAGTAATAGACAACACTGGCTTGTTAAGGTATAATAAGAGCATTAAAGTGCTCAGGAAAAATGCTTACTTTACCCTGCTTAATAATGTAGTAATAAACAGCCCTTTAATTACCAACTTTTGGCTTGTTATGTCTTAATAAGCACAAAAACAGGACAATATGATGTCCCCCTATATTGAAGCGTTACCCATTCTTTTCTTTGCACTCTATTTCAATTTGTTACACTGAATATCTGTGTACAGTAACTGGTATTACTGAGTCTGTGCTGATGACATAGATGATACTGTAACATGATACTGTAATTTTACTGTACTGTAAGTTACATTAAAGCTATACCCAGCCTGGCGGATACTTTTAGGCTTAGATCATAAAGGAACTTAGTAGGCCTGAGACTGAATAGAAAGTGGACCTTTCCAAGGAAATGATTCCTAAATTTTTCCTTTTTGTTCTCATTTTTTTTCCACACTATGCAGGAAGTCTCTGGAGCTGCGGGACAGTAAGGAGCAGGAAAACGCTGAGTGGATGAAACAACACCGAATGAATTCTCAAGCCATGAGTAGAGCAGTAGCAGCACGGGCCAAGGCCATGGACCCACATAGGAGTCTGAAAGAAGTCTATCAGGAGAAACTCAAGCAGCACAGGCAGGCACTCTTCTTCTGACCTTAAGGAGCAACCAGGTCATGTTTTTATGACATAATCAGTATGTTTATTAGTATGAACGTCTGAATTCATTATTTTTTCTTATCACTGTAGACACGCTGATCAAGAGAGGGCGAAAGATTATAAAAGAGAACTGAGGGAGATGAAAGCTCGAGTCACAGCCCGCCCGTACCTCTTCGAACAGGTCTCACAGGTACAAGTGCAGCCTTTTTGTAATTTGATTGTCAGCACAATATGCTTTTAATTCGTAAACATACCCTTTTGTTTAATAAATTTCCAGAGAAAACATACATTTAACAGAAAATTACACAACAGTCTCCAACACTGAATATAATATGAAATCTATCAGTGTTTAATTTGTATTTCGTTTTTACTCTTTATTTTTGTGCATGTTACTTCCATTTTAACTTTTCCATCATTCTAATCTTAAATCCAGTGAGTTACAGCTGTGTCCTCCTAAGAAAAAAAGATGTCCCAAAGGAGTCTGACATTGTTACCCTTCAAAAAGACTAAAATAATTAAAAATATATAAAATAATCAACTTGCATCATGAAGGGAAAATAAGGGAACTAAAGGTCCAAAACTGAATTTCAAAAAATGATTATATGATACAGAGATAATGGGACTTCTAACAAAAGTTTGAGACCTATTAGATCACCAAAACTGGTATCAGCACATAGACATTTCTTAAAGCTTTCATCTTTGAGAGATTGGAGAAAATCAAGCTCCACTGTTCTGAACTGAGCTTCAGATTTGAAAAAAATCACAGGTGTGGGAAGACAACACTATTTTGAGTTTGAAAGGATGTGTAGCTGTCAAGAACTTTTATCAACTGGGTCTAAATTTGAGATCTTTGAGAAGGCAGTATGTGTGCCATTGAAGCAAGGAAAAACTCTTCAGGCCATCAGTGAGCAAGTGGAGGATCAGTGAATGTTTGGGGATGTGTAACTGTCACGCATCCTCCGAGTACCTCATTGGATTCGGACTCAATCTCCCAGAATCCTCTGGGAGATCACATGACCTCCACACAGCCAATGCCGACACTAACCTGGACTCAACATCCCAGAATTCTATGGGAGATCACCTGACTCCTCACGTGACTTCCTGCTCCTATCAGTGTTCTCGTTCACCTGAATTCTAATGGGTGTCACCTGTGTTCTTGATCATATGACAACTCTAGTTTAGTTTATAGCCCGGGCTTTAGCATAGGGACTTTGCGAGGTATTGTATCCACTGCGTGATCTACTAAGCGCTCTTTCCATTGTATGTTTTTTCGTGTATGACCTTTGCCTTTCGTTTCTCGACTTTGCCCTTTTTGCTCTGCCCTTCGGATTATTTGCCATTGTGTACGATCTCTGATTTTTGACCTTTTGCCTGTATTCCTGATTACATTTTTGCCTCTCCCTTTTTGGACATTCAACCTGGTGTTATGATTGAGTGTTTGCTTCTTTTGTGCTTTCTGGAATTGACCCATGATTGTTTTGTGACAACGACTTTGGATTGTGATTCTATCAGTAAAGCCTCCTTGGAGTTTTACATCTGCGAGCGTCTGAATCTGCTTGGCACGTTACAGTAACAATGTCTGGATTTAGTGACTTGTTTTTGATTGAAGACATCATGAATGCTGATGAGTACAAACAGGTTTTAATACATTATACAGTATAATTCAGAAAACATCCTGGAAGAAATTCATTCTACAGCAAGATAACGACTCCAAGCACACTGCTGAGAAGATCAAGAGATACTTATCAAACAAAGATGCTGCTGGTGTTCTCAGAACAATGGACTGACTATCCCAGAGCCCAGACGTCAACATCACTGACTTTGTTTGGTATTACTTTGATTGTGAGAAAATGCAACTTCTAACTGAACTTTGGAGGTGTGGAAAAATATCCTTGGAGATTTCTTTGAAAAACTGAAAGCGAGTCTGCTGAAAAGAATGGACACTGTAATAAAGACAGGTCAGTGCGAAGACATGGCGGGGCCTCTGAAAAAAATCTGCTTCCTACCTAACATCAACAACCAATTTAACTGCTGAACTGGTGGAGCTGATTATTGATATTAGATCTGCAAACATGTACTCTGTTAATACGAGTTCCACTTAAGTGCACTCCAGCCCAGTTTAATCCCTTTTATACACTCTGGTCTGTTTTGACTCCGATAACAACATGGGCATCCCCAATATTTTCTGTTTAATGAGTGTTAATCACTGAGGAAAAAATGTATACAAGTTCCGCTGTTGTGGTTTCTCAACACACAGACTCTTTCACCCCCTAAATACTTTCCCTTTTTTCCGCTGAATATAGGCAAAGAGATATTATATTAAATTGTTGAGGCTTTGGTGCAATTTTCAGTTAAATATATGTTTTCAGCTTTTTTCCTGGCACTGAAAAATGAATAACTTGAAATTAATGGCTGTTGTGACTGGAAATTAAATATACAAAAGGCTGGTCTCTGACTTTTGCAACCAGCCAGAGCCTGCAACCATACTTCAGTGTTTCATTTCCAGTTTAGTTTTATTTTTTATATTCTTTCTAATAGAAAAATGCAAAGAGCGATGCAGAGCGCAGATACAGAACCACCCTAGAGCAAGCAGGCTTGGATGAAAACTTTGTAAGATCCAAGGGAGAAAATGACGAAAGCCAGACATCAAAAAATAAGGATACAGACTCTGACAGTGATGGGGATCAGCACAGCTCTGAAACTGACACCCAGGAAAGGTATGCACACACATTTGCTTTACAAACAGTGCACATTTGTATATTTACATAAATAAAATGTATGACTCAGTCCCACAGCGTTGCTTCTAGTGACTTGCACTTACCATACTAGCACATAAATACTATTTACTTTGTATTCACTTTTCAAAGGTACATATTTGTGCTTTTTTTTGAAGCTGACCTATTCTATAAGTGGAATGTTGTCAGTGCCACATCATCATACAGTTAACAGTGAAGCAGCATGTTAAATACTTATCCAGGTTTCAGAGGGTGGTATAATTTTAGTCCCTCTTTAATGATCCATAATATACACATTAAAGTTAAATTTGACTCCTCCACTGGAAATTTAATGAGCCATATGCTATACTTTCATATAGAATGATATGTTATGTTATGCTTGGAGACACTAAAGGAATATAAGCCTGAGAAGTTATGATGTAGTGACTGTATGGATAGAAGGTATAATAAACTGCAACTGCTGCAGGGAAGGAAGTGGGGAAGACAGCGGGCAATGCGATGAGGGAACAGAAGAGAGCGTGAAAACCAAAGCGGAAGAAGTTTGCTGACAGTGAGCAAGGAGCTGGTATAAGAATCAGATATGTTTGATGATGCGGTGAGGAGCATGCCGCGGTCAGACACAAGAACACTGGTGCATTCATATCATTAAAGGCTGTTTTTTTTCACAAAAGCATCTCAACAGTGAGATGATTCTTATATGGTAGAGTGAGCATCACAGTGAACACTCCCTCTACTATTTAAGATGATCCTAAGGCTAAGGTGCTTTTAGGAATGCTGTCCATCAAAAGTTTGGGGACACCTCTTTTTTGTCTATAAATATAATCTTACTTTTCTCTCTGTTACTTTCCTGTTATACTTACTAAGAGTGGCGTTAATTACCGATAGCAGATAATCTACTAATAACTTCCATGCAATTGAACACAGGAGCCACTTCATTAAAATATGACAATATAACCACATGTTTAGCTCACATGCTTTTTATAAAAAAGTGTGTTTCTTCTACAAACGAGACTGAAAGTTTTTCTCTTTGTGTTTAAGGTTCAAATTGTGACCCCTTAGGTTGAAATAATGACTGATTTTCTTGAGATTTTGAATTAGTAAGTCAAATTAATAATAGAAAAGGAGTTCTTACACATTAAGACCATAATAATTTCATAGTAATTAAGTAATTATATTAAGGCACTAAAACAGTATGTCAACATAATCTATCAGAAATAAAAGAAAACAGGTAATGCATGTTCATTTTCGGCTGGTGTGATGAACTGAACTTCTGTTCTGCTTTGTGTGATTGAAAACCGTGCAATATTATAAAATACTGCTTAATTCACTAAGCGCATCCTGGTGGTTTGAGAATTGTATGATACATACAATATATTAAATCATGGCAGTGACATTTTTGCCACTGTGCACACACATAACCCACAGCTACAGTGCGCACCAGTAAAGAAGAGCTGTTTCAGTCATGCAGTGAACGCACAGCCGGATTTTTTTTTTAATATGTGCTTTTGACAAACGTTTGGAAAATAAAACTGGCAAATCATTTTTATGGCAAAACCTGCTTTTGAATTTGATGCCAACAACATGTTCCAAAAAAAGTTAGGACAGGGGAACAAAAGACTAGTAAAGTTGTGTAATGTTAAAAAAAAAACACTTGGTGGAACATCTAACCAGTTGCTGACCTGTAACATAACTGAGTATAGAAAGAACATCTCAGAGAGGCAGGGTCTTTCAGAAGTAAAGATGAGGAAGGGTTCATCACTCTGTGAAAGACTGCACGATCAAATAGTGCAACAGTTCAAGAGTAACATGTCTCGACATAAAATTGCAAGGAGCTTATATATCATTAAAATCATTAAAAAAGCACATAATATAATTAAAAGATTCAGAGAATCTGGAAAAATCTCTGTATGTAGAGCACAAGGCCAAAAACCAATATTGGCTGCCCATGATCTTTGGGCCCTCAGGCAGCACTGGATTAAAAACAGACCTGATTCTGTAGTGGATATCACTGCATGGACTCAGAAACGGTTCCAAAAACCATTTTGAAAACAGTTCATCGCTACATCCACAAACGCAAGTTAAAAATCTACCATGCTAAGAAGAAACCATATATAAACAGGATCCAAAAAGGCCGCTGCCTTCTCTGGGTCCATGCTCATTTAAGGTGAAGTGGAAAACTGTCCAGAGGTCAAATGAATCAAAATTTGAAATTCTTTTTGAAAATCACAGATGCAGAGGAGACGAAGTTTATGCTCTGAGCTTTAAAAGACGGCGGTGGGACGGACGTCCAGCTTATGAGTCTCAGAACACGACGTCTTCCTCTCGCCGCTTCCTTTATAAGGACATGAGAAGCACGTTTTCCTGAGTCTGGCATCATTTTAAAGCAATTAAAACACAAGCGCGCCAACTGGAAACTCATATCACGCGGACTGGACCTCACGTGATGTTCGCTGTCATGGTAACGTTTACTCTAAACGCTACTCCACGCATGCGCGTCATTTTGCATCGGATTACTTGTAGTGAGCATGTAAACGAAGATTTTCCATCAAATCGTTGAATAGAGTGTGCATATAAACACCTCAGTCTGAATCTGTAATCGGATTGTATTCAATCGGATTGGCAAAAATCTTTGCATGTAAACATAGCCAATGTCAAACCACATTCTCCAAGTATTACAACAGCATTGCTCTGTAGTAAAACAATCCAGCTGCTCAACTGGCCTGCCTGCAGTCCAGACCTGTCACCACTAAAAACATTTGGCACATGATAAAGCAGAAAATATGACAAAGGAGACCCTGAACTGTTGAGCAGCTGAAATCCTATATCAAGCAAGAACAGGAAAACATTTCACTTTCAAAACTACAGCAGTGTCTCCTCAGTTCCCAAACGCTTACAGAGTGTTGTTAAAAGAAGAGGTGATGAAACACAGTGGTAAACATGCCCCCGTCCCAACTTTTTTGAAATGTGTTGCTGGCATCAAATGCAAAATGGACATGTATTTTTCAAAAACAATAAAATGTCCCAATTTCAACATTTGATATGTTGTGTTTTCGCTATTAACTTTAATTAAATATAGGTTTAAATGATTTGCACATTTCAATTTAATTTTACACAGCTTTCCAACTTTTTTGGAAATGTGGTTGGATTCTTGTTTTTAATAAGTTATTGCAAACTGAGAAAGTAAACATGATCAATTGCATCACAAAAGATTTTGAAAAGCTAGGCATCCCCAAACTTTTGATGGTAATTTAATATATTTTTCTTTTATTTTTTTATTGTTTGTCTTGAAATGTGTTTGTAAGCATTTTTTTTTACACTTTTTAAAGTGTAGCAGTATGATTTTGATTCTAAAATGCATTCCGGCCTTGCAACATGCTTCTTAAAATAAAATGTAAAAAAATCAAAGGCAGTTTGGGATTTCATGGTTCTAAATGTATCACTGGTTGCGGAGAAACACTTGGGAGCCTAAAACAAATCCTTAGTAACCAGGGGAACTGAATATTAAAAGCGTTGTGTTTGCTTGAGTTTTACTTATTGCCCATTAAATCATGTTTGCGACCACACAGATGACATTACACCTTTCAAAGTTTGCGGCGGTGGGTCTCCTGAGGGTTTGCACCACAAAACATTAACTAACATTAAATCAGGGGGAACTTTACTGTGGGATACAGAAAATACACTTTCGCCCCACCGTTTGTCAACTGTGGGATTATGAAGTCAAGGTGATGATGGACAACAGTGCCATAATTATTACCTATAACTGTCACAGAGGACAGCTTTATTCTCCAAACACCATTTGAATAAATACAGGAATAACGCGATATGACAAGTTCCTTTTAGGACAAGGCCCATCTGAAATTCACATTTCAGAGATGTAAATCTTGAGGATGAAGTCTGGCTATTTCGAGAACCGCAGTACGGCTGAAGTAAACAGCCACGGCTATTTATCTATCATCGTAAAAAAAAAGCCTCATGTTAGTGTACTGCCCCAGCTGCCCACCACATCAAGAGCGTTTCTACCCTGACTGAACTCACAGTGAACACTCCCTCAAACCTATTTCTGATTGCTTTGGTGATCTATGTTTTGGAAATGAAAAGCGCAAATGTTCCAGCACATGTTAAACATATTTCTGAAATCTGAGTTATGTAATCTAAATATAAATTGTGCTTTATCCACTGCAGTATTTGTTCTCTTAAAAAGTTTAAACTCATGTCTCATATGGGGTAAAGAGAACACTAAAACATTTTATTTCCTGTGGGAAGTACAGTATTATGCAAAAGTAAGAGACTGCCTTTCATTATTTCATTTATTCAGGTTCCAGTCAAAACGCACATTAGATATAAGATGGTCCACTTGCATAAGGAAGGGGAAAGTGAAAGAAAAATAAGTGAAAAGTTTACAAAACTTTTTAAAAGATAGTGAAAATGGGACTCCTAACAACCGTGCAAGACCTCGTAGACCACCAAACCACTGGTATACGAAATAAACAATACTTAAAGCTTTCATCTTTGAGATAGAGGATCAAGCTCCACTCTCAAATCTGAAAAAAATCCAGAAGTGTTTCTGTGCATCCTGCCACTGTAAGAAGACAACTCAATGCTATGGGGTATAAAGGATGTGTGTGTAGCTGTCAAGAAGCCTTTACTGAGAAAAGGAAATAGACAAAAAAGTAAAAACATTTTATTCAAATTGCAAATCAGACAAAGACACTGCTGGTGTTCTCAGAACAACAATGGACTGACCCCCCTGAGCCCAGACCTCAACATCACTGAATGTATTTGGGATTACTTGGATTGTGAGAATCTGAAAATGCAAACAACTTCTAGGACTGAACTTTGGAGGTGTGGAAAAAGCAAGTCTCCCAAAGAGAATGGAAGCTCCCAGCTCCCATAAAGGCAAAGAGTGGGCACACAAAATACTGAAAACTGAAATGATATTAAGTTGTTGAGGCTTTAGTATAATCTTCTGTTAAATTCTGTTAAATATTTTTTCAGTTTTTTTTTTTTCTTGACACTGAAAAATGCACTTAGTGGCCATTTTGACTAAAATGAACTTGCCCATTACTGTGTATGTTGTGAATGAAGCTTGTGTATCCTACACAAATTTGGGTATTAGATTGTTCATTTCCTGCATAATTGTATTTGAAAGTCATCACCGAGAGCGCATTTTAAAGCAAAAAAAAATTCAGGAATTTTTTCATGATAAGATTATGTTGTAGTATACGTACATGTAACTGAGGAAGTGCTTTTTAGAGAAGAAGAATCAAACTTAGTGTGGTATTTACACTTTCCTCGTGATAAAAGTCTTGTGTACATAGCCTGAACATTTCTAAAGGATGTGTATGACAGATGCAGTTACTTAATAAGTGCAATAAAGAAAAAAAAAACGGGATTTCATCCTCATGCATTTCTGGCGTGGCAGTACACTGAAAAAAAACAGTGCATTGAATTTGCCTGAGTCACATATGTACATTATTTCAGTATGAATTACATATTATGGTGTAAGTAAGTAAACTGAAAACCAAATTGTGTTGATGTATTTTGTTCATGCAGAAATGATCTTAGAATCATGTAAAAAATGCATCCTTTTTTCAGTGTAGCATGCTCATGCATTCTCTTTACCATGAGAGTTCCCTCAGTGAAAGAAATGAAACATCAGGATCAAGGTATTTGCGAGTGAATCCTATGAGAAGCGGAGTGTCACGCATGGTTCCACAAAACGCCAGATATGGTGTATACCCACTCATACGTTCACTCAAGCTACCGTACAGCCTGAGGAGAACTGGGGTTGGAGAGACGTGCTCTGGCCTGAGCTTTCAGCATCACATGATGGAAAGTTCAAGGGCTCCTGCAAGGTCGTCATGGCAACTGTGCTCGCTCCTGCTACCCTATCATCTCTGAGCCCACTCAGTTTTCCGACAGATTGTCCCTCACAATGACAGCACTGCACTTCTGAACCTGGGAAGATGTATGCAGTCATTTTTTTTCTTTTGTACTGACTGAAAAGGAATTCCAATCACTTAACTGATAAATCAGCCGACACATGCTCCTATAATCAGATAAGGTGATGAGGTGTGATCATTTTCTGTATTAGCAGTGGCTCCACTTGTCCTTTTAAGTATCTAAGTGGGTCTCCGATCTGAGTCCGGGGCAGATCAGTGCATTATCTGATGGCTCCTAAAGTGTGGTGTACTGGTGCTGACATGTGTGTTCACTGTTAGCTGTTAGATCCTGCAGATTTGTAACCAAATTTTTTCAGGCCAAAATGAAGACTGAAACCTTCAGATCACAAGTTTATTCAGCATGCATGAGCTTTTACACAGAATTTCTTCCAGAAAAAAGCTTTAAATGAACAAAACATGTGAGCTGAATCACATCTAATATTTTCTTCATGTGATGTCAAAACCTCACTTTGTGAATGGATACATACTTTTATCTGTACAGCATAAAAAAGGGAAATTTTAAATTGCCCGTTTTGTGGAAAACTGGAATTTTCATAAACAAACTTCATGCAGTGTAACCATGCTAAACTTTCAAAACATATAGTTCACTCCCCAGTCAACACAGTTTATATGTTCATATATGGAAACTAAGCTGCAAAAAGTGTCTTATTTTGAATGTTCTGTTGCTGTAATGTTACAAAAACACATTTACATATATCCATATATTCAGCCTACTGTGAAGTTACAAGGAGTGTTTCAACTTGATCAGCTTTCAGAATGAGGCACAGTACAGGGCAGCTAATCAGAAAAGAGCTCATTTACATAAACCAGCCTTAAAGGAAGAGTAAGAAAAAAGCCTAATACAAAGGAATCAAGACAGGTTGGAAAATGGTCATGTAAAAATGAATTATGACCATTTTTGCTATATAAACCCACAGTGGACCTAAGGAGAAAAAATAAATGCATTTAAAATGAAGCATATGGGCCCTCTAATTTTGATTAGATTTAGATTTAGATAAAAATGCAGTCGTAACTAATAGAACAACTCTTTGGCACCGGATGTAGCAAATTTTGATTAGATTTAGATTTAGATAAAAATGCAGTCGTAACTAATAGAACAACTCTTTGGCACCGGATGTAGCAAATTCACTTACAGAATATACATTGCATTTGCTTTGCATACGAGCTTATGAAATATGAATTGATTTTCCTTTCTGTTGAAGGCCAGGGTCTCACCTGCAGGAGGAGCTGTGGTTCGCAACATCTTCATCATGCTTCTTGCATTAAGATATGTTCTCTGCTCACTGTCCTCCTGTTTGCAGTCTATATGAGCATGTAGTGTATAGGAGGATGACAGTATGTAGGAGTATGTACGAATAAGGCACAGAGAGGCAATGGATAGAGAAGCAATGACACCATATACCTTATCATCTCACTTTGACTGCACATCAAACGAATGTCTGTGAGGGAGCAAGTCTTCAGTGAGGGGAGAGGGAGCAGAGAGCGAGGGAGAGAGACATAGAGAAAGACAGAGAGAGAGAAAAAGAGAGATAGAGATAGCAAGAGAAAGGAGAGAGAGAGAGAGAGAGAGAGAGAGAGAGAGAGAGAGAGAGAACAAACACTACAGGCTTTACATGCACATATTCACACAGAACACCCTGAAATCCCAATGCCCGAGAGAGGCAGAAGAAGCTACTGAGAAAGCAAGGTCAGTACAGAGCAGACAAGCAAAGGTACGTCACCTTAGCACAAGAAACTACACGGTACTAGGAGGCTAGGACAAATTTCATCCAGGTATCCTTCCTGACCAGTGTAGTTGAATGATCTTCACCTTTGAAGCTGTGGTTCATCACTCTCCTGTTATGAGAAAGTAGTTGCCTGATTTTCTCAGGATGCTTAATGATTGTATGTTTTGTCTGCTCTTTCAGGTGGAGCAGAAGTAAAGACCTTCCTCGTTCTGGGATTAAGGAAATGGAAACAGTGCATCAGGAAGTCCTGGCTTGATTCAGTGGACACTTTCAGTTTGATGCAATATTCCTTGTGCTAGCTTTGGCAGTGCAAACACTTCACAGACTGACAGCATGGAGAAACTCTCAGGCAAAGACAAGGAGCTGATCCGGGACAGCTGGGAGAACCTCGGCAAGAACAAGGTCCCACATGGCATTGTCATGTTTACAAGGTAGAGTATGCATGCTTAACTACCATGTTACATTATATTAGGAGACAGATGATGGAATGATAGGGTCACATAGTCTGGGATAAGATCTTGGGACAGAACAGAATATTAAAGATAGGAAATTTTCAAAATTGCATTTTTATAATGTGAAAGACTTAGAGAACTAACTGTGAATTTCTTCAATTCTTTAAATCAAGTATTATTGATTTTGATAAAAAGTAAAGGATACAGTTTCTGTATTTACTGTGTGCAGTGAGACACTGTTTAAAATTCATTACAAAATCCATGTGTTTTTGATTATTTAATGACAGCTGAATCATTCAAATCAAAATGATAGCTCACATGCCCAGTTAATGACATTTAGTTCGAGTCATATGTCTGTAAACACCTGGCCCATCCAAAGTAAACAAACACATCAAACATTCATCTCACGGTTGTCTGATGCGTCTCACTACACTTCACCCAGAGGCTTGACTTGTTGCTTGGCGACAGGATCTCTATTCCTGTTCGAATCCACTGCCTCTCAGAACGACGTGGAAAAGTACCACCAATGTAAAGAGAGGTCTGTAGCACTACTGGAATTCTACAATACTGCTGTTTTTTATAGGCTTTTTGAGCTGGACCCAACTCTGCTGTCCCTGTTCAACTACAAAACCAAGTGTGGAGTCGTGCCAGAGTGCCTCTCCAGCCCAGAGTTCCTGGAGCATGTCACCAAGGTGAGGCCAGTGAATTCTTTCCCTGTTTGCTGCACTCTTGAGTGAGTCTTCATAGTAGGGTGGTTCCTGATCCTGAATCCCTGGACATTTTAGTGCTCAGTACAACTCGGAAATTAATGGATGAATTAGTTAACTGATTAGTTGGACTGGGTGGGTTAGAGCAAAGAAGACACCATAATATGCCAGGCAGCGGTCCTCCAAGACCAGAACTGGCCTTTGAGTATTTAACACAGGCTGACTTTGTGTGAGATGCTGATGGTTACAAAAATTTTAAATCACTGAGCACCTGTGCATCTGTCCAGGTGATGTTGGTGATTGACGCAGCTGTCAGCCATCTTGATGACCTGCATACTTTGGAAGACTTTTTGTTGAACCTGGGCAAGAAGCACCAAGCTGTTGGCGTCAAAACCCAGTCCTTTGCTGTGAGTATGCCACTCAGCATCTATATTCAGAGCAGGAAGAATGCTTACAAATTTAAAAATTAGTTTTTCAAAGATGCTTCTTGGACTAAATTACATAGTCAATGAGGATTCTCTCAGAAAATACTTCCAAGTCCTAAACCACACTATGGTGTTTCCAAATGTCAATTCATCACTGAGAACCACATAAATGAATTAGTTTAATAGAAGTTACTAAATAACCTACTAGTAGTTACTGAGTAATAAGGCTTAACAATGATGACAAGTAAGACTTAAAAAAAATAGCAAAACCTTGAGTCCAAGGAAGTAATCTTCTTTGCCCATTGAAATAAATAAAGCAGCAGGTCTATTAGTGTCTAAAATAAGTCTAAAAATATAGTCAATAAGCCAAGACATGTCTGGTGTCCGAAGTTTGCTTCTTTAGTTTGCACTGGAGCTACTGTAGATAACAGTTTACACCCACCAAGTAACCATCAAGAACCCTTTTTCTAATAGATAACATTATGTGGTACAACATTAGCAAATGTATATGATTTCACCTAGATGCATTTTGCAGCATGCAGAATGCTAATTGTTGGTATAGGCGCCCATTAATTTTCTGCTTCATTAGCCCCATAGTGTTTTTTTTTGTGGGTGAAATGGGGTGCAGGGTATGGGTGGGGGTAATAATGCTCAAAATTGGTAAATTTTGTATTTGAGTAAATTTTGTATGTGACAGGTCATTACTGTGATGAAGCATCAAACAGCTAAATTCCAACACCTACATGTTTAAATGAGACTATGGCCCTTTCATTTCATGCTGTTCCTACAAATAATAACAGACTAACCTTAGTGTTATAACCAAGATGTGTAGCTGCTTCTACATTGATCTTATTTGATAGCTAGCTTAACATACAAGCTAACACTGCACTATAACTTTACTGTCACACTGCTCTGTTGTGTTTGCACACTCACACAAATGTCTACAATTAGACAGAATCATGTGCAGAGACGAGTTAATTGTACATTTTCCTCATTTCCAAACATGGATCTGCCACAGCGTAACTGTGCTATGGCTCTCTTCATTCGACCACATTGTTGGGCCAGAACATTCATGCCAGAATTGGCCCTCAAGTCAAAACCATACACAGCTGTCCGACATCTGGCCCTATTCTTGCCCACATGCCTAACATCTGCCCGGAAGTCAACCACAACTAGTATGAAAGCCAGAATCGGCCCAGAGCTGTCTGCTTCTGGGCAGAAGCAAAAACATATTTGTATCTGCTATCATACATGCTAGATACGTTGATGTCAGCTATATTGCTGGCTAATATTAGATTAGCTGACAGTTTAGAAAGTCAAACTTCACACAATGACACATCAGCTTACCATTCTTGCTTACATTCCGGTGCACTTAGTGTCATACAGCAGTGCTTGGAAACTTCATCCTCAACTAGAAGGTAAGAGTTGTGTTTTCCCTAAATCTGATGGTCTGATGGCTGTGCTTTTAACTGAAGACAAACACAGCTTGAGCTCAAATAAACAAACCGTGCTTGGCACTGCTCTGTGTAATTGCGCCCATTTGAAGTTCAAGTCCTACTGATATATTATTTGCCGTAGTCTGTAGTGCAGCATCATATTCCTCAGCCTCATCGGTTTGACAGAATTCAGGATTTTGCATCCTTTTTGCATTTTCATCCATCAATATCTCACTATAATACCCAAGATGATTGTGCAAATATGTCAGACAACCATTCCTATGGGAACCCCCCCCCACAGTGATAAAGAAATGCACTGACTAAATACAGACATGTTAATCAACTTACTAACAGTAGCATTACATATCTGGCTTCCTTCTGCATTAGACAAAATTCCATTAAACTATTTTTTTCAGTCAGATATTACTTTTGACAATGATAAGAAATCCGCCTTAGTGTGACCTTATTGTTTGCATGTTCATGTCTCTGTTGGTCAGGTGGTTGGAGAGGCCCTGCTCTACATGCTGCAGTGCAGTCTGGGGGCAGGCTACACAGCTGCACTGCGTCAGGCCTGGCTCAACATGTACAGTATCGTGGTGTCTGCCATGACCAGAGGCTGGGCCAAAAATGGAGAACACAAGTCCAATTGAGCAGCAGCAGAAGATAAAGTAAGAATTACACTGAAGCTAGGTCAATCAGTGGCAGACATGCGGCTGCTTTGTAGTGTAGCTTGGGCAGAGAAGCCAGGCGTTACCAGATGCGCTTAAGCAAGTTTAGGTGCTGACTGCCTAAATATCACTAGTGTATGCCATCTGATCTTTTTCTAGCAAGTGGTTAGAGACGATGAAAGCTTTGGGGGCAATAATTTGTAGGTTTGATCTTTTGAAGCTGAGTCAACATGGGGGGGGGGTTGTTTAAGGGTGATGCCTCACGACTGGAACTTGCCTTGTATATAATGGCTCGATGTGTCTCCTCAAACTTTCTGTAATGGCTGTTGTGCTGTTTGTGATGTTTTTTACATGAGTCTCATGAAACGTAGATTTGACTATGCACCAGTCAGCCTGTACAACACAGAGCTGAAAGGCATGTCTAGACCGCTCTCAAAGCTCCTTTGGAAAACCACATGCTACAAAGCTCCCATAACGTTCTAACTCATAATCTAATAAACTGTGTAATGTAAGTTCTATTCTAGCGCAGTAAATTAGCCAAATTCAAATGGTAGTATATTGTTTAATCTACGTGAGGTGCACAGATCCTTTTCCAGGTATGAAAGTTTAACTTTTTCTAGTATGACAAGTAAGCAGTCAGTGAAGGTGATGAAGAATGGCTTGAAAAAAGACAGTCCATCAGTATGAATATTACTGCAATGAATGAATGATTATGACTGTTACAGAAGCTTTCCCACAAGATTACAAAGACTGTTAGTTATTCTGTGCCACGTTACTACCTTACATGTTCATATTTCATACAGTTATTTTTTATACACTCACAGAAGACTTGGCCAGACTGTTACTTACCATGAAGAGACTGTTATATCATGTACAGATGATCCAGCAGCAGTGACAGATCTCCTCACTGGTTCAGAATAGGGGGTGGTACATTAATCACCGGTGCAATTGAAATCTGGCATAATAAAGATTAAGTCTGAATTTATTTATTTTAACCAACACTGCTTCTGAATGCCATTTTTTGTATAATTTTTGTTTTATATGGCTTGCACACTGTAACAAAGGGATTGGAATCATGTTTGTTTGCATAAATATGAGCCGTAAGAAGTTAAAAGCGATGATTTCCTTTTTGCTGCTACAAATAGAGTATCAAAGTATCTTAATAGCACTATGATAACGCTGTTCAATTTCTTTGGGAAATATTGCTACATTTAAACTGATGATGCCAAGTATTTTAACATGTGCCAACCGACAATGACATTGTCTTAAGAATATAGTGGAGAGTGGGGCACAACCTAACACACTTTGTTGCTATTCACTAGAAAAGCTACATATACATCTCTGCTACAAACGACAATGTAAACTTTGCTTTCAACACCTATTCAGCCAGTTGAGCCTGAAGTGGCAGGAGTGCAAATATTACCACTTACCCTATAGGTGGGGCTGATTTTAAAAGGGGGAAAGGCTAATCATAATGGTTGCTAAAAAGTCTGGTAAGTTGATTCAAAAACAATTAATTCAATACAATGTTGTTTGAACCAGACTAGCTTTCCAAGTTAAATACATAAAAATATTTATAAAAATTAAGATGTTTAGTGAAAAGAGAGTCAAACACTAGCAAACTTATTTTTGACCACAAAATGGAACTGAGAATGGTATCAGAATGGTAAAATTTAAATAAATTTGCTTTCATCTCTTCTGATAAATCTGTGCATAAAACAAATTTTGAATTTACATAAGAGGATATGAACATCTTTAATATTATTCAGTGGGGGTTAGCTGTAACACTGCTTTATGACTAGGGCTGCAACAAACCACTATTTTCATAATCAATTAGTCCATTATGGCATCCATTTATCAATTAGTTGGGAAACAAAAACCAGCAAAGTTTAGTCTGAATTAGTCTGATTATTCTTTCTTTACAAAAAAACAACCAAAAAACACCATATCTTCTTATTCATATTTTCTAAAAGCAGCTTTTATCAAGGGCACAGCAACAGATTGTCAGCATTGCTCCTGGAAACTCTGTTTGTTCTGTATTTCTTCTCTGATGATAAAGCCAAAATAAAATAAATAGCTTCTGTGTGGTCAATAATATCACAGACAGTCACACACAGTCCAGCCATTAGCCTTGTCAGGTACAGAGAACTGAAGCAGCTCATCACACATAAAACAGTAAAAATCATGCGCATGATGTCAATATTTTCTGATATATGTGTTTTTACCATTTTATCAGTCAACATTGAAATACAGAATTTCACAAGAGTTTCACAAAATCTCATGGTCTAAAGCTCTGTTTTTGTGTGCACAGACGACTAAAACACTGAGAAAAAAAAAATCCAAGCTAGTCTGTCTCCACTGGCATACAAGCAACCCTGATAACAGTATAGTTTAGCTAAGCAGTTTAGACAGTTTAGTTAAGCCAACGCTGCTCATTCTGTCTGCTAAACCAAAACAGAATTAGCTGAAAGACTAAATGCACTTTTGACTACGATTTTAATCAGATATTATTGTCTCATTATGGTGGGTTTTTGCCATCAACGAATAATATCTCACATACTTGCACCTGGCCATTGTGCTGCTGTGCCCAATGAGTTCAGTTTTATATATCATACAACAATTCGTCTTTCCAGTGCTACTGAAGCTTTAGATCTTTTTGGGTTGTGCATGATCCTGTACTGCAAGTGATGTAAATGGGAAGCGCAAATGTCATCAAGCCAACTGACTGATAAGATTATGCATTACCAAGAATTTTCATTTTTGAATTTATCGATGTTTTCGGTTAGTTGTCTTAGCCCTAGGTGCAACTAACCCCACCACGTGGAGGCCATACATTAGCCTGGCTAGCTCTCACTGTGAGTTATTTCCTTGCTTTAAAATGATGCTACATTAACAGTCACCAAGATGGAGATAAAATAAAGTGTGTGTGAATTTGAGGACTTATACACATCTCAGTAATTGAAAAAACACTTAAGATGAATAATGTCACTTTAATAGTACAAAAATTTCAGGTCTTCAAGAAGTATCTGTCCAACTGCTGTCAAAATTTGCATGTTACGTTTTACCCCGCATTAGATTATGCCCCGCTCTCCCCTAGTCTACAACTTTACCAAGACTAAGTTACTGATCTATTGCATAGGTCTTGGTTCTCTGTATCATACCAACTACTGTATTTATAACCTATTTTTGTATTGCAGTGTGTATGTGGATAGATAATGGTATATTGTCACTACTCTGTGGTGCTGTATGACTTTTTTGTGTAAAAATACGTTTTTCTCTCGTAGTCAAGAGTTAGATTAAACAGATGTAGATGGCTTTCGAGTAACTCTTGAGATGTCATTGACTCTCAATACAGAAAGTAATCTTGAATTGATTTAATGAAACTGACAGGCGCATTCTCTCAATCTTTTTGAAATGTTAAATCAATGTAAGCAGTGTTTTAAGGTGTAAATATTCTTACGGCACTAAGCACACTTGTTGTGGTCCATATCTATTTATTCCTTGATGTGTTGTGTGAGTGTAATGCTGTATTTGATCCAGTAATATTCTTTATTCTCTTGGTATTCTGTAACTGAAGTGTCTAGATGTCTACCTCACTTATGTAGCTGCTAAAGAACAGCGATGATATGACCTGACTCCTCAACCAAAAATACTGATGCTTCACAAACACTGTACATCTTCTGTTTCTTCAAGCAACCAGGCTGTAACTCAGACAGTATTGGGCTCTGTCATGATTCTCTGTCACAATTCGTTTGGAGCTCTTGTGTTCAAATAACATGAATAAAGTTTATTACATGTGTCATTTTGCTGGAGTAAGATCGTGTTATTTGACGAAACCTCTCTTGGTGCTGTCTCCCCTGTCTGTTTCTATAGATTTCTGTAACATAGGGTTTATAGCTCTGTCTCATCCAGTGTTTTATTGCTGCTTCAGGCCTCACAGATGCCTTGTTATTCTGAGAAAGAAATAAAAGATGAAGAAAACCCACTGTACCCACACCCAAACCACTGAGATGGACATTTAATATGTGAATGAAGGCTCAATTAATTAAATATCAATATCCCCATCCTTATTTATGAGTACATTCCGCATTTCTATTGCTGGAGCACGTGGAAAATTGTCTTTTCTCAACTCCATTCTCTGAGTAGCAATCATTGCACATAATTGTACACATCACAGCTCATCTCATTTCCAAGAATCAAAAGGATCCAGTAGTAATAATGTGCATGGCCTCTTTATCTTTCTCTCTGTCTCCCTAATAAGCCAAACCCACTGTGACAATGTCTGTGTTGTTGAGATATTGAGGTTGGTTTGAGCTCCAGTACCCAACACTACTCACTGGCTCTCTGCAGCAGACGAGGCGTTTCCAGATTCAATTACACTGCATTATTGTAAATGTCACTTTCTGAGCTGACTGTCAGGTCTAGGAACGGTCTCCAATGCCCACACAGGCCAAGAACTGCCTCCCACACACTCTATGGCTGGTCTCATATCAGCATCTGTCCTCATACTGCTACCTTAAAGACACCTAAAGCCACCCAGAATTCCATACATTGCTACTTTTTGAAGTTGTCTTGGCGATTGAGACATTTGCACATGCAAAAACACTGCAAGAGCTTATACCCAAAATTGCCAAAATGCTGTAATTCCAGTAGGCACATCTCTGGACACGCTGTTCTTTGAAATCTCAGAACACACAATACATGCTTGTGCTATATCCGTCTCCTGTAGTTAGACATGGTAGAAGGGGTGGGGGACCAACTAAGGAAAATGAACAATAAAACAGACTAGGAGATTATTATTTATAGAAAGTCTGCAGTATGTTTTGGAAGCAGGGCACTGGAAATCACCATGGCAACGGCTGCGAAGCCGAGCACGAGAATGTCTGAAGTGGGGTTTCTATCTAGAGACGGAGACGCACAATTAAAGTCTGTAGAGTGGCAGGGAAGGGCATACTGAGAGTGAAGGGCTATGAAGGTTCTGTTTGGCTGAAGTGTGTGCTGCCTCATCTGATCTGTTTAGAAAGAACGCCTGGTGCAAAGGCAGCTGTCTTATTGGAAGTTTATGGCGAGCAATGCTGCCCTCAGGACAAGTGTTCTTAGGGGAAGAGCCACCTCTGCATACTTTACCTAGTATGGTAACCAGCTGGAAGATCTGTGTTGAGCTAGTAACAAGCAGCAAGCTAATTTAGCTCTGCAAAAAGGGCAAGCAAGCCTAAAACTAGAGCTTAATACGTTATTTGTTATGTTGTGCAGTATTCTGTAGTGGAGCCTAAAGCAATCAGCCTCATCAGTTTAATAGAATTCATAGTTTTATATCATTTTTAATGTTTTTGTTCATCAGTGTTCTTTTACTACAATACCCAGCATGCATTACGCAAATACATTATACAGCCATTGGGAATCCCTGTAATGTCAACCAATCTTATGTTATCCAAATCGCTGAGCTACAGGGTAATAAATCCAACAAAGCTAGCATTAGTGTAACTCTTCCCTCGGTCATCGAACAAAATTGTACAGAAAACAACAATTCTTTTTACCCTTTTGACCAGAGAAGTCAAATTAGCCAGCTAGCTACCTTGCAAACTTTAGCTTTTAGCTTGTTACCCACCTTATCTGGCAAGCAATTTATGTCATTTGAATAATCCATTCTGTCCATTGTAATGACGATTTAAAGACAGTTACTAGTCATGTGGCTGCAATAAGACATTCAGCTTCCAAATAATGTCAGCTAACAGAAAAAATACAGAACAGCCCAGCCCCAACATTCCACCCCAAAGCAGTTGGTGTTTTTCAAAAGGTCTTCCACCTTCAATACACATCACCAGAATGGGGTTTTCCTGTCTTTAAACTGGGAAGTCTCACTCTAGAGACTGCTGCAGCACTGCTGTAGGATGTGAGTAAGTATGTTTATAAAAGCTGTGGTGAGGGTTAAATTTCTTATTTTGGAGTGTTCTTTTAAAGGTGCAGTGTGTATGATTTAGTGGCATCTAGCAGTGAGGTTGCAGATTGAAACCAACTGAATATCTTTCCCTTACCCCTCCCGTCAACTGTCCAAATTTCATTTTGCTTTTTCATGCTTTTGCTTCTTTGATGACAAGGATTCACCCTCCCTTGCTTTTTGTTGTGCTAATAATATATAATAATTTGTATGATCCTCCATTTGTCAAAATTTGGGTTCTCAAACTTCAAAATGCAACACAAAATGGTTAGCTAACACCAGCAGCAACCATCGATTCTTCATCTTTCAATGTCCTCCAATCACTGTAGCGCCTCAAATTCGAGCTGCCGCTTCAACGTAAAAACACAAAAGCCAGTGTTTGGTTTGTCCATTCTGGGCAACTATAGAAACATTGCGGCACAACATGGTGGCATCTGTTGGAAGAGGACCCGCTCCCAATGTAGATATGAAGGGCTCATTCTAAGCCAACAAGAACACAACAATTCGTAGTTACAGGTGATTATACACTAATGAAAACATGGTTTTGTATACTATATTCCATTTCTGCTAAAAGATACCCTCTAAATCTTACACACTGCACCTTTAAAGCGAAATCTTCAGAATTTAAAATATTTCCGCATAATTTGCTCGTTGAGAAGTAAACAAAGTGATGCTCATGGTTTTGAAAAAAGAGTTAATTCTAGACAAATGTACCTTTTCTTTATAATGATTTAAATACTATACCTTTACAACAGGAACTACAGATCACAACATCTACAACAGGGGTCGATTAAATCACATGACTTAAGCCACAAACTGACTTTTTGCCAAGCTGCTAAACTTGTAACAGTTACTATGTCCAACAAGCTTGAATTGACTTGGGACTTGAGAATTACTTATTTGTTACTTGCACTGTCTACAACACAAAGATCACCATATTATTTGTCATCCAAATCACTGGGCCTATGTGTCTTCTGAGTTTTTATATGTAATGCAGATAATGCTAAAAACAGATACCCTGATAGCTGCACTGGGACTTTCAAAAAAGCATCCCCAGGGCCTACGCGTTTCTTCATGGCATGCTATAGGCTCCTGAGTTATATCACACTATCAACACCTTCCGCAGTGAAACGGAGCTAATGACACCTTACGGTACATGTCAGTCCGTGCTGTTAATGTTCCCTCTCTCTAATGAGAGTGTCCGTCTGTGATACATTCTCTGCCAAGGCC